CACTCATGTGCAAGGGCCTCTCTGGCGCCACTAGGCCAGACCAGCCCAAACTATGTTCAATCTTAAGAGCATGCATGAGCATTGCATACCCGTAGTCGATAGGGGGAGGATAAAAAGGAAAATTTGCGCTGGCATCATCGGTTTTTGCTTTTGGCCCAAGACCTGGTGCATGGCCCTGGCAGATGCTGTAAACCGTCCTTTTGGCCCAAGTCACAGCGCGTAGATCGCTCTGTAATTTCCCCAAAAGCAAAAACGACAAGGCAGCCCCCAGCGCTTTGCTTACAGCGCCCGATAGTGTGTCCGGGCACCAAGCAAGGGCCTTGTCTACTTGTGCTTTGTAGTACATAATGCACAAGGACCCAGTTCCTCCTCGCAGACACCATGCTTTGGGTCCGTATCTCTCGGAAATGATGTCTTTTGTGTTGGCAAGTAAACCGGCTGTGGCAAGCCGCCTCGTCTGACGACCGACCAAGCCAATGGCATTCCGGAGCATTCAATGCAAGGCTATGAAGACGTTACCTCTGTGTTTCCCACTTTGGCCGCCTGTTTGTGGCCATCGATTGGCAAAGCCTTGGGACGGACAGACGTGGCCGTGCATCACGGCCTGCGCCGGCCACTGGGCCAGCAGCCGCAGCCGCAACGCTAGAGTGCTTGCATGTCAGGCGATGCGTGTGCGCTGAAGACCATTCGTCGTTGAGAGTTTGTACACACGGCCTAAAGAGACGGCCATGTTTCTCGGCCCAGGGCCTGACCAAATCGTTTCAGGGCAGTCGTGCGCATCCACGGTTCCTGTTGTGTGGCGAAAACGCTGTCCTACAGCGCTATTCGTCCACGGCCTATGGCAGTGTTCTACGCTAAATGAAGCACAAACGTCTTGTACGGGCTTGCCATTGCCCTGCGTCCCGCTGCCGGCCGTCTCGCCATGTGATAGAGCCACTGAGTCGGGTTAGTGATGGGGCCATTTTTAGGTCCTGCTGCAGGGGTTGAGCGCCCGTAAACTTCAGTGGCGGCCCAGCAAAAGCGCTGAGAACCCAGAACCCACACCGAACGCCGTAATGAAGGCAGTGCCTAATTCGTTTAGCCCTGCCTTAGCAATGCACACGACTGGCTATCGTCGAACCCGGCATAGTAAGCTTCGTTCCAAAACTGGCCTCCCAATGCCCGTCAAAGGAACCGCACTGCACGCCACCGTTTGTCTTGATATGGAAGCAGTGGTGGCCCTTTAAGCCTCATTCATATCATTTCCTATCCAATTGAGAACCAGACACTAGGCTAGCTATAGTGGAAAGGGCTCATCAAAGTTCAAATACCCTACATGTGGCGCTATCAGTTGGTGTTGTGGTTGGTGCCCAGAAGCACTAGCTCGGCTCTCCATTATAGTATCCCCTTAGGCAAACCAAGGCCAAGATCCAGTTTGTACAGCATCACTTGGCTCCCAATCGTCCAATTGAGTAAACTGCGGCCTCCAATTTGTTCTCCTCGCTGTCTATATTTATCAATTGGCTCAAATCCTGGTTGTGCCATGTTACAATGGCAGTGCTTGCTTTACCCCGCCGCCGGCGCCTCCGGCATGCTCTGGTGGTTGTGTGGTTCCATGAGGGGAAGTTGTGCATTTCGCTGCTGCTAGCGCCTTGTTAGCTCGCAGTGTGCTTCATCCTTCGGGCCTCAGCCTGCATACAAAAGCTAACACGCTACTGTAATATCTAATTGCGTATCCAACGCGAATTGGAAATTTGCTCCCTCTTCCCGTGCGTGGCTTCTACTAGGCGCTCGGCCACGGCGCGCTATGGAGACGGCATGTTCGGCGCTACTATTTGATTTCCAGACACTAAGCCTTGATCCTACGAGCCCACTAAGTCTTCAAGTTGCCCCAAAATGGGAGATTTGCAGACGAGCATCAGTGGAGCTCGCGTGTCCGTCTTGGGCCTCTGAAATTATGCCATGCTGTGCCTTGCTTTGAGGCACGCACCATGGCAAAGTGCACCCAGATTTGCATACACGCCATTTATCCATTGGATCTCGGTAAGGACACTCCGGGTGCTGCCTTCAGGTGTGCCCATCATTGCCTCTACAGGCTCTCGTCTGCTACTGATAGTCTCCGGTGGCTTTGCAATACGCTTGCCAGACGTCGTAGCTTTGAAAGCTGCGCCGTTACCGGTCAGAAACCCCATCGCACGACGTTACCACTGGATCTAGGCGAGCGAATTGCGTCAGACCCTTGAAATGGAAAAAAGGAATACCAAAGACAAGCGAATAGAAACGGCGATGCAGGGGTGAGGCCATTATCATTCGAGACAATAAAAAAAGCCGAATGCTCTGCCCCGTGCGCAGGGTTGATGATGGTCTGAGAAGATCATGGCCCAGGCAAAATGATTGGCCCAGACATGTTGGCTTGAAGCATTTCTTGCCGGCTCGATTGGAGACACGCATGGCGGACTGGACAGGGGGCCCGTCTTCGTGTAAAAGCGCGTACGGGCACCATGATTGGCTCTGAAGCTCGAGTCGATAGTGCTCAGAGAGGGGCGGGCGTCATCCCAAGGCTTGTGCTTTGCGTAGTGCAACCCATTTTCGGCTCTGTGTGGGTGGGCACTAGCGTAGCCCATACGTTTGTACAGTACCAAGGGCGACCTGCTACAGCGGACGTTGAACGCCAATGCCAGAGGTAGAACAACGTACAGCGCCGTACCCAAACCCCAGCCCAGCGCAGTTGTGGGTAGCCTCGGAAACCTAGCATATAGCAGCGTTGTGGTATAATGGGCGCCGCTCGTGTAGTGGCTGTTTTCTGAGTAGGGGCGTGTGTTCAGTTTCCAGATCCGCGGGTAAACAAGACGAAATGGAAGACATTCGACATGAAGACAATAGGCGTTTGACAATCTAGATTCTGCGCCTTTTCTTGCTAGTTTGCCTTTGGAATAGCCGTTCCCTCTTACTTGGTGCTCAATTGAACAATCAATTGCTGAAGAGTGTACAAGCAAAATGGACAGTCGTTAGACACGCGAGTGCACTAACCCCGCGCTTTGAGTTTGGTTTGGCCATTTTCATGCACCCAAGCTCCTAGCTGTTGGATTTATTGCAGCACGCATGCATAGACGGAAAAAGTGTCGATCGTTTTTGGTACAGAATCCAACTAACCCACGCGGGTTCCAGTTGTTCTGCACAACAGGAACGAGCTGCTTCCGCCACATCCACGTTTTATCCTCCCCGCAGTATTCGGTCATCGCTCGTCTGCTGTTTGCATCGTGCATCCTACGTGATTTTCCATGCATGGCCCGATATCGTCGGCCGGAGCAGCAAGTCATGGGATTATGATTTGCATTGTGCGTTGGCAAGGGCTGGCACCCTGGCGCTGGTGGCCAACTCACCCAACCGCTATAGCAGAATCCTGCCACAACAGTTGACAGGGGGCCTAGGTGCCGACAGCCTGGTGCTCGGAAGCTGAGGTGCCACCATAGGGGCTTCTGCGGTCGGAGGCTGCCTATCACGTAAGGGAATCCCATACATACAGATGCATCGGAAATGAAGCGAGAAGGAGACCTGGTTTTATTTTAAAGCAAGGCTGCTTCGGTCTCAATTGTGCTTTTTCGGCGCTCCAATCTGTGGGGAGGGCCATTGGGAAGAAACTGCGAAATTATGGAGGCGGTCGATGTTAGCGCCATGTAAATTGTCGATGTGCCCCGATTAGGCAATGATGCAGTGGGATGCTCGCTTGCGTAAAATGTGCAGAGGCTTGCTTGTTTTTTTTATGCTCCTCCATTCTCCAGGTGCTGCTATTTCCAGAATATCATAGATATACTTGCCAAAAGCGGTCTAAACCGTATTTGACCTATCTTGGGCATGTTCATTAAATAAATTTTTAGTGCTGTTCCTAGTAAGCTACGCTAAAAGCTGGTGTGGTGCTCTGTCTTTGTTGTGTATTCCTGACGTCTTTGTCTTGCTCGTGTGTCTCGCATTTCCCGCCAAACCGGCAACGCCAAACCACGCACACGGGACACGTAAAGTACGCGATTCTCATTAATTAAACCCGTTCCAATTCGTTTCCACGGTTGTTCATATTGACTGACAGCGCAAATTTATGCATTCAACCGCGTCGTTACACCACCGTCTAGGTTGACCGTCCCCAAAAATAGGCCCGGCGCTGCATAGTGTGCGCAAGTATGCATCTTCCCACACGCAAGTAATCACGTCAACACCGTGCGCGGTGGTGCCTCTTGCTTAAGGCCGGCTTGTTAAGCCCAGCGTCCAATTATACAGTAGCATTTAAAGCCGATAAATCTTAAGGGTTGAAACAATTCGAGGGGCTAGATGTGGTTTTCCATTTTGCATCTGCGTCGCAGGCGTAGGCTTAGGCTCTCCGCAAATTGGGCGATAATCGAGATTCGGGCATCAGTCAGAGCTTCCGGTGTGCTATATCCCCAATGTGACGCAGCATCTCATCTCAAAGTAAGGAGAACCGCTTTGTACCAGCGCAGGGCAACAGGCGTAGGGCAATTCATTGGGAGCGGTTGATTAGCATACCATTTTCAATTAAACTTGCATCAGAGTATTTAGTGTGTTCTCCTTATCCCCTACGGCCCAGTGCGTTTGGGCCGTGACGGCTGCGACCTTGCGATGCCAACGAGCACAACATTACAATGAACGGGTGGCGGGTGGCGGGTGGCGGGAAGCGCTGTAACAAGCCCTGTAATTTGGGGGCCCCAGGCTGACAGTCCCAGTGTCTGTCAAATCTAAAGTGCTCGCTGGCCAGCTATATCCAGCCTGCCATCCAAAGGACGGCAAATTTAAGGTTGGGTTGACAAGTTAAATATGTCCAATTTGGCCTCATGTGCCATTGTTCTCTGCTCCCTCAGGTTCATCGTAGCCTCAAAGCGTCCCGAGGGCTTGGGAAAGGAACCAATTCAAAATTGTAGGTATCCGGCCACTGCGACGGTCTGCAGCGCTGTGGTCAGGGCGGTTCATTAGCGGGCAGCGCACTAAGCAAGCGCCAAGCGGCCAAAGTTGTGTATGCATCGTGCATTATTCTCGAGAGTTATCCCAGCTTTGGGCTTTTGTGCGTGCTTCCCCACAGGCTAGCTTCTCGCGCTTCCGTCTCTCCAGCTGGAGCTTAACCAAGAAAGGAAGTCCCAGCGAGTCCAGTAGAGCACGCCCAGAGGCGAACCACCTGCTCCGCAGCGCTAACCAGCTCACGCTTGCATCAACCGAGCTAACTAGTGTCTGCATCAAGCACTATAAATATGTATAGTTCTTTTATTTTTATTTTATTGCTGCGTGGAAGAAATACACGCTCGAGTTTCGCGTTAAGCTTCGAGCGTATTATCAAGAGCTCTCCTCAACCTCGCGACGGAACAAAGGTTTAATGAAGAAAGCTTATCGGAGAACAATGACCCCAGGAACCCGGGCACACGCAGATGCAGATGCAACTCTGCTTGCTCATATCAGGCTTCGAGCGGCTCCCGTTTGCACAAACCTGCCGGCAAAGAAGCAAATAAAAGATTCAAATCTCAATGTGCGTGTTGTCGGATTGTTCCTGAAATGGAAACCAGAAAATAGGAATATAAAATATATAAAATACATCGCGATTTCAGCGCGCACTATCCGCTGAGCCACAGTGGGCAACACGCTGTCAGGGGGAGCGGGCAAGGCGTCTGCTCACGCCCCTGCGGCAACGCTGCCCCACGCCGACCAGCACCCCCCATACTCACTGCCACAGCGCTCTGCGTCCGCTGGAAGGTCGCTGGCGGAGGAGCCTCTGAGCCTCTGGCGTCGGCCGCCGTCTCGCCATTCGCCCAGCCCCCCAAGCCACCACCCACACGCAGACAGACACACACACACATCCCCCCCTGGCCGCTTTAGCGTTGTCCACCTCTGCGGTTGCATTTTCTTTTATTTTCTGCCTTTTTCTTATTTTTTATTTTTTATTTATTTTTTTCGCGCTGCTGGGCCCGCCCCCTCCCACTCCCCCAGAAGGTAACAGCAGCCAGTCAGAGCCTCGAAAAGGCAAAAATCCAAGGCAAAGCAAAAGGCTTGCCTCTCGTTTTATGGAGACTTTGACAGAGCTCCATTTTCGAGCTGGGGGGGCCTCCCAGAGTGGCTTCCTGGCACAGCGAGTGGGAAGCAAGGCTCTGCTCTGTTCACTCCCAAAGCAGGGGCGGCACTGTACAGCCAATGACGGTACCTTGCTCGTACCTCGCCCAAGTTTGGAGCTGCGGAGAGAGCCTGTTCTGTTAAAACTACCTCGCCGCCTGTCGTCTTCCTCATTCTCTCCATTCATCCTCGTCTCTATTCCTTCTCCTCCTCTTCCTCCTCTCCTCCTTCTTTCCTCTTTTTTATCTCCTTCTCTTAATTGCCACTCCTTCTCCTCCTCTTCCTCCTCCTCCCATTTCCCTTTCGTCCTCGCATAGCCCATTAACGGTAGCAGGTCGTAGGTTCTGGCCCAGTTTCCCCTAGAGGAGAATTTCCAAAGACCTCCTTCGCCCCTCACCAATCCTCCCTTTTTAGCTTCCAACCACGTCCACACTTGGAGCCGTTGGTTGCTTGTCAAAAAGGTGCAGAGTCGGCACATTTATTGAGAACTAGATAAAAGGACTCTCCTTTTAGAAACAAAGTCTTAAAGAAGCACCGGAAGAAGAGCCTTGACTGGTCACTTTTTTCGTCTTTCCTAACCTTTGTCCACTTGTCGGTACCTTCAGCGTGCGATTTTCGTCAATTTCCGCCCTCTCGTCGGCCAAATTCCTGTCCCTCTCGACACAGGAATTCGATCCACCTCGAAATCGTCCCCCTTTGAATCAATCGACCAAGCTTCACCCACACCACCAACAACCCTTCCCGAAACTAGTGCCAACACTTCCCCGTTCGGCTCTACTCCCTCGATCTCTGTCTTGGGTGTCTCTGCTAGTCTGCCAGTTCGCCGGTTCGATTCAGGTACAGACTCTTCAGGACTCCATCCTCGTTGCCCTCGTTGCTAGTACTCGCCAGCCCTGTCCCTTCTCTGCTGCCCTCAAAGCGCCTTGAAGTGATTGGTTGCATCTTGTTTAGTCACAGGCTCATCAACAAACCATCGCCTTGAGTCTTCTAGATAGCTCTACGCTTCTTGAAGATACAACCACTCGTGTCCAACAGTTGTGTCGATCGTCTCAGTCTCGGTTCCTGACCAGACGACCAGCACTGTGGAGGTTAAGCTCAGCTCTATCCTCCCTCTATAACGAAAGGTATGTCGTGTGGAGACCTAGCCGAGATTAAAGTTCATGATCTAATCGGTTTCGTTGGTGGTAGTTGGTTACGCTGCGTGCCCCAGTCGGTCGTAGCATTCTCAAGCCCTCTCCACTGTCGCGGTCGGCTTCAATCCTCAGCTTCAGGTTCAACCTGTGGGAGACGTTAGCTCGTTGGTCCCACCAATCAGACCAGTTGTCTCATACGAAGCTGTCTCACTGCTTCTACGCCCTAACTGGTAAGTGCCCTCTGCTTGCCCTGCTGGTGGTGCCCATCTCGTGCCGAAGAGTCTCCATATTCCCATGCCAGCCTGCCCCTATGCTCAAGGGAGCGCTGCCAGGGAACGCCATCTTCTCCGCAACAGCAGCCTATGTTCATTGCTGTCTTGGATGCCACCCACCTATCTGCCCGATCCTCTTTCTGCAACGGGCTCCACGCTAGGTGACTACAGCCAACCAGTGGCACGGAAGCTAATACATTCTTCAATTCTATAGGCAGCCCTCTCCTTTAAACCGGCCCCTGTCCGACCCCTTCGTTACCTCGACAATCTATCGAGTTCCTACATGGTTTTGCCATCGTTTCCAGCCACAGTCACTCTTTTCCCAGCTGTTCCTCACGCTCTTTAATCACTTAATATCCTAATTCCTCGTGGCCCGTGGATACCCTCTCTTTTATCACACCCGGCCCGGCATTCTTTCTTTTATTTCCTTCCTTTCTTCGTTTCTCTTATCCGTCTCCGACCCGAAGATTCCTGAGGATCCTGACAGTCTTTCCTTTGACTACTCAGTTCTTTACTAGGTTGACACGACAACAGTCACAGTCGACTATCACTTGCTCTTCCAACTCAACCTTGGAAGGCAATTTTTTCACATATCAGCAACCATGGCCTACTCTCAACCTACCGATGACACCTTCTTCATCGAATCCGACGAGCCCATGCAGTCGAGGATGAGCGCCCAATCCGCTGCCAAGATGATTGCTCGCAAGAGACAAGACATCATCGGATCTGAGCTTTCTCGGCTAGCTGGCGAGGAGTACCTCGAAGACATCATGGATCACATGAAGCAAATGGAGGTTTGTATATACTCTTTCCTTCTTGGTTCATCCCAATACTAACATCTCCCAGATGGAGACCCTGCCTGATGCCAGCCTCATCGACATGCAACGTGAGATCCAGTGGTTTATGAGACCCTACCTCATTGACTTTATCATTGAGGCTCATGCCGCCTTTGCCCTGCTCCCCGAGACACTCTTCCTCACAATCAACCTTTTGGACAGATACTGCTCAAGACGTGTAGTTTACAAGCAACACTACCAACTAGTCGGATGCGCTGCCCTCCTTATTGCTGCCAAGTATGGTGACAAGAAGGACCGAGTCCCCCAGATCCACGAACTTAACAACATGTGCTGCAACCTCTACGATGCCGGCATGTTCACCCAGATGGAAATGCACGTCCTCAATACCCTCGAGTGGACAATTGGTCACCCCACCGTCGACTTCTTCACCCAGCTCATGGTCGCTGACGAGCACGACGAGGCCGACGTTGAACACATGGCCGCATACCTCTGCGAGATTGCTCTCTACCACCGCGATTTTGTCTCGACAAAGCCCTCGATGATGGCCCGTGCTTCGCTTGCTCTGGCTAGAGCCATTCTTGGCCGACCTGAGGTCACTGACTCTGAGTGGGATCACAACGAGAACCTGACCCTGCTCACCCTCTCGCAGCACCTTCAGCAGCCCTCGCTAACACTTGCTCGCAAGTACTCCACACCCAACTTCTCTCGCGTCTCACAAAGGCTGGAAGCTTTCATGGAGGAGCAAGCCGCCATGGCCCGCCGTGCAGCCCAGCCCCCAACCCCTGCCGTCGAGATTGCTTCGAAACCCGCCGACATCTACAGCACACCTGTCAAGGGCCATGGTGCCGCTGTCGGCTTCGAGGGCTACTTGACTCCTCCCATCACTCCCGATGGACCTCACTTCCAAGCACAAAAGGATGCTTATCCCGCACCGCGCTGCCCAGTTACTCCCGTACACCAGAGCCACCCTAATGTCTATCCTTCGCATCAACAGCAGAACATGGGCTACATGGGTATGCACCCGTGAACGGGTTGGGCGTTGCATCTTGCGGCTTTTTTCTTCTTCACATCCGACTTCTCACTCGCACAGCCAGTTATTTCTTTGGCTGAGGAGCGGTGTTAATTCATTACACACCTCCATACTCGCACATAATACTGGAGCATCTCGTCACAGCATCATTTTCATCTTATACCGCTTGCATGGTTGCATCAGAATGATCTACTCTTTTCTTATCTATCTCATGGCATTTAGCGAATTGTTTTTTGTTTGATCACTCGGTTTCTCACAACATCTTTTATTTCCGTCATCCTGTTTCAATTACAGGTCGAAAAGCAACAGCAAGTCTTTTTGTTTTCGGCAACAAAAAAATTGAGGACAAAAGTCCTTTGCAAGTTTTTACCGCGTTTGCCATTTTCGGGCATATTTTGTGTGGTTCGCAGCAAGCACAGAGCATCGTGGCTCTAATACTGCTGGACCAGTGGATGGAGGAATATCTAGGCCAGCCCTCCTTGGCTTGGGACAAGTCAAGGAAGGGAACACAAAGAATGGAAAGTGGCCGTTGGAAGGAAATATCACGGATACCCCAGGAAGCGCCTCGGGAGGAATAACAGGCATCTCCAGCGCACAAAGTCGCAGAGAGATTTGGGAATAGGAGGAATAGGAATCGTGTGGGTCTGGATCCCTGCCTGGCATGAGAGAGGACGGACAGTATCCTCTGACCGGCACCACAAAGGAGATCATTGTATAACTTTTTGAGAGCCGCAGGGGAGACGGGCTTGCTAGGTGAGGCGAAAACCTCGTCTTAGCAGCCGAGTTATCCCGAGCCCCTCGGCCTGTGTATGGGCATTTGTATAACAGACACACACTATAATTGAAATAAGATTCAAACCTAACATTGTTCTCTACTACTGTGATATCAACTGTGAAAAAAAGATAGGTGAAGAAGAGGCAAGACTGTAATTGGAATGTGTGCACAGGTGTGGAGAGAGTGCCTGTGGCATTTGTGAGTGCGACACCCCTAATGCAAGGTCGTTTTATTCTTTGTGCCATTTGCAACGCCAGAGACAATGGATCTCCTGCGATCTGTGCTGATGCGACGCTGGGGAGCACGGTCACGGTAGATGGACCACTTGGGCCTATGTTAATTTCAAGCCCATTGCGGTGGCCCATTTTCGCTTGTACGTCTGGGGGGGCGTGATGCTACGTTGGCGGTCCTTTGGTGGTGTTGGTGCCTTTTTTTTTTCGTACTTGGCAGTTCTGGAGCTCCGTTCTAACCTTTACGGGCTCCCCTGTGGCAAATTCGCTATGCAGCTTCTAGGGGGCTTCAAAGGCACTTGGGCATTGAAGGGGGGGAGAAGCGTGGATATGGGCCACGACGTGAGACAACTTTGCTGGGTGGTGGCCCTGCCAAGTGCAAACATTTTTAATTTAGCTGAGAAAGGGAGGCGGCGGGGGGCGATGCCTACTAGTGGTGGTGGTGGTGCAGCGGTCTTAGACAGTGGATGAGGCTAAGCCAGGCACGCATAGGCAGAATAGCTGGGGCTCAACAGTATGAAGTTGTGCTAGAAGTTATGTAAGCCACTAAGAAAAAAAAAGCCGAGGTAGCATTTGACCACAGAAAGGATAAAGGGTTCAGAGAAAGGTCAACGAACGATGGAGAGTATAGTGAGGGATGGATGGTCGTATGGGGAATGGACAGGCGGAGGCGCCGCATTTTCAGTGCACACGGCTGCGCTATTTCATTCCTTCTACTGTAGCCCTTCCACTGGTGCCCGTGCCTGGAGCGTAGCAGTATTCGAGAGGGAACCATTGTGGGCAACTCTCAATGAAAATAAATAAATAAATAAATCCAATAGGGCAGTGGCAGTAGTAGCAGACATCGTCCAATGGCATGCGGGGTTCGGTGCCTCGCTGCCAAAACCTCGTCTGGCGATTGCCATTGGCTCTGTACAAGTGCCGTTTGGCGTGTTAGGTCAGGTTTCCCTCCGGTACAGTGGTCCGACTGGACCCTGAGATCTCGACTATCGGTGTAGGGCGTGGAGCTGAGGTTGTTTTCGTTGAGTGCCTATTATATGGAGCTAGTGCTTTTATGGTTATTCTTGTTCTTTTTCAAACTAGTGTTTTGCATGATATATTCAGTCGTTTGTTTCGTGGTGGAGAGCCGGGGCGGCGCAGGTTTTTGGCGCAGCACCAGCTTAAGGGCGGGGTTGGAGCTAACGATAGCTACCCGGCACATGTCGCCAAGCTTTGGCATTTTCCGAATTATGCCCTGCGCGGTTTTGTAGCTGTGGTATTTATGCATAGTTGTGATAGTTGTGTGTATATTATTACTTTTCGGTGCACTGATATGGCTTTAGCAGGTAGATTGAGCCGTGTCATGGAGTATTGGCAGGAGCACATCAACACCGAGATCGACTGTGAAAACGAGCAACCAACCAATTCAGATGAATGATATAGCAACACATGTAAAATAATATGCGTATAACACCCAAATCTGCAGCTAAGAATGTTAAGACGCACCGTAAAGTCACATAGATATATATCGAATTTATGTACAAATATAATTGGCTGCATCCCCTCATTGGTGAGGCTGATGAACTGTGGATCTGGAGATCGTAGGTGCAGAAGTGCCAAAAATAGCCAATAGCGATGACATAAGCAATACAGCGAGCTCCAACAACCAGAGCTTATGGACACAGTCCAAATTGTACCAAATATGGTAATAAAAACGGAAGGAAAGGAATCGAAATAATACGTATGATGTAATGTATGAGTAAAAGAAAAGTGTAACAAAATACGAGACTTGCACTGGTTGTCTGCATAAGAAATGCCTAGTTACGCAAATTTGTAGGCACACCTGTCTGATTGCTTGACAAAATGACTCACATTGTAAAGAATACTATACTGTAAACATTCTGACTTGTTTATTTCAACCAAAGCACAATTTTTAATGACGAGTTTATCAAGTACAGCGTGCACTCGACGTGGACCATGGAGGCCAACTGACCAATCAGCATCGAGCTCACAAGTACGCCGTTTCCCAAAAGGGAAAGAGCTGGTTCGCCGAAACCTGAGCCACAGGTTTTGGGCCTGCAAAGCGAAAAAATCTCCAATCACTCCCTGTTCATCCGATGCACTAACTATAACCGTCCGAATGGACATCCCGAAACAAAGTAAACCTATTTCTATACTATTACCTGTAGATACATTTTTGTAGCCCACCAGAGGGCGACCCTGTGCAGTCAACAGCGGTTTGGGAGACTTGATGCTATGCATCAAACTTGACTACTAAACAAGGGATGGCTTCACAGTCACAGGTAACAATCAAGAGAACCATAGAAATTATGTAAAGATTTTAAGATGTCATTTCAGAAGGTTGCCAACTAGTCTTAGGCTCCCCAAGAATGCAAAAGGGAAATCATCTACCTCATTGCGAAACAACCACTTCCACGCTCTTGCTTTTTCTTTTCCGTGAAGTCCCCCCCACCGGGTAACTTCATAAACCGATTTAAACGCGCTTCTCGTGGCGGAGAGAGTCGGAGAACTCTTCAAGAGGGCTCTTGATGAGCTTGGTCTCCTTCCACAAGTTGGGAGTGAGGAAACCGTAGGTGTTGGAGACGGCAACGAAGGTGGCCTTGAGGGTGTTCTCAAGGGTCTTGGTGGAACCGGCAGAGGAAGTGTAGGCATCCTCAACACCAGCGAGCTGGAGGAAACGCTTGACAGCGGGGGAGGCAACGAGGCCGGTACCGCGGGGAGCGGGAATGAGACGGACGGTGACGGAACCGCACTTGCCAGACTCCTTGCAGGGAAGAGAGTGAGGAGCACCAAGGTTGTTGCCCCAGTAGCCACGACGGACGGGGATGACGGAGAGCTTGGCAATGATGATGGCGGCACGGATAGCGGTAGCAACTTCCTTGGAGGTCTTGATACCGAGACCGACGTGGCCCTCGGAGTCACCAATGATGACAATGGCCTTGAAACGGGTACGCTGACCGGCACGGGTCTGCTTCTGGACGGGCTTGATCTGTACGAGGGGAAAGAAACGTTAGCAAATGTGTATCAAAAAGAGAGCGGTTGGTGCCAGGTGCGAAAATCTCCAACATCTTCCTCTCGACTGTTGGACCTTGAAACGACATGACTGTGACTTTTTGGTGACGCATTATCTGGCCAACCTGTCCATCTCCTCCCACCAAAAAGTCGTAGAATATCGCGCAAGGGCAGCGTTGATGTAGACATTGATCGATTTTCGCATCGGCGTCGGGTTGTGTCTTTTCAGCCTACCTTCATGACCTCATCCTTGAGCTTGGGAAGGAAGTTGTCGACAATCTGGTACTCCTTGATAGGGAGAGAGTGAAGGTAGATCTCCTCCATGCTGTTGATCTTGCCAGCCTTTACGAGACGGCCGAGCTTGGTAACGGGCTGCCACTCCTTCTCGTCAGACTTGCCGCCGCGACGGCCGCGTCCACGACCACCACGTCCACGTCCACGGCCGCCGAAGCCGCCGCCACGTCCGCGTTCGCCACCACGATCAGCCATGATGTATAATTTGGGGTGTTGTTGGGGGGAGAGTTGTTGTCGGGGGTTGTTGGTGGTTGATGTCAGGTCGGGAAAACGAAGCCTTCGCGGGGAGTTCTAGTTGTGGGCTGGCCTGGCGAATGGAGCCCAACTTTTTTCGCACTTTGGCGGGGACTTGTGCCACTTGCACGCAATTTTTGCAGTGTGGCTCTTATTGTGGGTTGGCCGAGCCCTAACGACTTGGGAGGAGTGGGCGCCTGGAATTTAGGGCACCAAATTTCATGGGACATATAAGTGGAGACACTGCGATTCTGCTTCAACGACGGACCTTGAATGTATAAAGTGGGTCATTTTATCTGGTTGGACCAGCGTAATGACTGCAAAATGTTGATTTATCGTGATTTATTATTGTGATATTATGAATGCGAATATGTTGAATTTGGACACATTGTACGAACTGGACAAGAGTATAACAGAATGAGCTGGATTGGATAGTATCAACGAAATAAAGATCTTTCACATAATCATACAAAAGCGATCCTCGTACGGCTCGCAATACGGAAAGGAGGGTATAGAAGTTCAACGAAAACAAAAAAGACATGTAAAGTCAGAATCGGTCCCCGTATATTCGTGGTGTAATTTCTTACTGATCCTTGAGGATCAAGTTGTCGGATGGCTGCACTCTCTGTGCCCATTCACTAGAATCGGGTTAGCAATTGCTCTTCATTACCAAGGATTTCTTTTCCCACTAAAGGTACTTACGTCCAGCTACCGTCGTACACTCTTCTGGAATCAGGAGAGCCATAGCCCGCAACTTCCAGGCCTGTCTCAATAACACAAGCTGTCACACCAGAGCCACAGCTGCTGACGATTGGTTTTGAAGGGTCCACGCCCTTGCTCTCGAAGATGCTCTTGAGCTTCTCAGGGGAGTAAAAGGCCTTAGTTGTAGGGTCCAGGAGCTCTGAATGAGGGATGCTGATGGAGCCAGGCATATGTCCAGAAGACAAGGCTTCTCTTGGCTCCGGTGCTTCGCCTGTGAAGCGGCCGTTTGGTCGAGCATCGAGGATTTGGACGCCCTCAGCGCCCTCCTTGTTATAATCCTGTGCGATTTCTCGGACTTGTTCGTAATCCGCCACCCTTGACTCATTCAGCTCGGGAATAGGGTACGGACAGCACTCTACGTTATAGAGCTCTCCTGATTCCGTTGGGAAACCCTCCTCGACCCAGAGCTTAAAGTTGTTAAGCACGTGGACGTTGTCGTGACCAAAGATCTTCAAAGTCCATCCAACACGAGGTGCGCTGAATATGCCAAGCTCCTTTGTATCGTAGACAACCACTGTATCTTCCTTGCGGATGCCGAGCTCGCTCATGGCCGCAGCGAAGTGCTTCGCCTGGGGAAGCATATGAGGGTAGGGACTGCGCTTGTCAATGACCTTGTCCAGGTCAAAGAATCGGGCCTTGGGTATACGCTGCTCGCGGAAGACTTGGATGCCGGAGCGCTCATCGTTGGGGAGGAACCATGAAGCGCAAAGGGGGATTACTCTCGGGTCGGTGCTAATCGACGATGGCGGGTTCTTCTTGAGAGCTTCGTCCAGTTCTTTCGGCGTGACAAGATACGACGAGAAGCTGCGAAGGCTAGCCATAGTTGCAAATGCTCCGCGGCCGCTCCACGACGACAAACCCACTCGAGATGCTCGTCCGATGACGGCAAAGGCCATGACGCTCGTCTGTCGTGACGCGTTGGGGGTTTCCTCCGCGGCGTTGTTGATTTGTAGCGACTAGCTAATTATGGTAAATAGTCAGACTGTAGAGGCGGCGCAGTTAGGCAAGGCTGCAGGTGTCACTGTAAAGGTGCATAGAAAAAAAAGTACGAAGGATCAACGGCGGCTAGAAGGAACCCGTTGTTGAAAAGGCGTGGTTGGCTGTGCGGGGTCGGCGACCGTTTGCGAGGTAAAGTCGGAGCTGAGCTTCAGCCAACCAGAAGCTACAGGCCGATTTAGTGGATGCGCCACCGCCAGAATAGGCGGAGAGCTCCGCTGTAGTCCGCTATTAGCCTCTAAAACCTGTAGTGGCAAAGAGACGCCTCTGAAACGCGTCTTGATATTCTGACAAACATTGACTCTGCGGACTTGATTTCAGCACCCCTGCTTGCTGCTTGGGATATTTTTCCGTGGAAACGAGGACGGTTTATTATATACTGAGTGGAACAGCGCCATAATCATGAAGGTCACGATCAAGGAATGGAATTCTGTCGCGACATGGCAATGGGATCTGCCTGAGGACGACGTTTGTGGTATCTGCCAGGTTCATTTTGACGGTACCTGTCCGACATGTAAATTCCCCGGCGATGAATGCAATCTGTGTAAGTATCTATGCGCGTGTGATATGAGCATCTGCTAAGATAACGACTCGGACAGTATCGGGAAAATGCGGACACAGCTTTCACATGGTATGAGCGAGACGGAATCGCGAACTGCAGCAGGAATATGACTGACGAGGGAATTAACAACTAGCATTGCATTTTGGAGTGGATTAAACAAGATTCTGCCCGAGGACAATGTCCCATGTGCCGTCAACGTAAGTCGATATCTTGAGAGATGAGTGCCTAGATGCTAACAAAACATAGCGTTCGAATGGATTGACAAGGGCAATGAAGCAGTACCACAGGTGGATTGAACAGGAGATAGACGACGAGAAGATAATCATCTTAGTACCTGTCCGGGCTCAGCCAAGCAATCCCAAGGACAGCCGGCGCTTGAGCCCGCACAAGCGGCGCCATTCCACACGACGACGCTCCCGCACTGAGAATCTACGACACGGTGATGCTTTCACGACGTGATCAAAGATTTTCTATGATGCTATGAGCAGCAAGTCAATATCACGAGGTCATGAACAATATTAAAGGACAATGGACGATGATATATAGTCATGCATTATGTTCCGTGTATTAATAAACATAGCGTAAAGGGGTATCAAACTATCCAAACCCAAACCAAAAAAGCTTATGTATGAGATTAATAAATACAATTAAACGGTGGATACGTGTGATATTTTTGCGTGGTGGTTGGATTCCGAAATCTCCTGGTTAATGGCAGTATGGACCTCGATACCGTTGAGCTCAACTTCGGACGAGTTTCTGCCCCAAGTGGAAGCGGCATAGGAGGAGCTAGGCCCGCGGCCACTGACAGTGGTCTTGATAACGCTTTTGGGGTATCGAAAAGCAATGCCGTAGGGGTTATATGAGCCTGAGTAGCCCATGCCATACGGTGTGCTGTCTCTGAATCCTTTGAACAGCGATGCTATTTGTGGTGCACATCCGCAGATAATGGATAGGTCGTTTTCTAATATTGTGGAAAGAGTCTCTAGGACAGTGGAAGCTAGAGAAAATGTTTAGTTGGAAAGTTATGGAGGTGAGTTGCAGAGCGTGGGCTTACTGGAAAGGTGGTTGGTATCGAATCTAAAGAAGTGTATGACCCGCGTCAAGCTGACAGCACAAATACTAAAACAAAGACGGTGGTCAGTAAAGTTGTTACAGAGGAGTATCGTATTGTCCCAACTTACAGGATTCCGACACCAAAAACTCCGACAACAGCAGCCTTCTTTCTTGCTTCTAGCTTCAAGGCAAGAATGGTAGGCATGGGAATGATTAAAATACCCAGGTCGGTGACGAGAGCGGCTATAGCAGTAGCAATGTTTTGAACCATATATGTTTCGTTGCTGACACAAGTTCCGTTTGGCTTAGTCTTGTCCCAGTAGAAAGATATCGGTTGGCACATGAAGATGGTGAAGAAGAAGACAACACCAGTGTAGGCGTACACAGAAAGAGCAACAACAAAAAGAGCGCCGTTCACTCGTCTTGTTAATTGGACGGCTCTGTTGATGAAAATAATGATTGAGATTTTAGCACAGGCCATGGATATCGACCAAAACTTGGGGATGATCCATGAGCCCACGGCCAGGCGGGTGTTATAGTCTTCCGGAAGCTTGTCGGCGTCGATGCCAATTCCGTTGTAGGCTTCTGTAGGAATTGTTAGATTTGCATTGATTCAATAGATGGGATACTAGACATACTCATTAATGCACCACCTGCACTCCCCCACATCATCAGGACCGAAATGGCCATGAGTGTGTCTTCGGCTCGGATCTTGCCGGCGTAAGCTCGGCAGGCATATAATCGAAGGATAACGGCAAAGGTAGCCAAGCCACCGGCACCAAAGCAGCCTATTACAAGGGCATTTCGCCAGAAGATGGCGTCGGGAGACTGGAGGATATCGGGTTGTGTCATGATGTGAGAGTGTGTCGTGTAAGAGTAACAAAGAGTAGGAGGAGATAAAAAGAAGGTATGATGTTTGTTCGTGTCGTTATGTAGATGTCAAAGAAACAATTGATAGAAAAGAGAGGACTGAACCGGCAGACTCGTTGAACTGTGTTGAAATACGGCGGCGGCGGCCGCTGCCTGCTGGAGGAGAGAAGAGACAATGGCACAGCCTTTGGGTCTGGCCAACTTGGAATCGTGAAACCGTGTCGACGATGGAGTACAAGCTGGACGAGACGGGGTGGAAAGAGGCGAGATCGGAAACGGAGGAGAAGAAAAAAGAAGGATAGAATCAAAGTTGAACCCGGCACACCTATGAGACGGCAGAACCAAATTCTGGGGTCGGCCAGGTTTATGAGTGCCGACGTGCAGGACGTTCGGTAGTGGGCAGAAGGGGCCAGGATGACCCCCGTAGCAGTTGAGTAGGCAGCGCTCCACGCAGAAATTTGAAATCCACCGACCAGACACTGCTAACAAAAGGCGGCAAATGACGCCTACAACGTAGCTGGTGCTCTAGAACGATGTCTGCTGTGTAGAGTGCGTGCATGTAGCTTGTATCGCTTGTAGCGTCTCGTGAACCAAGCAAGTCAAATTGATGAATGGAGCTGTCGAACGCACAGCTACATTAGGATAGGATGCATCCGAAATCGATCGCCCATAAGAAAGATGTCTGCTAACAGGCTTGTGTTCTGAATAACACAGATTAGTCCCTCATCCGATTTCCAACTCAATATTCCCACGATTTTGCCAATAAACGAAAAGAAGCTCATTCAACGCCACTACTCCCGTTCCGCCACAACTATCGGTCTCTGGCTCACAGCGAGTCCTGCTGCCATGACTCGGCCACGACGCCTCTGGTTCGACTTTTTCATCTCCGCCGAGCTAACGTGCATAGTCCTGGGTTAGCGGATGCAACGCTGCAGCGCACGCTCTCGCCAGAGGACGTGCCTGAGTAGAAAAACTCCACAGCGAGGCTGAACCCTGAGCTCTTTACCCAGTGGCCCTGGTTGCTTTGGGCCATGGCCTTCGCTAAGAGTGAGACAGAAGGCGGCTACCGATTCCTATTACAAACTCCTCGCCGACACCATGTTTGTTTGTCCGCGGGCCACGCGCTCAGTAAACCTGACGATGCTACCTCAGTCCAAATTGAACGGACACCCAGCGTCGCAGAGTCACCTTCTTTTTGCTCTTCCATCCGTACTGTAGAGCTATTTTGCAAGCGAGGCGCCACTTCTGCAGCCTTGATTCGTGTGCGTTCCTGCAGCTTTATTTTTTTCTCCTTAGTCGTGACCTGCATGACTTGCATCGTTCAATAAGCCCCGAGGAAATGCACCGATGCAGCCAACGCTCCTCTGCTCCTACAACACGAACGGGACTAGTGGATCAGTTCCTCAGATGGGAGCTCCCGAGACCGCTCCTGCTAGCCCCTTAGTTTCCGTGTAGGTCTCCCAATCGAGCTTAGACTGGCGATGTTGACTGTTGGCTCCGCTAGGGGGGGCTTACTTGAAGCTAAGCAAAGAACAACAAGCTGTGCTCTGGTTTGCGCTGAGGATGTATGCGGTGAAACTCTACCCATGAATCGTTCAGCTAACTCCTGCATACTGTAGCAGATCGACGGCATCACCAGGTACAAGGCGGTCGTTTGATCAGTTCAAGCAAGCTGGCGTGGCAAAATTTGGCCACCGTAATTAAGCGCTCAAGCACTCTTCGTCGGCACGGTGAGCACTCTCTGTAGAGTGCGTTCATTAAGGAGCGGTAGCGGCGCGCCATCGCCATTTCTTTACCCTAGTCGAACCCATAACCAGAATCCCTTGTCCTGCAGTTACAACGACGTCATCCCGGCTTTAATTGAGCCACCAAACGTGGCTGTGTATTTTGATCCGATCTGCTTAGCGCTGTTTCAAATTCACCAATGACTAATCTTAGGTATAATTCATACAGGCGGTGTCCTGTCCTTTGATATGGGAGAAATGACATGTGGATATGCATCTTCAGCAAGATTACTATACTCTGGCTGCTGGCTGCCCCCCACGCTCATGCCTAGGCACAGCTTGGGGGGATGAGTCTTCCACAGTCCAGTGTAATCTGGGCCTCAGAGCATGATTGCCGGAGCTCTTCTGCTAAGCGCTCGCCTGTTTCACAAGCTGAGGCGCAATCTTGGATATCCCGGCGCAAATGACCTAAGCTGATACGTCTCAGCAGAGGAAATTTGAGCGGTGAATCAGACACAACCTGCAGCAACTCTACCATTAGCTGGTTATTTGTTGATTGGTAGATCGTCAAGTCTTCAATCGAGCAAGGCAGTATCTCTTTCAATGGTAACCGTTGAAGATGCCTGGCGACTTCGACTGGAAATGAAAACCCACGTAGCTGCAGGCGCTTTAACCTGTTCAAAGAGAGCAGGCTATAGGGGGCAACCCGAGTATCTTCACTTGGGCGAACGATAGCGGAAAAGTCAAGACTGAGCTCCTCGAGATTGGGACAGCGTTCGGCAAGGACCTTGGATAGACGCCGGGATATGACGGGTCGTACTCTCCACTCCTCTGGGTCTGGAATATATTCTAAACTCTGCAAACTTGGAAAGCCTTCCAAGAGCCTATCTAGGCCCCGTATGCCCACGCCGGTATTAGCGAGAGTAAGATGCTTGATGTTCGCATGGTGAAGGCCAGAATCTCTTTCGTCTAGGTCAGCCAGCCGTAATGATGTCAACCTAGGCATGATTGAACATAATTGGCGTATTTCAAACTGGTGTTGGTCGCAATGTAGACTATTGTGGTGAAATTGCAAATCCTTGACATTAGGCAGACTATTAAGCCTGAGCCTATCAGGTAGGTCTATGCAAGAGGGTGATAGCATAACTTGCTTAACGTTGGGCAATGAGGCGAGAAAGAAGAACACACTGTACTTTGCTAGAGTAGACGCGGTGGATTTGTGCTGACGGTGTCGGGTCGTTCTGATGACACGGCACAAGACGTCTTCAAAGTCGGCTTGATGTTTGTTTAGAAACATTTGAGCGTTGCCTAATTGCTCTGGTGGCATGTTGGACTGCAGATTGCAATAATTATGTTTGAAATGGACGGATTGTATGTGGCTTAGCCCTTCGGGATGGTCTAGTATAAAACGGCAAATGTCGAGCCAATTTTCAGAAGTGACATGCAGCCATGACTTTGTTAATTCTTGGAAGAGGCGGTGGAATAGCTTGCACGTCAAAGCGAGTCTGAGCGCTTGGCACGGCTTCGGTGACTCTTGAGGATCATGAATGCGGTGACATTTGTAGCAGAGTGTTGCGGTTGATGGATACAGGTGCTGGGCTATCATTAAAAGCACCTCATTGGGAAGAGAGAGGAGGGTGATTGCCATGGCTAAGAAACATGATAAGGGTCTAAGGGAAAGACTATAAAAGGAATAAATCGATATAGAATATGTAAAGTGACGGGGGTGGCGCTGTGTGTACAGACATCCTCGCCAACCGTGGAGATGCGGATGAAGAAAGTCGCCGCGGTGAGGCAGGTCACGCTTACGACATTATACAGCCGTCTCCCTGGACCAATGATCGCCATACAGATAATCTGCAACGCCACAAATTTATATTGTCCGATTGTTCAACGTAAAAATCAGACGATAAATATTGTTCATACTCTACATTCATAGTATTTGAATTGAACAAAATCGAGATAGGGGTTCATCTACAACTGCCAACTATGGGTGTCTCCTCCAACCAGCTCCCCGCTTTCGACGCATCGCTTGCTCAAGATCTCTGCGATTTGGAAATTCCCGAAGTCATTCGATTCTCTCCAGACGGCTCAAAAATAGTATATTCTACAAATTTGACCTGGAATCACACCAAGGGAGAATATGCCGTCTCGACACTCTGGATTGCCGATACCCATCTGGAAAGCTCTGCCTGTAGGATTACCTGCGGGACCTTTGAAGACCGCAGCCCAGTATGGCATCCAGACGGTAACAGAATATTTTTTATATCTGACAGAGGAGATCCTGGGAAAAGCTCTGCTATTTATAATATGAAAATCGCTGGGGACAAGGCTGACCAGCCCTTGGCTCTCACCTCTACGGCCACAACCGCCAGGATTTCGACGTTCGTGTTGTCGCCCGATGCAATTCAACTTGCCTTTATATCTGAAGATGAGATTTCTGAAGATGACCAAACAAAATATGACATTGGCCCCCAAGTGTGGGGAGAAAGTTGGAACTATGCACGCCTTCGGATTCTAGATCTGGCCCGGCAAGAAGTCACCACGCTGTCGCTGGGCGATTGCCATGTTACTGGCATGTCCTGGAACCCAACTGGGAATAAATTGGCTTTCAAAAGCTGTAAAACACCATACATCGAAGAACCATTCTTAACAGGCATGAGTATATCCATTTATGACTTCTGTGACGGGCAAGTTTCCAAACTTTGTGTGATTAAAAACGAGCTCTTAGACTTCACATGGTCTCTGGACAGCCATATACATTTCATTACTGGGTCGCCTATAGAGAATACGATAGCTGGCCAAGCTTTATACTCTTTAGATGTTGACACCAACTCTGGGATGCCTGAAAGGGTTGCCTGTGGAGAGGATGACGACGCTCAAAGTCTGCGATTGTGCCAAGAGAGACTGCTTCTGAGTTGTCAGAAACGTCTTGATACATGTATAACAACGGTGTCAGGAAACACCATTTATACTATCGATACCGATGTATATGCTTGGGATGTATTTGACGCCGATGCTGAGACTCGAACTCTGGCAGTGGCGCTGTCTGATGTAAATAACCCATTTGAGGTTTACACTCTTCGAGGACAAGATCGAATTCAACTCTCAAACCATGGAAGCGCGTTCAAGGATCGCAAATTTGGAAATATCCAAGTATTTCAGTGCAGATCTGCAGACGACAAGGAAGAACTTGACGGGGTGTATTTGACACCAGACGGATACGACGCAACAAACCCTTTGGCGACGTTCGTAATGATCCATGGTGGTCCAGCCGTCCGAAATACCAATGCATTCAATGCTTATTATTACTTTTGGACACCGTTTATTTTATCAAAAGGGTATGGTATTCTTCTACCTCAGTATCGTGGTTCTCGAGGGAGAGGCGAGAGATTCGCTTCTTACACCATCGGAGGTGTAGGGGATGTTGATTACCAAGATGTCATCAAAATTACAGATGAAGCAATTAAAAAGGGCCTGGTTGATAAAGAGCGTATGATTGTCGGAGGATACAGCCAGGGAGGGTTCTTAACCTTTCTGTCAGCGGTGAGAAACGGGTTACATGGTCTCGGCTGGCGTTTCAATGCTGGCATTGCTGGAGCTGGTGTTTCTGATATCGACAGTCTTGCTGGGGCTGCAGAGATGGGGTCTACTCTTGACAATGAACAAAATAATGGACACCTGGTGTGGACTATGGAGCGCGATTCCCTGCATAATCGTAATGGCAGTGCACTCTGGGAGATCAAAGCAGCTGTACGTGAGGCTACGCTTCGAAACGAGGTCGTCATACCACCGATGCTTATAGTGCATGGAAGTGATGATACATCATGCCCGTTTTCGCAATCTGAGGCGTTTCGAAGAGCTTTACATGCGTATAGCCTGCCCTATGAATTTGTGCGTTATCCAGGCCAAGAACACGATATTAAGGATCAGAGATTTTGGATCGATATGTTGGAACGTATAGGACGATGGTGTGACATATATATAGGGCCAGGGTTCAGAAAAGAATAAAGTGTGGTCTATTAAGAGTCATTACTTTTTCATTACCAAGACTTGGTTTCATGCAAGAAAAAATTCTATTCCAATAAAAAGCATCCTGTGATTATGCACCCATCATGCTTCAACTTTTGACACTTCTGATACGCAGTAATAATCCTCAAAAATCATCGGAATGGCCCGCTAAGCATCCGGTGTATATACGCCATCCTTGCAGAGCACCACGACGCGCTTGAAGAAGCGACGCCATTCAAGGGGATCGCCTTTGACTTTCGTAAATCTGACGTCGAGAATCTCCATGCCATCTCCAATGGACTGCTTATCGACGTGAATCTCTCCGTGCAAATTCTGCTGTCTACCATCTACCGTTTTCACCTTGATATTGGCGATGGCATGTGAGTAGAGATTGGGTGTGACAGGTGCCAACGGGACGTTCAGCTGATGAAGGGCATCGCTGAGCATTTGAATAAGATGGGCAGGAGGTACGTGTGAGAAGAAGCGAGTGAGAGATTCGGCCGGGCAGATATCACGGAAGCGGCGGGCTTGTTGCGTTAAAGTCATCGAAGGACCGGGTACCTGAGAAAACTGCGACATTGACGGCTCGTCCGCAAGGGAATTGAGTAGCATGCGACGGGTGTCAGAGTCGCGCGTAGGCATCGTCGAAGATGGTGCAGCCATGGATCGCAAGGCAGGGCGCTCCCAGTCCCAATCTGTGTCTGTTATGGGTGCCTCGGGCTGCGTAGAAGAGAATTTGCCAGCGTTGAGACCAGAGTCGACGTCCATATCATCAGCCGAGGAACGAACAATTGGCTTCGTCGGTTTTGTGAAATCGATTCGGAGGTTTTCGAGCATTTGTGTGGCGAGGTTGATGGGATCAGCAACCTTACCGTCCGATGTGAGTAGGTCGTTGTGGCGTGTGTACCAAGGATGTTGTCGGATTTGAGGGAAGCTGAAGCGCTTTCCTGTATCAATAGACATCATGCCTCTGAGCAGAGAGAGCGCCTCGGGTGGTATTCTGTCCCATAGGGCGTCGGTGCTCTTTCCAGAATTCTTGACATAATCTTGGAATTCCCAACTATTGTTGGAGGGCTCGTCCCAAGGTGTGTTGCCGACAAGCAAGACGAAGAGGATGACGCCGCATGACCAGATATCCGATAAATCGGGAGAGTATTTACCGCTGCTTGACGATTTCTTGTCTGTCCTACCAGAGGCCAAAATCTCAGGCGCGATATATGGTGGGCTACCACAGAGGGTTGAGCTCTGTTTGCGCTGCCCTTTATATTCAAACATGGTTGCCATGCCGAAGTCAGCCAGCTTCAGACTTCCATCTTCGGCTAGAAGGATGTTTTCAGGCTTGAGGTCGCGATGAGCAACGCCTTTGGAGTGCATAAAGCTGACACCGCTGACAAGCTGCACAAAGTAGACCTGGGCAATGTCCTGACGAACTCCGACGTCTGCCTCAATCTTGTCAAACAGGTCACCTCCCTGCGCATACTCCATGGCGATCCATTTCCACACGTTGTCCTCGCCAGAAGCAAACCATTCGATAATGTTGGGATGCTGGCCAATGTGGGAGTGCAAGGACACTTCCATGCCCAGTTGCTTTATTGAGACTCGTCCATGTTTGGTGGCATAGCCCTTGTGTATAAGTTTAACGGCGAAGACGGGTTCTTGCGAATCGAGTGGTACGGCTTTCTTAATTCTATTAAAGCGAAGAGGCATTGTTAATAAATTTTGTTTACACGGGACAGCCATGATGTACTTACGAAGCATAAGCTCCTCGTCCGACTGTCTTCGACACTAAACGAAAGGGAAGGTCCCTAGGTAGCGGATCTAATTGAGACTATTGGCTGGTGAGAATAGGCACTTGCTGTGTGTAGGGTCATCGTGGCTCGTGGACAATGTGACTGTTGGATGTGTGCACCATCGCGTGCCTTGATATCATGAGTGCGGGGGAATGTGAAGAGCCAGCCAGACAAGATGGTGGCAGGTGGAAAGGGATAGAGGCGAAGGTATGATAAAACGGACCATGTTGTATAATAATAGGACACTGGCAGAAGCTATGCCCAAGGTTCGAAAATTATATCGCTATGACGTCTGTTCCTGTCTGCAGGTCGTCGTCGTACCTTGTGTGGTTCACTCGTTGGCGGCAGAAAAGCACACGCTAGTCCCCGTTCTGTGTTTACAATGGGTGGCGGCCAGGGACCCGGCGCGTCCTCCAGCGCGTCCAACCGCGTAAAGCTGTTTTCGGCGACACTGGTTACGATTGGGTGCCAGTGCTTTAGCCGCTGGACAGGCTGACCGGACCGCCTGTAGTTGCTCACTTCAGAGGGCTCACTGACCGCCTTCAGCGCCCTTGGGTGGCTGCCGTTGGCTGCCAGCAGAAGCGCCCCACTGTCGTTGCCGTGGCGAGACGTGCTTGTGCGCCCGCCGACGCCCAAAACGGGGAGACCCGCAAGCGTCTTGCCTGCCTTTGTGTACTGGAACGCAACCGCAGAAACCAGCCGGCTTCTTCTTTGATCTTTGTCTTTTCTCGTCTTCTTCTATTCGTCCTCCTTTCTTTGCTCCCTGATTTGTAGCTCCTCTTTCTAGAATTGATTTCTCCCATTGTCATCAACGAGACGATAGATATCTCTGCTGTCCTCTCTCCTCCTTCACCACGGCAAGCAGCACAATCAACAATGTCAGTCCTCCCTTCCTAGCTTGGGTCATCGCAGCAAAATTTCAAGATTCGGAGAAGAAATTGGCGCATCTATACTTGTGCTATTCATGCTCCTATGTCCTGTTACTGACCTATTATCCATCTTTCTAATTGCTTTTATTCAAATCGCTTCTAACACGTGAGCCTACAGATCGCCCACCACTACCATCACCCAACTCGATACACCTCGCCTCATATCAACACGATTCAAACATGTCATTCGCAATGGAGAATGCGCAGAACTCTGCTCCCGGTAGCGTTCAGGCAGCCAAGCTTAATGCATCCCGCAAAGGCCCTGACGCACAGAGCGTAACGAAGCGGTATGTACTGATATCGCCACTAGTGGCGAAGGTCATGATCGCAGTGTAGAGCAGAGGGCTAATACACAGGACAGACTTCAAACCGAGCTTATGCAGCTCATGACATCGCCAGCACCTGGTGTATCAGCCTTCCCGTCCGCTGATGGCAACCTTTTGTCTTGGACAGCAACCATTGAAGGACCCGATGACACCCCATACTCCGGATTGACCTTCAAGCTCAGCTTTGCCTTTCCTTCGAATTACCCATACGCACCTCCTACTGTTTTGTTCAAGACACCCATCTACCACCCAAATGTCGACTTCTCTGGTCGCATTTGCTTAGACATCCTCAAGGATAAGTGGACAGCGGCGTACAACATCCAGACTGTTCTCCTCAGTTTGCAGAGCTTGCTAGGTGAACCAAACAAGTATGTCTAACGAAGCCAATTGCGTAAAACTTATGATACTAACGCTTTTATAGCTCTTCTCCTCTGAACGGAGAGGCCGCTGAGCTCTGGGACCAAGACACAGAGGAGTTCCAGCGAAAGGTGACGGCACGCCACCGTGACATTGAAGATGAGTAAATAATGTGTGATGAAAACGTTTGCACTTGAAATGCATTGGAGAACGGGTGTCTGGTTTGGTCTTTGCTTGCGCTGTTTTGATTAGCATTTTTGCGAGGTGGGACTGGATATATCGCTTTTGGCTTTCGGACGGGCAAATCCTTTGCTCAGGTTATGAATAGTTGTAGATTTGTTTCATACAAAATTCAAGCCGCTATTGTACATCATCATCAGCCCATTGATGCACAGAACAATAACAATCTTTACGACGAAGCTGTCAGTGTTGATCATGCGCGTGGATGTTAGATGTCAAGATGATGAGAGTCCATGCATTAGTAGAAATTGGATCTTACGTCCTGTTTATTTTCTGCATGAAAAGCTAGAAAAGCCGGTTGCAACTCCAAAATGCCAAATGCCACCATAAACCATTCAAATTTTCCACACCCAAGAGCCTAACTCCATTTTACTCTTCAACAACAACGGTGTGGAGGCCCTTGGGGTTCTTAACGTTAACGGCCTGCACGTAGCTGTAAAGCTTCTCCTTGGCACCCTCCTCGTCGTTTCTTCTGCGGGAAATGCGGACGCGGAGTCTGTAGGCAACACCCTTAACACCCTGCTCCCAGACCTTCTTGTTAAGCACGGGGTCCACGCGGACATCGGTGGTACCCTATTAAAATAACCTGGTTAGCAAAAACAAACTCGCCTCAGTTGTGCTCCGACTGCTGATCCTCTTTCAACAGGCTACTGTAGTCTTGTGGCAGCACAGGGCCGTCGAATTCGGAAGCTGGTCGTCGAGCGACTTGGGATATTTCATCTTCGTACCATAGCGCGGGTGGCGAAAGCCTTGATCTCTCTGATAGCGCGGGGAGCTCTCTTCTTGAATGTGACACCGTGCATCTTAAAAACGCAACCATGTTAGCCTTTGCTGTTCTTCCAGTATGTGTTTCGACCTCGTGAGGGTGGCTTGATGCGACAAGCTTCGGCTCGGCAAAAGTCTTTCGCTCAGGATTCGGAATCGACCTACTCTCTTGTGCATGTGGATGGTGTATTCGCGAGCAACAACGTCCGCAATGGCGGAGCGCTGAGCCTTACCGGCAGGAGCCTTTCCCTTGGACGACATTTCTGAAAATTTGACGTTAGTATTTGGTTGATGCGGATGACGTATGGCGGCAGTAGCGAGGAATAAGGGTGCAGTACGTCAAACAATATGTTGAACGATGTTGTATAGACGTAGAAGAGGTGGAATTGACAGGTTTTATTCGTACCTTCGGAGTGTCTCGTTATGGCGTTACGATGTGGTGATAGAAGGTTGAGGGCCAAATTCCGCAAAATCTTTGTGCGTAGGGCAGGCCAGAATTCTGGTGGGTGGGGATAGCGAGCCAATCAAAGCCCTCATCCAGGCTTGGTCGACAACCAGTCACGTGCGTCGGTACGTACCTATTTTCATTAGGAGCAGCCAATCTGGACTGTCGCGAAAAAGTGGAGATGCCAACCAAAACGGAGATGGCGAGTGGCTGGGCCGCTGAGCTCCTGCTTTCTGGCAGTAGTGGCCTGCTACAGCCAGGTGTTTACGAGCTCTGGAAGAGACGCCCGTCATTTACCATTCCAAACGTCGCAGGTAGACAACCACCAACGCCAACTTAGCCATCGCACTGCAGGCTCCCGAAAATAATCACGTTCGTTTTCCAGCACCGCTTCCTCGTCGAGCCACGCCATTCTTTTTTCCTGCAATAGCGAGCCATCTTAAACAACAACGCTCACCCTTTCGTCGCACCAAGGGGCAACCTGTGACACGGCGCGCAACTCGCCGCTGATTGCGCATAACAACACCTCTCTGCGGGAAAATCCCTCGTCCCAACCTCGCCCAGTTTCTTCAAAACAGCCGATTCTTGATCTTGGAAATCTGCGTACTATCACGATGGCGGGCGAGAAAGATGTGGCGACGCCGTCGCCCCAGCCAGACCTGCTGAGGAACAGACTTCCGACGCTTTTCGAAGTCTTGAGCCGCCGAACTTTACCACCTGTGGACCTATTCTCGTTTTATATTTATATGAGAGACCAGCAGCGCTCTGTGGATTATTTGGACTTTTGGTGCGATTCCAGCTACACGTGTTGTTGAAAGTGTTTCTTGCTAACCCGTCACTTAGGCTTGATGTGTCCCAACACATGTCACTATGCCGTCACTATGTCCGCGAACTTCGCCGATCTGTTCTCGTAGCTACGCCAGATATTGAACGCGCCGGATCGAAGCGCTCATCTGCCCTTCTTGAGAACATGGGAGACCTGGAGCCCCGCGTTGCTGGCCCTTCCATGTACGCCACAGAACAGGAACGAGACCAGGATGCCCAAATGTCGGCATTTCTACGTGAAGATCAAGCTCAAGATTCGCCGATTGGTTCAGGCGTGCGACCCAGCCCTCAGTTCAGCACATCCCATGATGTTACCGACAACAGCTCGCCAGCACATACTGTTCAGCGCCAGGATATTCGAGCATCCGCGGAGAAAATCCTTTATACTTTCCTCCTTCCTGGTGCAGAGAGAGAAATCACTCTTCCTGGTTCCATCACGCAGGACGTGACAACTGCTATTGAAGAGTACGGTCGTGATGATCCCGAAGTTTTTGATGTCGCCAAAGATTACGTGTTCCAAGCCATGGAGCGTGATGCTTTTCCTGGTTTCTTGAGAATGAAGGCTCTTGGCAACTTGATTCCTCCGACTTTGATCCTCCGTCTCATTGTTGGCCTTTTGTCGCTCTTTGCCGCATTCTGGGCCGCCTTTGTTCTTATCTTCCTTGACAAGTCTAGATCAACTCGATGCTGGGTATGTTGACCATATGAATCTTAATAAGTGAATGTACGCTAACTTGTCGGTATAGCTTATTCTTCCCTTCACCGTCGGTGTATATTTCCTCGCATCGTACCAATACTCCTTGGATCCTATCATGGCACTTGTTGGATTCAGCGAATACACGCCATTCAACTTCTCTCGCATCCGCGAGCCCTACGTTCGATCGCTTTTGGCGAAGCGTGCCATCATGGTCCTGGCCGTCACTGCTCTAATCGATGCTGCACTTTGCCTCCTCTTTATCCTGGTTCCCGGAAAGAGGTTGTAAACTTGCAAACTACGCTGCCTTGTATGGAAGCATTTACGACGGTCATGACTTTTCTAAAACTTGTACATTTGGTTTAACAAAGATACCACGAATAGGGGAACAATCTTCCAAGCGGAAGAGCACCTGTCACTATTGACGTTCCCAGGGAGTTGATATTTTGCGTTTTTTCGCATTTTCATATTTGTTACTTTTGATGTATACGCGCTCAGCCAGCACACTACATGTTTCTTTTCTCTGTATTCAACGCAAGGCATTATGCTATGATTTCATAGACGGAGGTAAACTGGATTATTTACAACAAATCTGCATTCTTATTCTCATCAGAACTACCGTAGCAATGTATGAAACCTCTTCTTATGCTCATCATATCTTTACGTTCTATCATATCATAATGTTATGCTTTATCTAGGTATAGTCCCGCGGAGGTCAATAGTCTTCTGACGTTTTATATCTTGCGCTTGCTCCCTCGTGCTCCAAGCTCAGACCACGCTGCAGGGTCAAGATCCATGGACCCCTCGTCAGCGGGGTGGCCAGCACCCTCGAACATAGATCGTTTGTTCATTCCATGGCGGGGGAGTACATCCCGGCCTCCCTGGCCGAGCTTACCCAAAGCTTGGAGTCCCTCCATTTGCCGTTTCAACTTCTCGTCAGCTGTTCGTTGTTCTTTCTCCCTCGTAGTGGCTGCTGAGCGAATGGTCTCCGAATGGGCCTCGATATCGGCAATCGTGGATGTGCAGAGGCTAGACCAGCCTTTAAGAGCTGCGATCATTGCAGGAACAGACCCCGGCGGAAGATCACGCAGTGGTGCAATTCTGGTAACCTGAACAGCTTCTCTTGCCGGATCAAGAGTAGCCTCTAACAAGCCAGCATAAATGGCAGTGATTACGAGATCCTCGACTTCTCTTGCCGAAGACAAGTTGAGATGTCTCTTTAGAGATGTGTATGAAAGCTTCGTTCGATCGCTAGCGAGTGTAAGAAGAGAGAGTTGGCGAAGCTTTAGTGTTTGAGCTTCGTTTAACGCAGGAAGATTTTGGGCGGCCGAATATGATTCGAATGTGCCGTACGAGAAGATTTGCAGAAGTGATAAGTGAGAGGAGAATTCGGAAGACGATGATAGTGCCTGTATCTGAGGAGTTTGGAGAAGTTCGGCAAAAACATATGTGTTTGGGGCAGATGTCGCTCGGATGATTAGATCGGCAGCAGCACGTGGCGAAGAGGCGGATTTCGAGAGTGCGAGAAACGGCTAGATAGGGATATAAGAATAAAGCAATTAGAATTTAGGGTATCCCAAGTCGTACCTCCAAAGCGTTTAACGCCTTTGTTTGCTCCATTATGTCTGCTGGCTAGCTTTGATACGGTGATAAAGCAGCATTCAGCGGGGGGATTGGTTGGGGTGCAACGTCGACGACAGATACAAAGAATCGTGTACAATTATCAGATCTCTTTAATTACGATGATTCTGGTTCTGGTTATGTATTGGCGGGAGTTGTGTGATGACAGGCGTCGAGTGAGGAGTTACACGCAGTTGGAGAGAGCCTCCTCTCGGAACTGATGCCTACGAAGACCTCCATGCGCAGCAATGCGGGGCACAGGTGAACAACCTCTCATGCACTCGCTACGTGCTCTTGTTCTTGCAACCGCCACGCGATATTTGAGAGCCTAATTAGAGCTACAAAAACTGCGCATATCGAAAGAAACACTGATATTGGTTGATTTTAGAGTAGTTAAAAATTTATCCAGCTCTACCGGAGACTCAGCTTGGCGAGCAACAATGGCAGCGACGAGCATTTGTCTCGGCTCGGTTCGCTACGTCATCAGCGTCGCTCCCTCTCGCCAATTTTGGAAGTAGAAACTGATTCAGAGTGATCTACAGAGATTTTTCTTCGATGCAATGGGAGAATCTCCCTACCGTTGACACCTGAGGGCCATACTGGCGCCATGATGGAGCTCGGGACAGCGCACGAATGTCCAACCTTGAGCCTCCATGGATCTTTTTAGAGTAGGCGCCTATCACGGAGGAACAAAAGCGTCTTTGAAACGGAATTCGCCTGATTGGGGTATTCCACCTATTTGTTTTTATCCTTGGCGAATCACTTGCAGTCCCTCTGCGCGATTGCTGACGCTCAAACGCGACACCCGTTCATGAAACGTGCTCACGTCGAGCTCCTCTGTTTCAAAGTTGATCAAGAGAAGTGAAACGAAAGAACCCCGATCCGTATAATTTGCAAGGTCCCAAGACTTGGCCGTGTAACCAAGTTATTAATTCGACGGTGAACAAGAATAACTACATCCGAGACAAATGCATATCGGTGAATCAGTGATCGTCATGTACACATGCGTTGGGCGTGTAGTATTGGCCACCTAACAGCTCTGGTAAGCCACAGATACAAGGCTACGCTGCACTGGTGGGTGTCACAGACTCAGCGAGCCGATAGCGCTAAAGGGGCCGAGTAAGCCTGCCACAGTGAGGGGCTGGGGTGGCGGGCTGCTGGTGGGTGAGCGTTGTATTGCCGAGCCAGCTAAGCGTTTTTTGGTCCTTGGAAAAGTAAAAGAGCTAGAAAGTTAGAGAGCAGTGTGTGCATGCTAGATTTTTACGCAAAAGCCGTAAATAAACTTCCAACAGTTACAGCAGTTGGCCCATACTGTAGACACTATATTTACAACACAGACAGCGCTGGGAGGTGCCATGGGCCGCCAGCCTGCATTAGGTAAAACTGGGACCCTGTGCATCTGCAGTAAAGTAAGGCCCGCAGCGTCGCCCCCCCACAGAGGCGGCAGTGGTCGCTGGAACAGTCGCTGGAACAATCACTCGGCGCCCGCCAAAATCGGGGGATTACCAAAGTGTGTCCTCGCCAGCCCAGCCCCGAGACTCCCGCCAAACGCTCTCACCTTTTCTCTCCGACATTATTAAACATCGCGCCATCCCCCTCACCTCGTTCCGCCGAAGCCGTGCTTTGCGTCTTGTTTGGGCGTATCTTATTATCCTTGTTCCCCATACTTGCTTTTTGTCTTGTCAGAAGCCGGTCTTCTGCCGTTGTGCTTGCCCGGGTCGAAAAAGAAATTGCCCTCGTCACGACATGTACAGATTGCGCCATTGAGACAACCAACATCCTCCGATTAGCTCTGCCGCGACCGTATATCGATCTGCCTCCCGTCGACGGCACTGCGACTGGCCCCTATAAAAAACATCACCGTCATTGTCGCGACAAGCTGAGATGGCTCCCTCGCACATTGAGATCCCGAAGCGGGATAGCCAGTCGTTGTCGCACCTCTCTGCCCCAACTGGTGGTGCACACATGGCAACTACAACACTCCGAGTGAGCGGCATGACGTAAGTTGATTCATCCTAAAATCTACTGCTGGCTAAGCTAGCTGCCTGTATTGCTTCCCTACTAACGCTGCTGTTGTAGCTGTGGCGCTTGCACCTCCGCCGTTGAGGCTGGGTTTAAGGACGTTGACGGCGTTGGCAACGTCTCCGTCAGCCTTGTCATGGAACGAGCCGTTGTGATGCACAACCCGAAATTAATCACTGCCGAACAAATACAAGAAATTATCGAAGACCGAGGTTTCGACGCCGAGGTGCTCGCTACGGACCTTCCAAGTCCGAGCGTCACCCGGTTCTCTAACACATTTGCCGACAATGGTATCTTGACCACCACAATCGCCATCGAGGGCATGACCTGCGGGGCATGCACTTCTGCGGTTGAGGGTGGATTCAAGGGTATTCCTGGCATGAAGCACTTTAGTATTTCTCTACTTTCCGAACGAGCCGTCATCGACCACGACCCAACCGTCCTTACCGCCGAGCAAATCGCCGAGATCATCGAAGACCGAGGTTTCGGAGCTGAAATCGTCGATAGCGTCAAGGCGCGAAGCAAAGCTCACGACGAGGAAGATTCGAATAGCACTATCGCAACCACAACGGTTTCTATTGGTGGCATGACGTGCGGAGCCTGCACATCCGCCGTTGAAGGTGGATTCAAAGGAGTCGACGGTATCCTTCGATTCAACATTAGTCTGCTGGCTGAGAGGGCACTAATTACACATGACGTGACCAAGATTACTTCCGCCCAGATTGCTGAGACGATTGAAGATCGTGGCTTCGACGCTGAGATTTTGTCAACCGTTTTCGACAGCGTTGACCTAGGGCCTCAGTCGTCTGTGGCGCAGTTCAAGATATATGGCGAGACAAGCTCTGTTATTGCCCAAGCGCTAGAGGAGAAGCTTCGCCAGCTGCCTGGCGTGACCGCTGCATCCCTCAGTTTGGCTACTGATAGACTCTCTGTTACTCACCGTCCCAACATCATCGGCCTCCGTGCGATTGTTGAGGCTGTTGAGCAGGAAGGACTCAACGCCTTGGTTGCTGATACTCAGGACAACAATGCTCAATTAGAATCTCTTGCTAAGACGCGCGAAATCAACGAATGGCGCCTCATGTTCAGAACATGTCTTGTCTTTGCCATCCCTGTTTTCATCATCGGCATGGTTTTGCCCATGGGCTTGAAGAGCTTGGATTTTGGTGCCTTTGAAATCATCCCCGGTCTGTTTTTGGGTGATTTACTTTGTATGGCTCTAACCATCCCGGTCCAATTCGGTGTTGGTCGACGATTCTATATTTCTGCGTGGAAATCTATTAAGCACGGGTCGCCAACGATGGACGTTCTCGTTATTCTTGGAACTACATCGGCCTTTTGCTTCAGTACCTTGACCATGCTGGTATCGATTCTCTTACCTCCCCACTCGCGACCCGGTACTATCTTCGACACCAGCACCATGTTGCTCGCCTTTATTACATTTGGTCGCTACCTCGAAAACTCGGCCAAGGGCCAAACATCCAAAGCGCTTTCCCGACTAATGTCACTAGCACCATCCATGGCGACCATTTACCTCGATCCTATTGCTGTTGAGAAGGCGACTGAGGCTATGGGTAAAGCAGCAGAAGTAGATGCTAACCAGAAGGATGCCGGCGCAACCTGGGAGGAGAAGACTGTACCTACAGAGCTTCTTCAAGTTGGTGACATTGTGATTATCCGCCCTGGTGACAAGATCCCAGCCGACGGTACATTGGTTCGTGGAGAGACATATGTGGATGAAAGCATGGTTACTGGAGAGGCGATGCCTGTCCAAAAGGTTGTTGGTAACAACGTCATTGGCGGAACTGTCAACGGAAATGGACGCTTCGACTTCCGCGTTACTCGCGCCGGAAGAGATACTCAGCTCAGCCAGATTGTGAAGCTTGTTCAAGAGGCCCAGACGACTCGTGCACCAATCCAGGAGGTTGCTGATACGCTAGCTGGTTATTTCGTCCCGACTATTATCACACTTGGGCTCCTTACATTTACAACTTGGATGGTTCTGAGCCACGTGCTCCCTGAGCCGCCTGCGATTTTCTCACAACCCGCCAGTGGCGGTAAGATTATGGTTTGCGTGAAGCTTTGCATTTCGGTTATTGTTTTTGCATGCCCCTGTGCTCTGGGTCTGGCGACACCAACCGCCGTCATGGTTGGTACTGGCATCGGCGCAGAACATGGTATCCTCATCAAAGGTGGTGCTGCACTTGAACGAACTACAAAGGTTACCCAGGTTGTTCTCGACAAGACTGGTACTATCACCAATGGCAAGATGAGCGTGTCCAACATGAAAATTATTCCTGAGTGGAACTCTGCAAACGAAGCCAGACTCATGTGGTGGTCCATTCTTGGTCTCTCTGAGATGGGCAGTGAGCACCCCATTGGCAAGGCTATCCTGAACGCTGCCAGAGATGAGCTGAACCTCGGTCCTGATGCTTCTATTCCCGGAAGTGCTCCAGAGTTCCAGGTCGCGGTTGGAAAGGGTGTCATTGCACTTGTAGAGCCCGACTCGACAACCAAGCGCGTGCAGTACAATGTCATTGCAGGAAACTCCAAGCATCTCGAGGATAACAGCATTGAAATTCCAGCAGATGCTCTGGAACAGTCTGAGGAGCCCAAGCTTGGCACTAAGGGCAAGGGAAAATCCGGATCCAAGGCTGCCAGTGCGGCTACAACAACCATCTTTGTGGCTATCAACGGCAAATATACTGGTTTTGTAAGCTTGTCTGATACCATCAAGGAAGGCGCCGCTGCAACAATCTCGGTGTTGCATCGCATGAAGATCAAGACTGCCATTGTCACTGGTGACCAGAGATCAACAGCTCTGGCGGTTGCCGCTGCAATTGGCATTGCTCCCGAAGACGTCTTTGCCGGAGTCAGCCCCGACCAAAAACAGCAGATTATTCAGCAGATTCAAGCGCGCGGTGAAGTCGTCGCCATGGTTGGCGATGGTATCAACGACTCACCTGCTCTTGCGACGGCTGATGTCGGCATCGCCATGGCCAGCGGTACGGACGTTGCCATGGAGGCTGCCGATGTCGTTCTTATGCGACCGACGGACCTCATGTCCATCCCTGCTGCGCTCAACCTGACCCGCTGCATCTTCCGCCGCATCAAGCTGAACTTGGCGTGGGCCTGTGTGTACAACTTGGTTGGTCTTCCCATCGCTATGGGCTTCTTCCTACCTGTCGGCTTGCACATGCACCCCATGATGGCCGGTCTAGCCATGGCATGCAGCAGTGTCAGTGTCGTGGTTAGCAGTCTGCTGCTCAAGCTGTGGAAGCGCCCACGATGGATGGACGAAGCCGAGGCCGAGCGGTCCGGAGGTCTCCGCTGGATCCAGGGATCCGGCATCGTCGGATGGGTTACAGAAATGTTCACCAGCAGAAAGGGCAAAGGAGAAGAAGGCTATGTGCCACTCCAAAACATGGATGCGTAGAAGACGTATCTGTATCATATACTAGAGAGGATGTATAGGGGTGGATGATTTTGATTGCCTTTGATAAGCATAGCGTGCCGCTTTTTGTGTTTTTTGAGCTCTCTGCTTGACGGATGAGCCGCATACCATTTTTGTTTTTATGACTTGCTGTTTTCCTTCTATTTCACGCTGCTCCCAGAGATCACAAGATACATACGTATAGTTTGGAACATAATGAAGAAATACCCATTTCACCTCAAAGATACACAAGGGCGATAGTGAACAATAGAGTTTGCACAGTGGTACGTCAAGCCCGGTTTGCTACGGTAGCTAAGCGATACTGATTGATAGCGGCGCGTGGTTTGCCATGGCGCCCGTGGCTGGTGGCTGGCAACAGCACCACTATCGCTGGTAATACCGCTGAAAGGGTGGCGTCGCGGGGGCGGCGATGTCGCTTTTTACCGGTGCCGGTGCCAGATGCAGTGGACCGACGAAAATAAAAGTACCATTGAAAAGGCTAAAAGTGTGCATAACCACTTAAAAAAGTACTTTGTTGCAGAACCTGGCCACAGACGGGGCTGAGTGAAATCGTCGTCAGCCGGGTTTAAGCAATATTTTGCATCCTCTTTCCGTATTAATCCCTTTTTGGTGATCTACAAACCTCACCCCTGAGTTAGCAGAAACTTGTCACAAAGCTAAAAAGTTGCAGATGGGGAATACGGGAATTGCACTGGTCCGTCCGTCCAGTGATGTCAGTGCGCTGTAACACCGACGCCGCCGGTGCTGAGTCTCCACTGAAACAGCCTGGTAGTTGGCCGCTGCGGGAGATGGGCTAATTTAGCCGTCTCTATTAGCCTGGTGTCCTTGGTTTCTGCGACGAGCGACGTAAGCAATCTCTGGCATTTATCCCTAGACTTAATTCCGGGACAGATGTCGCTATTTTTAATATATATTTTTGGTGTTATTTCTACGCCTGTTAAGGGGGACAGGAAGGGATATATGACAGCTACTGCTGCGGGTATGCGTACAGTAAGCTACTACAGCACACCTACTATCGTACTGGCATGCCCACTTCTGTCCCATTGGCTCCAAAAGTGAAAACGCCAAGAGTTGCAGCAAATGTAATTTGGGTGTGTGAGTGGCTCCCTGTATTTTTTGTGGTTGCTTCAAGGGGAGACAAGAAAAAGGCTGTCGTGTGTTATTTTGCGCCCCCCTGCATCACGCCCGGCTTTAGCGTGGGATTTCCTTTCCGTTCGCATCTCATTTTGTTGGAGAGCTGAGCGAGTCTTGGAAGGTCTACTTGGCAGGCTTGGTCTTTCTTCTTGTGTGTATTATTGGGATATACTACAGCAGCGGTCTTTGATTATGCAGATAGGTTGCAAGCATCTGACGGCCCAGAGGGCAGAAAAGCTTAATTTCTCAAAAAGCTACCCAAAAATATAAACAACGGCCCTCGAATTCCTACCACCCATCCGTCCAATCTCTTCCTCTCCACCCGCAGCCTTCTTAGCGCCCTACGCTCAGCAGCGAGACCGAACCGCTGGCATACAGCGCCGGCCAAGACCTTAGGCTAGGCTGGCCTCTATCTGGAGCACAGCGCGTCGCTGGAAACGGTGGGTGGGTGGATGCAGGAAAAGGCTTGCTTGGTGGTGGTGGTGGTGATGATATCATGATAGAACGGAACTCAAAATTTGCAATATTTTCCCAGGGGACGCGATAGTATGGTGCTGCTGCTGGCCCCCTCGCTCGTAGAAATGCCAATAGCAATAGCCCAGCAAATAGCCTTGACGCCTTTTATTTTATTTTTGCTTGTCCTTTTCTTCGCTTTCCCTTGGCTCGGCCTTGCTTTACCCCCCAAGACAACGCGCATATCTCTCCACGAGACCGCCAAGCCTTGTAGTGGAGGCGTCCACTGTAATTCGGCGCTACGCAGCGGCTCCACGGGTAAAGCAATTCGCGGTTTGGCTTCAAAACGGAGAAAAAGGGCGATTACGTTGCTTCACAGGCTCCGTTTTCCCATCCGTTTCTTCCTTTTCGTCTTTCCGGGGTTTCGTGGCTTTTTTCTTAAATCCTTCATCTCGTCATTCATTCTTCTTCTTCGCCGTCGATCCTCTTTCTCCCCCATCCTTGTTCTCTTTTGTTACACTTCTTCGTCGTCTCGTCGCTTCTTCCTTCTTTCTTGAACAAAGAAGAAGCAAGGCGCAACTGCAGCAGCCTTTTACGAGGAACCAGATACAGTCCGGAAGCTTGGCAGTATTCTTGCTTCTTCTCCTCTTGTCGGACTCTTCCTTTTATACTTTTGTTCTTTTCCCTTTTTTTCATCTTCCATTACATTTGCCGGCCAATATCTATCGCACATTCATCCATCCGCTCTCTTTATTCTAAACTTCGATATTCGTTGTTGCATTTCCTAGCGTCGACAACCATTCTTCGTCTTCTTTTTCTACCACCATTCTCAGCCTAAGGGTCGCTTCGTTTGTTCAAAGACTACCCCTCTAGCCTCCTGGAATCCCCTGGAGCTCTCGCAGTCTAGGCTCTGGACTGCTCGTTGTCGATTCACCCGGCGCATTCCATTGTCCTGCGTGCTCAAGCTCAAGCTTTGCCTGTTCAAGCTCACACTACTCGAAAAGTTAGCCAGCTACGGCGGTATCTCTACCAACAAAGGCTCGTCTTCTTTTCTCCTCTTGGGCAATTCTTCCCCGTCTCTTGCTCGTTGGCTGCCGCATGCTCTATCAGGGGCCCTGTAAGCCATTGTGTTTTAGAGATCGACGCCCGCCTAATAGGGACGCGCGGAAGCCACCATTTTAACCACAACCGACCGCCCCGCTTGCAACTTCACCCGCCGACATGGCCGCCGTCACAGACTCAACCTCCGGGTCTTCAGCTCCCCTCATGGCTGACCGCGAGAGAGTCGACCCTAATTACGATATGGAAGCAAACGCGGGTCGAGCAGAGCCTCCCCAAGACGAAAAGAATCTCGCTCACGAATACTCTATCCCCGCGACCGTCAAATATACGTGGCTCGCGACATACTTCGTCCTCTCCCTTCTTCTCACAATATACAACAAGCTAGTTCTTGGCGTAGTATGTCAACCACCTCCCCTCAGCGACCAAAAAGCGCTTCCAACGCGTTCTAATAGCTAACTCAATGTCTAGTTTCATTTCCCATGGCTCCTAACCTTTCTCCATACGTCGGTATCTGCCGTCGGCACCTACAGCATGATGCATATGGGCTACTTCAAGATGTCGCATCTTGGCCGCAAAGAAAACCTCGCCCTCGTCGCCTTTAGCGTGCTGTTTACGCTCAACATTGCCGTCTCCAACCTTTCGCTAGGCATGGTTTCGGTTCCGTTTTACCAGACCATGCGCATGCTCTGCCCGATCTTCACCATCCTCATCTTCCGTGCCTGGTACGGCCGCACCTATAGCTTCCTAACATATGTCTCCCTTGCGCCCTTAATCATCGGTGCAACCATGACAACCGTGGGCGAGATGAGCTTCAGCGATGCCGGATTTGTGCTGACTATTCTGGGTGTCGTTCTGGCCGCCGTCAAGGTATGCATCACTACTATATCCTCATTCGCTGTGCTAGCTAACCAGCTTCTAGACTGTTGTCACGAACCGATTCATGACCGGATCTTTAGCGCTTCCTCCCGTCGAATTCCTCATGCGAATGGCCCCTCTGGCTGCCCTGCAGGCTTTGGCTTGTGCGCTCGCCACGGGCGAAGTAGAAAGCTTCCGTCAGACGATTGCCGCCTCAAACTACTCGACATTCTCAATCCTCGCCTCGTTAGCCGGCAATGGCTTGCTCGCTTTCTTCCTCAACATTTCGTCATTCAACACCAACAAGCTTGCCGGAGCCTTGACGATGAATGTATGCGCCAACCTAAAGCAGTGCCTCACTGTATTGCTTGGCATTTTCATCTTCGACATCAGCGTTGATTTAGTCAACGGTGCCGGCATGGCCATTACATTGGTGGGCGCAGCTATCTACAGCAAGTCTGAGCTTGACAACAAGAAGAAAAAGCAGCAGGCTTCGTATAAGACGCTGGAGCAAAACCCGCGATAGATGCGAACAAACAAGCTCACCATATGCTTGTTGTATACTATAGATGTCTTTTTTTGGTTTTGGACAAAAGGGTGTTTTTGTAGCGCGTGTTGGCTAAGCTCCACTCGCCGCTAGCAAAACAGCGCCCCAGTCTACGATGATACCAGGTGGTTACGCGTTGATAGAAACCGTACCATCACACATATTCTATTGGACAACCACGTCCTTCCTATCTTTTACACTTTTTTCTTCCCTTGATGATATTGCATTTAGACGCTTTGTGGCGTCTTTGGCTGCGGGACTGCGCGAGAATCCGGTCGCTCCTGAAACACGGGGTCTGAAACCGACATCGCGTTTGTGGGCAACTTGGCACTACACGTTGCATCGGGATTTTCCTCAGTCTGGGCCATACGGTGCATGATACACAGGCAGCTAGCATGGGACACACGTGTTCGACGCCGCGTAACGAACGTGTGCTTCCCCTTTGAATTGGGTCTTTTATTTCGTTTCACACGTACATAGGTTTTGGGGTAAACATGGCTAGGCATTTGAAATGCTACTATCATTTTGGTTCTAAATTCGTTCTTTAACAATCACTGCGTGTCTGTAAATTCGAAGTGAGTAAGTTTGATATATAACTATAGCTATGTGAAGGTGTTTTTGTAAACGTATATAGAGACTTGGCTTCTATAAGACCCAGACCTTGGGGGCAACGCCAAACGCCGACAAAATGCAGGACATTATCCAAATACCCAATAATAACAAAGAGATAATAATAAGAACGTGTAGTTTGAGTAGGTGCAATCACGGTGAAACCTGTTGCGCGCTTCGCTGCAACTCTGATATGCTTGTTTGCACGTCGTCCAACGAAGCGTTTGCCGGGAGACCAAGCGACATTGCGAGAACCTCTAGCGTTGCCAGCGCCTCGTCCTTTGCAGGGTCTGTAGAACGTAACTCCAGAACAGGTGCATCTACATTGACGTCTGGTGCCCACGAAACATTGGCTGGCGGTGTGATGGTGATGGTGTTCTGGTCATCGCCTCTGTTGTTGTTACGTTCCAGCAAGGCGAAGCGTAGACCGACCTCGGTTACAGTAACAAGGATACTGACGAGGATGAGAATAATGACAATCCATGTAATCGAGCTCATCTTGGCGTCAGCTACTGAGTCGGAGAGGATTTCTGCTAGGTCAAGGAACACGCGGCAGCGCTCATTTAGGACCTTGATGCGTAGATCGATCTCGAGGTATTCGCGAATAGCAGCGTAGAGAGGGTGGAGCGTAGGTTCGGAGTCCCAGAAGAAATTTGGCACGTCGAGAATATTGGAAGCTAGATGTCTGGTTAGCAGACTGAAATAAGACGATAAAGGTGGTGGTGTGGCGGGCTTACAGAGGTTAATGTCCACGCGGGACTTGAAGAGACGGCCGAGGATCTTTACAATCTCGACGCGGGTCATGGAGAGTTCGCCAGTGAGGGCAAGATTCTTGGGCACATCTTGTGCGTCGAGCATGGTCTCACTCATGCGTTCTTCGAAGAAGCAGAGCTTCGTGCTCTGCGCGATGGCATGGCTGATGGTGAGCTTGATCATGTGGTCGGACCGCGGCATCAGAGTGATCATGTCGTTGAAGATGCGGGGGCGTTTTGCGTCTGCGCTATATTCGAAATGGAATTCTTCGTTTTCGTAGTCGTCTTGATCGAGGGGGCGAGTGATGAGATTGATGCCGTCCTCTGCATCAGCAAAAGTCAAGTCTGCGAGAATATCCTTTTCTTGGTATTCCGTAAAATTCCAGAAAACGACCACGCCATACGAATAGACAAACATTTCGGCGTAGTTTTTGGCGTTTGGCGCCAGGCGGTTCATCGGCGATGTCATGTCGTCGGATCCCATAAAGGGTCGTGGATGAGAGTCTGGGGATGTCGCCTCACGGAGAGCGCTTTCGCGATCTGGACTGCGTGGGTTTGTGAACGCGTCGTCTTCAAAGTAGCCTTCATGGTGGTCGCTTTGCTCGCTGCGTTCGATTTCAAGATCGAGAACCGTCTTGCCAGTTCCAGGGGTCTTGAGAATGGGGCGGCCACGGACGCGATATCCGTCCGTACCATTCATGAGTGGCAGCGCGTAAATGACGTATAAGCAGTCATCGTAGAGCTTTGTCTTTGCGTCGTGGGTTTTGCGAAGGAATTCGGCAGTCTGTTTGATTTTGAAGGCCTGCGCGGTGCAGTAGGCTGTTAAGCGGCTGACTTTGTCTTTTCGTTGCATCTTGGGAAGACGCTCAGCGTATGATTTGCCGCGAATTCCGCCGCGTTTGCGCAGGACATCGAGTTCTTCATCTCTTAGAGGCTTGTTGTCTTCGTCTTGCATCCTTTGTAGAAGTTCGAGCTCGCTCTCATCGTCGTCGTCGCCTTGGGTGTCGGGGAGGAGAACCAGCTTTTCGCTAATCTTTGTTGTTCTAGAGGGCATCGGCTGACCGGTGCGCGACGGGATATTCGGTAGTCCGCCTGAGGGCGTTCTCCTTGAGCTGTACATGTTTGCTATAGATGAGCTGCCTCGCTGTGCTGGGACTGGACCGTCGCGTGGTTGGCCAGAGGGGATTTGCGTGTTGTACTGGAGCACATTATCGACTGTCATGAAACGCATAGGGACTCGGCCCGGTGATCTCGAAAATGAATCTGGTCTGGGTGCTGCTCTTCTTTGACTATTGCGCTCGCGGGAGTCGGTGACCTGGATTCAATGTTAGATACTGTCGCGAATTGGCAGAGATGCGTTTTTGGCGCTGAGGGAGTTCGTACCAGCACTGACGGCCGATGCTGCTTGGACGACGACATATTGGGGACTTAGTATGATATTTGTGCTATTTTTTAGGGATGCGAATGCTTCCAATGAAGTTGATTATAGCGTTCGACGCATCAAGGCGCGCATTATTTGCGTGGCGGTAGTTGAAGATTGGAGGTTAATGGCGGAGTTGGGAGTTCTCCACTGGAAAAGGCAGCAGATTAGATTTGGGCAATGACATCGTCGCGACTCCACTTTTACGGTTGAAAGGCGAGTACCCGGGACTATGCTACGCTTTTTCGATGGGTGCGGCAGCGAAAATATTATTTAATATTCTTATCATGTAGAAATATATTAATGCGTTTTTATAACATCGTTTATGTTATTTGAATATTTTCGTTTGTTTTAAATAGGCTTATTTGGTTACAAATCTGGTAGAGAGGCTGACGAGCTACTACAAGGCATAGTCTCAAGAGAACAATCCATCTTCAGTAAGTAGTCAGGGATGGACGGATATAGAGCGAGAGCCATTAAAGACACCCTTAACCAAATTCCCGTAATCACACACAAATGAACCACTACAGACACAACTGTGTAACCATTACTCAACCCAGGACGCAAACAATGAGAGATCGGCGTAAACAAGAAATAACCAACAATCCTAGAGTAGCACCACACATCGTCATTACTTCCCAACCCAGACTGCCAAGATGATGAAGATTCCACGGCTAAGCCTACTTTGTATCTATGTTACCATCCCCTTGCTGTGAAAAGAGAACAAAACAGGACGCGCCGAGCCTGTTTTAGTGGTGTTGAACATTCCCAAGATGCCCTTACAGCAAGGATAGACGCCTGCAGCATCACCTTATATTGACAGGGCCATTGTGAGTCCTACGCATTCCTCTACTTCGCCTCACACGAACCCATGTTTCTTTTTATATCACTTTTCTCTTTCCATCGCCAGACCAGTGCCCGCTATTCTCGGTGCCTTGGTTCCTAGCGGCCTAACAGCGCTCTAAGTGACCACACCAACCAGAAAAGTGGGACACTTTAGCCCAACACCCAATCAGACATGCTGAAACACACTGGTTGCTAGGCTGGTTGCCCCCCTGTTTGTTTACATGCCCGCCAGCTGCCAGCAAGAAAAAAAGAACCCCGCGATGCTGGCCCCTGCACTTCCAGTCCCCTGCAACCTTAGGCCCATTGCTGTAGCCCGTCACTCAGTCGTCACGCTCGACTCTTCTCCTCCAGAAGCAAAACCACGAGTCCCTCAAACGTAATATCACCGCCATTAATTTTTTTTGCCCCCGAATTATTTGGTACGGTTACCACTCCTTCATCGAATCTGGGAACCCAATCACAACAATAACAACCCGCCGTCGTCCCACTTCGCGCACGCGCATGTCTTAAAGCTTCCCACTGCACGCCGCAACATCTTGTCAACCACATTCCTTACGCAACGCAAGCTGTCCATTCACGGCCCTCGATTTCGTCCTTGTTTGCCTGGGAGCAAGATGTGCTAGCACCGCCACTGGAGACCTCTTTGACAATTCAGGACTCTCCCGAGCGAGACAGGCCCCGTGTAATAGAATTCCCCGATCAACAATAGACCTTACTCGTCGCGGCAGCCTACCACAGGCAAGACATCTTCCACCATGTCGTCGTTTGGGCCCCAATCGCTTCGTCAGACAGGCTTCCTTAGCCCTCCTTCTGCTGACACAACAAACATTTCTCGCCAACTCTCGACAACTTCCTCCTCCGCCTCCTCTGGTTATTCCTACGCATCCGACCAGTCCTACGCAACGCAACTATCGTCCGTCTCCAGCGGCTACTCTACACAACCTAACCAGAATAAAGGGCAGAGCGATGTCTTGGCCCGCGCACGTCTCTTTGAATCTGGTGATATGAACCCCTCCAAAAGAGACATGGCCTCCAGTCGCCAAACCCTGCGCACTATCCCGCAAGGGCAGGCAACCGCGGGACGGTTCACGCCCGAATCATCGCCAACGAAGCCATACCACCATAGCCGTGGACAGAGCGTCGACATTTCACAGCTCTCCATTTCGCCAAACAACAGTTATGCATCCCCGCCATCTCCAACGAAAGGACTTGCTCGACCTGCCTCGATGATGCTCGGCCGCTCTGACTCCATTTCCATTGGAGCACACAGCGCACAGATTGCATCGCCAGATCTCGAAAAGCTTGGTCGCTCTACTACGAGACACTTGCGCACGCTTTCAAAGCTTGCACAGTCGGAAGTGGCGGATGACTTTGCTATCACTTCTCCAACGCAAGAGGTGGTAGGTCTACGCGGCCGCCGCAAGCTCCAGCGCGCCGATGATGGTGTCAAAGGCACAAAACCGTCTGGTTATTCCTGGGAAGGTAGAAACTGGATGGATAAGCAGCGCCAGTTTTTGCAAGCATACGAATATCTTTGCCACATAGGAGAAGCAAAGGAATGGATCGAAGACATCACTCAGAAGTCATTGCCCCCGGTTGTCGAGCTTGAGGAAGCTCTTCGAGACGGTGTTACTCTTGCCGAGGTCGTGCAAGCACTCAACCCACATAAGCATTATAGAATCTTCCATCATCCTAAGCTGCAGTTCCGACATTCCGACAACATTGCGATCTTCTTCAACTATCTTAACGAGGTAGAGCTGCCCGACCTCTTCCGCTTTGAGCTCATCGATCTATACGAGAAAAAGAATACCCCCAAGGTTATCTACTGTATACACGCGCTCAGCTGGATTTTATTCCGCAAAGGCATCGTTGATTTCCGCATTGGCAATCTCGTTGGCCAATTGGAGTTTGAGCAGCATGAACTCGAAGCAATGCAGAAGGGCCTTGATAAGATGGGAGTCAACATGCCAGCCTTCGGCAATATGGGTGCCGATTTTGGTGAACCCGAGCCCGAACCCCAAGAATCAGAAGAGGATCGCATTGATCGGGAACTCGGAGAGCACGAAGAATCAATCGCCGAACTTCAGACCCAAATTCGAGGCGCCATGCTGCGACTAAAGCTTGGTGAACAGATGCAAAACTTCTGGGATGCCGAGCAAGATATCGTACGCTTGCAGGCTTGCATTAGAGGTAACTTTACAAGGCAAATCATGGGTTATAGGCTCCAGATGCGCCGTTCAGCAACCCTCGTGCAAAGTACAGCAAAGGGCTTTCTTGTTCGCCAACGGTTGAAGCAGAATGACGTAGGCCGTAAGATGGCCGAACCAACCATTCTTGCCTTGCAAAGCGCCATCCGCGCAAATAAAGTGCGAAGAGAGGTATGTCTAATACGGCTGACCCATGGCCGTTGATATCGGCATTGTGAATTGTGCTAACTCGGGTACAGGTTGTCCGTGAACGTGAGCGACTCGAAACCTTTGCACCCAAGGTCACGGCGCTACAGAGTCTGGCCCGTGCTAAGGTGCTCCGTATGCGACACGAAACAGTCAAGTCAGAGGTTAAGCAGCATAGTGTCGATTTTGGCAAATTCCAAGCTGCCATTCGTGCTGCGGCAGTCCGACGTGAGATCGCCGAACAACTCGAAGAACTCCATCTACACGAACCCACCGTCATTGAGATGCAGTCTCGAATCAGAGCCATGTTTGAGAGACGCCGAATCTTTGCGTTGCAACAGAAACTAGATCGACACCTGCCCGCCATTACAAATATCCAAAGCCGCGCAAGAGGATATGCCTACAGACAACAGCACACAGCGCGCCTTAAAGAGCTAGAGTCAACGAACCCGAGCACGACTGCCTTCCAGGCGCTGTTGAAGGCGATGATGGTCCGCGCCGAAATTGATGACTTGCTGACAGAGCTGTCCGAGGAAGAGGACTACATTGTCGATTTCCAAGCTGCCATCCGTGGCTTCTTGGTGCGCAAGAGTTTTGAAGAAAAGAAACGCTACTTCAACGAGAACATGCAAAAAGTCATCAAGATTCAGAGCTTCGTGCGAGCCAAGGTACAAGGCGAGGCTTACAAGAGTCTTACTACCGGCAAAAACCCACCAGTTAATGCCGTCAAGAACTTTGTTCACTTGCTCAACGACAGCGACTTTGATTTCAACGAAGAGGTGGAGTTTGAGCGCATGCGTAAGACGGTTGTCCAGCAAGTCCGACAAAATGAAATGCTTGAGCAGTATATCGATCAGCTTGACATCAAGATTGCTCTCCTAGTCAAGAACAAGATCACTCTGGACGAAGTTATCTCCCATCAACACAACTTTGGAGGTTCTTCCATGGGCCTCCTTGCCAATGCTTCTATGTCCAACGCCAACCAGTTCGACCTCAAGGCACTCAACAAGGGTTCCAGAAGAAAGCTAGAATCGTACCAGCAGCTTTTCTTTACCCTTCAAACACAACCTCACTACCTTGCCCGGCTCTTCAAGCAGATTCGTGAGCAGAGCATACCAGAGAAAGAGAGCAAACGAATCGAATTGCTTGTGATGAGTCTGTTTGGTTATGCGCAGAAGCGCCGCGAAGAATATTATCTGCTTAAGCTGATTGGCAGGTCTATCCAGGAGGAAGTTGAGAGCAGCCGATCAGTCCAAGAATACTACAGAGGCAGCTACTTTTGGTCTAAATTGCTTGGCAATTACAGTCGCTCTCCACGAGACAGAAAGTTTTTGAGAGAAGTCCTGGGCCCTTTGATTCGCGACAACATCGTCGAAGACCCAGCACTGAACCTGGAAAGCGATCCTATGCAGATTTACAAGTCTGCCATTAATAATGAGGAGTTGCGAACGGGACGACCAGACTCTAGACCATTGGATGTCCCACGCGAGGTTGCTATTAGAGATCCCGAAACTCGTCGCCTCTTTATTGACCACCTGCGCGATCTCCGCGAAATTTGTGACCAATTCTTCTTAGCGTTGGAGGATCATATGCATAAGACTCCATATGGCCTGCGATTTATTTGCAAGCAGATGTATGAGAGCCTCTGCTCCAGCTTCCCCAGAGATCGACCGGAACATCTTCTGCAGCTTGTTGGCAACTGGTTTTGGAAATTTTACCTTCAACCTGCAGTGACTTTACCAGAGAACGTTGGCGTTATTGAGAAGACGCTCAGCCCGCTGCAGAAACGCAACCTTAATGAAGTTTCGAAAGTTATTGGACAAATTGCAACAGGACGACCATTTGGAGGAGACAACGTTTACCTCCAGCCACTCAACGCTTTTGTTACCGATTCTATTGACAGATTGGCCAACATTACCCAAGACCTCATCAACGTTCCTGATGCGGAAACAACTTTCGATATTGACGAGTTTAATGACTTGTACGCCAAGAACAAGCCTACGCTCTACGTGAAAATGACAGATGTCTTCGCCATTCATAATCTCGTTGTTTCGGAGCTGCCATGCATTTGCCCAAGCAGAGATGACGTCCTTCGCGAGATCATCAACGACCTCGGCAGCGTTAAGAACAACGAGGACGAAATGAATGGTGGCTCCTCTGATATACACATGTTCCTTACTCCGCGACTGCACGAGGTCGAAGACCCTGATGCAGAGGCGAAGGCTTTGTTCATGGAAACAAAGCGCTGTGTCCTGTACATTATTCGTGTTCAGACAGGCGCCAACCTCCTTGAAATTCTTGTCAAACCTATCACTGATGAAGACGAAGATCGATGGGCAGGACTTTTGCACGAGGACTTTGCCGACGGATCTAACAGCCGTGGCGCATATTCTGACGCGAAAATGGTGGACGTTACTCGCATGTCTTACTATGAGCTCAAGCGAACTGCTCTTGAGAACATCATGCGACTGGAGCAAATGGGCCGCATCTCGAAGCAAAACCACTACCAAGATGTCCTCAACGCCATTGCCAGTGATATTCGCTCCAAGAGCCGCCGACGTGTCCAAAGACAGCGCGAGCTGGACGGTGTCCGACTCACTCTTGGCAACTTGCACGATAAGGCCAAGTACCTTGAGCAGCAGCGCAAGAGTTATGACGACTACATTGAGTCCGCCATGACAACATTGCAAAACAAGAAAGGGTATGTCTATATTAACTGTTATTTGACTTGTCGAAGCATGCTAACCACCCCTGACATATAGAAAAAAGAAGTTCCTGATGCCCTTTACAAAACAATACAACCACCAGCGTGAGCTCGAACGCAGTGGCCGCGTACCCAAGTTTGGCAGCTTCATGTACAGCGCCAAAGCCCTCTCTGAGAAGGGCGTCTTGGTGTCGTGGGACGGCATGGGCGACTGGGACAAAATCAACCTCACGATTTCCTGCGACCGCGTTGGCGAGTTCAACGTCGAAGGCAGCCGTGGCCACATCCAGATCCCTGGTGCCAGTGCCCTGGTGAATATTGAAGACTTGCTGCAGGCACAGTTTGAGGCAAAGCAGTTCATGCACCTGTTTGAAGGTACCTTGAAGCTTAATGTGAACCTCATGCTGCACCTCGTGTACAAGAAGTTCTACAGAACGCAGTAAGGTTATTTAAACAGCAAGAACTGGGCTGGTCCTTATTTTTCTTGCCCTTGCTGGTCCCAACTTCTCATCTGGCTATGAGAACTTTTTGTCTGCATTCCAAGTTTCTTTTATATTTTTACACCACCTGCATTGGAAAAGGTAGACTGGGCTGGGTTTACTCTGGTTGGGGTGGCCCTGTCGGACAAGACACCACGCTCTTGTCGTACTTGTTTATAATTTCGATTTTTTATATTTGGCTACGGAGTAACAACATACAATGTGCTTTTGGGTGCATAGGGAGGATTGGAAACATTGGGATGGATAGAAGAATGACGTTTGATTGTGAGGAAATGAAATTACGAGAAGAAGAGGGCATGATAATTCTCAAGCATTGTCTATAGGGGACGTGTTTTTTGTTTTTTTGTAGGCTGATTGACGTTTGATAGTGTGCATATGAGTATCAATTAAACATATTGCTTTTGCCTAGATTCTGCCTTTCAATGCTTGTGTATGTTATCAGCACTGGTCATTGGCTGCCTGTTGATCAATACCAAATTTAGTGGGCACGGCCGGCTTCCCACACGGCGGTCGGCGGCGGGTCCAGCACGGCGCGTTCCATTTTGGCTTGTGGATTAGGCCTTATACTACCTGTATTGCGCCATCGGCAGCTCGCGGGTTCGCGCTCCATGACACACAGTAACTCATAAGGATATTCTTTTTGTACATGGCATCAGTGACGTCAAATGGGAGAAAAGATAGGCCAACACCCCATAGTCCCAAGTGTCTTTGGAGATCTGGGGAATGGCGGCTCTCGGCGCTCTTGTCTCCTGCGAGAATGGGCAGCCACAGCCGCCGAGAGAGACAGCAAACATATGCAAATACAAAGGAGTCACCTGGCATGTAGATGCAGTATTACTCTTCAGGATTCGCCGAGCGTCAAAAGGTTGCATCCATGGGCGCACATCCCTCAATAACTTCATAAAACCAAGGCGATGTCCCGCGGCCCCCCACAGGCAAGCTCGGATGGTTGCTGGCCGATGTCGTTGGGGCTGACAGGGGAAGCCCCTCCGCCTCCAAAACCGTGAAAGATGATAGGGCAGATGGCTAATGCCCAGGCTGTGAGAATTGTCTATACAGTGGAGATGTACACTGTATAGACAAAAATCTTGACCTCGTTCGCGAACCTCGCTTCTTCAAGCCTGGTTTTGTTTCTCTGAGTAATTTGAGCCCACTGGATGCATGGTACGAGCGAACTCCTCCAACATTACACATATGTGCGACGTTCGCTCCTCGCCGAGCCCTTCTCAATGGACAGCGGCTGCGGTATACTTCTGAATGAGTCTTCGCCAGTTGTCGTTGGATGGTATGCAGTAGATTCCGGATCTAAGCGGTTGCGGCGTGCACTTCAGCTTCTTTAGGGTCTGGCGTGGGGGTGGACAACCTTGTTAGTTGCTTCGACCTGGATGCGACTCGGTTTTGTGAGGGAGCATTTCACGTCCCCCATTCTAAGTCCTAGATTTCTTGAAGCCGTAGTTATAAGCTAAGACGGCTACTCAAACCTGGAAGAAAATGAAATCCTTGTCAAGGAGAAACCGCCAAGAGTCCTGAGGAGCTGTACAAGTTGCCGCAGAGGATCATAATATCCAGCCCGAAGGACAGAAGAGGTAGTGTAATTTGGTGGTGGCACTGCACAGGGAGAAAGTGGCAAGTGAGCGTGTGACCATTTCAGGTTCCTTCCTCTTTTTTTTGTTTTTTGTGGCCAGCCCGCCATGTGGGCAGCTGTCACAGCTGGCAACGAGTGCCCAATGTGCGTCAGGATGGCTCAGGCAGCTCCATCTTCACCGCTTGCCACCAGACAAGAAACAAGCTTATGCATTAAAGTGAAGGACAAGGGATTCGACCTCGTACGGTTTGTTGCATGTGCGCCGAGTGTAGTGCCAATCTTGGTCATTTTCTTACGCGCTGACGCTGGCACCCACATACGCTAAACCCAACTCATGGGCCGTTCGGTCTCCAAAATGCGCACTGTACTTGAAATGGGTCAACCTCGACTCCACGCCGCCAGCCGAGCGACCGTGAACGCCTTCGCCGGGGCGAGCGGTCTGCGCCCGAGTCGCCCTCGGTGGCCTGGACTAGACGGGTGAGATGTTGAGAGGGGCGACAGAGGGGAGGATAAATAGACTGGCGCCTCCCACCCTCCTCGCGGGTCAAGTCGTATTCTGTTTCGTGATCTTCTAATATCTTCACGGCTTCCCTACACACTACCGAAGTACTCAGCCAGACGACTAGGCGTTTGGAACCTCGAAACTGCAAAAGAGAAAGGGAATTACCACGAACGAGTACGCAGAAGAAGACAGACAGGAGAAGAACTATAAGAGCAATCTTTGTACATTGTCGAAGGTGGAAAGCAAAGGCATCCAACTTCATTTGGCATTTACATAACAAAGAATCGTTTACTTCTTCTTGGTCTCCGTGCCAGTGTTGTGCGGCTATAACTGTGTAGTCGACTGCCTTACCAATACTAGGACTAACACAGGTTGCGGACGCATCCTAGCTATCGAAATGGCTCCCGATCTCAACTCCCTACCTTTGCCCGCTGGCGACGGCCCGTCACGCAACGAAAAGCCTAACATTTTATACATTATGGCTGACCAGCTGGCTGCTCCGCAGCTCAAGATGTACAACAAAGACTCTCAGATCAAGACACCCAATCTTGATCGCTTGGCAGAGTCGTCTGTCCAGTTCGATTCGGCCTATTGCCCTTCTCCCCTCTGCGCCCCGTCCCGCATGAGCATGATCACCGGCTTACTGCCAATGAAGATTGGAGCGTTTGATAACGCCTCGCAAATCAACTCCGAAGTCCCTACTTATGCTCACTACCTGCGATCCAAGGGCTATCACACGGTGCTGGCAGGCAAGATGCACTTTGTTGGGGATCAGCTGCACGGCTACGAGCAACGCCTGACTAGTGATATCTATCCTGGCGATTTTGGTTGGGCTGTGAATTGGGACGAACCTGACACCAGACTGGAGTGGTATCACAATGCCAGCTCTATTCTGCAAGCTGGACCATGTGGTCGCAGCAACCAGCTTGACTATGATGAAGAAGTCATGTACAGAAGCACGCAATACCTGTGGGATCATGTGAGAGAGGGTCCTGAGAAGCGTCCATTTGCACTCACGGTAAGTGTTTTAGTGAATCTAATCATGTAAGTGTTCTTTGGAGCTAATCGTGTCTATAGGTTTCCCTCACTCATCCCCATGATCCGTATACGATTACTAAGAAATACTGGAATCGATACGAAGACGTCGATATTGCCCTACCCAAAGTGCGCATTTCAAAGGAGGATCTTGATACCCATAGCAAACGTCTCATGAAGGTTTGCGACCTTTGGGACCAGGACTTTACCGACGAGCAGATCAAGCGAGCAAAGCGTGCCTACTACGGCTCCGTCAGTTACGTTGACGACTGTCTTGGCAAGCTCCTCGAAACTCTCGATGAGACAGGATTGGCAGAAAACACCATTGTCATCTTCAGTGGTGACCACGGCGATATGCTCGGGGAGCGAGGCCTCTGGTACAAAATGAGCTACTTCGAGTCTTCTGTTCGTGTGCCTCTTCTCATCAACTACCCCAAGTGGTTTGCCCCTCACCGGGTATCCCAAAATGTTTCGACCCTCGATCTGCTCCCCACTATCTGCGACCTCATCGGCTCAAAGCCCGCGCCGCTCCTACCAATGGACGGTGTGAGCATGTTACCGCACTTGAAGGGAGAAAATGGCCCCGATACACCAGACACTGTGTTCGCAGAGTACACCGGCGAAGGCACTGTTCGGCCAATGATGATGATTCGAAGAGGCCCTTGGAAGTACATCACTTGCCCAGTTGACGTCCCTCAACTATACAATCTTGAGCGGGATGCTGACGAATTGGACAACCTTGCTCGTTTCTCTACAGTCGAGCCCCAGACAGACGAGGAGAAGGAGGCCAAGGCAGTCTTTGACAAGTTTGAAGCCGAAGCTAAGAGCAGATGGGATTTTGATACCATCACTGCTCAAGTTTTACAATCCCAACGCAGCAGACGTGTGGTTTGGGATGCTCTGAAGCTCGGGTCATTTACCAGCTGGGATTTCGACCCTGTGGATGACGGAAGACAAAAGTAAGTATTCAACCACCAAACCGTGATCGAACACAAGGACTAACCGCTTTCTCCAGGTACATCCGCTCTACAATTCCTCTGGATGATCTTGAGCGCCGCGCCCGCTTTCCATTTGTTGATACACACGGTTATGAAATCAACAAGGGAGGTGTTGTTAGCTCTACCCGTGGTTAACTCTACTGAGTGGTGTTTATTGATGAGACCAAGTGTGTGTACTAAAGCAATTCGAGCATTTATAGCAGTGGGATGGAGTTTATAATTATTTTTGATATCGATTGGGCGAGCTTATTTATTTATTTTACCTTAAAGACAAATGAAATTACAAATATTCTATACACACTTCCTTAGCTGTTGTTGGTACATGGTATCAGGTTGGCTGGGCACTTGTAGTCCGTAGTGGACGCTAGTTTTGCCCCACGTCGGTGACGACTGGTCGGCGCAAGCGTTTCGATTTGCTTCCTCCACGACCGCGCAGCATCATTCGCACCTCACAACTCGCCACATCTTGCGACCTACAGCCAATTGTTGTTCATAAAGCGTTCATATTGAATTAAAGCTATGGCTACGCTTGGCCTGGACGACGATGAGCTCAAATTGGTCGAGCAAACGCTGTCGCGGCTGGCGCAGCTTTCCAGCAGCATCCAAAGCCTGAAACTCGACATTTTGAAATGCAACCCTCTGCCGCACCCGTAAGCTCTTGTCCTTTTGGAAGTTACACACAAGGAATCATTTCTAATGACTTTTACGCAGAACCTCCCTGCAAGCTTCGGCGCAGATTCTGCAACGCAATCTGCAAACGGTGCTCGACAGCTTAACCGAAAACGAAAGCTTGTTTTCGCGCATCGCTATCCACCCCTCTACAAATTACCCCGGTCGAACACAAGAAGCGATCTTGACGCAATTGCTGCGCAAGAAACTAGAGCCAGATGTAGAAGAACTCGTGGCTAAGGGACGAGAAACAGCGAAGCTCGCAACCCCAGAGGGCGTCGCTGAACTGCAACAGATTTGGGACGAGTTACGAGCGTGGACGCATAGCCGCATTGCAACGTACGTGCGTGATGAAGCTGGGCAAATATACACAAAAGAAGAGGTCGAGAGTGGTGTGGAGAATATCCGCACTGGCCTGAAACGGGATATTGACGAGGACGAGGACGACGAGGACGACGAGGATGAGGAAGCCGAAGCCGAAGCCGAAAATGGGGATGGCGCTCAGGAAGGCAACAAGCCCAAGATCTCGCGGGGTCCTGAGCCGGAAACACTGCTATGGTTTGCATCGAGATGCGACTTTGAGGTGCCTCGAAATGTCGAGTATGAGAGAAAAGGCGCTTTGAATAAGGGCTTCGACGGCGTAAATTTGCCGCCAGATGCCATGCAACTTTGAAGTACGCCTGGGGCGTTTTAATGACTTATGTATGATATATCCTGCCGTTGAAAAATAAATACTATTACATTGAAGTAAAAGACAAACTAGCACCATATGTGCCATGTATTAATCTGGCCGAGCATAAAACGTCACTCGCCCTTGATGACGGCTGCGCTTGTTGCGAAAGGTTCGCCCACCACCTGCACTTGTTTGTTATAAAGTGTCAAGAGTTCGGCGAGAACCTCTCCAACTGGCCGTTAAAATGCGATTGCCGTAGTAGCGTATGAGTATACGCAACATCAGGTACGAATAGAGAGCTATACTTGATACCACTTGCACTGAGAAGCCAGAAAGCATTGCGCCGAGCAACGTGAAGTGTATCGCACCAGCCGTCTGCTTCCACAAGGAGATTTTGAAGTTTGGTGGCCGCGTCGACATCCATTGGTCATACTGTTCGTTGTTTATAGCTCCCATGAATATATCGTAACATTCTGTCAGTTCACACCGATAAAGACAGATTGCTGTGGCTATGGCACCGCCAATGTGCCAGAAGTAGTCGCCACGTTCCCAGTGTCAAAGTAGATAGGCCGAGTAAATGGTTTGTGCTGCTAGAGCGAACGCCGTGTATGTATAGTAGATCGCAAACGGGTGACGCATATCAGCATTTCCATACATGATGGCGGCAGTCGGGTAAATTGCAAGGCAGTGAAGAGGAAGTTGTTGGTTAGAGGCTCTGTTGGCTGCTAGACGAGACGAGGCTGTGACCATGCTCATCCCCCACCACAGGGTCTAGTGATTCGTCCGCCCTACACTCCCCGCCGTCTGCGCGCTACGCGTAATAGAGGGGTGTATCACTACGTCTATTCTGTTGTGTCTATATATGTCCAAAGTGCATCTTTCGACTACCATCATACGATGGTCAGCACCACTCAGCGGCTGACCGAGAACCGGAGCCCCTGCAAACAAACAAGTATCGTAGAAGGCGCCGGGGGAAGCCTGGGCCTCGTCGGCACAGCGGACACCAAAAGCGCCCCCTAAACCGCCGCAGCAAGCCTAAACCGACAACTTAGTGTCGATCCCTCGGTAGGCGTAGGCCAGTGAGGACTTCCAATAGTGGCTAGGTGATAAGACACGCGCTGGGGGACACTACGTACGCAGGCTGGCCCAGGCCTTGTGACTCACGACGGGAGAGGCTATAAATTTACAGTAGGGCAGTTTTAGTGGATGGGGTGGCTGTGGTTTGCAGGCGTTACGGCGCCTGGCTGACTGGCAGACTTGCCGTACTTCAACATGCAAATGCAAATGCAGAGTGTGAAATAGTGACACAGTGTAAATTGAATAAAAAAATGGCAGCATAATCAGATCAAGAAATATATAGACACGCTGCCAACTGCATTTTTTTTTAGCAGCATCCACAGCCGGATCGCCAACAACGCCCATCGGTAGCCCACCTTTCGGCGGACGAGGGATGCGCTTTCGGAGCTGGCGGGCGCGTGTCTTGTGACGACGGCCATGCAGTCGGCCCGCAGACCGTGAATTACGAACGTCCTTTATCTCGTCGGCCGCCCGTTGTTTTCTTCTTTTCCACTTTCTTCTTCCTACGCTACGCTACTTTTTTATCATGTAGACTTCTTCTCCTCGTGCCGCTGGTTTCTCACCGTGTGGCCTTTTTCAGCACTTCCACTCTCTTTTCCCCAACTTATACCGTTGGCCCTCGTCTGCGTCCAGGGTTCCGTATTCACGCACACGTGTCCCCCTCACTGTTGCCCTCCCGTCCAAAGGGAGACCCAATTCACTCGTCAACATGGACACTCGATGCCAATGCGGTGCCGTTGCATTCAAAACACCCTCCCCGTCGCCCCTGGCGCTGTATATATGCCATTGTCGCGGGTGTAAGTTGCAGACCGGCTCCGCCTTTGGCACGTCGGCCATATTCCCCCGGTTTGCGCTGCCGGAGAATGAAAATTTGAGCTGCTACTCGTGCGTATTACTAGTTTACTTGAATTATAGATCTTCTCTTCCGATATGGAGACGCGTGCTAATATATGCCACCCCGCCAGCCGACCGACTGCCAAGGGACCTCTCTTATACTGGTAAGGAGCTCATTCGGGTTTGAAGGTGGCGACTTTTCTTTATATGCTAATGATCAATTCAGCTACTTTTGTCGTCAATGCGGCACTAGACTCCTCCATTCAACTCCTGTTTGTTCTTTCCTCCTCTCCTGGACTACCGTCCCATGTCTAACACGTCTTCTATACAGGCCCAAGATTTTGTATCCGTCAAGGGCGGCTGCATCCAAGGCCTGGATTGGTCCCAAGCCATACATATCTGTACCAACAGCGCCATGGTGCCCATTCCTGAAGGAGCAGAAACTGCATCAGATGCAAGCACGCCAACCGAGTTTGTCAAACTGCAGAATGCCATCGACCAGCCTCCTTCACCCAGCGCAGATGCGGATACTAACGCATAAGGACTCATATCATTGGAAATTCCGTTGAATATTGCATTTAGTACGTCTTGGCCTTTGTTGTTTTCGGGGAGCTCACAAAGTAAAATCATGGCGCGGTAGACATCGAAAAGCATTAAAGGTAGGGGTGTTTTTCATTTTGGGCGTGTAGCAGACTGGCATTTTCAACTTCAACTCCCTTTTTATAGGCGTAGAGAATCATAGTTTAATTTAATAAAATGTCTAAACTAATCTGGCTTCTGCGCTTTGCCGTTGGTCCTCGGCATCTCCTCGGCTTTGTTCATGTGCCGCCTCCGCATCTGGCGCACTCGAGGCCGAGTGCTTCGCTGGGTCGAAAACATACATGGGGAATTCCAACAAGATGGTTCTCTTGAGAATTGTCGGTACCTTCTCGTATAACTGCGGTGGGAAGGGGATAAGAATGCTCGTGCGGTCCAGCCAGTGCTTATAAGCCGGCCAGTTGTTGTTCTTCTCGTACCGGTCCTTTGATTTTGGCCGCTCCGAAAGGGGCATGCCAGAAAGGAACATGAGAAGAAATGTAATGAAGAAAGGCCCTACAATGGACGCGTAGAGTGCGTTGTATGCCTCGTTATTGACGTACCCGTCAGTCGCGGGCGATACTGCAATCATATATATACCTGCATGTATGAGTTAGCACTTGTTTTGCTGCCCTACTGACAACAATTCTTACCGAAGTGAAGAATAATTTCACCAAAGTAGTTTGGATGGCGGGAGACTGCAAATAATCCGCTGTCGCATATGGCGGAACGATCGTGAGAGTTGCGGAACGCAAACTTTTGTGCATCGCTGACCACCTCCATAAAGAAGCCAATCGCGAACAGAATAATACCGCCAATATCTCGGCCAGTGCCAAACTTGACTTGGTCGTATTGTGTAATATTGGGCGAGTTAAGAACAGTAACTGGGAGGGACACCGTCCAGACCCAGACCATCTGGAAGATCCAGAAGCCAAGAAAGGAGAAGAACTCGGAGCGCATCTCGTTGAAGCGATCGTCATGGCCAGTGCGCAAGATACGGAAGAAGAGAAAGCCTGCTAGTCTTACAGACCATACAAGCATAAATATGGTGACAACGAGCTGGCGGACATGTACATAGCCTCCCATTGCCAGTGTCACGATGGCCAGAATGGCAAAGTTGGAGCCACCTGCGAGATCTGTAGCCAGCACTGTTAGAGCCACAGTACCAAAGGATAGAATATGGATACACGTACCGGTGACTTTATCGAATTGAAGCGTATACGCGACAAAGAAGAAAAGGAGCTGGAATACAACGGTGATGAGGGCCGTGATTCCCAGATAGTAGTCATCGAGGGCGTGTGCCGCCATGGTTGTTATCGCTTGTGAAGGAATCACAGTCGCTACAGAGTAATTTTTGTATGATTTTGATTCTTTATATAATTATGCACGGCGAATCGCGCTTCTTAAATCCATAAGAAGTGCACAGATGTTACTAAATTCTCAAAGTGCTGCTGACGCCGTAGATGGGAAATGAGATCATTGACGCGGACGTGGTTAAAGTACTCTCCGCACGTAAATATTATGACCGGGGTACTTTGCTAGCGGGCATCGATGCTAGGCGATCGTGAAAACTCAAGCTCCGTCTGCGGATCTGAACGGTTTTCTCAGCGCCACCTTTGGAATCACAATGGAATATTATTTATATTGGATCTTATTCGATGTCCGAAGGCCCAAATGGTAACTGTTATTTATTCTTAGAAATTTTGGTACCTTTTTACAAGCCCGTTAACTGCGGCCGGTCTGCCTGCTTCGCAGTGGTGCCAACTGTCGCAGCTGTCACAGCTGTCAGACCACCAACACTGGTCGAGGGTCACCACACCAAACACTTCCATCCACAAAACAAACAGAACAAAGTCTTCCAATGTTAATTCCCGCCAAGAAAGTTAAGGGAATTCACCCGTATTCATATTCTTGACACTGTTCAATTAATTTAACCGCCTAATCCTCCAACCTCCTGCCCGCATCCTGACTGCGACTCCAAGCGTCTCAGAACCGCCCCTTCGCGTTTGACCCATGGTTTCGTCCTGGTCATTTCAAAAGGCACAATGCCCACCACAATGCACCACATGGCGGTCTTGTGGGATCGAATGATCTTCAGGAACACGGTCGGCACCTTCTAGCAACTCCCGCTCCCGCACATCTGTTCCAGCGCAAGGCCAAGATGCGGCCGCCCCCAAGTTTGCGCCGTGCGGCCGCCGAGCCGCCGCATAGTCTGGCGAGGTTTTCCTGCACATGTGTCGCAGAATGAGTGCCTTTGATACTGCATAATCTTCCGTTCCATACCCGCGGTGTCCGATCAGCTAATAACTGGCCACCTGCCGCCTCGCTTTGGCGCCGTGCATGTTTCTTCCTTTTCTCTCCCGTATTCGTCCTTCTTCGATCTGCAGGATGGACCGTAGCCGGTAAACTTTTCGCCATTTTGTTTGTTTACAAACTCTGTTCAAGACATCTCCTTCACGGCTGGACCGTATCTTCGGAACTTCACTTACTGCCTTCGAATTATACATATAGAGCAGCTTGCCTCCAATACCAGCTGAGTCTTTGGTGGAGGCCATGAGATCCCTTGCCATACACTCGCTCCTGATAGGAGCTGCACTAGGCGTATGTATCCTTTCCCCTTGTACAGATTATAACATCTTTATATAGCTAACAGTAGCTGTAGATTGCACTTCCAAGAGGGGACAATGGCTGTTTACGAGGTCGAGGTGCTTCAGCCAACGGGGTTGTAGCCCATGACTGCAACGTAAACGCTCGCAGTGAAGCACCAAATGTAAGTAACCAGTCACTCTTATTAGTTATGATACTAACACAGAGGCAGATATCTCCTGATACAGCTGAAAAGAACAAGCGGGCAGCAAGCAGGGTTGAGTTTGTAACGCTCCATGTAAGTGCCCCCATCAGCGTGTTTATTAGTCAAGTTGCTGACATGAAGTCTACAGCCAAGTGTTACCGTGCGTGTAAATGGCAGCAGACCAGTTACTGAACCTAAACCTGCTCCAGGAGAGCAAAAGAATCCCACTAGTGCCCCGGTTAAGGTCACCCAACCGATCCAACCGCCTGCACTCAAGCAGCCAAGCTCGATTCCATCTTCAGTAGCTGGTGGAGCACAGCCATTCCGCACTTTGACGCCGCTACCAAACAGTCCACCTTTGGGAAAGGCCCCTCCCATCCAGCCGCCTGCTGGGGAGTCAAAGACGATACCTCAGCCATCCCTTATCGCCTTGCCTCCGCAAGGTTCGCCTCCCCAAGGTTCACCACAGCCACCCTCTGCTGTCAAGCCTAAACCGGATCAAAAGCTTCCACCCGTAGCACCTTCAAAGCCTAGTCTTGCACCACCGCTTCCGATTGCGCCGTCTAAGAACACTGGACCTCTTATCCAGCCCACTGGTGCCAGTGGCGGCGTAGGTGTTATCTTGGTGCCGCTCCCTGCGAATCATCGTCCTACAACAACATTTTCGATTGACCCATTGACTTCTGCCGCGTCTATTCCCGTTCAGGCTTCCCAGAAGTCTGCTAGCTCGCGTCTTCCCGAGTCTCCAATCAGCGCACCACCTGCTCAAAAGCAGCCTCCTCCACCTCCCCCTCCCGCAAGCGTTCCTACATCTGTTTCCAAGGCTCTGCCACCACCACCGCCTCCAGTAAAGGAAACATCCAGTTCTTTGGCCCAACCACCTCCAGCAAAGGAAACATCAAGTGCACCGGTTCAACCACCAGCAAAGGAAACACCCAGTGCCCCCGTTGAGCCGCCACCTGCAAAGGTATCTTCGTCAACTTCCAGTTCAAAAGAAGCTGCGAAGCCTTCAAAGCCTGCAGAGACCTCCGCACAGTCAAGTGAGAGGGCAACCTCGAGGGAGCCATCACCAACACCAACACCAACATCTTCATCATCTAGCTCAGAGGAGCCAAAATCATCACGCAGGCCGAAGAACACCACTACTATTTTCACTGCAATCACTCCATCCAAGGTTCGCACCTCTGCCACGGAAACGTCCGCGGAAGCAGGCGCCTCTAGCACGGAGTCAGCTGCGAATTCTACAGCCGAAGGCGCTTCCACTTCGTCGCTAACTACTGCCTCACCCACCCGTGCTTCAAACATCACATTATCACAGACCTCTCTAGATCGCTCTGGTCCGACGGCCATTCAGAGCTTGACCTTCCACTCTGCTATCGACCTTGGCCCTGCACGACCAACAGGTACCAAGAGCGGTCTTGCAGCTACTACCACAAGCGTAGTCTTTGCGTCTCCAATGATTATGAGTCTCGACTTGACCAAATATACCCTCGTTAGTCAATTGCAGCTTGGTGCCCTGGGAGCTCCGGCAAACCCTACACCAGTCTAGGAGGTGGTAGACTTCCTTTCAATGTAAATATAGACCGCTCTTAGCGGATAAGATTTCATATAAACAGTTTATTTGTTTGTTTTACGCTTCTTTCGCAATTGCGGCAGCAAATTAATATACATACTTTTCCCAGTCCGGTTTCGCCAAACACCTGTGTACGTCGTGATGAGATGACCATAAAATCGTAATTAAAAGCTTTGACAGACACACTTATGGATCGTCCCTCTTGGGCTTCTTTGACTGATTAACTGTTAAAGGCCCGTTCTGTCGATTTTGTTTGCGCTTGATGCCCTTCTTCTCCTTTTGAGCCTCTCCATCCGTAGACTTCTTCAACTCTGGGGGCGGATTTGATGTAACTTGGACAACGTTCACAATACCTCTAAACCCATTGCGTTTAATTCCCTCGTTCACCACAACGCTTCGGGGAACCGCGCGTAACGCTTCCATGCCCTTGTCGTTGGCCAGGCCCCAGACATTAAACAGGTTGACGATATCTGCTGGTCCGCGCAATCCCAGTGCAGTCTTCGCTTCACTGCTAATCATCATTCCTCGACCACGTGTCGCTCTAAATAAGTTTGTAATGTTGGATATAAAATTTGCTCGTCCGCGTGCATCGGCGTTTAGAATCTGGGCGTAGCATATCTCAAAGCGAACACCGCGAGATACTGCCGCCATACATGGCTTCGGTCGGAAGTGGAATGGGAAGTGCTGTGTCAGATCAAGAGATATAATTGGCACATCCATCGTCAAGCATGCATTCTGGAAGGCCTTTTCCGTCAAGGGTCGGATGGCAAGGATATCGTAGGCGTTCATTAGAGATGGGATTCTGTAATTCGAGGCGGAAGGGTCTGAGAGAGGGAGGGTAGCGCGGTGAAGGATCTTAGGGAGCGTCTTGGAAACGGCTTCAGGGAATGTCGGAAACGGTGCCTTGGGGTTGGCAGGAAATGGAAGCTCGAGGATGTGATTGATGGCAACAGTTCCGTAGCCGAGACTCGCAGCCGCTGTCAGAGTCTGAAGAAGCTTGTCATCCGTGGTCGTTGGTGACCAATGCAGGTTTAGATCGTAAATCATGTTGTCTGTATATAGTGCGCGCTCCGCAAATGCGCGCAGAGGGTTGGAGTTTTCGCAGGGCTGGACAACAGCGACACACACTCGAATGCTGAAGCGAGACAAAAAGCTCTTGCAGTTTTTTGGTGGAGTTTACAGGGTCGCTTCGCCGCATGGCGCGCCCGCCAAGTTAGCGCGGCGTGGCAGGTACCACAGGTGGTGCAGGTGCTAGCCACGGCGCAGCTGGCAAGCAAATTGGCGGTGGTCCGTGCTTTAGCCACCCGCTTTGGGGCGAAGCACTGCGTCACCATCCGGGGGCAACTTTGTTACTTAACAGTGACGCTTCAACGTTTCAACTTCAATCGCGCACATCGCCATATATTCCAGAGTCGTCTTCAATCATCTCAAATACGCCATCGCTAGCAGCTTCATAATACCGGGCTTTCTCGTGTTCAAACAGTCTGCAAATTTGGAATCTCTAGCGTCAACTATTCGGCCTTTAAACACTACCCTTTCTGCCGACACTCACCCTAATCAACAATGTTCTTCTTCTTTGTATGCGGTGAGCACACTTTCCGCAGTGATGTGGAAGGCTTCGAAGGTCTTACAGTGCAATGCTTCCACTGTGGAAACATGGCCGCACATGTTGTAAAGAGTCGTCCCTTCTTTACTGTTTGCTGGATTGTAAGCAGCAGACTTGGATAAGCTTGTATTGAATCTCAAGACTAACACTTTCGTCTAGCCCCTAATTCCTCATACCATTTCTGGTTATAAGGACGTTGCTTGTAACATTTGCAACTTCCATCAACCGCTTGAAAGTCGCCAGGATGTCTTAGCCATGGCCAACGGCGGCAACGGTCAAATGCAAAATCAAGGGTATCAAATGCAGCCTCCGCCCCAAGGAGGCCCCCAAGGTCCGCCCAATGGACAAAAGCCGAACTACGGTTAAATGAGCGTCTGGTCAAGTTGGATGCGTGGTGGCAAGTTGTGAAAATCGGTGTCAGGCGTAGTGGAGTGTGTTGTTTTGGATACCAATTTGTTGAGGCTAGAATAAGATAGAGGAGTGTATCTGGGTATACAATTTAATTAATGCTAAATACGTTTCATTATGCAACCAGGCTTGCCCTATTTCGATCCTGAGGGTCCTGATCCTGGGGCATTCCCACTCAATCTTAGGCTTTGCTCCATGGCCTCTCGTAAATCCTCATCATCGTTAGTTCTGGCACTAGCTGCTGCCTGTTTCCGATATTCTTCTTCTGCCAAGCTTTGCTTCTTGATATACTCCAATACTATATCTTCTTCTGTTTGTTGGCTCTGTGCTTTCGCCATATCTTCTTTAGACGCGGCGATTGCACGCTCAAGTTCGGCATCGTGTTCAGCAGCTTGTGCCCCAGACGGATGCACCTCCATAGAAGAATACAAGTCATCTTCTGCTACAGCTACGTTTCGGCCACCTCCTAATACTGGTCGCTTCACATCGGGAAGATACCCCGTAGAAGTAAGGCCGTGCTGCTCACCAGTCAAACTTTGCTGCACTGCCTGTTCTATGAGTTGCTGGTACTCCTCATCAGTGATCTTGTACTCATCATCATCGAAGATTACTGGGGCAGCTCCCGAGGTTTGAACTGGCCCAGTTCCAGGAACCGTGGCGCCTTCATTTTTCATAGCCCTGATACTCTGCCTTATAGCTGCCTCTACTGCTGCATCGTCCTCTGCGTTACCTCGAGATGTTTCTCGAACAGACGCTTGAATGGCTTGCTCCAATTCGGCATTCTCGGTGGTAGTGGCGGTGGTTGTGTTCGCTCTGGCACCAGACGGAAGGTTCGCCTCCACATAACCACCTTTCCACGCCCGTCGTTCGGCTGCTAGTTTTTTCTTTTGATCAGAGGCCATCTTGAGTGTCCGGAGCCACGAACTTTTAGGCTTGGAAAATCCAACCTCGGCAGGGCCACTTTGTTCCGTGTTGGATGATGGCTCGCCAACACCTTTGCCTTTACTAGCTCTCTTAAATTGATAAAAGTGTCGCAGATCAAACTTCACATTGTCCCATCTCTTGGAAATGTCGGATTGTTCTCCTGCGGAGGCTTTCCGAAGTTCGATCTGTCCTTGATGAATGCGAGACGTGATAATGTAGTTCTGAACGCTCCTGCTAAACAACTTGTTGACTTCCGCATGCACGCCTTGCATCATGTACGCTGGCAGACCCCAGATTCCTAAAACGGCGTTAGCACTCTATAATTCTTGTGAGGTTCTCTATACAACTCACCGGCACCAGGCTTCACAATCAGACCAGCAACGCCTTTTCCAATTCCTTTAACTAAGCCAGCAGCCCCGTCCTTTTCTGCTCCACGGATAGGTTGTGTTACAAGGCCAGTAATGCCATCATAAAAGCCAAAGCCAAGTTCTTTGCCAGCAACTTTCATTCCAGTGGCCAAATCCGTCACTTTATCGACAGGCCGAATAGTATCGTCATTGTACAGGCGTGGAATGTTGCGGAAACCTCGTGCAAGACCGAGACAGAAGTTCATAGGCGACTTGACGCCAGTTGTCACAATCCGTTCAATGTTTTGGGAAGCACCGATAGCTGCGTCAAGCTTTATCCGTGAAGAATTTTCTGATGACCTCGAAGCTTCTGTTTCCGGTCTTCCAGTTGTGGAAGATGCTGCACCATCTTTCGTTTCCGGACTAGCAACTTGTGCTGATGTGCCTTGGGTAGACCCAAGTTCCGATAATTCGGTCATTGAATCGGTATTTCCCCTCGTGATACCGCTTGTGGATTGTGTTTCACTAGCGGCTTTCGACTCCTTGCTTTCCTTTACATACGCTTTCCGAGACTTGATGAGGCCAGAGGGTATATCAGCAATAGACATACCGATCGAGGACAAGTCAGCGATAAGAGAGGATGCGCCTGCCGACACCGGTTCAAGAGGACGGTCTTCTGTGGCATGTTCCTTGGATCGATATCTAGCATTTGTTAGCAGCTTTCATTGTAATATCTCACTGGAATACTCACAGTTTTAGATCCGAATATTTAATGAGACCGTTTTTTACCAAGACTGCAGCGGCCAAGGCGCTTAGGCGAACGTCAGTTCTCTTTACTCGCCAGACGGCCACTCTGCTCGGAGCAAGACTGCATCGTAGTTTCTCAACATCCAGATGAGCATGAAAGCTGTTGCCGCCCATGGCTGTGCCATCTTCCTCTCGAATCTTTTCACCAAGCGACTTTGCTTTCTCTATCGTATCCGGTTGCAAGCAAACTTTGAGAGACTCGGCCAATTTCTCGGCTGTCAAGGAGGCATACGGGATAGGTTCGGGTCCAGCATCAGCTCGAGCAACCATTGATCCCCAAAAAGGCTGGTCACCAAAGAATGGCACCACGAATGTAGGTTTACCGGCCTTAATACCAGCAGCAGTGGTGCCGGCACCTCCATGGTGGACCACAGCCGATACATGTTGGAAGAGCCAGTCATGTGGAACATTTCCAAGCATAAATACACCCTCTGGGATACCAACGTCATCTGCTCCCAGGCCACCCCATCCTTTCGAGACTAGTGCTCTAACACCAGCCAAGTGAATAGCGTCAAAGATCATTCTTGTCATTGCATTGGGATCATCAACAACAATAGATCCGAATCCAATATAGACTGGGGGAGGGCCGGCTTTAAGGAATGCATCCAGTTCTGGATCAGGTGTGTATGATGAGGCTAGATTCAAGAAATAAAAGCCTGAAATATCGATATGGCGTCCCCAGTCTTTAGGCTTGGGAATAAGAGCAGGAGACCTATTACAAGATTAGTATAATATCTCTAATAAATGTAAGGCAAACGAACCAGCAATATGTATAAGGCGTTTTCAGTCTGCTCAGTAAGCCCGGAGCCCATAGCGGGGATACAGCTGGGAGATCTAGAATCTTTTCGCGGAAGCGGTTAATAATATCTCCCAGGCCCTGCCAGGTCATCATCTCCACAAGTGTGTATGAGAGCGTATTGGTTAAAATATCGTCGACGGTGGTTGACTTGATATTTGCTAACGGGTGCGGGAACGATCTTGTGGAAGTCCATGGCATCCTATTAAATGGATTAGTAGCTTGATCATAGCCCAGGGCGAATATGAACTTACGTGAACATCATGTGGAGTGGGATACCCAGCTTTTCAGCCAGATGTACATGTGCAAAACTAGGAGGGTTTGCAATAATAGCATCAGCCACAAAGGGAACATCGTCTCCAAGATCAAGGGTTTCGGCCAGATCCAGAGGCTCGTCTTTCTTGTGTGGCTTCGGAGGAGGACCAAGTCCATTGCCAGGCTCAATCGCAGATCTCCAACAGCCTAGCAGCATCTCTTCGATACCCTTGCGTCTCTTAGTGACTTCGCCGCTCTTTAGAGCATCAATACCTGGCATAAGACCGGGGTGCTTGACCATAAATGCCATCAACTCGGCCGGATCACCACCAATGCTGAAAAACTCGAGATCATTTTCCTCCACAAACTTTTGGAACGTAGCATGTGTTGCTATGCGCACTCTGTGGCCATATACATCTTTCAAGACTTTTCCAAGCGCGACAAATGGCTGAACATCACCACGAGAGCCTACAATCTGAATGACAATGTTCATCGGAGGCGGTGGCTTGCCATCCGTACCAGTGGTAAGATCAGGAGGAAGATATGCCGGCGGTAACTGATCTTCCGCATCTGTAATTTGACGGTCTAAGATAGGCGCCAAAAGCTCTGCCAGCCGTCTATTCTTCGTGCTAATATTGATGTCGATTCGGCCATCACCTAGCAGATATAAGTGTTAGCTTCTATTGTGCCGACTATATTAGTATGTAACACACCAGTAACAGCTGCTCCGGCACTAAACCCAGGCTGTGAAAACTGCATCGTCTCAAGACTCTCACCATATACTGGTGGAGGTTCGTTGGTATCATCATGAAATTCTGGCAGCAGGAATCCATCCGTTATTGTAGCTTCCTCTGGCGTAGGGATCATGTCTGAAGTAGACATGGTCGTTGAAGAGGCAGCTGCCTCGCGCCGGACATGCTCCTGTTTCTCTTCAACAAGAGTCATAATGAATACTCTGCCAGGTGGACGTATGTAAAGTATAGAGATACGTCGAACATATAGCTAGGTGAAGAGTGACGGAGATCCTCGAGCGCAGTGGAGGGGTAGTGAGCTCTTAGAGACCGAAACAGACAATAGAGAATCCCAGTGTGAAGGGATAACAATGCTGGGAATCTTTAAGGAAAGAAAAGAAAAAGAGACGTATATTCAATAATAATTTTCAATGCTGGGGAGAGGCCATATTTAGCTACAAGCTTGTGGAGGTTCGCGAAATGGCTGCCTCTTTTGAAACAAAGCCGATGACGCACTCTGGGTGCAGCCAGTTTCTGTGGGCACAAAGCAAGGAAGCGCCTCAAAACCACAGCACCTGTAGCTTGTGGCACGGCGGCCCAACCAACAACCCAGTAATAATGCATATCAGGGTATCACAGCTAAAAAAGAAGCAAAAATACCAGCAAAAAAGTAAGATGGTAGTATACGCTTAGATCCGAGAACATACGCCGTTCTGCGCTCCTTTTGGTCGATACGCGTATCTCGTATTTATAAACTTCCCGAGTGTATTGCTGAGGCGCAGCTCCAGCTTACACAGGTACCAGGCCGCGTGGTCTTTCACATGGTAATCCTTGCTTGCCTTTTTGTTTTCACTGGCGATCAATTTCTTCGGTATCCTGGACAAAAGCGAGATGGTTATACATCGCAAAGCTTCACTTCTGGGCGGCACATGCACGGTAATTACGCGGTGCCTTGTTCGCATAGCCCCTCGCACATCCGTTCCTTCGGATGTAAATAGTCACAGTTGGGTCACCAGTTTGATACAAGGTTCGTATAAGAACCAGAAGAAGTTGTCAGCATTGGTCGCAAGTCACTTTGTTTTGTTAATAGTAGCACATCATCACTGCATCGCGTCGACGCATAGTAGGCCCTGAATGAATCAGAACTGCATCGTCTATTTTCTCTGTGACCTTAGGTTTCCCAGTTTCCTTATATAATACAAAACGTCATGTGTCCGAAGCCAGTAGTTACCAGGTTCTTCCATCAAAACTTAAAAAAAAAAAGGTGGTATAAGATTGGTTTCCCAACTCTCTGGTGGCGTAGTTCTTGGTCGATTCAGAGTGTGCAACGAAAGTCGAGTTTTGCGGTCATTCAATTTGCGCTCTGTCGTTCTTCCATAACATTTTAATCGACATGTTGTGTGCTTAATCCATCTCTCTCCGTCCCGTTGCTGCGGTAGCCATTTAGCTAGAGAATCGGCGGGTGAGCTTAGCAATAACTGTGCGAGCGTGTTAGTGATATTCCATCGGACATCTGTAAGATTGTTAAACTTACTGTGAAGAGCAACAACGCTGAAAATGAAGACAAGAGAAAGAACAAGGACAACGACGGGGTCGACCTTCAAGCCGGGAGACTCATCAGTGTAAAGTCCTGCGCGGTCAGGTTAGCATTAAACATCCTATGCGCCAGACTGTGTAGAAACAAATTCCAGCCCAAGAATCCCATCAGAGGTTCTCATCACCATCGTACTAACGACGGCGCAGCCTTGAATATCGAATCTTGGGCGCAATGCTTCTGTTCCACACCACATATTAACGTACTGAGCATGGTGCTGCTGGAGCCGCCGGCGCCAGCGGCGCGCGTGCTGCTAGGTCTAGCATTGGCAATCTTCTCCTTCTGGTCGGCAGCAGCGCGTCTGCGGATGGCGGTACGGGGACCACCGGGGGGAGTAGGGGACGAGGGGCGGACGACAGAGGAGCCGCTAGCAGAACCTTCGGAAGCCTACACAGGAGAGAAGCGCAGTTAGTACAAGGTATTCTTTTATCAATTCCCTTTGTAAATAAGCCATTGGCCTCGATTGGGTTATCCATAGATGACACCATTCGTCATCCATGGCTAACCCCGTCACGCGAGGTACGTCGGTTGTTCGAGAGGGCGGAACAAGCGCGGATGTGGGCGAGGAGGTTTGTAACGCACCATTGTTGAAATTATGTGTGTTCGGCTGGGGATTAAGGAGAGAAAAGATATCGCTGCAGGATACCTATGGAAACAATCGTGGACTTCGTAATGGCAAGGAAGATGAAGTGATGGGGTAATTCGGGGAGCTTTCTGTCAACTAAGCCTAGGGTCCGCCCCAGGTAGAAGAGGCCAGAGAGGCCACATCCACCAGATAGGGGATTCCTGCGGCCCAACATTTTTCCGGGGTAATGACCGCAACCGCTAAGTGGAGCGCAACGGTTACCATCTCGTTCCATATTGATAAAACGTACTAAGTAAATCGCTGACGCCATTATAATTGGCGAAGAAATTTGTTTAGTCCCATTGGGTATATTCACGTATCTCAAGGAGTATGCAATGCTTCATGTATTACAAGAAACAACATCTAGTAACATATTCTACGAAATTCATTTGCAAATCATTGTGTGTTGCACAAACGGCTGTCGTATATATTTCCCTACAGACACCCAGCGCTAGCTCATACTGCTTTGATCCAGTTGCAAGGGTTTGCTTCTAGTTCTGTAAATATACTAGAAAAGAAACGAAACAAATGAAAACGAAAGTACAGCAGTGGTAAAAGTAGAAGCACAGAGAATCAAAATACAAATGAACCCGAAACAGAAACGATAATGGTGGATATGCATGAAGAAAATACCATTGAAGAAAGAGTGAATACAAAAGGTAAAAACAAAAAAAAACAAGAGCAGAACACCATTGAGTCACCAAGATTTGTATAGTCCATCGATCGCGCCGCCAACGCTCTATTTGCCTGGAGCGGGTTAGTTCGGCGGTACATTGTAATGTTGTCGCATAAGCCAGTGATATTTAATGTTAGTCGCTCAAACAAAAACTCAGCTCGCTAATCCTCTTTACCACTACTCCGCGTCGCTTATTCCAGGAGTTGTTGCTCATTGCCGTACGGAACGATTGAAATTTGAGGTCGGTAATGCATATTTGTCGGCGTTTCCAAAGGCCTTCCAACAGAAGTGAATAAACCGAGTTTTCCAGTTGAAGTGTCTATAGTGGACACTAGCTGTATTTTGTGGCCTTTCCTGTGCCGTACAACAAGTTCGAGCGGTGACCCAAAGCGTCGGGGTTTAAAGAGGTGTTGAGGGTGGTGTATAGATGGTTAGATGACAATAAACATACAGCGAGAAATGCAATCAGTCTCCGTCAAACGCCTTCTAATGTGTTTTTTGAGCTTTTGGGCGAGTACATTTTTCATCCATGAGGGTATAAAGGGATAAGGGAAAAGGGTGTTTAGAGTGTGACATCAAGAACGAGGCTGACATCCGAAACGTTGGGTCCAGCTAAATCTTCCAGAACAGGAATGAGATCTAGCAATTCGTTGTCGTGGGCATCGGAGAACCAGCTGCTGATAGGAACCGCGTGTTGAGGGTGGAAGATGTACGATGTTGGTGAGTTGTCGATAATAATGGTGTCCTTCAAGTCGCGTCCAATCTGGGACAAATCCTTGACATAGTTGCCCTGGTGGTTGTAGCAGCTCTCACGGAACAGTCTATGGTGAATAACGTTATGAATATCAAGCTTATCCATCAGCGGGTCGCCGTACTATTTCAATGGTTAGTTTGCGCATTACAAAAAACAGCAATTGTCTCTGGTTCATCATACCTTGGATACAGACGCTGTGAAAACAACCACTTCGTACAGCTCGCCAACTCGCTTCATGAATTCGTCGACACCTGGTCGCTTGATAGCATACACATTATGATAATTGCCTTCGATTTCAACAGGAATCGTAATATCGGCATGATGTAGGATCTATTACACATGGTTAGACGGGGGCATAAGCTATAAAATTGTGAATCTTCATACCTTGAATGAGCTGTGAACAAGTGTTTCGTCGAGGTCAAGAACCAGGCATTTTCTCCCTTTATGCTCTGGGGCTACAGGCGGTAGCAACCATTTGCGTGATTCGCCGGACTCGACTTCGCTAGTAGCAACTGGCCCGGGTCCGGGTGGAGGTGGTGGTATGGTTCGGTTCTGTTGCTCTTCCGAGTCGTCCTGTGTCGCATATGCATGGGCATTTGCGGTATCTTGTATAATTTGATCATCGTCTTTGCTGACATGCCGTTGTTCAGCAGCCCCTGTCGATTCATCAACGGTGTTGACAGGGTCAACGACTCCTGTCTGCTTCTGGTCAACAGGAGCTTGTTCAGCGTCGACGGATTGAGAATTTTCTGCTCGAGTTTCTCCTTCTGTCGCATTCAATCCTTGCTGTGTCTTATCTGCGGTATATCGTGAGTTGTTGTCATTGACAGCTTGATTGCGAGGCTTTGACGTTGTTGTTCGTTGCGGGAGTGTCTCTAGCTTATGAACATTTTCGTCTTCACCGTCCGCTCCATCTTCAATATCAGGAGCGCCGCAGCATCCCAAAAACGACAAGAACCCGCCCTTCTTCTTCTTTTGCTTTTGTTCTGTGGTAGACGGCGAGCTAGGTTGTGTATGAAGTCCGGGAGCGTTATGTTCCGTGTTTTGGTTAGGTCTGGGCCCAGACTCGTTACCGTTAGAAGCCATTTCAACGTAGCTTCCGTTTGATTCCTTTGAGGTTCTTGCGATGCTGCTATGAGATCCGCCAATAGTAACAGCGCTCGACGCCGCTGTACCAATACTGTGGGTAGTCTTTGGTTGTGAGGAGGATCGCGAAGGGACCTTCAGAAGTCCTTGGCCAGTTTTAATATGCGCTCCGTCGTCAGATTTTGGCATCTCCCGTCAGGCTATAACCAACGAGGCAATTCCACAACAGTGCCTCCTGTATCGGGGCGTCGCGTGGGTCCAGTCGACTAGTCAATGGCTATAAAATAGTTTAGCGACCTGAGTTTTGCGGTTGCTTTCCGATATAGCCGTGTATTAATTCGGGCGTGGCAGAAGGCAGTTTTGCAATGTTGAAGGCGGTTCTTCTTACGTTGACAGGCTGCGAAGCTAAGCTACAACAACAGAGCCTAGCCGAAAGAGGCCGACAAGAGGTTCGGTGCAGCGATGCGTTCCGGGGAGAATGCGAAAACGGGTCGCAGATGCAAGATCGCTTTGAATCACTAATCAATTTTCCGGATAGATGTGTATGTATAACGGCAAAGGGTGCGCTTCGAATGAGGGCGAAAGGGACAACGCGAAGGTAGTGCTTGAGCGTGAAGAGTCGGTGCGGAGAACGTGGTATCAAGTAGGGGACACGGTCGGTCGCAAGAATCCGAGGCAGAATTTGGCGATACGCGAAAGAATGCTGAATTGCGATGCTATTACCGACGGCAAGGGAAGCACGCAAGGACGGGCAGCCGCGAGTGTCGGTCGTCGGTGTCGTGAAGAAAGAGAGTTGCGCGGTGATGGGTTTGGTTTGGGTTGAGATGGGCCAGCAGATCAGGCCAGGCGCAGATTCCACTGCAACAGGGCGGTTCGGGGGGCCCCAGAAAGCAGGAGCGGGCAGTTTGCAGGCGTGGCTGGGGGGCGCTGTTCCAGTAGAAGCCCGCCAAAAAAGAGACCGCAAGAGGCGCCAGAGCCAAAGCAAAGAGAAGTAGCGGGCGGGCGGGAAGGTGTGGGTGGGGTTTCTGCTTAGATTAGTATGCCCCCGGTAGGGCATTGTGATAGGCCGGCCAGCAGGCTGGCACGGTGTGCATTTCTCCACTTCACACTTGTGGAAGTCTTCCCCGGTACCATCACAGCGCCTAGGACCCGGGCGAGCCCGTCGGTAACAGGGAGCGTCCAGGCCTGCATGGCCGCTAACGAAGCAGTGCGTGAACGGTACTAGGCTGCACTGTGTCATTTCATTTCTTTTCTCCTCAATCACCAAATTTCCATGGGCTCTCTATCTTGCGGCGGTTGTATTTTTTACTAGGATTAGAGAGACACTAATGAGCCAATTAATAGCACTTTGGGACCTCGCTGCTCCTGACTCTTGCCTGTCGCTGCCTTCTCGCCTCTTGACCGGTCTTGTGTCGGGCACAGCAGACAAACTTGCCGCTGCAACGCTGCCAGGCACGCAGCCAATCCGACCCCAGCGACTGATTCGGCGCTGGTGTGGGCGGCAAGCCCCAGCGGCAACCCGCCTTTTTCGTCAGCAAACACGCCTGTTAGGTGAGGTAAGGGGGGATTAGTACAATCTTCAGCACTGTGCTGTAGCCGATGCTTCTGGTCTGGCAGTAACCCGGTTGCGACTTGTAACCCATTGCGTCCGTCCCCTGCTACATCTTTCCACTTGCTAGGGCGGCAGTTATTCACTGTAACGCATAGCTCACAGAGGCTGGCCACTCCCGACGAGCGAAACATGCCCATTGTGACAATGTGAGACCCTCTTGGGGAGCAACGAGGCGCCATGATTGGTTCTGTTGGCGCCGGGCTCTGCGGGTGCTCCAGTATGCAGACTAGTGGCGGGCCACCTAGCGTCCGGAAGCTTGATGAACTGTAGATCGAGGCCCTCAAGAAAGCAGCATGCAGGAGGCTTTGAGGCACACGGCGCAAAACGATTGGTTGCTACACCTGGCTCAATCGCACACATCGTGAATAACGATAGCGGATAATCACCGTTGCATATTTTACAGTGTATGTGACCCATCTTCGGGCTGATCTCAGCTCATACGATTCAAGATATCATCCTGTACAGGGTAGGGTGTTCATTTGACTCGGATCCGTCTCCATGAACCGCCACAACGTGCGCTGAACACCGTTGAACAGGTATTTTTAGATGGAGTGAACCCCTGGATGAGCACAATCTAGTCAACTGGGCTCGCGCTGCACCCAATCTCATTCGAATGACAGGCTCTATCAGCAAGGATATATGTTCTACATCACAGGCCATCGTGCACGTAAGTCGCGGCGCCGTGCCTCTGTGGAAATATCATGACGCCGATATTAATACCCTACCATCGCGACGCGTAACAATGGTGGCATAGCAAGTCCTTATTTGGTGCAGTGGAGTTACAAATGAACAAGCAGCGCTGTGATTAAAAAAAATCTTTGCAGCTTCATCCGTATATAGGCGGGCGTGAATATTCCCCTGATGAGGCTGCGTCCAGAAACGGACCACAGGCTGTCTTCTCCAGCGAATTGTGGAAAATAATTACTATTCTGCCAATATCATGTCCTGCGCATCAACAGTGGGGGTGATAGATTGGAATATTGGACTCGAAACCTCAGGTTTACATTTGCGCTTGCTTCTGGAAGGATGGCTGTTTTGGGTTGGGCGCAGGTCAGCAATCATGTGACAGACTCTCCCAAAGAGCACTGGCTGCTGATGGCAGCTGGCACGCACCTGGCACGCAGTGCTGGGTCCTCTCTTTGCACCTGGCGGCACCTGCCACTCAAGACGAGCCCCAGTGTTTTGCCCCAGATTCTCTGCGCCCCGTAAGCCGGCAGCGTCGTTCGAGCCTCGGAAGCGGCGTTGGACGCCATCACATGTCCCTCCAATCGCTTGTGAAGCTGCACTGCTGTCGTTATACCACCTCTATTCCCGCCACAACTATCCCAGGCTCCCAAACCTTACTTTTTATTTCTCGCATATCACGAGATTATTCGCATTTGCCAGCGACACCTAAATTCCAATTGCAACACCGCGACGAGCTCTCGCTATCCCTTCCCCCGCAGTACCTCGTCACCGGCCGACCATCTTTCCGCATCAGCTTGATATCGCCTCCATGTATTGAATTGAGTGCCGGTTTTAATCACTACCATCAATAACCATGGCCGCGCAATCCACGCTGCGGAAGACTGCAGCCGAGGAGGCCCTGGCCGCCTTCATCGACAAATGGACGAATGCCGCCCGCAACAAGATGCGCAACTCGTCCCGCGCAACCCGCATCCTTGCCGCAATTACCCTCGCAGCCTCCATCATCCTAGGTGTTGAGGGAACTAGAAGGCTGTGGAAAAAGCGCAAACACGAGCATGAACAGGGTCGCAAACTGGTTCGCACCAACTCATGGCTGCATAACAAGGACGGATCTCGCACCATCTACGTTCCTTATAAAGACAGTACCTCCAAGGTTACCATCAATACCACAAAAACTCTCACCTTCGAAGCCCACAGAAGGCTCTTCCTCAACCCCCCACGCGTGGCCGGCCTGGACGGAACATCTACGCCAACAAAGCCTGGCCTCAACCTCGCCTTTCTGCACCAATTCCTCAGCCTGATGAGCATTATGATTCCGCGCTGGACCAGCAAAGAAGCTGGCTTGCTGCTCAGTCATGGTATCTTCTTGATGATGAGAACATATCTTTCTCTCGTCGTTGCTAGATTGGATGGTGAGATCGTTCGCGATCTGGTTGCTGGCAATGGCAAGGCTTTCACATGGGGTATCATCAAGGTATGTTGCGACAGGTAACAGAGTCTATGGTATACGATTGCTAACAGTAATACAGTGGTGTGGAATTGGAAGTGTTGCATCATACACCAACGCTATGATCAAGTTCCTCGAGTCGAAGGTGTCCATTGCCTTCAGAACACGCCTGACCCGCTACATCCACGACTTATATCTCAACGAGAACCTCAATTATTATAAGCTTTCTAACTTGGATGGTGGTGTTGGTCATGGCGCAGATCAGTTTATCACCCAGGATTTGACGCTATTCTGCGCATCCGCGGCCAATCTCTACTCGTCGCTCGGCAAGCCATTTGTCGATCTCTGTGTCTTCAGCTTCCAGCTTTACCGCTCACTCGGACCCCTTGCTCTGTCAGGTATTATGAGCAACTACTTCCTTACAGCAAGCATTTTGCGTAAACTTTCACCACCTTTTGGCAAGCTTAAGGCTGTTGAGGGCCGTAAGGAAGGTGATTTCCGCAGTCTCCACGCCCGTCTGATTGCCAACGCAGAAGAGGTCGCTTTCTATGGTGGCGCTGAAATGGAGAAGACATTCTTGAACAAGGAATTTAAGTCGCTCAAGAGTTGGATGGAGAGCATCTACATGCTCAAGATTCGATACAACATCCTTGAAGACTTCATCCTCAAGTATACATGGAGTGCCTACGGCTACCTCTTGTCGTCCTTGCCGGTCTTTCTGCCTGCCTGGGGTGGTATTGGTGGTATGGCTGAGATGGCAGAGTCTGCTGAAAAGGGCGGCAAAGAGCGTAACCGCATGAAGGATTTCATCACTAACAAGCGTCTGATGCTCTCGCTTGCCGATGCTGGTGGTCGCATGATGTACTCTATCAAGGATCTCTCTGAACTGGCAGGATACACGAGTCGTGTCTACACCCTCATTTCCACTCTTCACCGCGTACATGCTGACGCATACACTGCCAAGAATGGCCAGAATGAGCTTTATTCGCTCTCGGATGTTCAAGGTACTGTCCAGAAGGGCTTTGATGGTGTGCGCTTTGAGCATGTTCCTATTGTTGCCCCTGGATTGTGGCCCATGGGAGGTGAAGAGCTTTTGGACGATTTGTCCATGATTGTTCGCAGCGGCGAGCATCTCCTTGCAAGTACACCCCTCGACTGAATTAATATGCATGTGCTAATCGTTGTTTATAGATTTCTGGCCCCAACGGTGTAGGTAAGACTGCTATTGCCAGAGTCCTCGCAGGTCTCTGGCCCGCATACAGAGGTCTCATCAGTCGTCCCAAGAGCATTGGCCAAGATGGTATCATGTTTCTGCCACAACGCCCCTATCTGAGCCCCGGAACGCTCCGTGACCAAGTAATTTACCCTGACGGCCACCTTGATATGCGCCAAAAGCGCAAGTCTGAAGATGACCTGTTGAAGATTTTGGAAGAAGCGAAGCTCGGCTACCTTCCCGATCGTGAGGGTGGCTGGGATACACGCAAGGAGTGGAAGGATGTGCTGAGTGGTGGTGAGAAGCAGCGCATGGGTTTTGCCCGCCTGTTGTACCATGAGCCTCAGTATGCCATCATTGATGAAGGCACGAGCGCCGTTTCCAGTGATGTCGAGGGCCTGTTGTACGAAACTTGTAAAGAAAAAGGCATCAGTAAGTTTTTGCTTTGCTATACCAGCACTATTAACATTTCTAACCACCCTTTCTTCTAGCTCTGATTACCATCTCCACACGTGCATCCCTCAAGAAGTACCACTCCTTCAACCTTGTTCTCGGACAAGGCGAGCGAGGTGACGAATGGGAGTTCGAGCGTATCGGCACTGAACGTGAGAAGATGCAAGTCGAGAAGGAAATCCAAGAAATCAAGGAACGTCTTGCTCGGGTCGACGAGTGGACACAACGCCGCGATGCTATTGAAAAGGAACTCGCCGCCGTCTGGACTGAACAAGGTGAGAGCCTTGAAGCACCCTCGTATGTCGACGCCCGTGAAGTGCTAGAGGATGATGCAAAGGAGGAGGAGAAGGTCGAAGCATCTGCCTAGGCGCTGAGACGAAAGACACGAGAGCAACCAACGCCGACATGATATTATATTACACCATGTAGAAACAGAAGCAGGGATATTTTCGATTTGCATGCGTTTTCCTACACACTTTGCATTTATGTTTTGGATTTTCTTTAAGGGAGAAGATGTTTGTAGGTGGTCTAGAACAAGAACAACCCAGGTCTGTCGTTCCTTGTATATACGCAATACTATCAAACGAGACGCAAACAGTTGCAGCAAGAAATTGCCGCAACGATTTTACAAGCCGTTTACTCAATAGACGATTTCAACATAAAAAACTAAAATTTGTCGCACGAAGCTGTTTCCTGTTTCCCAATATCACCGACACGACTTCAACTCTCTGGTAACAAGCTTGCTTCCTTTGCACTCACCGAAGACAAACGCAGACAAAAAAAACCATCTGATGTTGCAAAACATCCCTACTCAGGTTAGTGTTGCGGATATCAATTAAACTTGCATCTCCAGCCTCTGCTAATTTGCAAGAAGTGAACCGGAATTGCTTTTTCCTCGAGGATTCTCGCTCCATCCCGACATGCACCCACGCACCTGGTTCTCCTTTGGCGCAGAGACATGGGCCAGGGATGCTATGGCGCCTTAGAAGCGCATGCAAATATACCGCCCTTCGCTATTCGGTCTGTATGCGGTCGCAGCGCCATCTATTTCGAGGGGCGGAAGGGGAGGCGGAGGGAGCGCGCGGCGAACGCTGAGGAAGCCCACCGGCCGCTCGCATCTCCTTTTACATTTTAAATTTGGAAGCAAATCGAATTTGCCCTTGGCATTTGCTTTGAGAAATTGTTCTCATGATTGCGAGATTTCTGGGGAATTGGGCTTCCATGTCACCCCGGCGCTGGTCGTGATGTCGCATCCGGAGCAACGGCGCGGCGTAGTATATCTTTGTCCTCTTCAAGCAAGGCCGAACCACCGCCATTGAATGACTAAGGGCTGATACCGCCCGAGACAGATTATCAAGCCGCAACGCCGTTGCGTCGAGGTTGCATGCGCCGATGCATGTTTCATTTGCAACATTTGCTTTTTCTTTCTGCGATGCACGTTGTAGTGCCTAGCCTCCTGGGCCGCCGCTAGTCTTGTCAATTTCCAATGCCTAGGGAACACCCAGGGACGCATGGCCGTAGGATTCTTTAATTAGGCACCTCTGGGTGGCCGGTGGATGAAGGGCTAGGCTTTCAACTCCCTCATATATGTCCTCGTGGTGCCGTTTCCAGCCAGAGACATGCCTTCTCGATCTTGCAGCTGCCGACCACGCTCACCACGACCAAACAACACACACATTTGACGTAAAGTCTACTGGAACATCTTCACGAACAGTCGGAAACCCGTTGCGCTCCGGTGTCTTGGACACCCTCTCAGCACTGAGCCATGTCCGGCGACGCCCGTAGAAGCATCCACGGCACGCCCGTCCCATCTCCTCGAGGCTCTCCTCCGCGCAGCGTAGGTGTGAATAGCCCGGGTTCTCGTCGAGCTTCATGGCAAGCGGGAATCACTACTCCGCCTGCAGCACCGGAGCTGTACCGCAGTCCGAGTGGGAGTGTACATTCTCGAGCGTCGTTTCAAAGCCTGAGCGGAATTCCCGAACATGCCGCTGCTATTCAGCGAAGTCCGAGTCAACGCAGTGTCAGCTCACATGCTTCATGGCAGAATCTCAATCTACCAATGGTTACGCAGACGGGAGAGCTTAACCGAGCGTTGCCCAAGATCCCGCTACGGATTCCGGCCAAAAATCCCAGGCGTAGTTTGAACCCTGTGCCAATTGCACCACCTCCGCAGGAAGTACCTCTTGTTTCATCCGCATATGTTCCTCCCTCACCAAGCTACTCTTATCCTGAGCAAAGGTTCGAAGGACCCCGAAGTGATTCCTATGCTTCGACGGCTGCCGTCAAGTTTCGGGACGGCTGCGCAGAGGAGAAGGAATGGGCAAGTAACCGCCAGCGAAAGTGCCGCTTTCTGGTATTTGTCGGCGTTATAACGATACTGATTATTGGAATTGCGGTTGGCCTGTCAGTTGGTTTAACCCACCAGTGAGTTTTATTTGTGGTTGTTTGATCAAGGGATTTGTGTACTGATTCCTTAGTCTAGGGCGCAAACCGCCACCAAGACCACGCCCCAGTCGACCAACAAATTCCCTACCGGGAAATACAAGATTCGAAGTAGCCTCCGATCAAAGTCCACAGGATGTACCTCACGAGCATCAACCTGGGCCTGCCCCGCCGACTCAAACGGTAGTGGTGCCGATCTCTACTGGTACATAACCGGAAAACGGTCGTCAGGGTATACTATTTCTGGGGAAAACAGCCCCATTATGCCAGCGTTCAAGGATATTTCCATGACCATGATGGATGAAGATCAAACCACGGAACGCTTCATCTGTGAGATGACCTTTAACAAGACGGTTCTCCCGGTAGACGCTAACACTCCCACAAACCGTGCCGCGAAATGCGTCTTTCCGAACACCGTTACACAGATAGTCTTATGGACTCGCAGAAGAGGAAATGACACGCTCAATGCTTCTGAGATTGACCGAAACTACGGTGTTTGGCCGGGAGATGTCGATCTACACCAAGTGAAGATATCGACCATTGGAGAGCCAAAGTGCGAAGACAAAGCAGGCGCTTATATTGCCGATGTGCAGGCATCTATCAGCAATTGTGAATGCCAATACGGAGCGATTTCGAATTAATCAATGTGAGACGAAAGCCATTCTCATTGTAAAATACCAGCCATTTTCGCCAAAAGCTGGTTTGTATTATGTAGCTTTGCGGAGGATAGGTTTAGGATGGCAGAACGTTCAAAAAGAAATTTGTATTTAAGAGTTCGCTATATATAGATTCATAATTTGGTTGCATCCCATAGACCTTATTGACATGGAGGAAAAAAGTTTTCAATATCAAGCAGGCTGAGATAGCAGTCTATTCAATTCCAAAACGCCGCCAGTCGTATCTGAGAGTAGGAAACAAAGAACTAAGCTTATACTCTGACATATGCTGCATGAAATTATTAGCAATAGACTCTTTAAGACTGTATTGGAGGATACTTACTAGCATCGATCTGCTTGACTTGGGGCAGAGCTAGTCGGACCTTGTTTCTGTATAGCGCAGGAGAACGTAGCTGAAGAGGATTTCCTTCGAAGTACACGGTTGTCAATTCTTCCTTATCCTTTAGCTCATGCTCTACTTCGCCAAAGTCGTGTATGAGATTATAACTAGCCCAAAGCTCTTCGATTTTGGTTAAACCAGACAAGCCTTTGAGAGAGGTGATTTTATTGTGAGAAATTTCGAGGGTGCGAAGGTTGACTCCATGTTCGATGCCGTCCAACGATGTAAGCATATTATGTGCAATATACAGTTCTTCGAGTTGAGGGACGTCTTTGAGAGGAGAGAGGTCTGAAATGCGGTTGGACTGGATACTGAGAAGTCGAAGATTGTGAAGGGGGGCTAGACCGTTGAGCTGGGTAATTTTGTTCTTGCCCACCCAAAGCTCCTCCAAACTAGTTAATGTTTCGAGGTTGGTGATCTCGCGGATTCGGTTAGAGCCAAGTTCTAACGACTTGAGCTTAGTAAGGCCATCAAGACCTTCGATTTTGCTGATCTTGTTGGCAATGAAGAAGACATCCTTGAGTTCGGTCAAGTGGTTGACGTGCTTGATATGCTTGATCTTGTTGTAGCTGAGATCTAGACTGTTGAGCCCTGTCAACTCGTCCAGGCCGCGAATGTGGGAAATCAGGTTATCGTAGAGATCCAAGTCGTTCAGAGTTGCGGCCAATGACTCCAAGCCCTCCATCTTCTGGATGTTGTTCTGTCGCAAGCAGATACGCGCCACTTTATTAAAACGCTCTAGGCGAAGTGATTTGATCGATCCGATTCGTGCATGCGTGCAGATGATTTCTTCTACATCTGGGCTTTCGTCTGCTAAAAGATCTGTGGAATAGGGTCTGTTAGGTCTTCAATTCTGCCAGTCATGATAGCTGTAGTGGAACGTCGCACCTTCGTCTGCGGCGATTTCCTCTCCTTCCAACACATTCTCGTCGTCTGAGTACTCTGGGTCCGAGAAGGCTTCTGGGTTTGCAACAACAACTTCCTTGGGAGGTAGTCGAAGCTTTCCATCCCATCCTTTGCTGTCCGTCAGCGGCGCAGCTGCTTCACCCTCTGGGCGCATCGTGGGAGGGTTGTCCTGTATGCTAATATGGGAGACGTCCGGGGCATCCGAGGAAGTCGTGGGCTTATCTGCCTGTTCTGAAGACATCTTGGTCGAAGAGAAGCTCGGTTGATGTGTTGTGAAGGTGGCAAGTGGGAAGCTTGAGGTTGTAAAGCGGGATGTTTTTTCTTGGCGGGGCTATGTTAGGCGTCAGTGTTCCTGGGCTTCAGTGACGAGGGGTGGCGAGCTGCTGATTGGGCCACTGCAAGAGAGCCTTGTTCCGGTGGGTCTGGGGAGCGAAAACGTTCCCAAGACAGGCGACTCGATCGCTGTAATTCCAGCAACTACAGCGGTTCCCGATTTTCGGTATTAGTGCTTTTAGGCATGTGTAATGACTGCGCTTCGAAAAGACCATAATTAATAGTACACAACCAATGTGTTTGATATGTATTTAGAGCAACGTAAAAATGGCTGAATATATTTATCTGAGTGACATATCATCAGCGTATATCCAGGTTTGGCTGTCTTGCAGATATGGGCAGATCGCAGCATGTAAAGCACGTCTTACATGTCATATCCTCGTGCAATGCACAGAGGGTGCCTCTTCCTCACACAAAGGATTTACTTTTGATTATTTATTTATTTACTTCGTAAGTATAATTACAATGAGACCTTGACATGGAAGCCCTATCAACCCATTTAATTCCCATGAGAGGTTCCTCTCGCGAAAGTATAACTATCTCGATGCCTCACTCTCGTTGGTGGTTGCGTGATGCATAAGATCCTTGCTAGTTGGTAACATGAGCCACTGAGTCACTCGAATCCTTGAAGGTCTGTATGACTTATACCAGCCTCACTCTTGGTCAACCAACCATGATACACCGGCTCACACGTACGCCGTGATGCCTAATATATAGGGAGCCAATCCCTCGTTGGTGCCCACGGACGGGATACCCTGTCCAAAGACAGTCAAGCTATGCCGCACTCCGTCATACTAGGTGCTCCACAGTCCGAAAGGGGAGGGGAGAGAAAAGTGCTAGTCTGGAGATATAGTCACAGCAAACACAGACGTCGGTGACTGTCTGTTAGCGACTTAGAAGTGCGAAAAACGGAATAGATCATTGCACCACGGCATGCGCTGCTATGCTTTTCGCATTGGCTTTATTTGGTTCCTGGAGAGCCAGAAATTTTGATTATCTCTTTCTTCCAACAATTCAGCTGCCAAAAATTCTCAAATCGGCTTCAGGTCCCATCGCCATACTGCACGCTAATCTTGGAGTACTGGCGAGATGTGCTGCTGCCTTGAGTCGCTACCGCACCAGCCTGTTGGGGTCAAGACAATGCGACCCACAGCGACAGGGATATGCTTTTTTCTTCTCTTGCCCCGAGCTTTGAGTGTACAATAGGCGAAACTTATCGGCATTGTCTGTGGCTGTTGGCGTGGTTGTAGAGGGTCCTGTAGGACGACATCTTGTCCAGTGACATTATTCGCAGCGCCGTGGCCATGATTAGCGAATGAATTCATAAAAACAAGCGAGAAATCACAGAAGAGCCAGCTTAAAGAAATCCCCACTGCTGAGCGTGCAGAGACACTCCCAGCCACCAGCTTTTTCCCCTTGTTGCTCCTGCGCCGTGAATGCGGCTCGCTGGAACCACTGTAGCATTGCAAGGTACAGCGCCCGCAAGCCCACTATGGCTGACTCCGACCCCCTTGAAAACTTCCACTAATTGATCACGTGAGGGCGCGGAGAGGACGTGTTGCCGCCGCTCGCGCCACTTTCATTAGACCGCGTCAAGATCACCATTGGCCAGAGCTCGCATCAACGCCCGTTTTTGCTGGACCACCCCTGGTGTAAATGGCAGCCCCCTCGCTAGTACGTAGGCAGCCGACCGGAAAGGTTTTCTCCCCCCTAGAGAGTAGTGATTGTAAAGGGGCGTGAATGAGGCAAACTGTCCGACTGAGGAAGTATAAATGCCGCCTCGGCCCTCATTCTTCATGTTGCGTAGTATGCCACGTTAGTCCCAGGCTCCGGTAAGTCTTTTTCAGGCCTGAAAAACTTTACTTTTTCTGTTTCCTCATTCTCAGGCGCCACGACGTCCCCCAGGATCAACGCAATCGCCACCTCACCATCCTCGTAATCTCTAAAAGTTGTTGCCTCGTGTCTCAAAAACTGCGGCCTTTAATTGCCCATCGCCCAACACTCCCATATTTCCAACCGAACCATCCTCCACCAAAAAAATCACCCTCCAAAATGTTCAGCACCAAACGCCCAGACTCTGTCTCCAGAAGCTTTTCTAAAGGCCACAAGGCCTCCAAGTCTAGCGCATCTTTTTCTGCTCGAGATGCTGGTGTTAGCAAAAGACGCCATGACTCCCGTCAGAAGAGGCCTACTACTGCATCTATGAGCATGACTCAGGATGATACCATCATGGGAGGGTATGTTGCCACTTCACTGATCGAGTGCACTCTGCTAACTTATCTAGACAAAATGGCAACATCGTCACTCTCGTCGTCGGAAGCGAACAGAGGCTTTTTGCCGCTCATGAAGAGGCTCTCTGTGCCAGTCCTTTCTTCTCCAACGCACTTCGAACGTCATATGTCGATCCGATGGCGAAGAGAATCGCCTTGCCCGATGAAGAGCCCGAAATCTTCAGCTCTGTTCTCGAGTTTCTTTACAAGGGAGACTACTATCCCCGTCTTGTCCACAACAAGAGACGCAACTCTTGGGAGCTTGAGTCTACCAATGATGAAAACCAGGCTGGAGTCGAGAGCACAGTGTTTCATCGCAACGTCGACGGCGATATTCTCAAGGATACCGTCATCTACTGTGCTGCTGAGAAGTATGGGCTCAGCGAACTGAAGAAACTTGCTCTACGTAAGCAAGGGCTTCGTAAGTTCTCAGTCATCCAAATTATACGGACGTCACTAACTGAAGAAGAATCTGGTATCCAGTGCAGCACCATCTTGGCATCTGCTAGATACGCATATGCAAACACCCCCGACACGGACTCTAAGCTCCGTGCTCATTATCTTGCTCTTATCATCCGCTCCAGGAACACCTTCAAGCGCAGCGGCACTATGCAGCTTGAGATGTTTAATGGTGGAACCCCTCTTTTCTTTGACCTCTTCGTTGCACTCTGCAACCACGTTGATGATATCTCCTCCGCTCAGTGAGTTCTACACATGTATAAGTGACAGCACCACCGTATCCTAACTTACATCAGAAGCACCCCACGTTCAAACAGACACTTCTCTTAAACATCTCCCCCAAAAGACCCATCTTAAAACACCAAAATCCCCTACTCTGATCCTCCCACGTGGAGTCGAATTTCACTTCGTTCATCGCTGCACCATGCACGTTCTGAGCGCCGCACGTGGCCGATTATCGATCGGAAGATCGACGATCAAGATCCGGACCTGTGCAGCGATGCCCTTTTACTTTCCATGTGCTTTTTTCTTTTGTTACAATATCCTGGGTTTTTGGAGTTTATTTTTGGATCACGGTTAATTATGGCTTTTCTTTGTTTCCTTTTGAGCAACCCATGTACAAATACTTGCCCGCAAAAACCTCTGTGATCAAAGCGCCACTCTGGTCGGTCTTTGGTGTCTGTTGCACCAGGAAAGATTTCGACAAGTCATGTCTTTTTTTGTTTGATAATGATGGCTTTTATAAGTAGTGATTTTAAGAATTTCTTTTGTATGCTTGAATCCTTAGTTCTTTGAGTATTTAAGGTGTTGTCCCCAATGTCTATTAGTGAGTACCTAGTTCCGCTGCCGTAATCAATATTGCACGGACTGGGCTCACGCAGGTATTATATGCCGGTACCAGGGAAAGCTCCTTTCTTCGATAAGACCACAATTCCTCTCTCTCTGGCGATATAGCCTTTCATTAAATCCTGTTCAGGATAAGTCAGTCAGCAGGGTTCCAACCAGTTAATCTGGCTTGTACTGGACTGTATTGCGCCTCTTACCTTGTATATCATGTTCGCTAAGAGACATTCGACCTCGTCATTGTCCACCAAGTCGCCACCACTGCCCATAGATATCGCAGCACTGAATTCTGTAACCGGTATTCTGGTTCGGCGAACTGGTGTTGTTTCACCCTCCTTCAACTCATCGAAGCCGCCAGCAATGAAGACTTTTCGGAGTAGATTACGAAGTGCAATGTCTCTTCCGCGTTCTAGTGTCAAATAAATACGACGCTTCACAAACTGATCCTCGCCATGTTGGAGTGCAATGTCGAAGGCTTGAAGATCTCCCTTTTTAATACATTGTGCTAAAGGAAGAAATAGTTCCTGGAGGCGTGGGTATGGTCCAAGGAGTGCCTTCGTTGGGAGCACATGGCTGGTGAGTAGCCGACATGGAATCAAGTACGTCAGAATTCGCCTGTGATCGTTAGCAAGCGTAGCCTAACATCTTTGTTCGATTACACTTACTCAATGTTTTCATGTGCATCCTTCTGACATAACTGCCACGCTTCTACAAGATGTTTTTCGGCCTAAAATGTAGGTCAGTCAACGGGCCCGGGGCATAGCATGCAATCGCACTCACATCGGCATAGTTTTCTTCTAAGAAGAACAGAACGCCTTCGTAATATTTGAAAGTAACACGTTGGGCTTTCGGGAAAAGATCCAAGTTGGGGATATCTCCTTTTGCATTGTATGCCGCTAAAGTCTTCAAGATGGTTCTTGAGATTGATGCCGAGTTTAACTTAAAGTATGTTTTGAATAGGAGGTTGGCGATGTAATAAATGCCCCATTTTCGTGAACTCTCCAAAGGAGCTCTGGTATCTTGTTAGTGCATGGGGCCAACAACTCATAAACCATCTTACGTACCTATCGTTGAGACAGAGTGTAAAAATACGTTTCAACTGCTGCTCACAGTCTCTGAGCTGGCTCTGCTTTTGTGATTCTGGATCAAAGTCGTCCTGCATAATGTCCGCATTGTCCGCGACGGTATCCGTCATTTGGCTTCGCTCAGCGTCTGACTTAATGGCGAAGAGCCTGAGGTATTTTCCAACCATATAAAGAGCCGGTATTGTCCAAGCCTCGAATCCATGATTGTTGTAACCTCGGATAAGCATTGATGTGAGTTCCTTCCAGGCTTCATATACTTTTGTCCAGGATGACTAAATCCCAATACCATTAGCAAGCTGGCGACTTCTAGATATCGACATACTCACCCTGCCACTTTCACCGGACACAATCTCTCCAATAGCGTGCCAGTAGGCGACATAGACGTCGACCCAACCGCTCAGCTCATCGTGGGTTAACCCACCACGGTGACCAGTAGCGGTTTTAATAAAGTGACGGATATCGCCTTTGACACTATGAGCATTTGTGCTTCTCCAAATTGCATTCAATTTATGAGGCTCAGCAGCCGTAGAGACGGGCGAGAGCGTCTGAGCGAGGATGTAGCCATGCTTAGCGGAATGAGCTTTGGCGAAGTCTTGGAAAAGCTCATTCATCTTGCCGTTTGAGATTTAGACTCTGTTAAACATAAGATTCCAAGCAGTCTCTTGATGCAAATTGGGTTAATCACACCAAAAACTTGAAATCGAACTGCCGTCTAGCTGAAGCATATACCTGGTCGTTTAGTAGAGTTCAACCACCACCAGCACGATGTCCGCGACTGCCCGCTAGCTGCCCCTCCGCCAGCAGCATAACAGCTCCACTACTCAAATGCGCTTGGGTACGTACCGCTTATCAAGAGGGATCCACTTATTTTGCTACGTACGAGCCCAGTAGTTTTGTCCACGTGACTGGCCACAACTTCGACTTTTGAAGTGTGGGCCTCGCTTGGTCCATCAGCCAATGAAAACCCAGGTGCAAGCCCTGCACCAAAGAACACTTGCCAACCCTCTCCACTCGCCCGCACACAAAAATTATCACTGTTTGTTCGCTCCAACTTTGACAACCATCGAATTTAGCGATTTGTTCGACAGTCACAGTCACCGTAAGTTGGTTTCTTCTTCATCACCAGAGTACTTTTATTAACATTTGGTTACAGATGGGTAAGCCTTTTATTTCTTCTTCTCGTTGCCGTCTTCTTCTATCGAATCCGACTTGCTGCCGCCAACCTTTGCGTCCAACGAAATTTTACGATGTCATCACGGCCGTCCATACACCATTTTGCACCAACTTTGAGGACGAAATTGATCACTATTTGAAGCATGCGAACAGTTCAGACTCCATGGATAAAGAATTACCATCTATCCTTCGGCATCCGGGAACGAAATGCTCATGATTTGCGCCCAGCGCAGCGACAACCCCCATTCACGAAACGACAACAAGCAGGACTCTCAGATGAAGACGGCGACATTTGACGAAAACCACATGGAATGCTAACATATGAATCAGGTCGTCTTCAGGAATACGAGGTCATTGGCCGCCACTTGCCCACCGAGGCTAACCCTACTCCCGCCATGTACCGCATGACCATCTTCGCTCCCAACACCACCGTTGCGAAGTCTCGTTTCTGGTACTTCTTGCGCGGTCTTCGCAAGGTCAAGAAGGCCACTGGTGAGATTGTCAGCGTCAAGGCTGTATGTACCGACTAGAAACCCTGGCCTATGGAATTTTTATTCTGACAATACTTTTTTGCAGATCGCTGAGAAGCGCCCCCAGACCGTCAAGAACTTCGGTATCTGGGTCCGTTACGACTCCCGCTCCGGCACTCACAACATGTACAAGGAGTTCCGTGAGATGTCGAGAACCGATGCCGTCGAGGCTCTGTACTCCGACATGGCTGCCCGTCACCGTGCTCGCTTCAGGTCCATCCACGTATGTTTTTGATCATCAAGGCAGGAACAACTAGCCAGGAACCCGACTAACTAAAATTTTCTATAGATCCTCCGCGTTGTCGAGATCGAGAAGACCGATGATATCAAGCGCCCCTACATCAAGCAGCTCCTCACCAAGAACCTCAAGTTCCCTCTCCCCCACCGCGTCACCAAGGCTGCCGGCAAGAAGGTCTTTGCTGCCCAGAGACCATCCACCTTTGCTTAAAGTGTTTTCGTTTAGAGGAAGGGTTTGGCAGGGTCCTGCAGGTGTTAACTACGGATTTATGGAAATATCAATGCATTTGCTCCATAAAGCGGGCAACGAATGAAACCAAAAATTTTCCACGAAGGCGTGTTTGACAGGTTTTTCAAAAGTGATATAAAAATACTTCTTACTCATTTCAACTGAATCTGGACGTGCCCACTGTGTACTGTTTGTTGATTGAGCAAGCAACTATTAATTTGGGTCTCGATAGACTCCAGTAGTCCGGCCAATACGGAAGAGCTGAACAACAATTGCAGCAATGTAGACGTAATTTTTAACGCCCATTCGGCTTCGGAGACCGCCTAATTGCCTTTTTAGGAACTTACGGTTGAATAGCGCCGCCGACCCTGAATCCCGTGAACATGACTCACAGATTGCATCTTACACTTATAATACCACGAGCTCCGCCCCCAATTCCCTTCAATAACTTCCGCCTCTTTAATTCAAATCCCAAGATGGAACACAATCAGCAACCAGTCGCGCCCGATACAATGTACGGGCTCGAAGTTACGCCAGTATCAAAAGTGTCGATCAAAACAAAAAAGGCAAAGCCTTTTCTTCCTCTCAGCGACAGGAGGCCTATTTTGTCGGAGAGAATCTTGCTTCGCCCATTCCAGGCCAGCGACTTAGACGCTTACCACCGCCTACGATGCCAACCTGACGTTATGAAATGGACTGGTCAGGGCCGCCCGGATGCAAACATTGACGAGACGAAGAAGAGTATGAGCCTTCTCACCCCCCCCGAAGGAGATGCCGGTGACATATACGCAATTACACTCCGCGAGACTGGCGAGTTTCTCGGCTCGGTAGGTATCCGATACCTGGACGGAGCCCTAGGATGGCCGGAGCTTGGCTACATGATCCTTAAGGAGCATTGGGGCAAAGGATACGCTACGGAATTTCTACGTGCGTATCTCGAGCACTGGTGGGCTCTACCACGAGAGGAAACGGAAACCGAATTGAAGGTCGATACCAGGACACTCTCGGGCGAGGCGCCTGGGTCACTCGTCAATGAAAGGTTGACAGCAATTACTGGTGGAGAAAATGACGCCAGCAAGAAGGTTCTCAACAAGTTGGGTTTTACGTTAGTAGCCGCTTATAGGGAAGAGGAGGAAGAGGCCCATTTAGGTCAAGTTGGGACCGGTTTCGTTCTGGCGAAGCCGTGACCGGGGGTGGTGACTGCCACTCCGCAACTGCCGTAGTGGATAGGTCGGCGCGGATGTCGCACTTCTAGGGACCCCGAGCCGAAGCCGAGTCGCGAGCAACCGCGTCCAGGACCCGAACCCTTCCGCAAGCATAGAAAACGTTGACGTACATAAAAACATAAATATTCCCTTCAATATTTGGCTCTTTGTTCCCTCATTACTCAGAATCCATTCTATTTATACCTTACTCGGCGCCATGCAGCTCAGCAACCCCTCACTTGTGGCCGTTGCCACCGGTATCGTTGGTTCGGCATGGGCATCTGGTATGTGCATCAGCCCTTGTATGAGTTATATATGGCATAAAATCATATGCTAATAATGTAAAATTTTGTAGGAGCCATTGCCTCGGCTACATTTATGGGTGCTTCTGCTGCGGCGGCTGTCCCTGAGACTGCTGCTAGAACTTGGCTAGAACTGTACTCCCGCGGTGCTAATATCATGCCCAAGGTTGCTGCTGTGACCTCGCTTTTCCTTAGCTACTCTGCTTATGAAGCACGAAGACAATCTGGAAAATGGAAGGGCTATGTGCTGGCTGTGGTGTCGGTCATGGCCATCGTACCCTGGACTCTGATTGCCATGAAGCGAACGAACGCATCGCTTACAACCCAGGCTCAGGCTGGCCCTGCTGCTAACAAGGAAAAGGTTACAGCCTTAATACGAAAGTGGAATGCTTTGAATTTGGTTCGCAGTAGTTTCCCACTACTTGGAACAGTATTTGCGCTGCGCACGTTCTTGAGTAATGTTATCGTCGTCTAAGCTGTACTAATATCAATTCGTCATTGGTAGTATGTATTCTGATTAATAATATAAATTACTTAGGAGTAATGCAATCGCCCTGCCATGCCTAGCTGAATGGTTCATTTTCTAGCGTTCTGGTTCTTAGGAGCTGCAACGTTTTCAGTCGAGTTCCTCCACCTCATCATCATCTAATTCGCGGAATTTACCCTCCCGAAAAGCTTGCTCTACAGGGTTTTGAACATCAATGATTCCATTCTTTTTCAGCCTATTACATGTTAGCTAACCGGATCGAATGATAATGCGGATGACGACAAACCTCTCAAAGAGCACAAACAGCTTTTCAGCCTCGCGTTCCTTTTCTTCCTGAGTCATCTCGGGGACATCGGTATGCTTTTCTTTGTCCAAGAATTGGCCGGTTATAGGGTTCACATCCCTGCTATTACCGCTGGCATCGGCGGCGCTAAAGGCCTCCGAGGCTGAGTTGGGGATTGGTATGTTATTGGAGAAAAGGAATCCAGAAGCGAATCCATATCCAACATTCTCGACAAACTTCGACGCGTCTCTACCGGAAAGATCGAATTGAAGATGTGATATGGCGTTACGAAGAGCTGGAGTAAGTGGATTTGTAGAATTCTTCAACAGCTTTGACGATAATGTGCTTGTCTTGCCGAGTACAGCTGTGCGGTCTTCCACTGTGGGGAGCAGTGTCATTTGCATGGTCTCTTGGACATTGGTAGGCGCATATTCGTACAGCTTGGTTATCACACTAGCAAGGGGCGTAACAATGTTATCAAGTTCACTCCCTTGATAGTCTGTTAAAGCGCCATCAAGCAATGTGATCAATCGAGAAGAAACTTTTGTAGGTTCTGATGTCGGATACAGGATTGCTTTTGCTTTGTCGTCACTAAAATCAAAGTTAACCAATGCATTGACAAGAGCACCGAAGGGTGGCTCCATTGGCTTTTTCGAAGGGATATCGTTGCGCCAGAGGAGGGCGATAATATGCGTTAGACCTGGGTTAAACAGAGGAGCTTCGTCCTTGCAAAAGTGCATGATATTGAAGAGTAACTTCAGTGTTTCCGCCAGGGCCATGTCTTCCATAGGTTCCGTTGCACTGCTCGCCTTATTGGAAACTCGTTTGGCATGCTTGGCCAGATTCTCCAAGATGGAAGTCGCTAATTTGTGTTGTGCAATCAGATTCGACAGCTCAACAGTGGTTCCATAAGTGGATAGAAACAAAAGTCGTGAGATTAAAAATTCATCATCCCAACTTTGGGTCTTTAACTCCGCACAAGCTTTTGGTACAAATCCTTCGTCAACAAACATCTGGCGTGTTGTTGGTTTTAAGACCATGGCGTTGGCCAAAACGCGCAACGCTGCCCGAGAAGTTTCTCTAGAGGGGCTTTCAAATGCATGCTTCAGTAGCGTTTTTATACCCTGTATATCTGCTTAGCCCCGAGTTGGCAGAACTTCTTCACCACGAGGGCAGACTTACGTCGGGTGTAAATATAGGATCGGAATTCGTCGGATCTCGACCGTATATTTTGAGTTCTTCCAGTGCCTCATTGCGATCTGAGTTGTTTTTATGAACATAAATCCCGTGAGTCAACTGGCTGATGCTTACCTTTCGGGAGAAGAGAGACATGTTCCAGGTCCTTAGTTAGTTTATCGACGAGTTCGGTTACAGCCTGGAGTTTGGCTTCATACTAGGTTAGCTCGGCTCCAAATTATGTCTTAGAATAACTAACCAGCGCCTGTTTTTGTACCCAACGTGGTAGCCATGGTGTTACTTGGTTCAGGAATGAGAGGAATCAAGATTGCGAGTGCAAAACGAGATGTTCCATTCAGAGGCTAGAACGCTTCCACACAGGTCCTCGGAGGAACGTCAAGCCTTTACTTCTTTTTATTTTTAAGTAAGTTCAACGAAGTAAAAGGCCGGATATACAACTGTTCCAATAGCAACGTTACCACCAAGCAAGCAGCAAAACGGATATTGGGACTCTGTTGTATTGACGTGGGGTGAGAGGAGTTGAGCCACATCCCTTTGCCCCTCCAATGTTCTCTCACTACCTTAAGCTTGCTGTGCTGTGCTGTACTGTGGGGTGCCACACGCTGCGGTGGAGTCTTGCGCTAGAGGGCAGCCTGTGGCGCTGCCAATAGCTTCTCCTAGACCAGGCCCCACGCGCCGTAATAGGTGGCCGCCAAAAAAGTACCCTTAACGCGTCCTGACGTGCACCGTGACCGCGTTGCTCAGCGTAGACAGAAGAAACCTGGTCTGGTCGTAAAAGCTCCTAACCACCATCATCTCGAAAATCCATCCATCACCGCCTGGCATTTAGCGGCGCTCTGCTTATCTCTCATTCTTTACAACTCTGCTTCTCTACTGCATAGGTCAAACAAAAATTGCCATTCGATCTATTTCGCTTTCGATTCCAACATCGCCTTGCCCAGATGCAAAGGGGCGTCCACGTGCTAGACGGCCAACTCATCGCTCTCTAGATTGCCCGCGCTGCTGGCGCAGCCATGGCATCTGCAGTAGCTTCGGCCTCACCGACCATCTTTGAGTCGTTGCCTGCGCGGCCGCCAACTCCTCCTCGAGAAGCCCAGCACGATCCTGAAGCTTCTGCAAAGGCTGCTGTGACGCGGGCGACTGTCTTTGAACCTGACCACAGCCTACAGACACCACCGAACGCGAACACCGCAGCTATTAATGGTGGTAGTTCTCGGTCAAATATTGGCTCAAGTAGACTGAGGAAAAAGGTTGAATGGTCAGCTCATACAGACTACAAAGACGCCGTCTCGTACAACGACACGAGCAAGCCTGGCAAACTTTCACCACCATCCGCACCCCCCTCCGCTCAGTCGAAGCCCGTTAAGGGTATTTTAAAACCATCCTCATCACCTCTTCCTCCTATTAACCCTCTTGGAGGGCTTACGAACGGCCATGCTACACAAACAAATATAATCGAAATGCTCGATTCAACGATAAAGCAGCTGGCTGGCGCTGATCGCCACTCGCGCCTCGACGCCTACATGACGTTGGCACGAGCGCTAAAGGCGTCGAACAATCTTCCCGATCGCGTGGCGTTGCAGGACAAGATGAGCCTCTTCATGCAGTTCATTCAACGAGATGTCAATGCGAAGGGGGATAACGCCGGCCCGGACACGTCTCTCATTAACCACGCTCTCAGTCTCCTGGCCACATTTCTTCAGTTCCCTGCCATTGCTTCGACGCTCACTGCCGACTTTGGCGTATTCATAGTTGATCATGCTACGCGCTGTTTCGAAGATGAGTCCGTTCCAAAGGACGTCGTACGTCATCTGATGCAAGTAGTAGCTTTCCAAAACTTCAGCGCTAAGGTTATGACTTCCGAACGTGTTGGGCGTCTCATTCTAGCATTGCACCGCATTGAAAATCATATGACAGGCAAAGGTATCATCATGAGTCGTATCCATATCTACAAGCGACTCGTGAAACAATGCCGTGTCCATATGATTACACACACTGATTGGATCAAGGATCTCTTTACTGATTTACTCAGCTCAATTAAAGAAATTCGAACACAAGCGGTTGCCCTGGGTTCAGAAGCTGGATTTAGCCTACGATCCGAGAAGCAGCTAATGCTTAAAGCGACCGAGATTTTCCAATCGACCTACGAAAACGAAACCTATATCGAGTTTTATATCAAAAAGCTACAAGATCTCATTAAAGATCGCCAAACATCCGCGACCGTACCCCAGACTTGGGGTGTCATTATCCTATTTCTGCGATGCCCTCTCGACAGATGGCAGCATTATGGACCATGGCTTACATTAGTCCAATCTGCTTTCAACATGGCAGACGCAACGACGAAACAGGAAGCCAACTTTGCGTGGAATCGATATATATACTTGTCAATTTTGGATACCAAGATCAGCCCGAAAGCGTTGGGCACTCTTTGCCAACCGCTTCTTAGCCAGCTGAAAAGAAAGACCAATCCAAAGCAACCCCAAGAAGCCCTTAAGCTGCGAAACATTGTTATTGGTGGTATTTGCAATCTGTTCTACTACGCTTTTGCTCCAGGAAACGAAAAGTACCCCCCTAGCATGGTTTGGGATGTGGCAGTCCAGCCCATTGTCAACTTGCTCATCAGCTTAGATGGGAAAGCGGACATGCCTACAGACTGCTTAATACAAGCCGCGAACCTGGTTGAAGGCCTATTGGACGTGTCAGTACCAAAGGTCTGGAGAGCAGACCGCATCCTTGATGTAGCTCTTCCCTCCCCGTCAGAGCTACCTGCCATTGACTCAAAATGGACGCGGCGACATAGCGACAAAATCCTACCTTTCATCACCCCAATTCTGGAAAAGAGCATAATGTCTCTTTCTGACCAGGAGGGCAGCGCATTTAAGCTCTGGCAAGCATTTGTCGGGTCAATCGCTGCGGCTTCTGCGAAGGATATCAAGATGTCGGATGAAACATCGAAGTTTTTGGCCGCTGCGTTTGGGCTCGTCTCGAAGCTGTGGTCCAAAGGCGTTCCGGAAGATGCTACACCAGAGGATTGTACCGCCTTTCTAAACAGCATCAAAGCCTTTGTTTCGGTACTGATTCAGAAGCTTGGTGTTCTTCCATTTTCTGAAAAGCGATTTTCTGCCACTGTATCCGACACTTTTGAACCGATCGCAACTCCCTCACAAGGCTCTGAGCGTACGCAACATGCCGATGGCGTAGTTCGTGTACCCTTGCATCACCTCTTCATCATTTTCTCGTCAGCACCTCCAGGTATTGGTGATGGTGATGCATTAGCCCAATTCTTCCAAGCTGTCTTGCAACCATTTTTCAAAGATCGTACACCCAAGGGCCGAACAGATCTCAGTAAAGAGCTTTTGCAACTTATCCCCCGAAACGCACTTTGCCCATGGGGACCATGGATGCTTGCAGCTCAAAACATGTGTCTGCCACAAGACAAGTTGTTGAATGCTCCTAATGGAAGCTCTGTCGACGTTGAACATTCTCTCGGTCCTAGCTATCGAGATATGGTGCTCCTTCTGGAACGTGGTCTCTCGGACTTTCCGAACCTTCCGTTAAGACATTGGCATGGCCTATTCAATGCGATATCTGTACACTCTATACAACAAATCGGGCACGCAGGCCAAACGTTGGCACTTTTGGAGCCTTTAGCAAAGTCGATCATGGAACAGTACTTCGCGCAGACCACTATTGAGAGTGATGCGCTATCTGTAACTGCGCTAAAAGCCGTCTCAGCACTTCTTTTGGCTGCTCAGCCAGCGCGTGATGCACAGGCGATCAACTCCGCGCGGCAAAGGCTTTGGGGTACACCTATCTCCACATCCAGGACCAGCACAGGTGATGCGTTTGATGCCATGTACAAACTCTGTAACCGTGTCCTGGAACTCATCTACGCAAAGCTTCCCCTGGAGGACGATTCAGAGGTGTCTAAGATGATTGATGCAGTTACAAAATTCCTTCAGGCATCATTCCCGACAGCTCAGCTACGTGTGCTAGCAAATATCCAATCCGGAATATGCCCAATCATTCAAGATGAAGCGGAAAAATGGGCCGACAATAAGTCACAGTTGACATCCATGGTACGTTACATATCTTCTACTGATTGCGAAGAGGTAAACTAACAAGTCTGAAGATCTACGAGATGTGGGACGAGGTCTGCACTGAGCTGATTCAATCAGCTGGAAGCAATAAAGACTTCACTCAACAAATTGAGCCACTGTTTATGTCAGCCTTCCAGTCAAAACATGGCGATGTCATTAACAAGGCTGCTGAAGCGTGGAATAAGTTGGCCAAGGATGAGGACAGTCTCGAGTGCTCCGACAACCTGAAGAGTACACTCTCTTCATTGCAATCTAAGCTAGACCTTGTTATGCCAGGGGCCAATGCAGCAGAATCAGGGGCTCAAGCCAATTCTCTAGGCAACCCTAGCTTTATTGCACTATCATCGGCTTCGTCACAGCATGATAACGCAGCTGAGTCAACTCCTACAACGGCCCAGCCCAGAGTGCCCCAACGTAGCTCTTCAAGGAGAAGAACTGCATCGGCACGAAAGGAAGCGGAAAATGCTACAAAGGTCACAAAAGCAGCGAGTACACCTAGGCGACTTCGCCATGAAAACTCTCAGCTTCGCTTTGCTCATATTGCTTCGTCATCACCGATGGCTGACGAATCGCAACATTTAACTGAGCGTCAAAAAGAGGTTCGCTCGCGGCAGCGCAATAATGCGGGCATGTATTCTGACTTGGTCAACTCATCCCCTACTAAGATGGAAATTGATGATGGCAATACGGGTTTAGAGCACAAAGAGTCTCGCCCATACTCAACTCCCAAGCGAGGTTCATCCTTTAGTAAAGTCATCAGCTTGACACCAACCCCGCGAAGAGGGCAATTCTTACAAATGGATGATGACCCCCCTTCATCACCGCCTCTTCCTAGACCAGATCCTCTTCAGTCCGAAATTCAGCTACGGTCCCGTGGTAGTAGCGTCGTTGAATCATGGCAATTCTCCTCACCCCCTGGAAGTCCTGTTGTTCAACAATCTGCGTCTCGGGCGCCTAGATCGCAGCCCCAGAAATCGAAACAGGATACCCCTGTGGAAGCAGCTCAGCCACAAGAGGAGCCGACAGGGAAAAGGGTTACTCGAAGCCGCCGCCATACAATTGGAGCCGCTGCCGACGATGAGCTAGTTATCCCATCCAGCATTGAGGTTCCAGAAGCGGCCGTGGATGAATCTGTCCGAACATCCAGACGCCGTAAGCAGCAACAACCGGCTAGTTCCCCTTTGAAAGCCTCGGGTGAGGTATTACAGACACCTACAAAACCCTCCGTCCCAGAGCTGCGTCGAATGAGGTCAAACCCCGGCCCTGTTTCTAACGTACCAGAGGAATCTGAGCTCGATCCTGCCCCATCACCATCAAATGCACGTGGTAGAAGAGCGTCAAGACGAAGGCAGACGATGGAGTCTATCCCTACGACAGAACCAATTCCCCCTCCAGCGGCTGCACCTGAACTACCAGAGCCTGCCATCGTGATTGAAGTGGCAAAATCTGAACCATCGGAATCAACTGAGCTTAAGAGGAAGCGTAAGAGGCCGGCCCGACAGTCTAGTCGCAGTAGAAAGCGACGATCTGTTGGTGGACTGCCTACAATGCAAACTGAAGAATCTATTGAGAGTGCAGACGAAGACAATGTAGCACTTCCAGCTGTTGAGGAAGTGAGAGAAGTGGAAACGGTGGTGGCAAGCGAGCCTCTTAAGACTCCTGCTGTCATGCCTGAGCCCACTCGAGGATCCTCGAAACGACGACGAACCCGGACTCGAAGTCGAGGCCGCAAATCATCAGGCCCTCAAAGCAGTCCTCGAAAGGAAGAAGGTGACACTGATGAAGAAATCTTCTCTCAGCTTACCAATGAATCGAATGCTATGGCGCAAAGCCAGGCCGAACATGAGCAGGATGATGTGCCTATGGAAGACATCAAAACTCCCATAGAGGAGCTAACACCAAGAGCACAACCTTCAGTCCCAGAAAGTCAAGCTGAAGTTGCCGAAGCTCCAACATCCATTCTCAGCGCGCTGGAGAAAGGTCTCAGCCAGCTACGTGGCGCAACACTTTCGCGAGATGAGGTGTATAAGATGGAGGACATGTTGATGGATATGAAGCGCGAGCTCTATGCCGCAGAGCAGCGCGGACGGGGAACAGATTCTCTTCCACCAGGCGAAGTTTGATTTGAATCTTTGTTGGACTGAAGACGGACTTGTTTCTTTTGTTTGAAGCAATTCTCTCTGTTATTTTAAAGGCAAATATATTGCCACAAATTGGCTGATACAGCCACTCGAAGGCGTCTTTCTTAGTGGTGGATGGTCACATTGGGAACAAAAAGTTGACATTATAGAGCATAGTACCTTGTTAGGGTTCTTGGTTACTATGTTTCGTGGTAGCATTTGGTTTGGCGAAGCGGCGAATTGCACATTGGAAAACCGCTCGGGGCTATATAACTGTTTTTACACTTTGTATTAGCTAATTATGTCATGGAGTATATATATATGGATAATTTTGTATTTCAGCATTCCATTCTTGAACTCTGACCTGAAGCCATTGCAGTTGCCGAATTGGCGAAGAGAAACGCTCGTTGTTTCTTTGATTGCGTCCAAGATTTCGGGTCAACAAACAACAGTGGATGGACTAGGTATGGCCAGCTGTTTAATTACCCATGATTAATTCAACGACTGGACCAACTGCCCTTCTCGCCCCCCTCACTTGTTTGAGCGTCGGCCGACGACAAGTGCCAGGGCGCTGGCTGTCTCGGCTTTCCTAATTCGGCAACCCGAGGCGAGGAATGGGCGTTGACGGCAAAACGGTTGATCTGGTCGGCCACTCTTTCGCATAGGAAAAAAACGACCGAATATCGGAATTTGAGCGCGTTGAGTAGTGATATGAGCCACTCTTTAGATGTTTTGTCTTTCTTTCACTTCGCAAGCCGTCGTGTTTGAGTCACACTAACGGATCTATCTCTTTGTATGCAACTTCCAGACTGACTTGCATGTTCTAGAACTACTACTGAGTGGCAGGTGGCTGATTACGGAGTTTACAAAGATTTCTTCCTCTTTAAAATATCCATATTCAATATCCAAGTACGTGCCATGGCTTAGAATGGTACTGTGTGCACATGTAGTTCGTGCTCGGCTGTCGCGGTCCTTGCCAGGCTGCCAAGAGAGGTATGACGCAGTAACACTACGACAGGGGCAATTCAGACGAAAAGTTTGCAGTATTGTATGAATGTTGTTACCAGCGACTTTGTAAGCCAGGAGTCAGTTAGAATTTTCCTCCGTCCATCATATGTCGACCGTTGACGTCAGGAACGAAAGGTCGCCCACAAAAACTTGTGGGCTTTGGCGAGCATTGTACATCAACACGGCGGTTTACAATAAACGCTGCATTGCTTGGGTGGAGATAAGACAGGGAACACTGTCTTTCACAATTGTTTAGGGGAATGGGTTGTCCAATCTGCATTTGCATTCGCAGTCGTGGTCTGGTGGCTTGAGTAAGAGCCCAGCGGAGTTGTCTGGATGTACTAGATACTTTGGCAAACTCCCATCGCCAAACCCTGGTCGCGTGGCTTGCGCAATCCCATGTAATTTTTAGTTAGGCTAGACAGAACGCCGCCGGCTCAGATATCTGTGTATTTGTGGTGGCTTGCATGTTTTATGTCTGAGCGGATCGGACAGCACGCCGCTTCGGATTACCACTTTAGGAATACCATTGTACGATGCCTTTTCCCCCGGGACGCCTCGTGGTCTCGACCTCGTTCTATGGGCATCGCGTGCGACGTTCTTTCTTTCTCAGGGTCCAGATGGACGGGAAAGAAAATGAGGAGAAGTAGGCTAATTGAACGTTGGAAGACCGGTATGGTCTAGATTAGTAGGTGTAGATCTGGGGAAGCATGCTGCGTGGTCATTTGCCGGTTTGGCTATTTGCCATCCGACCAAGAACACTTGCCAGCTGCTGGCACTGTCAGACAGGTCGAACCAGCAGGCGCATCCTGTCTCTGCTTTCCCGCTCTCATGCGAACACAGGCCACGTTTCTTCATCATACTACAAAGCAATAGTGTACGTCCCATATTGACGAGCGACGACAAATCTAAGCCCTGCAATCGCGAACGGCCATCGACGGTGATACGAGGCGTGTTCGTAGCAAACAGCGTCACCGCTCTGTGAACTCACAAAAGGAAAACTCAGCCTGCCTCTATTGCCAAGAAGGGCGACCCATTAATCAACTGGAGAATAATTTGCCCTCGGGCCTCCTAGCGTCGACAGCCTTTGGTACCAATTTCAATTGCGCTTGGGGATGGACGGAGACCCACGTCGGCGCGTACTGTTTTGCGCAAAGAGCACCATGACATCATGACGTATTAGTACCCACGGCACACATTTACAGCGGGTCTCCGTATCCAGATCTGTCCCCCGGAACAACGATCCAGAGAAGCAGAAGTGCTGTGAAGTTTCTTATTGTCCGCAGAACAGGCTAAACGAGCGAATTAAAAAAAAAATGAAATAGGGCCATATCCATCCGAATAGACTAAATACATCATAGTGGATATGAATGTTGGTAGGGCAGCCCAAGCCGTTGCGCTGGCATGGAGTGTGCACGCAGGTCCGTTCCATCCATCACACACCGTATCTGTTCATTAGCCGACCTTAAGAGAACCTGTCTTGTCCATAAAGGCCGACGTCTTGGTGGCGCATCGCCAAACTATTCACAACGGCATACTGTCCGACTCAACGACTCTACCGAACCGGCAATGCCACGATGTTTGCCTAACAAGAGAGGGCTCATGCGCCGCATGTACACGGTACTCGCGAATGCAGGCTGGGAATAATGAGAAACGCCCCGAACTGCCTAACCCAACTGGGCGCCCTAGCCCATCCCCAAAACTGGGGGTGGTGGGCTTCTGGTGGGACGCGCTGTGTGCCGCTCCATAAAAAGTGTCTGCCTCTCGTGCCCCCCAACCTGTGAAGAGAGCGTTTATAAAGGACGGACTTCCGCACGACAGACTATAAGCGCTCTGGAATTTGTCGATCGTTTTTCTTGCAAGAGTTTTTGTTTCCCATACGTGGATTGACTGCAGAGACCAGTTGTTCTTTCACTAGAAGACTGTCTTGGCCTTGCTTGTTTCTACTAGCACTACTTCCTTTCCTTACACAGCACCATCTCGATTTGCGGTTGCCCAGCATGCCTAAGAAGTATTTGGGCTTGACCGGAAACAACCTCAACTGGGCTATTAGCACAGTTGCAGGTTGTGATTTCCTTCTCTTTGGTTATGGTATGTTTCTCAATGGCAGAATTTGAATCATGTTTCCCGTTCTCACACTTTTCACAGATCAGGGTGTTATGGGCGGTATCCTAACGCTCGACACTTTCCGCAGCACATTCCCCAGAATCGACGACTCGGCTAATGGCGACTTTACCGGACTATCGGAGTCGACTCGCTCGGTCTACCAGGGCATTTCTGTCGGATCATACAACTTGGGCTGCTTCTTGGGAGCCGTCATTACCATCTTCATTGGTAACAAGCTTGGCAGACGACGAATGATCTTCCTTGGCACCTCCATCATGGTGGTTGGTGCTCTTCTGCAGGCCACAGCCATGAGTCTCCCTCACTTCATCATTGGACGAATCATTACCGGTCTTGGAAACGGCGGCAACACGTCGACTGTCCCCATGTGGCAATCCGAAACCTGCTCCTCGCACAAGCGAGGAAAGCTGGTCATGATTGAAGGTGCGCTGATCACAGCTGGTGTCATGATGTCGTACTGGATCGACTTTGGTTTGTCCTTTGCAGAGCACACTTCTATGCCCTCTGTCACCTGGCGCTTTCCTTTGGCCTTCCAGATTGTCTTTTGCATTTTCATCTTGGCTTTTGTTCTCGGTCTTCCCGAGTCGCCTCGTTGGCTGGTCTACAAGGGTCGCTCCGACGAGGCTCGTGATGTCATTGCCTCTATTTCGAACTGTGAGCCCACTGATTCCTGGGTTGAGAACGAAGTTCACGCCATTGAGGAGACCAACAAGGCCATGAGCGGCTCTTACTCTGAAATTTTCACCAACGGCGAAAACCGCAACTTGCACCGCACAATTCTTGGATTCGTCAACCAGATGTTCCAGCAGATTTCTGGTATCAACCTCATCACCTACTACGCAGCCGTTATCTACTCCAACCTGGGAATGAGCAAGACGCTTGCTCGTCTGCTGGCTGCTCTCAACGGAACCGAATACTTTATTGCATCATGGCCTGCTGTCTTCCTCGTTGAGCGTGTTGGCCGTCGCAAGCTGATGCTGTTTGGCGCTGTGGGCCAGGCTGTTACCATGGCTCTTCTTGCTGGTATCAACTCAAGAGAGGAGACTGGCTTCCAGATCACCGGTATTGTTTTCCTCTTTGTGTTCAACACCTTCTTCGCTGTTGGTTGGCTCGGTATGACCTGGCTGTACCCTGCCGAAATCACTCCTCTCCGTATCCGTGCTCCCGCCAACGCTATTTCAACCGCTGCAAACTGGATTTTCAACTTTATGGTAAGTAGAAAAGAAGACGACTATACGAAGAAAGGTTCTAACATGAAATAGGTTGTCATGATCACGCCTGTGGCTTTCAAGAACATTGGATACCACACCTACACTATCTTTGCCGTCATCAACGCCATCATGGTCCCCTCTGTGTACTTCTTCTTCCCTGAAACCGCCTACCGTTCGCTTGAGGAAATGGATACCATTTTCAGCAAGGTGTCTGGCCCCAGCGCTGCCTGGGAGGTTGTCAAGGTTGCTGAGACAGAGCCGCGCCAGTACGGCAAGAATGGCGAGCGTCTCACCGCCTACGATGATACGGAGAAAGCTACTATCGAGCACGGCAATGATACGACCAGCGACGCGAGCAGATCGGTGGCTGAGAATCCCATGTTTTCGAAGCACAACGAGGGTGCGCCGGATCCCAAGGACGACTAAAGCCTAAGCATCTGGCTGATGTGGAACACGCCGATGGAGGATAATGCACAGTTTTCTGTTTACGATTGCCGATTTTTCTTCTTCTCTGTATGATGTGTTTTCTTTAGTCTTGTTTCAAAGACTAGATCTTTTGTTTTGTTTCGGCATCGATGGTCTGCCAGCAGTACCGCCGCCAATACCACCCACCCTGGTCCTTGTACAAGGTATACCGGACTGGCCGGTGTATATGTAGATGAGGGATGCTGACGATTTATATACCCTTTGTCCGTCTACGCAGCAAGCAAACAGTAGCAAGCAGCGACTCATATCTTGATGATACACAGATCTGTCTAGCTTGCAGCATTCTGACGATTTTAGTTTATTTTTCCCACTGAATATACAAACTCAATTCACCAAGTACCTTGCACTGCAACGTTTCGTTTCAAAGATATTGTCGGATGCTGGCAGCGTGGTAACCCGAGGTGAAGTGACCCCGCTCCAGAGGCGAGAGGGGCAAACAAACTTACCCATCTAGGCTTCTGCTTCAGTAGGCGAGGCGCCTCACCGTGCATTGGTGGTGTGTTTCATGTTTTTTAGCCCGCATATGGTTTGTCCATTTTCCGTCTTACCCAAATTCCCTGGCCTTTTGCCTTGTCACTACGCCTTTAATCCTTTGTGTTTCGCACCATCTGTAGCTGTTTTTTTTTTCTTAGTCCCCTCTGCGTAAAATACCAGACTTCTCCAAAACAAAACCCCATCATCGACAAAGACGCAGTCGCTTATCTTCCCGCGCGCTATCTCCATCTTTCCTTAGCCTGCGCCAGCAAGCAAGCAGCAAAAGAGAAGCCCTACCTACCCCGCCTACGTCCCGCGTCTCAGGTTTCACCGTCCCGTCCCGTCTCACCTTGGGCCAAGCAGCAGCTTCACCAAAAGCCAATTCGTCCTTCTTTTCCAGCACTAAATAAAAACACCACAGAAAATGGTTGAGAGACGCAACAAGCCCACCGCACTGGCTTCAACGCCCGGTCTTCCTCCCCAGGCCCAAGTCACCATCACCGACGGAAACTCTCGCATCCTTGCTACGCTGCCCACTGGCGAGAGCGTCGAGGTGCTTCTATTTGGCGCAACCGTCTTGAGCTGGAAAGATGCCACGGGCGACGAGAAGCTGTGGCTGAGCGAGGGCGCCAAGCTGGACGGCTCAAAGGCTGTCCGTGGCGGTATTCCTCTTGTTTTCCCTGTGAGTTCTTTCATCTATTTAATGTTGTTGCGAGTGAGACGATTGCCTGTTCTGCGTTGCTCGCACCAGATCGACAAGGCGCATGACCACAACCCAAGCTAGCCAACGATAGCAGCTAACCACTTGCATTGCATCTGCAGGTTTTTGGCGTGGCTCCCGACCACGATGCCACCAAGGCGCTCCCACAGCACGGCTTTGCTCGTAATTCGCGATGGGAGTTTCTCGGAAAGTCCACCAGCGAGGGCTCCAACGTCAAGCTTGACTTTGGCTTGTCGTCGGAGAGCCTGCCTGCTGAGACGGCCAAGCTGTGGCCCTACAAGTTTGGCCTGCTGTACAGCGTTACGCTGGACCGCGAGTCGCTTAGCACAACGCTTGTCGTGACCAACGACGGCGATGAGACGTTTGAGTGCCAGGCCCTGCTGCACTCATACTTTAAGATCAAGGTAGGAACCCGGTCTAATGGGGTATCACTTTGTTGAAGCATCCATCTACTAACACTTACTCTCTCTAGGACATTACTGATGTGCAAGTCACCGGCTTTGAAGACTCGCCTTACGACGACAAGCTGGACGGCGCCAAGACCAAGTCGCAGTCTGGTGCCATCACTTTTGACGGCGAGCTCGACCGCGTGTACACTCCTCCCGGCGGCGCCTCGCACCCCGTCAGCATCCGCGAGGGCGGCAAGGAGCGTCTCCGTATTGTCCGCGACAACTTGGACGACGTTGTCGTCTGGAACCCCTGGATCAACAAGTCTGCCGGCATGGGCGACTTTGAGCCCAAGGACGGCTGGAAGAACATGGTCTGTGTGGAGGCCGGCAGCGTCAAGGGCTGGCAGAGGCTCGAGAAGGGCGATACCTTCCAGGGCGCCCAGACGATTCACCTCGTCTAGACACGACACGACGACATGACTGAGAGAAAAAAAGATAATGACTTTTGGCAGCATCTGGAACATCAAACAGCTGCCTGCTGCGGCAGCAACTGCACGTTATACATCCGTCCCTTTCACTAGCCGCTTTGAAATGCAGAATACATCTACAGCATGCGTGATTTCGTCTTTTTTTCTATCTTTAATAATAAATAACCCGTCATACATAGTTTGGTCAAATGGAGAAGAATATCATTAATACCAATTGGCAGCTCTATATGCTACTTAAAAATGGCAATGTGTTGTTTTTATGTATAATCAAGGAGAACCTTTTTTTTCTTTTACTTTTCTTTTACTTTTCCTTTACTTTTCTACTTTCGGCCCGTCTTGCCCTCTTGCGAGAAGTGATCCGCCACCAGGAAAGCGAGCTCAAGGGCCTGCTTTTCATTCAGACGGGGATCACAGAAAGACGTGTAGTTTGTAGACAGGTCGTCCTCAGCCAAGCCTTCACTTCCACCCAGACACTCGGTAACAGCGTCACCAGTAAGCTCGAGGTGCATACCGCCGAGATAGCTGCCCTGCTCCTTGTGGATGCGCAGACTCTCCTGGAGCTCCTTGTAGATATCGTTGAAGCGGCGTGTCTTGATGCCGGCCTCGGTCGACAGGGTGTTTCCGTGCATGGGGTCGCATTGCCAGACGACGCAGCGGCGGTACTCAGAGTCCTCGACGGCGCGAATGTGCTTGGGGAGCAAGTCGGCGACCTTGCCGGCGCCGTAGCGGGTAATGAGTGTGATCTTGCCGGGCTCGCACTGCGGGTTGAGCGCGCGCAGCAGCGCAAGCAGGTCGTCGACGGGGGTGGTAGGACCGACCTTGACGCCAATGGGGTTGGCAATGCCGCGGAAGAACTCGACATGGGCGTGGTCAAGCTGGCGTGTGCGGTCGCCGATCCAGAGGAAATGCGCAGAGGTGTCGTAGTAGTCTTGGCCGTGAATGGCGAGGTTGCGAACAGGCAGGGTATCGTCGGCTTCGCCGGGAGGCGGTGATGGGGCACGGCTGGCGAAGCGGCTGGCAGCCGGTGAGCGGGCTTCGGGAGAGTCGAGAAGGCGTGTGAGAGCCTGTTCGTATTCGAGGAGGAGGCCCTCGTGGCTGGTGTAGATGTCGACGGTCTGGAGCTCCTCGGGGCGGGCGTTGATGACCTGCAAGAAGCGCAGGGTCTGCTGGATGCTCGAGGCAATAGTCGAGTACTTCTCCTTGAGTCCGGGATCGCGAACGTGTCCGAGGCCCCAGTCGAATGGGCGATGCAGATCGGCAATGCCAGAGGCAAGGGCGGAGCGCATAAAGTTGAGCGTGGCAGCAGAGTGGTGGTAGGCCCTAACAGATTAGATTTCGTTAGCAAACCCGTGCCTGGTCAGTGTACACAAGGACAAAATAAACTCACTTGAGCAGACGGTTCGGGTCAATCTCGCGCTCGTCCTCATGGTAGCCATTGAGGATGTCGCCGCGGAAGCTAGGCATTTCCTTGCCATTGACGACCTCGGTCGGGCTGGAGCGCGGCTTAGCGTACTGCCCAGCCATACGGCCGATACGGACGACTCTCTTGTTTGTGCCCCAGATGAGGACGACGCTCATCTGCAGGAGCAGCTTGATCTTGGACTCGATGGCATCCTGCTCGCAGTAGTCAAAGAGCTCGGCACAGTCGCCGCCTTGCAAGAGAAAGGCGTTTCCCTGGGCGACGTCGCGCAGGTTGGCCTTGAGGGCGGCAATCTCGGTAGGGTGCACCAGAGGCGGCATGCGGTTGAGCTCCTTGACGGCCTTTTGGAGTTTCGACTCGTCCGGGTAGGCGGGCGACTGCTTGATGGGCTTTGAGCGCCAGGTCGCCGGGGTCCAGGCGGCGGTGGACGAGGATTGTTGCGATGACGGCGCCATTGTGTTCTGTCAACTGAGTCAATACTGGGCTATTGGTGGTGTATGTGTAGTGGAAAAGCTGGCTTACTATTTTGCTGCTGCAGCTGCGGAGGCAATGCAGGAATTATAAAGCAGGACAAACGGAGAGCGGTTTCGCAGAGAGGAAAGCAAAAAGCTGGCAGGTTGCCGTGAGTCAGAAACCACTGAGACAATCGGCGGTGGTGGTGGGGTGAGGGCTATGAATTGACGTGACACGGCAGAGAAGAGTGCAGGTGCTGAAAAAATGGCGCAATTTTAAACAAACAATTGGAAAACAGAGAGAATATTGTCTTTGAAATTTTAATTGAATTGTCACTGTTAAACCATCAGCAGGGTAAAGAGAGTATCTCTTCTCGTTTGTAATCTTTGGCTGCTTGTTTGCGGCTTAACAAAATGGTGGCCTTCTTTTTTTTCGCTTTGCTTCCAGAAGGCGCTAAACTTGATTCGGTACAGCACCAGTCCCTCCCTCCGCTAGCGTCTGCCGGAGCGGCTGTCAACTCACTAAATCTAAGTCAGTCAGTCATTCTAGTATAAAAAGCCAAATTAACTATAAGAAAGTAGTTAGAGTGAAAATATTGGCACCGCTTTCTTAATCAGACCGTCTTATACACACATAGAACACAGTAGAAAAAAAGAAACGTAGCCGTACTGAACCAACCAGGACCTTTACGTTCATCCTTAGCGCTCCGGCACACTCACTAACTTAACAAGCTACCCCGCCATCTCAAACTGGCGGCTGTGTGTGCCATCTACCTCCCCTGCCATCTTCTTCCCCAGCTTCCCATAACCAGATAAAACTTCTAATTTATATTCCCCGTCATACAATCATGGCAGACGAAGAAACCCAACGAAAGCCCTCGTCCGCCGAAGACCGCAAAGCTGCCTCTGCTCTTGCAAATCTCGACGCCGACACCGCCGCCTCCACATCCGCCAATGTCGACCAAGATGCCGTCTCCAAAGCCATGAAGACGCTTCGCCCAGGAACAAAGGCCTCTGCAGCTGCAACGCTCAAAAACCCAGTAGTCTCAGCGCCCGCTGCGCCCACCAAGGCCGTCAAAGTCGACCCTGCAGATGTTGCGTTGCTTGTCGACCAGCTCGAGATCCCGAGGCCAAAGGCGACGGAGCTGCTCAAGAGTCACGAAGGAGATGCGGTCCGGGCCATGGTTGCCTTTATCACGCCATGAAGTCATGAAATAGCACACGCATACATTATTTATTACATTACGAAGCAAAACAACAACGTACATAGACACTCACGACATAGCAAGCAATACAGCACTTCTGCAATATAAAAAGGAGACACGTTTGATTTTGTACACAATGTCATCGTATATACATAAGAACCGCCACCAGTCCGGGCCAAGGATATCAAGAAAAAGGAAAGACTAGAGACAAAAAAGCAGAAACTCCATCTCGAATGTAAGCTAAAATGCTGCACCAAAAGACCAAAAAACGCCAGGTAAGTGCTGGTAGCAGTGATAGTAATAGAGGCAAAAGCCACCAAGAATTCAAAAACGGTACAAAAAACGTAAACACAAGATAAAGAAGTATCCCGGTTACTGCCAAGTTCGAGCCAGTGGGCTACCAATCTTGGGCGCAAATTGCAGACTCTTTCGTCTCGCCGCCATCAGTCGCAGTCTGACTTGCTCGTCCTTTTCAGGGCTAAGCATGCCTTCGCCCACGGTTCGGATGGGTAGAGTTGTCGACGGGCATGTTCGCAGAAGCGTCTCCACCTTGGACGGTGACAGTTGTTCCGAATCGTCGGCAAACGAGGGTGTCATTGGGATTTCTGAGGCATACTTGGACACCGCCGCTGGGGCTGGTGTCTTGGGAGCTGGCGTCAAGATGAACTTGGACCACTCAACATCGTCTTCATCGCCTTCTGCATCCTCCACGTCGCCCTGGTCAGATGGCGTATGGACCCAAATAGCGCTCTGTCGACGGTTGTATGGCGTTGTAGTAGCATTATCCTTGCTGCTGGCCTTGGATGGCGTCTTGACAACGCTGCCGTTCAGGTTCGCCAAAGCTTGAGGCTCCATACTCTTACGGCGTCGGGCGCCGCCACGGGGCACAAAGCTAGAGTCGACGAGATAAGGACCCTCGTCAAGCCACTCGTTTTCACGCTCGCAGTCGAGAACCCAACTGACACCTACACACTGCACAACGCCCTTGGCTTTGCGAATGCGCTCCATCGTCTTCTTGCCACCATCTTTGAAGACAACATGGGTGATACCAATGCGGCTGGATGACGAATCGTTCGGGTTCCAGTTCCACGTTTTGACGCACTTCGCGCCCATTTGCTGCAATAAATCGACAAAGATACCGCTAGCATCGGCTCCCTCGCTGGTGTGGACGTCTACAAAGACGACAGCCCCACGTAAAAGACTTGATGTGATCTCTTTACGGGGAGTTTGGGCTGGAGTGCCTGCTGTAGACCACATGTCGTTGCTTTCCTTAGTCGGTGAATAGGAAATGACAGTAGCACTCTTCGGCAGGCTACCAGTGCCGTTCGATGGGATACTGGAGGCGCTGAAGCTTCGCTTGCCCTTGAAGCCTGGAGTGGATGTATCAGCATCCTTCAGAGGAACTTTGGTAGTTGTATCCGCGTAAATCGTGGACACAGTTCGGCCTGGTGTAACAGGTGGCAACATAGCAGGATCGACAGGGATATCATTCTCATTGCCATACTCTTGGCTTGCCTCCGAAGCGTTATCATCAAAAGATGACGCAGCACCATGAATATCACCACCGCCGAAGGATAGTCGGTCGGCTTCGCGGGTGAGAGCTACATCTTCTGCAGTCATTGCAATCTCGTCGAATTCAGGCTCAAGCACAGCATTATCCTCAGCAGCTTGGACTTCATCCTCATCTTCACGCACATTCATTTCGTCGTCGAAAAACGTAGTCTTCATAGGAGAGGCGCCCTTGGCTGCAGATTGTGGCCATTGGAGTCGAGGTGCGGCAGGAGTTGCTTCTACCTTGAGAGGATTTGTTGCATCAAAGTTGGTTAAATCGTTGCCAAAGCTACCGAGTCCCAGTGTTTCCCGGCGATTGAATCGAGGCTTCGTGTTCGAAGTTGAAGCCAGATTCGACTCAAATGTGGTTGACTGTGCGCTGGGAGTAAAGGTGAACTGAGTTCTCTGTTCAGGTGTCTGAGGGTCAACAAGAGTTGGCTTGTCAACAACCACCTCGTCATCAACAAGACCCGATGTGTCGATAAGCTCGATGGAGTCATCCTCTTCCACGGGCTCGGCCTCCTCCTCAAACGTTGGGTCAATGTCACGAGGCACAACGCAAGATGGCTGACTCGTAAACTTGGGCATTCCAATTGGCGCGGTGCGAATGATGTTGGCAAGGTCCTCAGTACTAACATCACTCTCATCTTCTTCAATCAACTTCTCCGATGGTCGACGGCTATCGACCATCATTGGCTTCATCGCTGGCGTGTCGCAGAGTTGGTTGGAGGTCAGAGGTTTCAGACCAGGCATCCCCTTCTTTGCCGGTGACTGAAACATGGAGAGCTTGGCTGTATGCTGGGCGCCGTTCTTGGTCTGAATCGTAGTCAAATTCATACCCTTGATGGGTGAGGGAGGTCGTTTGGCAGGCGTTTGCCATAGGCTACTTTTGAAAGCGAGCGTGTTTTCACCGCTCGAATCTGTAGCACTCTTTGAGAATGGTTTCATCGAAGACGGGGGGAAAGAGATTCCGCCAATCTTCTTTGCTGGTGAGCGTAGTGTGTTTTCTCTGGTAGGCGAAGCAATAGGCCGGCGAGCTGGCGACCCAAGACCACTGGTGAGCTCATGGTTGTCGAGTATGGCGGCGTTGATGGTAATGGTGGAATCCACATCTCTTTCCGCGTTATCCTGTTCGGACTTTTTCGAAATACCAGCGGGATGACCACGGGCCGGACTCTTGGCCACGGGAATACTGCTGGGCATATCCTTGGCTTCCTCGCCATCTCGAGACATTGGCATCTGCGTGACCTTCTTCGGGCTCAACGGCTTTACCTTGTCTGTTTCGGCAGATTTAGTCGAGTCTGCTGTGGTCTTCTTCTTGGTCTCGGTAGCCTTCTTGGGGCCACGGGCCCGCAGGCCAATGGCATCGTTTTCCTTGACCTTCTTAGACGGTTCAATATTTTCCTTGTCAAGAGCATCAAACTTGACCGCCTTCTTGGGGGGCACCGTCTTTGCTGCAGCGGCAGCTGTTGTTCGTGTTACGGTAGATGATCTCGTTCGTGTTGTGGTTCGTTGGGCTGGAGCTGTCTTCTTGGTAGGCGCAGTTGTCTTCGGTTCGCTGGCAAGTCTCCTCGGTAGACGTCGAGGGGCAGCCTTGACTTCGGTATCGTCTGCATCGATTCCCACGCGTCCGCGATGTCTCTTGATGTTTGATGCACGTTTTGAAGATTCATCCTCATCATCAGTGTCGTCGGACCTGGTCTTACGCTTGGTCCCAGAGCTTGTGTGGATGGGGGTGGCGCCAATCAGCTTTGCCTTGGCTGCTGCTGTAATGATTTTGACACCGGAATCACCAGACTTGGCTGCCGCTCGGGCTCTCGTGATTCTCTTTGGCGGCGAATCCATGATGGGGTGTCGATGAATATGATGTGAAACTGACTTCGAGGAACAAACCCTGTTGTTTATATTTATTGAACCGGGGGCATGTGGGCTGGGCTTGCTGCAGACTGCGGGTGCACAAAAGCAGCAAAAGCAAAGAGTAAAAACAAATAGAAAAAGAAAAGAGCAAGCGAGATGTAGTTGTAGTGGCGGATGCACAAAATTCAAAAGTCTCCAAAAAGCTGTTTACGTCGCGCTGCAACAAACACACCTTTTCGAAACTGCAGGTGGAGTGAAAAGGGTCGTAAACACCAGCGCGGGACGTGAAGTCGTGTCTTGAGACCCTCCCGCATCACTCCCGCAGTTGGACCGCCACCCCCGGCCATGTTTGGCGCACCGTTGCTCGGCAACAACAAACAGGGTTCCGCCATACAAAACTTGGCAGCCAATTGATTATCTTCAGCGCGATTCTACCCTATGTCTACAATCAATATTTAGCAATTTATAGGCTTTAACAGTATCCAAGAAGTTGTGGAGTTTCATTTTCAAAGTACAAGAAACAAAAACAGTTGTATGGTCTTGATAGCTACTGTGCGCACGGCAATGTAACCAAACGCCCTAGAGTTCTCCTGTAGCACTTACTCCCAATCATTTGTCTATCCGCAAGTATATATACATGTCAAACATGTTCCTAGAAAAAACCCAATAAGAAAAACAACAACATAGCAACGGTAAAAGAAAGAAAATCCCATAATATATACATAGAAGTTTCGTGAACTTGCTTGAGCACACATTTCTATCGTATTGTTTCGTACCACAGGCTGGCGGTGACATCGTCTTGAGTCTTAAATGGTCCCCTAATGCAAGCGCGCTTCGGCCCGTAGCTCGATCGCGCAGTGTAGGTGGTACCCGCCCCCAAGTTGGCAGCCCGAACAAGACGCCTGCCAGGTACAGTAGCAACATCGGTGGCTAATACCACTCACCCCCATTCGAAACGTATTTCTTTAGGCAAAAATGGGCTGTAGCGTCGCAGTGTGCTGTTAATCCCTGGAAAATGAAGGGTGGCGATGAGGCCCTTCAACCTTGACGTCTCTGACCCCTTCGGGCATCATCCGAAGCCACTCATTCCACGCGTCCATATCAATTTTATCATCTTGCAGTTGAATCGAGACGCTGATTTCGTAGGTATTGTCAGTGCTGAAACTCGATCGAGCTGTGTTGGAATGCTGCACAGGGCTCAAGAAAATCGACGGTAGCCGCGAATTGGAAGCGGCCAGCATATGCAATGGCGCCGGATAGCTCACCACATTTTCCACTTCTGGGTGCCTCTCATGTACGACTTTTGGATAACTAGTCAAGAGGATAGAATGTAGCTCGGCTACTGAGAGGGGTGTACCTCGCGCTGCTCGTATACGAAGCTGCTCCGCTAGTAGTCGCGTGAATGTTGCTCGACCAAGGCTGTTGTAATGCTCCTCGGAGATGGATGCGGCGAAGATTTCGAATAGACCTTGGTGCCTCACCAGTCTGTTACATGGATAAAATGCAGCATCCATGATTACTAAGGTGTCCGAATAAGACTGCTCCAAGCGTGACTGAATTGGATTCCATCGGATCAAAGTTGCACTATTGCTCTGCCTTGAACTGCTCAAAAAGTTAGCCATGATGATAGCTACACTGGGTCAACGCACAAACCTTGCCAGTGTCATTTCTCTGTTTCCATCCATAAATGAATGACCAGAGTAATAGACAATTTTCAAGATGTCCCTCTGGTTATTGTTGTCAAGGAAATTGTCCAGTGTTATGGACAGCCAGCGCCATGTAGACGATGAGAAACCCGATTCTGACGCTGGTAGTGTTTGAAGCTGGAAAGTAAACCGGTAGCTTCTTTCAAAAACCTCACTCAACTCGCGAGTTGCCCGATCGGCGATCTCTCCATCTTCATCGCCCTGCCAAACTAGGAGCAGCGCTCGAACATCTGTATATCGGCCACGGTGATGTGATGTCAGTAATTTGGTGCTGCTAGCCTGTAAATCATTCCGGATAGCATTTATCCCAGGTAATGATGTTGTCCTTTCAGTGCGAGGTACTCCTGGTAGTGGTGTCCGGACACTAAAGGACGACCGACTGGCAGTGAAGTGTGACGGAGGCCGGGCTGGCGGATCAATTTCCATAGCTTGATGCGTCGTCGCATTTGTAGCTGTTTCTATTGATGCCAACGCCTCTCGCATCTCCACTTCATCTCGCTCCATGGCCTCAATAGCTTCCATAGCTTCCTGCGCTCTTCTAGCCTGAGTTTCCGGGCGAGGAGGACTGAGGCGACCAGCCGCAACTGCGGGAGCCAAATCCTGTATTGTTGGACTATGAGCACGGTGGAACTTTGTAACAACGTCCTCCCATGTCAGTCCATGATGGCTTGGATGGCACTGTCAAAGCAGTAGAGTTAGTAGTAGTTACTCAGGAGGGACCAGAACAATAGGAGACTTACAGCAACCCGTCTTCTTCTACAATCTCCACAGGCTCCTAATTTTCGAATGAGGGCCGCTCTTTCTCGCGATATTTGAGAGAGTGGACCTGTTCGACGCCGGCTAGTTCGAGCTCTGCTCTGCGCACTCATCCCATCACGTATAGAAAAGACATTTTGATGCATGGTTGGCGAATCTTCGAGTTGATTAGATGCCTCGCCGCCTTCTAAAAATGCATCTGGTTGTTCAGGTCTTTCTTGTGGTGGTGGCGTGAAAGAAGTCTGCAAGAGAACAGCAGAAGGTGACGGTGACGGTGGTCGCACATTGCTTCTGTTGAGTTCATCTTCCACATAATATAAGCGAGCCGATGTTGGTGATAATGATCCCGAGGGGAACTGTGAAGCGTCCGTCCGTGGTCTGTCTGGAGTCTGCAGCGAACCTTCGGCGGAAGGCGCGGACACTGCCGGCGGGGCTGGCCCGTCGGTCAGAGCATGAATGGCACTCATTACTCGAAGTTCCCTGGTGAGAAAGCACCTGGTACTTGTCACTGGCCCATCCTTGAGAGCCCAATAATGTTAAAAAGTCGAAGTGTTTGAATCGGTCGCGAGCAGCTGCTAGTAACCGGGAGTCGATGCGGAGCGGTGTAATAAATGGAATATATTTCCGTTGCCAGGTTTTATCCTCAACCTGATGTAAGGTCCGACTGGCGTCGACAGTATACCGACAGCTTCTGGTCTTTTTTCGTCCTGCGATAGAAGCGTGAAGCGTTGTGCTGGTTTCAGATTGGAGCTCCGCGAGGGGCTAATTTATGCTCTAGGAAGCCGAGACTTGAAAGAAGATTAATAAAAACTCCTTGCAATCTGCGCTCTAGCATAGAGCTATGCTAAAAAGAATCGGATGGCGGTTTCCGCTGTTAATCGACAAATCAGAACCCCCAAAGCGCGGATTTGTTCAATGGGTAAATGTGGTAGGGTCCGTCTTGTTTCGGCGGGAGTCCCGGTCGGTTACTGCAGTCAATGAACGTCGGGATTTAATAATGTCTGTGGTCGTGGGGGCTGAAAGTAAGTATCCTATAGGTCAAGCAAAGAAAATATGTCAGATTTGGAAGATGACGTTGCCAGGATGACAGAAAAGAATATGGGAATGGGGGGTGTTAGTGGTTGAAGCTGACGGGCTTGGCCCCGTTTTTGCCCCGAAGCCAAGAGATGGACTTGGACGGATTCTAGAAGGCAGGCTCTGGAATGAAACCATGCGACGGGTACAAGGTCCACGAAAGCCGTTTGGCGGACGAACCACCACTGGGGAAAGGGAGGGGGCGCGTGGGACGGTGGGAAATAGGGTGAGCAAACAACTCAGTATTAGACGCAGGGGCAGAAGGGTGAAGAAAAAGGGAACCAGATGAAGCAGAGTGTCGCACAAAGTGAAATAAGGTGCAAAATAAAATAACAATAAAAACAAGCGGCGAAGAGCACATCCAAACTGGGGCGCGACAATGCAGCTGATGGTTTTGACCGAATCAAGCACCCACCCCCCAAGCGCCACCACTAGCCGCCATACAGTAGTAGGTACGGTAGCTGTGGTAGCTGTCCATTGCCCGACGATGAATCTCCGCCAATCGACAAAGGCTCCAAAAAATTGCCGGGGAAGCGCAGTCGAAGCAGTGGTAGGGTAGAATATAGAGTGCTGTCGGTGATAGTGCAAGTGAATGGCGAAGAAGTACACAGCAAGGAGGCCACCAAAGGCGCAATTCTCAAAATGGAGACGCACCGAGGGATGCGAGGCCCTGCTGCGCTGTGGCGACGAAAAGAGACAAAACCACGTACCTGTGTCGTCAGACGCTTGTATCCAATGTTGTTTTAGGTATCGAAACCTTTACCAAAGGGCAGGCTAGTTCCTTTCTGTAGTCTCGTAGACAAAGAGTTCTCGTGCGATGCCTGGTGCAGGAGTGGCAGTGTCGGCAGGGAGCAACGATGGAACTCGAAGTAGATGCTGGAGAAGAGTTTAGGCTTTCTGAGGTGTACTAGAGGCGCAAACAAAGCTGCTTGTAACGCAAGGCTGGTGACGGAGTCGTTTGCTGGCAGCTGTACACCGCATGTGCCTAACGGCAATGACGACGTCGTCAGAGTGGGTGTATCAAGCGAGCCTTCTCACACACTCGGGATAGAGTGAGGGCAAACGACGACAGTAGACCGTGTGACGTTGGTCGTTATGCGTGCAGAGAGAACGAACCAAGTCGGCGATATTTCAAAGGAAAATCCCAAAAAGAAAAACGGTCCGGCCGAGTAAGTAAGAATGGACGACAGGGTGGCGGGGTGGTAGAAAAAGAGGGTATTGGTGAAATAGGACGTAAGCCGAGAAGAGGCACTCAAGTACTGGGCTAGCAACTGGGCTGCTCTGGGCAAGTAGAAACGAAACGAACGAGGATGGGATTACTCTTTTCGTCCCTATTCTTGTACTTGCGCCTTTTCAGTGCCTTCTTCCAGTGGTCGCCTGTCTCAGCTCCACTTGTGGCTGAAGAACCAGAAATAGGAAAAGTGATACTGACGACAGGCCTCCCCAGCGAATAAGACTTGCAATAATAATTCAATTGGCAAATGCGTGAGCCAAATAACGCCTAAAATAATCAAGGGTCCCGGATCCCTCTGTAGAGGAAGAGGAGAGAGAAGAGAGAAGAGCAAGCTGCGACCAAATGAAACGAACCCGACGGAGAAGTAGCTCGCGGTGCTTGCGGGCTTTGAAATGGGCTAGCCTCGGGGCGTTGTTCAGCTTCCAGGAAACAGGGCCACACCTGCAAAACATCCGACCAGCCATTCTGGGGCGCGGGAAGGATCACACTCTTAAAACGTGGCAAATGAAGCGCCGTCACAAGGGGCATGTATCCGTCACAGCACCCGCCGTTATAAATGATTTCCACAGTATACTGATACCACCAGACGGAAGCCTTTGGGCATGAAATGCCTGACTGGGCGACTTATTGTAAACATCGCTCCCATGTTGATGTTCTCGCTGCCTCTGATGCGCCATTCGCGCCTGAGCCGTGGACAAGCTGTCCCTTGTTGCAGGCGCCGGAGCTTCAGGCTGGCTCATCATGGCTAATTGTAAATGCAGTTGATCCCTCCAATGTCCAATGCACCTCCTTGTGCTGGACAACGAGTAGTCTATTAGCCATGAAACGCGTTGTTACCCAACCAGGCTTTGCATAGCAGTTCTACGCCACACTTTTGGGTTCACAACACTTGGTCTGCGCCTGAAAGCCACAGAGAAAACCGTCATGACAAACCAGGCTGCTGTGACAGTGATAGCAAACACTACAGTTTGTACGATTAGCGGTGCACATTCCTGTCTTTAATCTTGTGAGCGGTTACCAACTTTAAAATGAAGTACTATAACCACAGCATGTTATTGGCAGATGACGAAGCCCATTCTCTTAGTTGGGCACACCAATTACCAGGAGCCATATAGGGAACCAAGTCACGACGGTGCCGAATCCATGAGAAAGCAGCTCGGCAATCCAACGGGGGTGGCGGGCTGGAGATGGGTCATTTCCATCCACCCCCCGGCGGGCCAAGTAAAGCTGGATTAATCATAATGTTTCAACCGGGATCTATCGAGTTGAATTCCGGGGCACTCTACCGCAAAGGTAATCCGACGTCGCCGCTAGCGAGGGCCGTGGATGTCCGCCGCCACGGTTGGCTAAATTTGTCCTGTGTTTGCGAGTTGGCCGCGGACTGTGTAGGTGAGTCCTCGTATTACAATCAGCAAGCTTAACGGGCTACCACGAGATCCGGGCAAATAGCGGTCACAAGCCCGGCATGTTACGTAGACAGTAGCCTACCACCTAGACGAAGGTGAGAGGGGCGGCAGAAAGGACGACTGTCAGAACGTGCCTGGTGATCACAGCTTGGTAAGAGAGCAGCTGCCAGGTGGTTAAACAGCTGTGCCAGCTGCGCCAGCTGCAACCAATTGGCACGCATGCCGCTGCAAATCAGTGGTGCAGCGTCTTAGCCTGTGTCCAGGGATTCTCGCACCACAAATGCTCACTGCAGCAAGCCTTTAGCGCCCCGCCCCTGCTGTTACCCCCGCCTGCAGCAACTGCCCTGGCCACTGATGGGCTGTGTGGGTGTGGTGTGCGCTGCAGAGGGTAGAAGGCACCTGTAGTTGACCAACTCGGCGTGTTATTCGGCGTAAAGTGCTGGTAGACACAGATGTTACGCAGGCCGATTGGCGAGTGGGTGACCAATTGAGACCCTCTCTAAAGCCGGCCCATTACGCACATCTTTGGCAGTATCGCTTGACCAAGCTCCCATCATCTTTCCCGCTAAATTGTTTCCGTTGACCTTCTTTTTAGCTGACGCGCTGGCGCAAGGATAATTCAGCTCGGCAGAGGGGCCCGCACCCCTGTATTCGTTGGCACAGTGGGTGAACCAATTACATCGTAGCGCCCACTTGGCCATGCGACTGCCACGAGTCTGGAGATTTGTGCCCCGCTGTAAACTGTCCCTAGCGTCGGGGCGTTTTCTTAGCAATTTACGCTTTTCTTTGTTTCTCCAGCCCACAATTGCCTATCATCATCAACATTATCATCACCAACCACAGTATGAAGATTGGGTAATGACTGATAAGAAACAATCTTAATTTGGTATAATAATCGGCCTTCTAATAAACTAGGCATCCTTTAAATTGTAAAGTTTCGGCTACGATCTACAAAGAACAGACGGCGGTTAAACGAACCTCCAGAACCACACAACCATCAGTACTGCAAATTCGGCTCTCGGTATTTAGCAGTTATGTCCGGTAGTTGCTGGAAGTTAAACAGACTGACCTTTCGGTGTAAACATGGCGGAATCTCCACTGGTTGACCTTTCTTCCACTCTGCCGGCGTTTCTCATGGCCTTGGTATGACCACCCCAGGCTGCGAAAGCCAACGGAAGCATCGCTTCATACACTGCCTATCATTCGGCATCTTCCATGGCTGTGGCAAACTACCCACCAAGGCATGGCATCAGCCCCGGCCACGCGCCAGCCACACAATATCACTTTTCCAGGCATTGCCCGCTAGAGTGTCGATCGATGGCGTCTCAATATGTCAAGTCTCCGTCTGCTTCCTGCCGAAGCTTTCGAAGCTTTCTGACCGTTCTTTCCTGCGAGGGCTGATCGGAACGGATTTGGGAGAGATGTGCACGTACATGCTCGGCTCACTTGACCATGGACGGCTGCCTTGTACACACCAACCCAAACTTGTTGACATTGCGTTGGTAACCCCAAACCTTTACAAACTCCTTCCTATTTAAATAGGGGGCAAGCCATGATCTTCATCCATTGGCGACGGCAGTTTGCATGCCTGGTCACGACATGGCATGTTTGCTACTGTAAGTCATACTACAGTTCCGCTTAGCTGTGTTTGTGTGTCCCGCTGCAGGGTGTACCCGCGACACTCTTGTTGAAACACTCAGAATCGCATTCGAAACACGGTAGATTCAACCGTAGCGACACATACGCGTAGTCTGTTCCAGCGCAATGCATCTCGCAGATGACATGGTCTCCTACAAACAACACCATCTACCCCAGACCCAATGACCATCAGCTGCAACCTCACTGCATGATGCCGACTTATGCAACACACAGCCAGAGGGAGAGACCACACTCAGAATACTAATCTTGCTCCTCCTACCCATGAAGCCGTCCGACTCGCCTGGGGTTGTGCATGGGATTCCACTTGTTTAGTTGTCAGTAATCTCCACATCGTCTCCATGGTGCCCAATTCGGACATGTTTGCGTTCTTTGACGCTTCTGGCGTTTGTTGCTAGAAGCGGCTCTGCTCATGTGGCCTGTTCGCTCGGGTGGCGGTTCGCTCTGCACGGAACACAGATCTCCTAGATTTTGGAATAATAATGTCGCGAACTCAACGCTGAATCTACACGGATAGCAGTGTTATGCATGTTGACTATTCGTCGAATCACCGCTGCTTCCAAGCACACGTTTCACAGACGGCAGTTCAATGCTAGGTAATGCCGCCAGCGTAGGAGCGCAAACTAACTGGATTTCCAATGCGTGGCTAACATTTCGCCCTTCCCCACTCACACATTGTTAGCATGCTTCTATCCTTCTACAGGCGGCTGCAGGGGCTGGTTCGGCCCGAACTCGGCCGAACCACTTACGCCCCCAATACCAATTAAACCAAGGGCCTATGGTTCAAGACGAGCAGCCAGGTAAACGGTATTGTACCGCCAATCAGGTTCCACATCCTGCGTTTCCAGACAAGTTACATTCACCTGGCGGCTATATCCTTCGGGATGGAGCTATCATATGCGGATCCAAAGATGTTTAAGGCAACAACGCCGGGCAAGTCCAGCAGCAATGTGCCACCGTCCTATAATTTCTATGTAACGTTGTTAATATACCCATATCTATAATTGCAGCGCTTTCTAAACCAACAAACGAAGCCGCTGCCGTTAGTCCAGACGCCAAATACTACGCAATCTCCGCTGATAACGGCATCTACAGGGGTCTGCTCCGCCGACCTTGGAGTAATTACTTGGTTGCCGCCGGTCTAAAAGTTCTCCGAGGTGGCTTGTCTGTTAATCAGGCAGAGTGATCCCGATCATCACTCACGAGTCGTGCCCATTCTAGCAAAGCGCGGAAAAGGTAGATTTGCTGACTTTTCAGGTCAAGGGCCTTGAGAGCCCAATGCGAGCCTTCCCTTGCAATCGATGCGCCATCTGCTTGTCCAGGCCCATCGCTGGGCTTAACTTCGCCTTTACCGGCAAAATATGCCAACGTGCTATGGAGTGCCTGATACCTCGGGTCAATGGGAACAAAGTGAACCCATGGCCAGATACGGCCAGTATACCATGTGCGGAAGATCGTCGATATGAACGGAACAGTATCTGCCTGGAGAGCCCCCAAAGTTAGATCTGATGGGCCATCAGTCTCATCCAGTAGAAGGGTGTGCTGTGTCGCGTAGTGATCCGTTACATCCGCTGGTTCAGCCGTCCATGCCTCGGGAACAAACTGGCAACCCAGTCCTTGGCACCCGGCTTTTGGCGTCAACCAAGCCTTCACATTTGTTGGTACCAGCCAGCTTGCGTGAGATGTTGCCATCTTTTCATATCTATACTGCACTTCCTTTTGCTTTGTGCGCGTGATCATAGTAGTCATATCATGCGCAGCCGGCTCGTTCAGAAGATGCAGAAGACGAGACTTGTGCCCACCTCGGAAGGCTTTAGGCGGTAGAGCAGACAAGTTCATGCCAGAACGCCAAAACAGATCCGATGAGCGCTCTCGAAAGGTCTTTTGGGTCTCTGATGTTTGCTGTGGTGGTGTCAACGGGATCAAAATATCGCTGAACATGTCTGTCTTTGCCGCACTGAATATTGGCAAGAGCTGGGTGATGGTGGGATGGGTCCGTTCCGAGATGAAAAAGTCATGGAGGTCTAGTAAATCTGGTTGCGAACACAGCTCAAGGGACTGTAGCCACGCATGAGACCCAAACAGATGTTGTTGAGAATGCCTCTTTTCACAATCGACACAAAGTTCAGCAGGACTTTCGTAGTAAGATTGCGAGAGCGGCTGACCACGATGAAGACAAGCGTTACGATGCGCCCAACGTACGGAATCAGCCGTCAGATGCTGATGCACATCCACCTTTGCCCATATCTCAGCTGCCTCTGGCAATACTCTCGGCATGCGGTCGAGGTTTATCGGTATCGTCATGTCAGGCAGATGCGTCGAGAAGTTGTTGATTTGGGAGATCAGATGGTCCAGAGTTAAAATAGTGGCCGTGTTAGCGTCTGCTACTGACCAAGAAGCTTTGCCCTTCTCAATGGTAACCTTTGCTACACTAGGCTGTTCAATGGCTAAGTCGACTCGGCGCCGTAGTTCTTGGGGTGAAATCCCCCAAAATGGTTCTAAGTCAATATCGAGCTGTGTGAAGTCGTCAATCACTGCGGATTGGGCTGCAAATTTGAACCACTCCCGAAACCCAGGAGGTGGTATACGCCCTTTGTGAGTCTCTTTATAGAATCTCACAGCTGTCTCATGCGTCAAGCTGGTTGTAGCCCGCATTCTCCAGCTTGATTGCTTATGTGATGCTTCCCACATTAGATCATTAATAGGATGTCGCTCGTTGTAAATTGGGGCATGTCGGAATACTGAGAACACTGATGCAGCCAAGAGAAGCATGGCAAACAAGGCAGTGAACGACGCCTGGCGTACGACGACAAATATTTTGACGGTGAGAAAATGCACAAACGCTATAGCTGCGGGTATTACAATCCATAGTAAAAGCAAGGCGTCGGAAGCTGATAGATGTAACCAATCTCCAGAATGTATCAAGTGGCTCGAGCTGGCTGCAACTCCGGTAATAATGGTGACGACATTGACTGGTAGCAGAGGCGAAGCATCGCAGGTCCATATCATCGAACAAATAAGCATGACGGCAAGAACAGCACCATCCAATAGAAGAGTGAGCAGTGACATGCCCTGAAAGTGCGTATACTGAGTCCAAGATTGAGCTTTCAAAAAGCCAAAAGTAAAGATAATGGTAGCAGCAACACCCGCTATGAGGATACTCGTTTGGATCCGACCCTGCATGGAGTCTTTCCAAACAAGTAGGCGCCACGCCGCAACCGCGACGTATGCATCCAGAAACAGGGCGATAATTTGCCAAATGACTGTGATGACGGGCATATCAGAGCCAGATAAACAGATATAAGATGATCTTGTGACCTGATTCAACGCCAAAAACGTGCCAGTACAGAACAAAGCGCTGCTGACCATACCACCAATGAGCCGAATGCGGCCGGTACTCAGCCAATCGCGCAACTCATCAAATATTGAACGCCATGGATCGTCCATATCGTCGTCATCTCCGTCGTCTTTCTGAATGTCTGCCGTGATGACATGATGTGTCAGAAGAAGCAAACCTACAAACGAGCCGACGCCAGGGCTGCTGCATCGCTGCATGTAGCTCAGCCATGCGAAGATTTCCCAGCGTAGACTGAGAATGACTACAATAATGACCCAGGCATACTTTGAAGGCTCATTGGCCACATACTCTGGAGCCTCAGACTGTCGTCGACGACGGGTGTCATGCCTGTTTCCATTGAGCAATGATAGGTCCTTGGTGTATTGGCCGCGCGCGTGAAATGAACGGCCTTCGATTTTTCTCAGAAGAGATTGTCCAAATCGGTTGGTAGTGTATGAGATGAGACACGCAATTAATGTAATTGTAACGCAATACTGCCGCGCATATCCTAGACAGAGGTTAGCCGAATGGCCCGCGCTTGTCACATATCAGCATGTAACCGTACCAGATGGGGCATGTAGAGGAAGAAAGTAAGAGAGGTAAAAGAATGAAAGCACCGAGCTGCACAACAAACATCAGAATCGAAGAAACCATCGTCAAGATAACATTTCCTACATACCACAAGGCTGCGATGCGCGGCATGGTTGCTAGCTCGAATCAAGCACAGCAGGACGCCGTATTGCTCTAAAGGACTGAAGTTAAGGTGCTGTAATAATAATTCATGTGATATAGAGTTATTCCATAGCTTTTTTTCGTAGCCAATGGTTATAACTTCAAAGAGCGTTGCAAACACCGTTGACGATGACGTTCAGGAGAAGGAAGGGTTAAAAAGCAGGGATCCACAGCGCGCCCGCCTGGCGACGACGTCACGCATTGTCACGCTTCGTCGCACTGCCTCCTGCCACTTGGCCGCTTCACACACTCAATTCTGCAACCGCGCAGATAAAATACACAAAAATATCGACGGCGCGCAATCATGGCCGGCTTCAACGAATCTGCCGTCGTCCAAGTCATTGCAGTGCCTGCTGTTTGCACATTAATCACATTCCTAGGCTACTTCCCCCAGATCCTCTTCCGCAACGAAACTCTGCAGCCCGGCCCGCCGTCAACATCAGAAACATATATATTCAATACTCTGCTGGCCCTGCTATGGTATACGTACTACAAGGCTGTCACGACAGATCCTGGAAGATATGTCTTTGACGAGAAGATTATCGAGGTCGAGGGTCGCTGGTGCAACAAGTGCGATGCCCCCAAGCCTCCCCGAGCGCATCACTGCCGCCATTGCAAGCGATGCGTACCGAAAATGGACCACCACTGTCCGTGGACTAAGAATTGTGTGTCCATGACGACTTTCCCCCACTTCTACCGCTTTCTCTGCTACGCCAACTTTGCGCTCTGGTATCTTTGCTATCTCGTCTTCCAGCGCTTCTATGCCCTCTGGGAGGAGCGCCACATGCCCGCATATCTCGGGCCATCAATCCCTGTATTGGCATCGCTAGCAATTAGTGGACTTGTGTGTTTCTTTACTAGCCTGCTGCTCGGCATCATGCTGGTGACTACCACCAAGAACTGGGTATTCAACCAAACCACCATTGAAGGCTGGGAGGCGGACCGCCACGAGGCCATTGCCGAGCGTGGCGGAAAGGATTGGTGGGACGTGACTGGGCCTGACGGCAAAAAGTTTCGCTTTGAAAAAGTCGAGTTCCCATACGATATTGGCTTCTTCGAAAACATGTCGCAGGCCATGGGCACCAGCTTCTTCCCCATGTGGCTGTTCCCGTTTGCGGGCAATCCGAAGATAGGAACCTCCAAATCTGGCAAGCGAACAGGATGGGAGTGGGAAGAGAATGGGTTCAATCGAACAGAGGGCATGTGGCCGCCACCTGACCCTGAAAAGATTCGTCGCGCTGCCCGGACATGGCCTGCTGGTCGTCGGGACTTTGATGCGGAACTGCGTGCTCTTGATGATGATGATGAGCAGTTCAAGGAAGCTTTTCGAAAGAGACAGGCTGCAGATATTGAGCGCCGCAAGAACATGATGGTTGCAGAGCTAGAAGAGGACGATGAATATGGTATGCCGAGCGATGTCGATGAGAACGGGGATTGGGTAAATGAAGATGGCGAGAAGTTGGTCGATTTTGGCGTTGATGTAGATGACGGTATGCCTGGTGATGATCGCGTAGAGGGGATTACGACAGCTCATGATGAGGATGTACCATTGGCAGAATTGATTAGACGAAGGAAGGCGGCAGCAAGGCCATGAGGAAGAGGAGTCGGTGTTTAGCATTGCATAATAGAGGCGTTGTGATACGGTGAGCATTTACGGGTGGGTGTACGAGTACGGAATGTGTATTCTTCAAAATGAACGAGTCAAAGTTCAACATTAATAGAGAGACGACAATCAATTAGCTTATAATCTTGTTCTTGATGCTGTCTGAAGAAATCATTGGTCTATATACGACAAGATAGCTTTTTCTTTTCTCTTGACTTTAAAAAACAACAAGCGCGCCATTGAACAACGTATCATTTCGCATTAAAACATAGTAATCAATAAATCGTTGCAAAACAAGCAGAACTACCAGTCGCCTTCATCGTCACGCTTTTGCATAGCGTTCTTTCTAGCAAGCAGCGCGTCGGCCAACGAACCACCCAAGCTAGGTGTCGGTGTTGTACTACGACTACCGTCCGAACCACTTGCTGCGTTGAGGCTCATGCCAGAATCTCTTTGGGCAAGATCGGCAGTCTTGCGGCCAGCAGGACGCTTCGCTGGCGGAACAGGCTTAGCTTTGGCTGCGGGAGGTGGAGGTGGAGGTCGCGAGGTAGTAACGGGAGGAGGTGCTTGCTCCTCAACGTACGCAGACGGAACCCAGGCTTGGCCACTGGCATTCTTACCGAGCCACCAACCTAAAACACATAGTTAGTAAGAGTAGAAATACAGCTGTTATGTGATGTATACGTACCATTGTTCTCCTTTTGTACAATTTCAATCAAGTCGCCGGCGCTGACCGTAAGCTCGTTGTCTTTGCTGCTTGCAAAGTCGTAGAGAACCTTGGCCATGATCTTTGGCTTAGCAGGTGGTGCAGCGGGAGGGGGAGGAGGAGGAGCACGAGCTGCGCCGCTGTTGTTTCTAGTGTGGCTCGGAAGAACACTGGGCACTACGGCAGCGGCAGCAACGGGAGTAGCCGCTGCAGCCGAGATGACAGATGGAGGTTGGGGCACCGCACGTCGAGTGGCGGACGCCGCACCAGGGCGAGGCTGGGCAGTTCTGTTGCCAGTGATTCTGGAGGGACGGCCATTGGGACCACCAGGTCTGATGAGCTTGCCCTTGGTGATGGGTCTGGGAGGCACAGGCTTAGCCTTGGGCATAGGCCGCGACACAGAGTTGGCAGGTTCACCCTGTTGAGTGTGAATAGAACCACTCTTGTAGAAGTCCTCGCGTTGCTGCGAATCCTTCAAGACCTTGACTTGCTGGATCTTTCCAGGCTTCTTCGCGTAGTCGATCATGTCACCAATCTTGAGATTGAATCCACCGGGCATGACACGCTGCATTTGGGTGAAAAGCTCCGTCTTGAATACACAGTTCAGAAGAGGGTCAGCTTCCTGGGGAGAGCCAACGCCAAGAGAGAACCAGTCGTCACGGGCTGTCGAGGTTCCGATGAACTGAATGGATCCCAAGTTGATAGCGCGCTCAATGATGATCTGCGGTTGACCGTTGGCAAGCATCTGAGCGACGATATAGAACTTGTTGTTGGTTACAACAAAAATACGAGGGCTAGCCTTGCTAGAACGACCAAACTTGGCTTCCAGGATTTCACCTCGGCAAGAAAAGACAACACGCTCGTTGCTACCCAGGTTAGCAGCTTGACGAATCTGGGATCCATGGCCAGTAGTAGCGTTAACTCCCAAGTAATCTCCGAGGAAGCGACGAGAGCCAAGTAAACTCATACGGCGACGTTCCTTGCGGCCTTGGAGCACCTGGTGACCGTGGTCACGGAGCTGCAGGTACTCGGCACCAGTGCGCTTCTTCCTCCACACGCGCTGAATTCTGGTTGCAGACTCAGCGCGGTAAGCAAGATAAGCTCTCCACATACGCTGGATACGAGTAGCCATGTTGTGCCAGTATCTGTCTCTCATGTGCTCAAGCGCAAAGAGCGTCTCGGGAGCTTTGATGAATGCCTTGGTGACACCAAGCTGCCATTCTTCTTTGGGGATACTGGTATCCTTGAGAATTTGACGAACAGCATCTTCATACGAACCCTGCCAAGTGTACTCGCCAGCGTACGAGGTGGCGGGAGAAAGAAGGAAGAAGCGATCCACAAACTTGTCAAAAGCTTGACGGTACGCGAAACCAGCACGACGAATGCGCACGTTCTCCTGCAGACCAAGATACTTGATTTGATGGAGTACATTGGGCACGTTGTACTCAGTTGGGGACTTGTTCTCGTTAGGCTTGATGGTTCGGATGTACGAGGGCTGGCACTTCATCAGAGTATCAACCAAGGCGTTTGCGGAAGTTCGAATACGGTCACCTGCCGATGGAGGCTGCTTTCTGTTATCCTGGTCAATCTGGTTGGGGAAGAGAGTGTGAATAAACTTGTTGCCGCTCTTCTGGAAGAGGTTCAACAGGCCCTTGAGCAGCTGATCCTTGTTCTTGTCAGTGATGCCGTCGACAGTGTACGACACATCACCAGCGTAATGCTTGACAATGAAATTGCCCTGGCGAGGAGTAAGATGGGCGTGCTGCATGCCGTTGATGCTCTGCATAAAGGTTCGGTCACAAGCAGCAGGATCGGCGTGTGCCGTCTTTGTCGCATCCTTCATGGCGGAGAAGATACCGGGAGGTCGAACTTGCTCAATCAAGTCGCACACAACCTTGTTATCAAAGTACTGAATAGGTGTCCATTGAATCTTTTCGCGGGCGTATTCTTCCTGCTCGGTCTTGAGAGTGAGCTGAATGAAAATCTGCTGCAGTTTCTCGTTGACGTAGTTGATGCAAAGCTGCTCGAAACTGTTCTTCTCGAAAATCTCGAAACCGTAAATATCCAAAATACCAATGGAGTTGGTCGTCGCTTGCTTGGCCTTGAGGGACTTGTTGATGCGCTCAACGATCCAGTCGAATAGGTTGTTGTAGATAGCCTTGGCCAACGCATCGCGGGTGGCCGAAGCTTGCGCCGGGTTCGCAGGGGACTCGATGACTTCGCCGTTTCGCGGGGTAAGAATACGAATAGTAATACCATGAATTACCTCTTCAGCAGTTGTCTCTAACAGATACGCGACAAAATCGACGACAGATCGGTCCGCAACCTCTGCGTAGCCATGATCGTCCTCGCGGAACTGAATGTTACCAATCCACAGAACAGCAGCAAGCATGCGGAAGATCTCATCTTGTTCTGTTTGGCTAAGGCCAATAATCTTCATAGCGTTTAGAGTATCTTGGTATTCGGCAAGATCGTCGATGCCGTCGACATCGAAGCACTTGGATCGGCTCGTGTATACATAGGTCTCGGGCTTCTGGATGCCGTAAAGCTCCTGGTACTGCCGCGACGCACCCTTGGTAAACTGGTAGAAGATATGGAAGTTTCGCTCGTTTGTGATTTGGCCAACGACTCGCGACTTTTCGAGTAGATAGTTTGTGATGTCGGCACCGACGGGCTCGCCGTTCTGGTTGAAGTGAATCTGAAGATACTTGCCGAAGCGCGACGAGTTGTTGTTACGGAGCGTCTTGGCGTTACCAAAAGATTCCAGAAGAGGGTTGGTAGCCAACACCATGTCCTTGATCTTCTTAATATCGCCCGACTGCTCGCCAGATACACTGGCAATGTACTGCATGATGCGCTTGGCGGCCTCTGTCTTACCGGCTCCCGACTCACCAGAAATGATGACACACTGGTTATCCGAGTACGCCTTCATGTTGTAGTAAGCGGATTCGGCAATAGCAAAGACATGAGGGGGCATTTCCAGTCTGTTCTTGCCTCTGTAGCTGTCGAGAACCTGTTCGGTGTAGATACCCAGGTCGCGGAAGGGGTTGACTGACACCAACACATGGCCAATATAAGTATAGATCTCGGCGCCTTCGAATCTCTTTTTCAAGTTGTCGTTGATTGCATCGTTGGAAACCTTGCTGAGAAGCGTCAAGTCGGACACGCCAATCTCCTTCTTCTTGGTGACCTCAAAAGTGGCTTTCTTGGGCTTGGCCGAGCCGCCCGAAGCTCCCTGCTGGGCGTTCCTGGCGGCTTTGTCCTTGGGACGTCTTGAGATACCCTAACAACGGTGGTAAGCATCGTGTTAGTCTGTTGTAGCCGGGTCGCATGGATCACAGCGCCGGGTTGCGGAGGGGTAATGCGGTTGAGCTAGCGGTACGTACCATGCTGGGCAAATCGAGAGGGGGAGGGAGTGTGTATTGGAGGGGAGCTTGCTCAAGGCGACGAGGGATGGGAAATCGCCGATGGTGCAAGCGTAGATGTGTAGAAGTAGTGGTGAATGACGAAAGGAAAGAGGAGGAAAGCAGGCAGACAAGTTTTTTTCGCTGCTGCAGAAAAACCAAGACACACCAACTACGTCGTCATGCAAGGTGTGGGATGGCGCGGGCGGTTGGCTTGCTGCCAGGGGGTTGGTTGCGCGGCCCTGGGGGAAGCCGACAATTTGCCGCCGACAGCGCCGGGAACGGCCTGGGCGGTGGAGCGGTGCACTGCCACCCGGTGGCGCGCCGCGGAGGCGAGGCTGCGTGGTTAGGCGGGCTTAGGCTTCTCTTTACAGTGGGCAGCAACCCATTGTTACGTGCGTCATCGGTGCTGTACTCTATTTACCCGTAGTGGCCAATTCAATGTATGCTACAGAAGGTGTTTTTGTATAGTGCTTTTATTTCACATTGCTTTTCTAACCCACTGCGAGTACGCATTTTCCACATCTTATTTTTGGGGTACATCTCGTTAATAAACGCCTTACTATGCAATGGCCAGTACCTGGATTCAGCATCCTTCCGCCACCAATATAAAATCCGCAATCAAAACGTATCAAAATATCACCAGATACCAAAAAAGAGTAATCATACAGCCAGAAATCCAATCTCCATTTAAAACGCCGAGCGAGATCGCAAATCCGAAATCTTGCGCTCAATCTCTCGCACTGATCGATCCAGCTCACCAGCAATCACTTGCTTCTTGTCATTGGGAAGCAGTGCAAATCGCTCACACAGATCACCATCAATGACGCCCTTGACAGGTGCATAGTAGCCCCGGTACATCAGGTGGTCACGGCCAGCCAAGGGAGGATCCTCAGTGCGCATATGCATCTCTAGGCTTTGGAAGAAGTCGACATTCTCGCGGCTCTGAAGAGGAATCAAAGCACCAATGGTACCTTGCAGACCACACCAAACAACGATGTCCTGTCCACCGACAACCAGACTAGTCTTGTGAATGCTCGTAGGAATATCTTGAACATAGACATGTGCCATGAGGTTGACACGGTTCGCAGTACCATGCAGATATTGGCGGCCGTTGCTAAGGTGGTTCTCAGAACCAAGCTCGTCGGCTTCCAAACTAGCCTTCTCGGGGCAGCGAACGATCCAAAGGTTTCCAAATTTGTCACCACCGGCGACAGTTTCGTAGTCGACCATGGTTGTGCATGTAGTCCATCGGGCAAGGTTGTCATCGACAAACGCCATAATCTTGCCTGTATCAGGCTTGTATACGGCCATGGTGACACCCTGCTGAACATCACCAATAACGATACGGTTACCTTGGGACTCCAACGACACGATGAGCTGTGAGGCTAACTCGGCGTGTGCTTTTCGTAGCATTTGTCTCATTCCCAGGTCGTAGATCTGTACCGCTTTGCCGAGACCCACGAGGACACGGCCCTGGAAGGGATGTAGTACGGTTGGGGGTTCACCGAGTTTCGTCTTGTGGATAAATTCGAGGTCTTTGCCGCCTTCTTGGAATCTATAGACGTGAATGTAGCCCTCAGATGACGCTCGAGGGTTGAGAACCATGTCTTTGCCAGTACCAACCAGCAAGAAACTTTCGCTATCTTGGCTCGTAAACGAGACAACAGCGGCGCTGACGGCGGCTTCATTTCCTTCAAAATCAATAGTCTTAACAACAGAAGGTTCTCCGTCAGTCATATCGATAACATTAATACACGAGGCCCATCGTCCGCGACCCTTGGGGTGGCCAAATTCTTCAGCGGGTAGAACCTTGGTATCACCATTGGTCAAATTGGGATCGCCGAGAAGTTGCTCTCTCAGCTTTGGTTCCAGTGTATTGTTTTCGGATTCAATACTGTAAAAGAATGACTCCTCGGGGTGTTTGAGGAGTTTTCGTGGTGTATATGTGAGTGTTGTTGACTTTTGTATCATGTTCTTTCGTAGGTTTTCGACCGAAAAGATGCGCAGGAAGTTTTCTTGAATACCAACAATGCCCTCTTCACACTGCTGGCTGGTGAAGCTCCAACCCCATTCTAGCTCAGGGTATACGAGCGGTGTCATCATGAAGCCGCCAGTAATTGGATCGGCATATCCAAGCCATGGAGAGGAGCTAAGTGCAAGGACACATTTCTTTTGCTTCACGCTAACTTCAAACAGCTTGACAGCTTTGGGTCCCAAGAATTTAAGTCGAGAGTCGGACAATTCGCCAGTAACCTCGTCCAATACTGTTCGCAAGTGGACACCCGAGTTCAAGCCGATGTGTAGGAAGAGGGCCATGCCACCGGATGACGAATCATCCATAGGCATGATGCAAAGTGCCGATGGGGCAGCAGTCAGAGCCTGAACGGATTTACTCTCTAGAGTAGACTCGGGATCAAGGCTGAGAACTCTGACGGTACAATCGTCACAGCCAACAGCCAGGAATGAGCTTCTTAAGCGACCTTCAGGAACCTGACCTAAACTCAAGCAAGTAACTGTTCCTTGCATCTCCTTCTTATCTTCATATTCGGCTAATGAGCCGTCGCTGTCGATTTCGAAATAGACGATTTCACCGGAACTGAGGGCAATGGCGACCTGTCTCTCGTTTGTAGCGGCTGCAACAATGGAGCGATGTTGGGGTGCAGACCATTCGTTAACTTGTCCGTTTCGGATCTGTCGGATGCCTTTAGGATAAACTTGGATCAAGCTGTCTTCACCCACTTGCTGGACAGCCAGGGTGGGAACAGACGACAAGAAACCAGAATCTGTGACTTGAGTGACGGTCTCACCAATGCTAAGAATCATTGTCTCGTTCGCAAACGAAAGCACAATATATGCATCAAATTCGTCGCTGCTCGTGAGCTTCGTAGTCCAGACAGCAGCCGGTGTGCCCGGGAGTTCGGAATCAACCAGTTCGTTCACCTCAAGACCGTGGCGCAAGGTTCGGAAAGAGCTTCGTACACCGTTACCACAGACCGAATAGATTTGCGGAGTTTCTTCGCGGGCGAGGTTAGCCACTTGACAGTCCATCAGAGGGTTCATCGCATTGACACTCTCTACCAAGGCCAAATTCTCGAGAGATCGGGGGTAAAAGTAGACTGGGTCGTATGGTGCCGTCGGGTCGGCCTTAAAGTCGTCGCTGCTGAATTCAAGCTCGTCGTCATCATCGCCTAGCTTTTCAAACTGATAGAAGTGGTGGTTTCCAAATTCGCAAGCGGCAAAAAGGAAACCGCTCTTAAGAATGCAGAGACTCGTTGAAACAGGGATAGTGTCGAAGTATTTGATCTTTAGTCGGGCAACCTCGCCTGTCAAGTTTCCATCATCATCTTGTAGCATGTCTAGTGTGACCTTGAATAAATCTCCATCGTCGCTCTGAAGCAAAAAGAAAAATGCGCCAGCACTGCCCTTGAGCTTGTGCATTACGCCAGACACAATACTTCGTTTTCTTTGCGGGTCCTCGGTTGCTCCACGTCGTCGGGGGATTGGAATTCGGTAAGAGTCCTGGTTGGAGTGTTTGTACGTAATGTTTTCTTCACCGCAAACAAGGACACCGCTAGGGCCATCGTTGCCTCCAGGCACTTGGAACAACATGGATGATGTCGAGTCGACAGGTTCTGACCATTTGCGAACAACGTGGTTAAGACCCAAGTCTAGCTCATAGTATACCAGCTGTGTCTCCGTTTCCTCGACAGCTTCGCCCGTCGGGTCTTGGTCGACATCGGTATAGTTAATTTCGATCGCCGCGAAGACCGGGTTAGCGTAGCCAACATCTAGGGCCGTCATGGCGAGAACTAGCACGCCAGGCTTGTGTGCTTCGAGAGGCGAGGAAATGGTAAGTTCGGCTTGTGAGTTTCGGTTTAGAACATAGACCAACTTGTTCTTCTCGACAGAGGCAATCAGGCATGCGCGACCCTTGGGATCGGCTGCGAGGTATTGTCCTGGGACAACGCGGCGGATACCCGACTTGCCGAATGTCTCCAGATGAATCTTGTTGAATCTATTTTGCGCCGGGGAGTATTCAACAATCGCAATTCGACCGGAATCAGTAGCAAGGATGAGATAGTCCTTGGTCGTGCCAGCGAGTCGGAAGGCGGCAATGGAGCGGATGATGCCGAAGACATCCTGTTCGAGATGAGTCTGGACAGTTCCCAAGTTCGGGTCTGGTCGCAATAGCGTCAGTCGCGACCCAGATGCCGTGACAATTTGCTGTTCTTTGGTTCCCGAGAAGTGACCAACGATTGCTTGGATGACGGCGGACGGTGGCTGGATCGTCAGGGAGTACATGAACATGTTGGATGTGGTCGCCATGGCTTATATCCCCGTATGCGCAGTAAGCCTGCGCGGCTCCATATACCAATAGCTGGCAAGTATAGAAAAATTGACTTGAGGGGGCGGGGAGGGAGGAAGAGCTAACGTCGTCGCGGTTTGCTGGATGCCGACAAAAGCTTCGGCGTAGCTTTTTTCTGCCACCTAAGGTCGTCTGGAAAGGCTGGAGCACATCGCGGTCAAAATCCTTAGTCAGCCGAATCGTGTTGTCAGGTGACTACCCTGGAGCTGGTGTAAGTCAACGACGCCCTCCACTTCTGCCGTAAAATCATGTCGTTTGAGTCATAAAAGTAGGATTATCATTTACATTCTGAAATGGTGTGGCAGCGTCGTTGATATTTAAAATAGATTTTTGGTGCTGGCCTCCCTACGTGGCAGTTGCGTCCTGGTGAGTCAAACTACAGGCAGCTAGTCACAAGACTCGCCTGCTGCTGTGTAGCCGCATAAACGGCCAGGCAACACCACCACTACAAACGAGGATACGACATGCAAGGAAGTATTATCATAAATGAGCTAATAATAATGTGAGGGTATAATACATATTCTATTAATTTTTTTTGTCTACTAAATTCTTCTATATTGTCTTAAGCATACTGGACGACGAGCTGCGGGGTTCCAGCCACATGCAGGTGCCCCAGTATCACCCGTGAAGCCAATCCTCGACCGGTAAAGCTCGAGTGGGGAGCAGCTCGCCACCATCTTGCTGCCGCATCAACCAGGACTTCCAGAAAAACAAGACTTAAACCTTGAACTCCCGCTGCCGATCCAGAATAAATAGCGGTCCACACCCTCCATCCATTTTCCACCTCGAAAGGATTTCCCACAAAACTCGCGATACTGTCGATATCGTTTACCCGACAGCTTGAAACTTCGTCGCTTCCAACCTGACTTACACACAAGCTTCTCCTCACTCGAACCCCGCAGTCATGGCCGACCTCTCTCTCAACACCGAGCAGCAAGCAACCGAAGCTGTCGATGAGACACCCATCTCTCCCGTCCGTCGCCCCGACCACCAGCGAACTAACTCTCTTCAAAACCACCTGAAGCACCGCCCCGACCGTGCGGAGCTGGTTGACAGTAGGCACCCTCACGCAGCCTGATGGGGCGCGAGAGCCCATCTACATGCATCGGCCATTCCGCTAACACAGCCACCTTCAAGAGAACATCCTGCCAGCATCAACAGCTGCTCCTGGCCTTCAATCGCAGCAGCGCGAGGTAAGTGACGGAGACGACAACGCATCATGTATTGGTCGCTAAGCCGCCATTCTAGCTCCAGAAGCATATGCTCGAAGACAAACTCAACGACAAAATTCAGAATCGCCCCGATCCTGAGGATCTCGTCAAAGGAGGTGTTTTACACGAGGATCCTCGCTCTGCAGAGGAGCGATATGAAGAGGCCATTGAAGAAGAGTACGCAAAGCGTGAGGGCGGCGCCTAATTACCCACCAGTGCGACTACTTCGCTATGCTATCCCATCTTCAACTATATAATGCAATACTATTGAAATTTAAATGATAAAAATGCATGCAACTGATTCAATTGAATTCTACTTTGGTGAAACTAATTTTCTTCAAGTAAAGTTGCGCGGAGCTTGGCGAAACGTTGAAACAACGGCGAAGCCAATGGCGCCCCATATAATTCGTTTGACGTCACTTTCCACAGGGCTGAACTAGAGATTAGTGGGTTTGGGGACATATGACTCTACTGAGGATAGGCAGCCGTGGGCCGCAGCGGGAGTATGAGATTCAAACAATGTATATTGTAAAACCTTGGTAAAGGAAGAAAAAAAGTCTATTGCGCATGTCCCATAACCTCGTCATCATCCAATTCTATAACTCGTAACCCAATCGCTAATCGTAAACTCAATTCTCTAAAAAACGTCCAATCTGTTGTTGTACACGCCAATTGCGGTTGGCAGCGTATGGCAAGTCGGCGCCATGTTATATAGTAATACAGAGCTCGAGCAATGTATATTTGTCGCGAACAATATCATCTCGAGCTTGAAGTGTAGCCTAGAAATCCATTAGCTACGGCGGTAACTGCTACCGTAGCTTGGGGTAGGCGTGCCTCGAGAGTAGTCGGTTTGTCCGTAGTTGATAACGGTGGCCTTGGGGCCAGACTTTACAGAAGACGTTCGAGAAGCTATAGAAAGAGTCAGTTGTGCTGTTTGAAAAGAAGTAGATAGTGATAGGTAATTACAGGAATCATAGTTTCGGTATGTGCCTTGAGCGTATGCGTAGGAGCCCGAGCCGCTTGATGAGCCGGAGTGAGAGGAGGACGTGTAGCCGCGGCTGCTCCCGGAGGAGGAGCTTCGTCCACTAGACTGGTGGACAGTTGCAGAAGAGGACTTGCCCATGTTGATGGTTGTTGTTGGGAATGTAGTGGTTGGTGTGGTGTGAAGGCAACGATTGCGAGCGAGCAGTGCGTGTAAGCGTTGATGTTTGTGGTCTGATTATTCAAGTGTGTAGATGTCGATGGCAAGAGAAAAGAAAGATGCCAAAAGGGAGCAGACACGATGAGAATATATAGACCATTGGCAACGTGAGAAATCGCAGTTGTGCCCGGAACCCTCCGTGCGAATGGCAGCCAGGTACGACAGGCAACCTTCAAGGCTAACCACAACAGTGGAACAGGCATAGCAATCGTAACGGGTGCAGGGGGTGACTCAAGGGACACGCCTCAGCCTGTAAAATGGGGCCAGAAAAACAGTGAGGAGGAAGTGAAGCAAAAAGGGAAAAAAAGAGGCAGGCTAAGTGACGAAGCGGCATTCGCACATTGGTGGGCACGCCTCGAGCACGCCTCGGGGGGGACATGAACATGGGGAGGGTGTATCAAACAGCAGCAGCAAGTGAGTCATGGGTAGTGGGAGGTGTAAAAGGGGAAAGAAAGCAATCGGATGCAAACGGCAGAGGAAAACACAAGAATTGGACGCAGCACGCTAAAACAAACTGAAGGGGACAGCAGCATGAACCGCACATCTGGGGGAAACATGGGAATCCGATATGTGGCTGATGTGCTGCAATGCTGGGCGGCCGTTGTGTGCCTGGGAAGGCAGCAGAGGTCCCCGGTGGGGCGCTTCTCTGGGTCACAGGGTGCTGCACCAGCGACAACGGTGGAAGTAGTACGAACATGGTGGAAAGAAGGAACGGATAAAGCCAGACATGGGGAAAACAAGGATGATCGAAAAAAAATTATCTGCTGTTGTGTGTGTGTTCTTGGGGGGATATCAACTGGCGCTGGCCGGCGCTGAAATTGCACGTCTGCAAAGTGAAGCGAAAGCGAAGCGCTAGCTGGAGCGAGGCCAGCTTCGCCTTGTAACAACCCAGGTTTCCATCCGCGGCGCCTGGATTTAGTGAGGGAGGGACTAGCCAGACAGTGAGTGAGCGAGTGAGTGAGTGAATGCGCTATGCCCTGTACAGTAAAGCTGGGGGAGCAGCCGGGCCTTGTGGAGACACTGCTGCCTGAGCCCAGAAACAGATGCTTGGCATGGCGCCTGTAACGCAGTCGAGCACAACGGAATACAGCGTCCATGGGTCCAATGCACGCACCGAAACGGAGTATGGTACAGCTTGGTACCTGCAATTTACTGCTGCACTGTGCAAATAAAAAAGCAAAATAGGACAATTTCCTTATCGGCAGCGAGACATGTGAATGCGCGCGCATAGCCACTACTGTTAGCTTCGCCTCCTTCCGGGCAACAGAAGTGCTCCAAAAGAATACCGGGCGTCCTTAGCGTCCCGCCTGCCAGCAGCCTTGTAGCCCACTTCTTCGTATGCCGCACCTCTGACTACATGATCCTAGGCATCGTGATCTATGACTGCGTGCCGACCAAAATCTCCAACCAATGCTTGGTTATCTATTTGCAAAAGATAAGGATCAAGTCCGCTGTTGATCAGGCGCATTGCGCGGCATTCGTCGTGTGCTCTCGACCAGAAGTCATCACTGCAAGCAGGTTGTGCGACTGGATAAATTGAGCCTAGAGCCTGACAGGCTGTTGCGCGTTCATTCCAAGTCTCGCCTTTTCCGTCGCTTTGCGCCGACGTTTATCGACATCTATCCCCATGCGGCATCCCGACAGCGCGCAGGCTTGGTATTGGCTCCGTTTCACAATGTCTTGCGATTTTAGACAGGCCCGTGCTAAAGTTTCCCAAACCGGCGGGCTCGTCAAACTCAATTGTGAGCCATGCGACGCCCCGATACCCGACCCGCGCCTGTCCCATTTAGTGACTCCCCATAACAGCGTAAATGTTAAGCGTAAACCACTAACTACATGCCATGCAGGCCGTCTCAAACTCTATCCAACCACACAGTCGCGACCTCCTCTGCTTATTGTTGTCTTGCTCTGTTACATCCGTGCAGTCATCGCAGATCTCTGGTAAGACATTTTCTGGCGTTTCTCTATCGCGGCGCTGGCTGCATCCGGACAACAAAGCTTGTGCTGTATGATATGTCGGCTTTCTGTGGCATCGACGCCTTCCCGGCAACCATCCTTGCGCCGAAGAATCGGGCATGATGCCCCTGCACCAAGGGGCTCGCACTTAGTACCGATGTCTGCTACGTATCTCGACAGGAAAAAAACTTTTTCTCTCTTCATTTAGCGTTGGCTCCCTGTGAGTGGCTGAGAGGAGCGAATTCAATTTGCCAATCAGTACTTCAAACTGGTCACGCAGACATGAGCTCGAGACCAGCCTTGCAGACGCCTCCTGCAATCAGTCCCCCCCCCCCCGTGCGTGTCAATACGGCATACTCCAGGAACACCATACCCTGTTGCCCTCCTTCACAACCTGCCACCTCATCTTTGGGATGCAACACACCAAAAAAGCTTCGTGCCCACCAGAGGGAAGTTTTTCCCTGAGCGGGCAGTGATGCAGGAACAGTCCCACCACCCATCAATTGGCCTACCACGTCACGCTCCGACACTGCGGTTGAGCACACCCAAACCCTTTTCCAGACCCTGAGCCGACGTCACCCTCTCGCAAGCCTCCCGTCCACTTCCTTGATTTCTGGGCATGGCATTTTGCAAAATATGGTTCGCACCGGTGAGCGAACAAATAGACTTGCCGCATGACCGGCGACGATCCCAACGGTCACGACAGGTGGAAATTGAGTCCCCGACTCAGTGAACTTTTTTTTTGGACATAGAGTAATGCTAGGATACCCCCCAATGGGGGATGACGTCAGAAGCGCCCCTTCATTTTTTTCTCTCTCTTGACTCTCCTTCTCGTCTTCTGGTAAGCCTCATCGAACCGTATCGCGACCCCGCCGCCGTGCGCCTTTCGGTCTTCATCCACCGTTCTGTAAAACGCAAACGCGCGGCCAGCAGCCGCATCTGGAACGGACTGCGCTGCCCTGCAACTTGAGAACCCACGCTGTGTGACCCGAAACATAAGGTAACCTATTAGAATACAGATGTGTGCCTTGCTCGGAGGAAAACTCTGCGAGAGGCGTGTCAATTGGCTGTTTTAGGGCATGGCGGCAAGGCGTTCCGCAGGGAAACCACGTTGCAGGCTTGCATCGACGCGGCCACGGGCCAGGATTAATAAAAATTTTCACAAGCCACACGTCGAGTAAATCTTTTTCTGCAAAGGCCCAGAACGCGAACACGGCAAGTTGCAGGCAGAGCGGCTCATCAGATCGTTTTGCGCGTACATGCAATGCATATGGACAGTGCATCCCAAGGCCACGGCTTGTACAGTATGTACAGTAAAAAAAGCCCGACCTCGACATAGTGCCGATCACCCCACTGGGAAATCTCACCCAATCTTTAGCAAATCAACCCCACTCATAGCAAGTCTCCTCTGTTGTGCCGCCGCTAGTGGGAAAGCCACAGGGCCCAACAAGCATTTTTTTCCTTTCCCAATAGCGCAAACACTGCTGCACTAACAAATGGGACCCTTGGCCACCCTGTTGCCCCCCCGCACCCCGAACCCAAGACACACCAGTGTGGGCCGGAAGGCTACGCTGGCCTCACTGGCTTTTACCGCAAGCTCTCTCCGCACTTGGATTCGTCCATCCTCCTCCTCCAACACGCAAAACTACACACCCCAAAACCACACCCGCCCACCATGAAAGCCACCTTTTTCGTTGCCGCCGCCGTCCTCGGCCTTGCCTCTGCCGGCGAGCTCAAGATTGACGTCACCCGCAAGGTCAAGTGCGAGCGCAAGACCAAGGCTGGGGATTCCGTGGCCATGCACTACAGAGGAACGCTGCAGGACACCGGCAAGCAGTTTGATGCCAGTACGTCCCTCATTCTCCCTTGTTTCCTCACTGCCCCAAACAAACGAGCGCTTTACCGCCCAATTGTCCGCATGCGTCCTGTTCCAATGACTCGGTGCGAGCAAGAGCACAAAGCTGTGCAACTCGCCTGGTTCGCGAACTAAGCATGATACCTTCTTGCCCCCTCCCTCTGGGGGCCAATTCATCTCGTGATGCAACCGGATGCTAATCATTTTTTTTGCTCTACTGCAGGCTACGACCGCGGCCAGCCCTTCCGCTTCAACCTTGGCAGCGGCCAGGTCATCAAGGGGTGAGCAGAGCGGACGATTTACTCGCGTCATTCAGCGCTAACACTATTGGCAGTTGGGACCAGGGTCTCCTTGACATGTGCATTGGCGAGAAGCGGTAAGTTCCTTGCAATTACTCACGCCTACCACAAGGGCCATGACGTCGCTAACGGCGCTGCAGCACCCTGACCATTCCCCCTGAGTTTGGCTACGGCGAGCGTGGCATTGGCCCCATCCCCGGCGGCGCCACTCTCGTCTTCGAGACTGAGCTCCTCTCCATTGATGGTGTTGAGACTCCCGAGAAGATTGAGGAAGTCGAGGACGAGGCTAAGGAGGCCGAGGATGTTCCCGCCGAGGAGACCAAGGAGGAGGAAGAGGTACGTCCCACCAAGCTGACAAGTGTGCACTGTGTCCGTATCACTAACGCTAATTCTCTTAGGGCAAGTCTGAGCTGTAACCAGGCTACGAAACCTCCGGTCGATATATTTTACAAGTCTATAAATAAAATATGCAATGAAACTAGAAAACACAAACATCCCGTTTTGTCCTCTCCAATTGCTAGCTGTCATGTCGTTCGTGATTCATCAGACAGGCCACCGCCTTATCCAAAGAAGAGCCGCTTCTGTCGCGGATCATTGTTTGCTACGGCCTTGCTCTTCTTCTTGTCCACCCCCTTTGCTTTCTTAGAACCTGGGAGCATGAATGGTGTGGGAATAGTAGACGGCGGCGGCGCACCATCGGCGACAGGACCATCCTTGGCCTGTTCGCCCTGCACAGCGTCCCGGATCGTCTGCCGCGACAAACACAAGTCAATATGCTCGTTAAAGGCCCGTTCATCAGCATCTTGTGGCCTACCACAGATGGGGCAGTCCCACCACTCTTCGTCCGGTCGGTCTTTGCGTTTTGTCGCCGCCACCGGATTCGCCTCAACTTCCTTGCCATGGTGCCGCGAGGCGCGTGTGTAATCCTCCGTCGGATCTTCGCCACCGCTGTTGTGTTGCTGCTGCTGCTGCAGCTCCTCTGTTTCTGTGTAAGCATCCCCTGCGCCATGCAAAGCGCCCGAAGTGCCAGTCGGCGATACATCCTCCCCACTCCTCGTCTTGAAGCCGAAAAATGCCATCGTGTCAGGTCGCTTTGTGCTCACGAGATGCGTGCATCGCAGGCCCATAAGACGGAGGCGCAGGTCCGGCATTTCCTGTTCGAGTTTTGCCAGCATTGGTAGTGCAAAGGCGTAGAGGTCGTCCGCGAGATACACTGCTCGGGGCGGCGCAAACTGTCGTGTAAGCACTTCAAATGTATGCAACTTGACTTTGAGACACAGCGTCCGTCCTTTGCATTCGGCTTTACGCATGTCTCGCTCCAAATCTTCCGCCGTTTGCCGAAGTTTCTCTCGGAGCTTGGCGCCGTCTGAAATCTCGCCAAACGTGCGCTCGGTTCCGACGCTCTTGCGTTCATATTCTTCTGCTGGTTGGATACGGGTTCGTCCAAGACCAAGATAGCTCTTCATGAGAAACTCAAACGTCTTTTCTCCGAACAATGGATTGAGGTATTGTCGGAATGCATAAATGTCGCCACAAGTCTTGATGCCGATTTCTGACAGCTGTCTCTCTAGCACGCGGCCAATGCCAGGGACTTTCCTAGTTGGCAAATCACGCATGAAGTTCATGATGGTAACTCTGTCCTTTGCTAGGACGTACTGGCCGTTGGGCTTGTTGTAGTTGGAACAAATCTTAGCCAGCTTGGCGTTGGCCGCAATGCCTGCTGAGACGGTGATCTTCGCTGCTTCATGTACTTCCCGCCGCATTTGATTAACAACGTCGGCAGGATTCATATCATGCTCAGTACAGTACTCCGTGATGTTTAGGTATGCTTCATCGATGCTAGCGCTTTCGAATCTAGGATCGTATTCGACGAGCACCTTTCTGACTTCGCGCGCCTTGGCTGTGTACTTGTCAAAGTTTGGCTTCAACAGGATCAGCTGCGGACAGAGCTTCTTGGCCACAAAGCCAGCCATGCCAGACCGGCATCCGAATTCGCGAGCTTTGTAGTTGCAAGTCGTAAGGACGCCGCCGCCCACTGCAAATGGAACATCGTTGAGCTCTGGCTTCTCCAAGAGCTCGACGGCTGCATAGAAAGCATCACAGTCTACATGAACAATATGCTGCGAGAGGTCTCTAGTCAGTTCGAGTTCGGAAATGGCTCGATCGGCATTGCGCAAGTCACGAGTTAGATCTCTGCTGTCAAGCTCCTTCTTCTTAATTTGAATCTGGTCTATGCGTTGTGTGAGGACCTTGTCGCGGACCTCCTCGTGGTTGAAGAATTTGGAACCCTTTGATGCATTATAGATAATCTCCGAAACCTAGCGACTGTCAGGAGGTGCTCCTTGTATTCTTCTGGGCGAGCATACTTTGCCTTGGTCGACGGTGTCTTGGCCAGCTTTGGTGAGCGACTGACCAAGCAATTGATATTTCAGCGTTTTGAAGTCATCGGATTCGTCGATGAGGTCGTCTCCCTCCGTAGAGGTCATGTTGATCTAGGCATTGAGGGAAAAATGTTGTATTTTTTTTCCAAGTTTTGGGTGTTGTAGAGGAGATGTATGAAGTTATCGTGAATTTCAAAACGCGTCAGCCGCGATGGAGCTCGGCCCCTCCCTGTCATTGCAGGTTCTCCAAATACACGCGCAGTCACGTGAATCCACTTAGACAGGCCAACCATGAAATATAAGCTTTTAGTTACTCTCTAAATAGGAATCACTGCTAGATACATATGAATTGCCCTATCGCTCCATAATCCAGAATTTTGTACGAATTTATTCACAGCAGCTGGTCTGCTGACTTCTCGCCCATGTACCTTTCCCTTGTAGCAGCCCCCCCAAGCGTGGGGCAGCCAGCGGAGCTTAGTGAGCTTAGTGACAATCACATTCGCTAAACGGCACCTGATTGGCTATTGCACAGTCACCCCTCCATTCAGAGCTGCTGTTAAGCGCCGAGCAAGTCCAACCAGCATTGCCGTTGGGCTCTGGCAAAGAACGCTTAGGCAGATCGCATCTGCGGTAATTGAATTTGATTGGAGCAGCCTGAGTTCCGTTCGGAGAAGTGAGGAGAAAAGGTTAAAAAAAGAAGACAGAACACGTGCGACACTTTCCGCTCTCTCCATCTACAACTACTTTTCCCAGCATACGCTGTTCCGCCAGCAACGGGCGTATTTTGCGCAACAGCCTCTTTCTAGCTATTATTTATATCGAGTAGTCGAATAATCTCTGCTCTTTACAATATGGCGGCCAAGCCGGGCGAAGAAAACGTCGCCACTCTGTGAGTTGTCGCATGCGCCATCCGACGTAACTGATCGCATGCTAATAATCGTCGCCCTTTGCTGCGAAATAGTTTCGGCGACATTCACTACTTTTATTCAGGAGAGGAAGTCAAGCCACGCCATCACAGATTCGATAAAGGCTCCTACGTGTATCTCTTTGAGAATGCAAGCGACCGCCGCTGTCGCATAGAGATTGCCAACCACCCTGGTTCTGACGACCAGGATGCCTTTGACGGCTGTAGGTTTTCAAATGCAACCCCGAAGCTGTACCGAATGCTAACAGTTTCTGTAGTTCTTGACCAGACTCACGTCAAATACTCGTACAAGCAGCACTGCATGGTGTCTTTGACCGTAGCCGACAGCGTCAACCAGAACGAATGGCATCTGCCCACCTTCGACCCCAAGAACGAAAACAAGTACCATTACAAGCTCCAGTCTCTCGATATCTACTTTTGGACACAGCAGGATGCTCTCCAATTTGTCAACGGCGTCCGCAGAGTGCTGCCGCCTGCGCAAGTCGAAGTCTTGGATGAGCCTGGACCACCTCCCATGACTTCGGTGGTGCAAAAGCTTGAGAACGCCGCCATCTCCGATCCGACATATGGCAACGTCCAGAAGTCGACACAGGATCCCGCATCTGCATCTACAGCCGCATCTGCGGGCAGTTTGCCTCCTCCCCCGCCACCACCTCCAGCCGGCGCTCCTCCAGCAGCCAACTTTGCGCCCATGGCCTATAACCCTGCTGCACCAGCCGCCCCGGAAGCCTTTCAACATCGTGAAAAGACACCTCCCCCAGACGAAGATCCCCTGAACCCGTTGGCTGTAGCTGTGGCACATGACTATGGAGGCCAGCCCTTCACACCAGGGCTTCCTCCACCACAGTTCCCGCTTAGCCCAGGATTCGCGCCGCAGACTCTGGCAGCTGCACGCAACCGCGGTGGTATCCCTCCTGGACAAGGTTTCAACAGAGGCTCGTCTTTGTCTGCACAGGGTGGCCTTGCGTCGCCAAGCTTGAATGGCTCGTTCCAAGCCCAGGCTGCCGCGCCATCCTCATTTGCCCCTCCACCTACAGCAGCAACCTCCGCGTCTGTCCCGCCTCCTCCACCAAACCCACCACCACAGCAGCAACAGCATCAGCAACAGTCTGCACAAGGGTACAGCTCGTACAGTATCCAGGGCCGTCAACAGGCACCGATGGGCGCTATGGACTACTCAATCCACCAACAGGCATACCGACCGACCGAGCTGGAATCTGCGGGACACAAGCCTCATGTTTATACCCCCAAGGATGGAGCACGCGGTAAGCTGGAAGAGAATGCAGCACGTCTTGAAAAGGGTGTTACTGGCATGTTTAAGAAGTTTGAAAAGAAGTTTGGTTGAGCAATTGCCAAGTTCTGGATGTAGAAGAAGGGTACATGTGCAAACAAGTCTTTCGGAGTACGGATTGAAGGATGTAGCCAGTTTATTTAATTGAAATATATAGTCATTGTTTATTTTCCTATTTACGTATAATTCATACATATATAGCCGTTTTTCCATGTACGTATATATACCGTATGGTTTAAACACCGGTGATCTTGATCCAGCTGCGGATCTCGGGGTGACCGACGTCGGCGTAGGTGCCGGGGTCATCAGCACCGGCGCACTCGAGACCGCCAGAGACGGTACCAGCGAGCTTGCCGTTGACAACGAGGGGACCGCCGCTGTCGCCGTAGCAGGAGCCGATGCCGCCGCCAGGGTTGAGGGCGCAGATAAACTGTCAGTGGTGCCGCCACCACCGTTGGCAGTGTTCATCTGGTTGCACCTCTCCTTGCTGATGAGGGGGTAAGAGACAAACTGGAGAGTCTGGGGGTAGTGACGGCTGGTGGTGGTAGCACCCCAACCAGAGAGGAGGCCCATGTCGCCAAGGGAGGCACTGGTGTCAACCAGAGGGACAGGTTTGAGGGAGTCACTGAAGGCAATGGGCTCAGGGGTCTGGATGAGAGCAATGTCGAAGTCGATGCCAGTGTTGGGGTCGAGCTTGAACTTGGGGTGAGCCTGGAGGTTGGAGATCTGGTAGACCTTGCCCTGGCCGGCCTGGTTGCTGCCAACGCGGATGGTGATTTGGGAGACCGTCCTTCCCCTGACACAGTGACCAGCAGTCACAATGTAGCGAGAGTTGACAATGGCGCCACCGCAGCCTAATTCACCATTGAACGCGAACTCGACCTGGTAAGGAACATCCTTGATGTCGGTGTCCTGTCCGCCAATGACCATAATGACCGGGGGACAGTGGCAGCAAGAGCCTGAGCGGCAAGGCTGAGAACAACAATAGACTTCATTGCGATGCTCTTTTGTGTAGAAGGGGAGAAGAATAGTGAAGAAGATGTGTGAATGACTTGGATGCTCCAAGAATCACAGGCATATCAGCGCGGATTGACCTGTATATTTATACTTGAGCTGCATTGCACGATAGTGTCGTGCTAGCCTCTCCCGATGACTAGGCCAAGGCTAGGCGATGCCTCAGAAAGGAAAGTAGTATTTTCGTATTAACGCACAAGCCAAGTTGAATAGTCGAGATGGGTCGTGATGGGCCGATCGGTAGTCAATGCCTCCTATCGTGTTGCGTACAGTCCATGCTTAAAGTCCATCCACAAAACCATGGCATGTGAATCGTAGCCTGCCACATGGCTACCTGCCTGTTCAGGGCATACAAAAAACCCACAGCTGCCATCAACTCGTTTGTTACATTAGCTGGATGGCTTGCCTTGGCGCGCGTGGTGGCGGAGGCTGCGACTTTCCGATGGGGGCGGGGGACGTCTGGCTAACCGATTAACCGACTAACCGATGGTTCGATGATTGCTATAGCTCTTTATCTCCTAGTGGGCATCGTACTGGTATGCCAAGCGCCCAAAAAGTAAGGTTATTACCGTGTACGCCAAGAGTTTCACGGTGTTGGGTTATCCATAAGCTTGCTTGCATATAATCCGCCTATTAATGAGATAGATTACAGTATACACCATGAGCACATTATTACTATGCAAAACTGATCAGCAGCTGTTAAACGAAGAAGACAGATGAATAGAATAATTTGCTCAACTGGGATATGCGCATAACATGCAGTACTGTACTGTTCTGTGGAACGGGATGTTTGAATGTCTTCTTTGACGGCTCAGTGTGATCTGCTGCGCCGCCGAAGTCTGTGACGCGCCCGTAAGCGCTCAGATAAAAGACAATGAAAAGACAAAATACAAAACCTCTTTCACATATTTTGCCCACCTAGCCGTTCTTATGCCCCTGTGTCCAATATGCTATGCTTTGTTCTATTCTTAACAGCATGAGAGCAGCGTTGAAACTGACATATAAAGAGGACGCATGATACGACTACCATGATGCTCGTTAAAAAGTTCGATTACCAGATTCATCGATCCAGCACTCTTGCTAACCACCACATCGCAATGTTATTTCATATTCACAGCCGAGGTACTGATGGCTCCAGCCTCAGCGGGCCTATCTTGGTAAGTCGACATATCATTCCCCTTCCCCTGGGCATACTAACCGATTTGACAAAAACAAGTCCACTAACCAATTAATAGATCACAGTGGGCGTTATCATCCTAGTAGCAGTCACTTTGGCATACTGTGGATGCTTCAGCTCATGCCTCCGCTGGCGCTCACGCACCACATCATCACGAAACAGGTTAGTTGGCCCCGGACAAAGCGACATTGAGCTTTCTGGTTTGCGGCGTCCCCGGAGTGCGGTGCTAAGAGAGTCCAGGGTCCATCCCGCGCCAGCATACAGCGCAGCTGTCCTCCCTGGCGAACGAGTACTTGCCAGCACACCCATGCGAGCCTACTTGGTCGCCAGTCCCGTGTACCAAGTTGCCTTGGCCTTGGACCCAGCTGCCCTGAACTGGAATAGAGGTTACAGACGCCGTCGGGGACGAAACAGCCGTGCTCGTCGTTCCGCGAGGAGATCACAGCAGCAACAGGCACAGCAACAACCCGCACAGGTCACTGCAGCTTCTGGCACGGCCACTCGTCACCCAAGAAGTCCCCTACAGATGCCAATTCGTTGAAGACTTCCGAGTCATGTTTTCCGCCACGTGAACAATGCTAGATTTAGAGCTAACCAGGAAGCGGCCGCCAGACTCAATCCTACACCAGTGCTGTTTGCGAACGGCGTGGACTATAACGACCTCACCACAGAGCATGCCTAACGTCCGGCTAGTCTGCATCGAGTCCAGTCAGTTTCCACTTCTGACCGTAGCAGTGAGCCGTCTCCAAGAACGGTCCCGGTGGATATCAAGAGCCAGCCGATACCAGCGCACGATGAGGCTGCATTGGTCGACACGGGGTACATTACAGGGGCATGAGTCTTTGCTCTTTTGCTGTGGTTTCCCTTTCCTTTTGCTCTGCGTTTCTTTGTACTGCGACGGTTTTGCTTTGTTTTCTTTACGTTTATACGTTTTTATCATTGTCTTGGTAAGTAATGCTTGATATTTCGACTGAATGACGCAATTTCAACATCTATATCGTAGTAAGTCTATGTATAGGATTGTCCTTTGTAATCTGATGACTGTTCTGTCTTCTGGGATCTCGATTCTAGTCCTGTGACCGTGTTTCTTGTTAAGTAGAGGCAGAAACAACAGCATCAACCAAATGTCATCCATAGAATGCTTACCGAAGCCACTGCCAAACTAATAGTGAGAGTTCCCCTCACATTATTTCACACAATGCCCCGAAAAGCAGCTTTGTCAAGCTTACCGAGCAGCTGTGCCTGTGGCGTGATTGTTATTTGCGCTTAGACAATATTCGAAAACCCCATCTTGAACATCCCGTCTACTAGAAGCCGCGCGGATGAGACGCTAACTTAGCCGGGATCGTATCATCTCTTGCCGCCGCCGTCTATTGTGGCACGCAGCGCCAATTATTATTGGTGTATCAATCTGCTTTTTCAGCATTTGTATGGGCTTACCAAGCTCGTTGCTCAGCGTCCCCCTCCATCAGAGTAGAGCAGCCCCGCACCAGCTCCCCACCCCACCTCATCCAAGCTGCCTCTCTGCAGCTTCGTCCTGCTTTGTGATAATTAGGTAATGCCACCCTGGTGGGTTGGTAAACTGCAATGGCGCCCAGCAGTGGCCAATACGCAGCCAGGCGGTGGAGCAGCGGATCGGATCGACCAGCTCTGCAGCGCTCTGGTTGCTCTGTAGCGTCCAAAGTTTTAGCGGGTGAGGGGCCAACCAGCCAGCCAGACATGTTGCACGTTTGCAGCACCCCCGCCTCTCGTGGTGCTCAGTAAACGATAAATAGCCTCTTGGCCCCAGGAAGGTGTTTTCTACCTTTTTGTCCTTTCCAACCAACCTCTACTCTTTCATCACATACCATCTTCCGTCTTTTAAAGACTCAATCCGCTACAATGGGCAAGATCGCTGTCGTCTACGTAAGTTCAATAGCTTCAGCTAGCTCCCCCACCACTGCCCTCACAGAGCTCCCCCCTCTGTAACCAAAGCTGCCAAGCTGCCTTCTCTTGGCTATGAAGTTTCTCTCGCAAAATGCGTCATGCATATCCTAGCTTCCATCGACAATACTTTAGCTCTACAGGAAACTAACCTCTTCTCTCCCTGCAACAGTACTCTACCTACGGCCACATCAAGGCCCTCGCCCTCGCCGAGAAGGCTGGTGCTGAGAAGGCCGGTGCCACCGTCGACATCTACCAGATCCCCGAGACCCTCTCTGAGGAAGTCCTCGGCAAGATGCACGCTCCCCCCAAGGACGCTGCTATCCCCGTCCTTGACGACCCCTCCAAGCTCCTCGAATACGACGGTGTCCTCTTCGGCATCCCCACCCGTTACGGCAACATGCCCGCCCAGTGGAAGGCCTTCTGGGACCAGACCGGCGGTATCTGGTCTACTGGTGGCTTCTACGGCAAGAAGGCTGGTCTCTTCATCTCCACCGGTACGCTCGGTGGTGGCCAGGAGTCCACTGCTCTTGCCACCATGTCCACCTTTGCCCATCACGGCTTCCACTACATCCCTCTCGGCTACGCCAAGTCCTTTGGCCAGCTTGCCAACCTCTCTGAGGTCCACGGTGGTTCTCCCTGGGGTGCTGGCACTTTCGCTGGTGCTGACGGCTCCCGCCAGCCCTCTGCTCTTGAGCTTGAGATTGCCGGTATCCAGGGCGAGACCTTTGCTGGCTTTGTTGGCAAATGACTCCCTGACACTGCTGTTGAGCCTGCTTCTTGTGCCGCCAATGGCACTACTACCACTACTGCTGATGCTAAAGATAGCCAACCTGCGGCTCAGCAGGAGGGAGATGCTGTGCAAACCAAGAAGAAGGAAAAGAAAGAGGGCCCATGCGGTCTACCTTTCCAATGTACAGTCATTTAAATGACACCTAACGATGAATTAAATAATGAGATAAAAATGTGAAACTATCAATATTGTACATACATACACTACTTTATTGTGAAAAGCTTTGATACGCTCGGAAACAATCCATGCTGAACTAAACTCTGGTCAAAGGCGCCGTGTCTCTTTGATGTAGTCCCAAAAGAACAAATACGCCCACTGCTCAAGAAACAGAATGCAACTTTAACTAAACAAAACGCAAAGACGGGTCATTACTTCTTGAACAAATTCGACTCAGATCCAAAGAATGGATTCGGTTGGAACCTGTGGTGCTCCAAGCCTGACTGTAGCTCACCATCATAGAGTGGCTGTCGCTCGTCCTCCAACGGCGGCGCCACCTTCATGTCACCCCTGTAGATCTCGATCGCTGAGACCAAGGGCATAATCAGCAGCAGCATGGACAAAGACTGGCCAAAGCTCCAAGACTTCTCGCCCTCGTCCGACAGCTTGACGTTGGTGTTACCGCCAAAGGCCTGCGCCACATAGATAACACGAATGGCGACACCAATAGCGCTGGCAGCCATGAGCAAAAGACCAATAATCTGAATGGCCTTGAAGAAGCGTTGATTCCTGCTGTGCAAGTACCATGTCGCAAGGGCGAAGATGATGCCGTTGGCCGCCATGACCGCAATAGTGCCGACAAACGAGACCCCCGTGTCACCACTGGTGCCTTTTACTTCGCCGTTCCAGACACAGGCAACAGGCAGGGTTGAGTGGACGAGGCCTTTGGAAACAACCCGTAACACGAAGATACCTGAAACTGATGACAACGCCAGGTTGACAAACATGAGAAACTGGCGCAGCCACCGCAGAACCCAATCACGGCGGTAGTCGTGCACGAGGGCGAGCAGCGTGGCGTTGTGTGTGGCCATGGATAGTAACGAGAGCATCCAGATAAGGAAGAAGTGATACGGAATGAGCGAGCTCATATTAGCGAGTCCGACACTCTGAATTCCGATTCCCTGCATGATTTGTGAATCGCTGTATCCATTCAGGACTTTTCGGCGAATGGTCGACGGCTTGCCACGGACTTCGGCCCAGATGACACTTGTAGAGATGAGGAGAGCGAGGACGGCGGTGATCATAAAGGACAATAGAATCTAAAAGAGGTGAACAAGTATTGGTTAGCTAATGGACGCGTGGTGTATTCTATTGCGGCCGAGTTCAAACATACTCCTGTGCCCGCAATACCAGCGTCGCTGGGAGCGCTGTCTGGCGCATTGCTGCAGTTGGCGTCAAAGAGACCCATGGCGTCAAGCTATGGAAGGTGATGAGAATGTATTTGGGTTTCGCGTTTAGCGCATTTGATCGCGCAATATCGTACGATTCAAATAAATAAGAAGAAATTTGGAATCTCAGAACAGAGTTGCCAGGAACTGTCCCCTTCTACGAGCGCGCTCCTCGCTGTCAGCGGTTGCCGCTGCTCGGAAACCAAAAAGCGACCAAAAACAGGGAACTGGGCTGCTTGGCTTGTCCAGGGACCAGCGCTGTTAGCCAATGGCGGATACCTGCCCTTAACCTAGCGGCCGCTGCTATTTCCGTCGCCCCAATCACCAGCTTTCAGGCGGGCACAGAGCCGCTGAGGCGTTCTGCTGCCGCTGGCAAAAAATCGACTGGCTGTCAGGAACCCGTCCGTTGGCCTGGCCCGCGACCCAATTCGGCAACGCCTGGAATGGTGCGATGTCTCCCATCTGGCGTTTCTCGTGGATGCCCTGCAAGGCATTTCTGACCGTGTTCCATTAATGCGATGACTCGCGTTGTGCTCCCAGCAAATGCCGATACATTGGACGATTGTGATTTTTTTCCTTCATCCACAACACAACCCACGTATTTCGTCCTTCATCGACAACGTAGTCTTCGTAGATGCACTCGCTAATGCAGCGACACCGTGTTGCCACGGATACCACCACTCTGAAGCTTAGCCACTTCTCTCTCAATACTCAGGTGTAAACCAAAGAACTGAATGACCACCGCCAGTACTCAATAATACTAGCATTGGATCAAACGAAAGGTGCGGGTAAAGGCACAACTAGCCAAGTAGGAAAAACGCATCTGCCAAGTTTGCTGCACAATCAGCCGCACCTAGCCAGCCCGCTGGAATGCATCTGTTTCGGTTCATTCGGGAATGGCACTAACTAGCTTCTACCAAACATGACCCAAGTGTTCGGGAGGCACCCCTATTAGCCGCATCGTAGTTGCTTCCTATGATGTGGCGCTGTACTATGCTGTGGTAGAGCGGAGTGCCCAGGATTTGCTTTTTTGCTGCTGGAGCTCCTTTCGGGTAACAGAGCCCATGTAATTTAATTATTATGCAGGGGATATCCAAGTGACCTGACCATCTTGACCCTTGCTTCTGTAGCGGTCTTTTGCGATCGATCTAGGGGATTTGATACTGCAAGACATTAAAACTTTCAACTGCTTCGAGCCGATCAAGTATATCTCTGTAGTTGAGATCCGCAGGGTTGCTCAATTCCTCCGACCTTTGCAGCGCAATCTTGTTCTAGCGCTACTAAACAATCGCAAGGCGTAGTTGTCTCGAGGAAAGTGGCAAAGTCATCCAGCAAGCCACTTTGCTTGAGTGGGAAGATTAGATTCAGTCATGGGAGACCGCCAGATCTTCAAACATTGTCCCAGCCAACTACTTTTAATTGTCGGCCAATGCAAGAACGGAATGGCTTCCGACAGGAATCACACTGGCGCACTGAGACGCAAGTACCGGGACCCTAGTGGCGTCGATGGAGATGACTAGCGGGGAGGGGCCAGAGATGCTCCATTGGCAAAAGAAACAGATGCCATCGTTGGGAGTGACCCAGTCAAAGGCATGACACTGGAGATGGCTGTAACGTCGCCTGATATATTACCTGCATGCGGATGAGTTTTTGGCCGCGCCAACTTTTTCATGAGTCGCAGACCCCTCCAAATGGTTAGAGCTGCATGTCTTGAGCGATTTGTTTTGGCAGCCATTCCAGTTACGGACGAATTGGGCTGTATTAGGGCATCCTATCTAGGCTGGATCGGAAGGTTGCGCCGGCAAGATGATCGTCTGGAGTTGAAGATGGGGGGACGGGAAGGGATGCGATTGAGGCGAATTGGTTCGGATCCTTCACTGGAAAGAGGTTCACCGTGGAGATGCTGTGCGCTGTCACAAATTCTTTTTTTGTTGGCTTCGTTTTTTTCAAGCCCATTACTGCTACGGTTACCCGCAAGCCCAAAGCAAATTATACAAAAAAGAAACTCGACCCAAAAAGAAAGGGAAAAAAGCAAAGGGACGGAGCCGTTGGGAAGAGCAAGGGAGCCCTGGTAAATGCGGACTGCCCCACCAAAGCGCTCCTGGCGGGGCTTCAATGCCAGTTGCCATCTGTTGGCAGTCCCAAAGTGTTGGTGCCAGGTGCCAAACTGGCAAATTTCATCTTCTGTCTCGTCTCCCTCTCCTCTTTCCAGTACAACATGGGGGATTGGATGCAAAGGTATACACTGTGGTGGCTGCTTGAGCTCGAGACGTCGCCGCCCATCTGTCTCTCGAGCGGTTGGTTGGCTTACACGACTAATGCATGCATTAGCTCCAAAAAAGAGAGCAACTACACTTGCAGCGGAAATTCTACCTGTCGATTTGTTAGCCCGTCCCCCCAAAGTGGACTCTAAACGCCTCCTTTTAGTATGGCAAACGCTCGTGCTGTGCAGGCATCGCATCCCAGACTCTCTCTTGTCACGTAAGTTTTTCTTTTTCTTTGCAATGGTCACCTCGTCTGCCCCTGTCCCGGCCCGCCCGCCGGCGCACACAAACGCCAATTCGCTTTGCACTTTGCGATCCAAAGGGCAGCATGCCTCCGCCGTGGGCCTGGAGGCGAGATTGTCTCAGCTTGCGAAACACACCTAACGATGCCAGAAACATCCATGCCTGTGGCACGCAAGACCTACACTCCCCTTGCTCCCCTCGTGTGTGTGTCTGTCTTAATTTTGCAAATTGCCTTTAAGAACATCGTCCGCGCCGTCGCCTTCTTCCTTCTTTATATGAAGGGGTCTTTGGAATTTCTCTTGTCGGCCATCTTTGCTTCGTCTCTCATTTACAATAGCCCACCCACGCAATCGACAAACACCGACTTTTTCTGTTATCTCTCGAATTTCCCCCTAATTCAACCTCATAATTAATCACCACCGGATTCGCATTATCGCCCAAGACATACAGGGGCCCTAGCATACACTTACCGCCAACCCACGCCTCTTATCCATCAGCCTCTCGCCCACCGGGTGTCTCGCCCGCATCTTTCGCAGCCTCCTTGCCCACCAACTTGGTAACTGCCGCTAATATGTCGTCGTCTACCATGCTCGTCATGCCCCAGCCCCGTGCGGCTCACAAGCTGCGCGATCGTGGCTCCGAGAAAGAGTACGCTGCTCCTGAGCATGCCCGCCATCGCCGCAATCCCTCCAACAGTCACTACCAAGAGTCGCCATACCCTTCTCCCCCCGAACAATATAACCATCTTTACACCGAATCACCGCCTCATCAACATCACCGTAAACACTCGTCGGATCATCGCCGGCAGCGATCTCTTGCCTCGCCCGCAAACATGCCTTCGGGTATTGAGAGGCTCCCCGAAGATGTTCAAGGCATGGTGTACTCGCGCATGGACTACCAATCTCTCATCCACCTCTCCACCATGAACCGTCACTTCCACGGCACTATTGATCCTCAGCGCATGGCTGATGCAGCTGACAAGGCTCAATTTGTGATGCGCGCAGCCAAAGACTTCCCCCAGCACCGTCCCAGCGAGAAGGGCCATGACTACAAGCCCGGGAACTTTGAGTGCTACATCTGCTTCAAGGTGCGCTCTGCAGACCACTTTGACATGCTGCAGCCACAGCATGCTTGGATTGATGCTTACGGCCACGTTGTGTCTGAGCGCGATCCTATCCCCGGTGTCGATAGCAAGATTTCCCTCCGCCGCTTCTGCATCGAATGCGGCGTCAAGGAAGGTCTCCATGCCCCCTTTGACTGCCTCACTACAAGAACAGGCCGCGACCTTTGGGTCTGCCGCTGCCGCCGCATATGGTCCAAGCCTGGTTGCTTGCGATGCCCAGATTGCCGCGGCGACTGCCCACTACGTCCCAAGAAGAAGTTTGGCATGTAAGGCAGCTTGTATGTATACACCACACGACACTCTCACACATTCTCTCACTTCTCCCGTTACTATATTATAATGTCTTTTATCTCCCTCATATCAGACTTATCTTTCTTACTATTATTATTACTAAGGAGAAACAAACCGGACCTGCTGGCGTTACTTTGGTTTTTGGGGGCGGACTTGCTTTTATTTTCTTTACTTTTACCTACGGAGTTATACAAACGGTGTTAATCAGGAGCAGGAGGGTACAGGAACTTGATACCACAGCATCAAAAAGAACTACAGGATTTTGACGTTGAGAAGATTATACACACCCGCCAAGTAGTTGAAAACTCTTTACTTAATTTCTATTCAAAAAGCATTATCAATATCTTGCCTCTAGCCCTGTCGTGTGACTTGAGAAGAAAGTGAATTCAACAGTCCCCTCCCGCCATTCTCTCTTTCTCTCGTTAAAATTTGTTGCGTTCCATCTATTTTTTTTCTCTCTTCCATAAACCCTCTCTTACAACTGTACCAAAGCCATGTTTTCTCATTCATATTAGCACTCACAATGCTGACCACACCACCCTCCTCCCAGCCACAATCTCAGTCAGACACCACCACCACCGCCGCCGCCCCTCTACTCTTCACCATCCACGGATCACCTATTTCTGGCCGCGGGGCTTTTGCTGCCTGCGACATCCCACCTCACCAAGTCATTCTCCGTGAGCCGCCTCTGCTGCTAGTCACGGCACACACCTCATTATGCACGGCGTTTGAGCGGCTGGATGACGCGGACAAGCATCTCGCCTTAGGGCTGTGTGCCAATGAGGATCGTTACAAGGATGGCACACCTAAAATACAGGCCATCTGGGCGACCAACAGGTGAAGAATGTCTCAGAACGCACTGATGAAACATCGTATTGACGTGTGACATGTCAAATAGTTTTGCTACGCAGCAGGGACAAGGCGGCTTGTTTCCAGTCTCTGCTCGGTTTAACCATGCTTGCCGCCCAGGCAGCAATGTCGACTACTATTACGATAACCAAAATAATGAGCTTGTGTTAAAGTCGGGATCACAAGCAATAAAAAAGGAACAAGAGTTAACAATATCGTATATGTTAGATGCCTCTCCCGCACAGCTCTATGCAGCCTATGGGTTTCAGTGCAGATGCGGATACTGCCCCGGCTTGTCAAATGAAAACTTAAGGAAGATGCTAGATAACTTATGGTAGCCATAATCGCCAGTTGTTTAGCATCTTGTATCACCTTACCACCTCCTTATGCCTGTGGCGCGTAGCAACCCTTCAAAGTTTCTCCGGTGATGCACATGATGGTCAGTCGGCACAAAAGTCCACCCTCCATCCGAGCTCTTTGCCAGAGCCACACCATGTTTGCCCAGGTGGTCTAGACCTCTATGTTCGTCAATTTTTTCATGACCCAGAACCTCAATGTCACTGTGAATCCGAGTGAATAACATCGGCATGGCGTCATTCTTCCAAACCGCTACGTCGTCTCTGGCTGACGCTAGAATCGTAGCGACTAGATAGTATAGCGCCAAGAAGAGAAAGAAAGGCTGATAGAGAATCCATGGCCATCTAACATGTATGAAATCAGTCAACTGTGTAGCGTGGCCTTCGTAATAGTTGTCGTTTGGATCTCTCACTTGACCTTGTGATCGAAACTCGTTACTTAAGCTTAGCGTCAGCTTGTCAATCCAAGATGGCATTTCTGGTACCGCATTCCACACTGCTTCCGTCCAATCAGATGAAAAGTTGACTATTTCAAACGATTTTTCATACGTTCCCTCCATCAAGTAGCTGATGAATCGGCGAATAGTTTCTACAGATCGAGTCGACACACTGTATCTTGAATTAGAAGCAGCGTTCATCTCAGAAGGGAGATTGATAAAAACGAATTCATCCATGTGAGCATTAGTTCTCTCTTCAATTACTGAAGAATTTAGAGTCGATACTAGCCGCTGTTGCATTATTCCATCAAAGACTCGCGTATCGTACGCTTTTATGCACACCCACATAGAGCACTCTCCGGCAGATGCATTCATATACGGAGGTCGAGAGGATGCCGCCAAGTATTCAAAGAAAGCGATATACGCTAACTTGGATGAAGAATCAGTCGTCCTGTTCTCCATTGAGTGTAGTATAAATGAATCGGTCTCACGGTCCGAGGCAACCTTAACGGAGGACTTTGTGGTCGAGTAACTGCAAGACTTGTCATCGGCAGAGCAAATTTTTGTAGTTTTAATGTGTGAACATTCACCACAAACAGCCAAACTTGGATAAATTGGCCATGAACAATTGCCTGTAATACAAGTAGGCTCTATGTCACGGATATCGGAAGCCAATAAGCCACTGTAGATCGCCGCTCTCGTCGACAATGGAAGCGTATAGTCTAGCACCAGAATATTAGCTTGAATATTACATTGAATGCAATACCATACTCTCATTTACGCCCCTCTTGATGATATTGTCCCAATATTCGCTTCGAGGGGCACTGGGTGCTCCACGAACAGTGTCGTCGTGATATGGAATAGGTTGTTGAACGAGCTTAAACATTTGCTGAGAAAAGGTTTCAAATCCATGTGTCACGACCACAATCAGGCCGCCAATACAAGCCAGATGTCTATAGAATATTAGAAGCAGTACGTATGGCCCAATACTACTCCTTACATTCCTCGAAGCCGCCAAATGAGAGCCAGGCTTCCCAACAGTCCGCGAGCAGCTTCATTAAAAAGTCTAAAGTCACCCAACTTCGCGTGTGTTTTGGTTCGTTGCTGATGTGAATGAGAGATCCAGATCCATGCGTATTGGGATATGCATGCCTCAACAATACTCTCCATCGCGACACGAGAAATAGTGACAAGTGCGATAACGATCATGTCTAGCTGAACGCCCGGGGCAAATCTCGGGTTCTGTTTGCCGTCATAATGCCAAAGGATTAAAGATAGCGTTATGATGCTGAGGGTACATATCCCAGCGCATATGTATTCATCTGTCCAAGATGCAAATGCCGTCAAGTGGCCTTGCCTACTCCCGCGGTGTTTAGGCACCATAAGGCTCTCGTCTGCGTCACCATGCTCGCTTTCAACATCGTCAGCGGCCCCATCGTGGGTATTGATCATTCGTTGCAGTTCATCACTATTATCTGGTGGTGGATGTTGATCATCAGATGCTGTGTACGGGCGTCGAATGCGAACTGTTTGCTCAGGTTCGAGGTCCTCCATTTCTTCGCTAGCTAGCTTTAGTTGTGATGTAGCAGACGTGAATTCGATAAAGACAACAGACATAAGACTTCGCTAAAGAGAGCCAAGGCTTTGGCCGGGTAGCGCTAGAAGGGAAGGACCGACAGGGCGCAAGCGAGACACTTAATCGCAGTATTTGTAAGTAAGCCACGACATAAAATGATGGAAATGTAACCCCAATATCTTCGGAGTAATATATTAATTGGAACCGAATAAACGCCATGCTATGTGAATCCATAAACCCCAGAAAGCTACTATACACTTTGTAGCGTTGACTAATCAAAGTACCTGATTTCGCCATCCAAGCCTGCAGCAACCACCTTGCTCGTCTCCTGAGGATGCCACTTGATGCAAGTAATGGCCTGTTTACTGACCTGCATTTTATGATACATTTTACACGTCTTCCAGTCCCAGAAGCAAATGTAGCCTCCTGAATCACCGGACGCAAGGAACTGGCCATCAGGACTGCAGTCCAGATCAATGCCCATACCGGCATTATTGTGGCCGCGGTAGCTCTTCTTGCGGTTCTGGCGGAACTTGTCATTTGCGCTATAGACAAGGATCTGGTTGTCCGAGCTCTGGAACGCAACGTACTTGCCGCTTGGGTGAGGCGCGGCTCTAGTCATAGGGTACATATCCGGTTCAGCAACGTACTTGATTGGAACCGGGATATTGTAGTCCCATGCGCGTAGAGATTTATCGTCGGAGGTGGTGATGAAACGTCGGTTATCGTCGACAAAGGTAATGGTGTTGATAGCAGCAAGATGATGGTCGTACTCTTGGACAATGTCCTTGGGCGCTCTGATATCGAATTGTACAATCTTCTTATCAGACATACCTGCCACGAATTCATTGGAATGCTCCGGATCAGGGTTGAAACGGATAACATGTGGCATCTTGCCAGTCGTGAACTTGCTAATGCAAACACCCTTCTCGGCGTCCCAGAGCTTCATCATGCGATCGTATGAAGCAGAGAGAAATTGAGTGCCTGTTGTATTGAAGCAAAGATCCGAAATGGCCTTTGTATGGCCAGAATATGTTCGAAGCAATTCCTTGTCGTGATACATGTCGCGGATCTTGATTGTTGTGTCTGCACTTCCGGAGAGAAGCAGGTGACCAGAGGATGGGAAGAAACGCATAGCTGTAACAGCACCTGAATGGTCTTTCCACGAGTAAATCTGCTTCTTGGGGATATAGTTTGTCGCGCTGCCAAACTCTTTGCGAAGGTCGACGTCCAGATCTTGAGGAACGTGCATGTACGTTCTGCCCTGGTAATCGAATTCTTGCGAGCCGTGAAACGTAGTTGTTTCTTCGCCTTGTTCTTCCACCTCTTTTCTACGCGCAACAGAAACTTCGGGTGCCTTGATGACAGTACCACTCTCGACTACCTCATCGTCTGTAACTTCTTCGTATTCTTCGTCGCTTGCCAGCTCCTCGTCGTCGCGTACAATTTCATGCTGTGGCCGGTTGTATCTCGCCCAGGGGCCAATGTACGCTCCTGGACCCTCGACAATACTCGAGCTGCCCTTGTCTTCTCTTGTCGCACGAAGTCTAGCTTCTTCGGCCTTGCGTTCCTGTACGGTCTGGTAGGCTCGTTCAGGGCCGCCTTTCCTTTGAATGGCCTGGTGCTTCGCTCTGAAGGTGTGTTCGCTAATAAATGTCTCCTCGGCATGTCCCGTCAACACGTTTTTGCGTTTCAGGTTCTTGGGCTCGTCTTTGAATGGGTTCGCTGGGCCGGCCTTGGGTCGCGATAGGTCTTCCGCAGAGTATGGAACAACAGCGTGGTCAGGACCAGCCTGTTCGCGCACTACCAGGGCATCCTGGGGCGCCATATTTGGCGGGTACTCGCCAAAGTTGGCCATTTTTGAAACGTGGTTGGGTTGCGACAAAAGAAAAGTCTAGTCTGTATGTCTCGATGCAGCTTCTGATGGATCGAGCAGCTAAAAGACCATTTAGCAGCGTCACGTGATTAGAGCGATCACAGCGACAACCAACCGTCGTAACAACCATATTGAATTTACGAGTGGTAAGGTTAAAACTAGACGAATTATTTATATTGTCATTACTATATTTCTCAAGAGTGGCAAACAGTCTCAGTGGCTGGCACAGAAATTGCATGTCGGGCTGAGCAAAAGGATGCTTTTGTTCCACAAAGCTCACTTTGCCCAAGCCGTCAACACCGTATTAGGTACCGCAACAGTTTACCGACAGGGGTATGTCCTATTTCCATTTTACTCCATGCTTCCCGAACAAGCTCCATCATTTATTCGTAATGTCCTGAATACACATGTCGCTACGCTTTGCAGCCACGTTGCGAACGACATGCCTGTCGCTCGCCTTTGGCGCCTATAAACCTTCGTTCGATGCAGCGTGGATGACTTAAGAAGACTCGTCGCGGATGAGGGCGACAATCATGCTGTAGAGGTAGAAGAAGAACATGAGCAAGTGGAAGCCGAGCTTGACAAAGGATTCCTGCGAGGGGTTAGCTATGAGCAAGGCCAAGGATTGCGCATCTGTCTAGTTACTGACCTTCTTGTGAACGTTAAGCTTGCGGAAGATCTCCGTAGCATCAAGAAGATGGGTGTTGTCAACAATCCTACCATACTGTTAGCATGTGTGGCGAGTCTCTTATGCGACATGGCGACGAACTTCTTAATGTTCCAGCCGAGAAGAGGCAGGTTAAGAACGAGAGCGACCCAGTATCCGTTGAGGAGGAAGAGAAGGGACAAGAACGCGTGAACAGCGGCCTCAGGGAGAATGTAGGCGTTGAGGCGGTTGCAAAGGTCGATGGGGTTAATGTAGTCGCTGTTACGTATACAGTTAGCAAGACGTCATATTCAAATTCTTTAGCCCTCCCAGAGCACCGCTAGGCTTGCGCATCGCAAATACGAGCCCAGTCGAAAGTCTCTAGCAGCCAAGCGGGATCCAAGGGCGACATACCACTCCAAATCACTGTACATGATAGTAAAGAAGACCTGCAAGAACAGGTTGACGGCGTTGACCAACACCGACAGCAAAAACAGCCATGCTTCACCGGACATCATCTTGGCGGTATTGTTTGGGGGTCTAGCAGCTATATGTGCAAGATAAATGTGTAGAGAAAGCTCGCAATTGAGCTCCTTCGAGGGCGGCGAGGAAGAAAAACCGAAGTTGCGGGATAGCCGACGCGTCGACCGAATGCGGTGGGCGAAAGGCGGTAAGGCTGCGACGACGAAGAGTGAAAAAAAAAAACACAAGACTGAAGCAAATGCGTGCTCGTTGCTTGGTGTATTGCGGTCGAGGCGGCGAGAGGGCGAAAAGTCGATCGGCTGATGCAGGTTGGATGTGTCGATGCAGCAAAGGGGAGAGAAAAGAGCTGTTGGCAGGTTAGGTTTTGGGGGGGTGAGGAGGCTGGACAGGCGGCTAGCGGGAAAATGATGTGTGGTGCTCGGTGGAGAGCGACGCTTTAAGGAGAGAGGGTCCAGAGACTGGTGCACCAGTAGCAGCCTTGTGCGGTCCGTTGTGTTGCTGTGAGATTTTTTTTTAGCGGCGATTAGCGCTCCCTCGGCGACGCTGGCGGCCCCTGTCGGCCTTTCTGATTGCAGCGTGGGAGCCACTGGCACAGGCTGTTGGCAGTGGATTTTTTGAACGTTCCCGGCCGTTCCAGGTCCGGGATGCTGATTCGGTGACGCCTGGGTTTACTGCCTTGATTTGCGTGTAAGAAGTAGAGATGCATTTTTATTTGAAATTTAGACAGGTCATTATATTAGTTGAATAATATTTATTCAATTTAGAGCTCGTTTGTGAAGCGCACTGATTTTACTTTTTTGCTCACAACTCTCTAGTTACTTGTACTTTGCTAGCGTCCCTACAGCCTGTCTATCTGTCTATCTTGAGTCGGAGCGGCCGCCAGGCTCCACCGCTTGCGCCAGCTGCGGCCTCCGCAGGGCGGCCTCTGCCAACGCCATGGGATTGTCTACCTAATGACAAGCGTCCAATTGGATGGATCGTGGCGAATCTTACGTAGCCAAGTTTGACGATGCAGTGTCCTCCATGTATACACACAGCCAGGTTCATAGAAATAATTTCAATATATATATATATATAAACTGCGTTTCTTCTCCATTCAAATGCACACCGTTCACGACCCCTACTCCTCGCTATGATATTTCCGAGACATTACAACCTAATGCCGTACCAAAAGAAAAACACAACAGCAACAACAACGGTGCTTCATCAATGCTTTTAATGTCTATAGGTACTTTTTGTGCAAGTCTCATAATTTACTCCTTCTCAGGCATGGGGATCGGGCCACCAGGGGATGTAGGGAAGCGGGCAGTGAGGACCTCGACGCCATCTTCTGTAACCAACAAAGTGTGCTCTGCGATGTCTATTAGTGATGCATGTTTGCCGCAGAATCATCTTTAAATGCTTACCGAACTGAGCTGTGCGCATACCGTCAATGGTAGTGCTGGTCCAGTTGTCTGGCCATGTAATATCACGGTACTTGCCAAGAGCAATCATGGGCTCAATGGTAAAAGTCATGCCGGCCTTGCACTCGCCAACAGTTTTGTTCTTGGCATAATGAGGAACATTGGGAGGGCAATGAAAGAGCTTGTTGATACCGTGACCGCAGTAAGTTCGGATAACGCTGCATTTTTGCTCGGTGGCGTGCTTCTCAATAATGTTGCCGAATTCGCGGATCAAAACGCCAGGCTTAACAGCCTGGATAGACTGCTCCAGACACTCACGTGCAGCCTCGACGACGCGAACGTTGTCGGGGTTCGCCTTAGCCTTGTCTCCAATGTAGTAGGTCTCGTTCAAATCGGCATGGTAACCTTCGTGGTATAATGTAACGTCGATGTTGAGGATGTCACCATCAATGAGAACACGCTTATCGGGAATGCCATGGCAAATGACTTCATTGACGGATGTGCAGCAGGACTTGGGGAAGTGGTTGTAGTTAAGAGGAGAAGGGTAAGACTAGAGGAGTATGTTAGTGGCTGTCTGGCAGCTTGCAAGGTCGCGTGCTCTCATACCTTGCGCTCGATGCAGGCCTTGTGCACGATCTCATCGATGTCGTCGGTAGTGACACCGGGCTTAGCCGCGGCAGCAGCCAAGTCCAGAACCTCACGGGCAAGCTTGCCAACCTTGCGCATAGCAGCAATACCCTTTTCATCGAGAATCTCAAACTTGTTACGGTTTATGATTGATCGGCTGTACTTGGGGTCGCCGTCGACAGACCAAGTAGGGTGAGGAATAGACTTGGGGATAGTTCGCATGTCAGATAGCGGGTAGACAGGGCGTAAAGGTCCAGAGAACGGGAAGCTAGGGAAGGGGTTGTAGAGGCCGGTCTCAGGATCGGGTTGGATCTTGTTGGACGGGATGATGCTTCGCAACAGGTTGGTCTTGGACTTGTGGACAGTCTTGTGGGCGCCCTAATAGTATAATGTTAGCCCATAATTGAGCTTCTAGCACAGTCTGAATCGAATCTGTACGTACCCAGCTCTTCTTGAAACAATCCTGTTCACAGAAGAAGCTCCCCTTGATTCCGAGCTTCATACAAGTTGGGCATTGTAACGACCCCGCATCTTTGGCGCAGTCGACGCCCAAGCACTGCTTCTTGGCAGGAGGTTCGGTTGTCATGGTAAATATTTAGATGAAGAAATTCCCAAGCTCAAAATATGTATTGGATTGGACCAAAATATGAGGCGTAGTGGCGGGATGCGGATAGATGGCGGACGTTGGGTTGCAGGAAAAAACTTTCTGCAAAGATTCTTGACTAATCGCCGTCGGCCTGACGCTGAGCGCGAGATGCGCTGGAAGCAGCGACGCTTATAGGCCAACTCGTTTAACACGGTTTGGTCACGCGAGGGCGCGCAAAATTCCCGGGTTATCAGCATAAATTGGGAATGTAAATAAAAATTGTCTTTTTAAATTATATAAACTTGCTTATTTTATTATATTTTACGTCGGCTACCTCCTTCAGGTGAACCTACTTGTTGTCCAAACATGACGCACGAAATCTAACATTGCTCGCTTCTCTACTTCGATTTACTATACCAATAAAAATAAACATGTAATTTTATTTATGTATTTTATGTCGGAGACTTTTATAATCGCCTTGTCTATCCAACATCCAAATATGTCTACGGTCATGGCCTCACAACTCGCTACCACTACTTGCCTGCATGAGCTTGCAGATTCTGACTAAGATCTGGTGCTGCAGCCCTACGACACTGGTTGCATTCTTCACAGCTACACAAACAAGTTATCAATCAAACCCAAGAGATTTCGCCACGCAAGGCTCCCCGTTGCACCGCGACAGACTGCACCATCTCTCCAAACCAACATGCGGCTTACAAACAGCCCCTACCAGCGCAACAATGGGTAGCATCGCTTAAGCATGCGGCAAGCGGTCCACAGTTTAGTGGAAAGCCAATCGGCACTCTAGTGCCTTAGCGGGGAGCCATGAAGACGTGACCACGCCAAAAAGCGAAAACGGCTGAATGCGCCTAAAAAAATGCGATTCAACATTTTGAACCTCGTGGGGTTTTCCCCTTGCAACTACGTTTCGAGCCGATTTGGTTCAATTAGCCCTCTAGTGGTGTAAACGAGATCTCCGGCTTCACTTTTCTCTCTTATTACAACAACTTGCTACTATCCCTCTCCCGATCTCTATCTCTACGCCCTTTACTTCGTCATCCCGGCTTCCTCGGGTCTCTGGCTTGTGATTCTTAAAACACCGCAACACCCCAAGCCCGAAGCCGGAGCTGAACACAGACGAACCGGACCACCACCATGGACCGACCACAGAAACTCGTTGTAATAGGCGCAGGCCCTGTTGGTGCTCTTGCTGCTTTATACGGTGCTCAAAGAGGTTATGAGGTGGAAATCTACGAATTGCGTCCTGGTAAGTCTCGTGATGCCAGCATGCTCGTGTGAGCAATAGCCGCAGCGGCCTCCGGCACAGCGCCGCGCCAAAATACCCTCAGAACCTGAATTTCTTTGGTTCAGCAATGCCATAATAATATTCAATACTATTTCACAGCACGCTAACCGCCAATTTCTAGATTTACGAGACAAAAAGAGCATCCCGCTAAACTTCACAAAGTCCATCAACCTTGCTCTCTCCGAACGCGGCATCCACGCCCTGCGCCAGGCCGGACGACCGGAAATTCTCGAGGATGTAATGCGAGGCGCTATCCCTATGCGCGGCCGCATGATTCACGGACAAACGTCCTCTGGCGATCTTTTTGACGACGCCCAGGACTACGACATCTTTGGCAGGGTATGTCGCTTGCGCTGTGACCCGGACCACCGGCCGACAAGCCACAATAGCTAACCATGACCACAACATAGACCATTTTTGCCGCAGACCGAAACGAACTAAACTCTAAGCTTCTCGACAAGTTGCTTGGCCTTCCAAATGTCAAAGTCTTCTTCAACCACAAGCTGACCGGTGTCGACTTCAAGGCGTGCAAGGCATGGCTCGAAGTAAAGGACCAGTTCCTCGCCAATGGTCGTCACAAGGAGATTGAGATTGACTTTGACTTCATGATTGGCGCTGACGGTGCCCACTCGGCCACAAGATATCACATCATGAAGTTTGCGCGCGTCGATTACCAGCAAGAATTCATCGACACCATGTGGTGCGAGTTCCGCATGGAGGCCGTCGAAAAGCCCGCCAACGACGCATTCGAGTCCAAGTTCCGCATCTCCCCATACCATCTGCACATCTGGCCCGGACGAGACTTCATGTTCATTGCCATTCCTAACGAGGACGGCTCTTTTACATGCACCCTCTTCATGCCGCAGAAGCACTTTACCGACCTCGAGGCGAACCCCGCCAAGCTCACTTCCTTTTTTGATACCCATTTCCCCGGCGTCCGCAACCATATCCCCGACGAGGCCCTCTACCGCTCCTTCAAGGAGAACCCGCATCTGCCACTCATTAGCATCAAATGCAAGCCGTACCACTTTGGCTCATCCGGCGTCATTCTCGGTGACGCAGCCCACGCCATGGTCCCGTTTTACGGCCAGGGTATGAATGCCGGTTTCGAGGACGTCCGCATCCTCTTCTCCATCCTCGACAAGCATGCCGAGCTCGACGAGCCAAACAGCCCCACGGATGTAGTATCTGTTTCCTCGCCCGCCGCGCAACGGGCACAAGCTCTTGCTGAGTACTCGGCTGTGCGTGCCCCAGATGCCCACTCCATCAACGACCTCGCCATTAACAACTACATTGAAATGCGCTCGTCTGTGCTCTCGCGCACATACCGCCTGCGCAAATGGCTTGAGGAGTTTATGAGTGTGCATTTCTCGTCATTTGGCTGGCAGACAAAATACTCACGTGTAACGTTCTCCTCAGAGCGATACTCGCAGATCGTGGCGCAGAACAACCACCAAAGCATGATGCTGATGCGATGCGTCATGGGTCTCGCTGCCAGTCCACTTGTCATTAGCGGTCTTGTTTTAGCTTATAGATGTAGAAGAGCCCTTTCCGGTGGCTTCCTCGGCAGGTAACCAACCCAGCTCCAGTGGAATTTTGTATATATAGAGAACTAGGCCCTTCTGGCCGCTGGCGTGCGACAAGCAATCATCACTCATATTTTGATGCACTCTAAAGTCCAATTAGGATTTATTTACTAATTTGTCTCCGTGAATCTTGTCTAATCTTTATTTCCATACTTTTACACTATTAATTGTCGCCGTTGTGCACGCACGCGACACCACTGCACAATGCTTAGTCATTCCCCTTGCACGGAAATTTCAACGTCCACCTCTGGCTCCCCTGGCCGAAATGCCATCCAGCATCACCACCTGCGATTCCTCCACGACAACCCTCTACACTCATTTGAGGGTCTACGATACTCCTAATCATCCATTGGTGATTCCGAGCCCCGTACAACAAAAAGTCCAAACTGCTACGAGCGCTTGCGACAGATTGGCAAGCTATCTCGACAACGGTTCGACTTGTCGACGCCAGCAAACCAAGCATAATAATTTTAATCGGCTCCCAAGCCGCAACATATATAGCCCAGCATGCCGTCGATTCTGAACGTGGTGCACATGTGCTCACATCTGAACAATGCATCCCGCGCCCGCCTCGGCATCACCTCCATCAAGAACACAAAATACAACCTCCTCCTAGCGCTCGCCATGCACCGCGCCGGCTTCTTCTCCTCCGTCTACCGTGGCGGCCCTATCCCCCCGACAATGGAGCAGATGCTCACCGAGACCCCCGAGCCCGTCACGACAGCCAACGTTGCCACGCGCCGCCTCTGGCTCGGCCTCAAGTACTGGGAGGGCAAGCCCGTCCTGAACCGCACACAGATGGTCAGCCGATCGAAGCGTCTCGTCACAGCTACAGTCCCCGAGTTGGAAAGACTTGTTCGTGGATTCCCTAGCAAAGTTAGCGGTGGTGTCATGCCAGGCTTGACAATGGGCGAGTGCATGTTCCTTGGCACAGACAGAGGTGTTTTGGAAGTGCGAGAGGCGCTAGAGAAGCAAGTTGGAGGACTTATTATCTGCAAGGCCTCATAAGCAATGCATATAGCGCGATATGGATAGTAGGTGGTGGCGGTGTACGAATACAATTTGGCAATGTAAAAGCAAGAAGTCGGCTTTGCATAGTTATGGTCGGTTAGAAAAACATCAAACGATTGGGGGAGAGAATGCTAGCTGAAGGCGAAAATTCGGCGTGTACTGTACATTACAATATAAATCCCCAGGTTACAATAAAATTGAAATCATTACACAAGAATAAGAGTTCAACGCTTGGGTAGAAATTGAGGTATCTTAAGCTACATTCTTGCGCACGCTGTAGAATATAGTCGCTTTCGAAGCATCCTTTTCTGTACTTGCCCCAGCTTCAACAAGAATTAAAATTAAACAAAGAGTAGGGGTTCAGAAAACAAACACTGACACCGAAATGACAGGAAGCGATAGTGGGAATAAAACAGAAACGAGCCGTAGATTGCGCCAGAAAAAAGTCAAGATATTAGAAAGAGACCTCGTCGCTGTGAACAACGTCCTTGCCCTGCTCCTTGTACTTCTTGTCAAGATCAACGGGTTCAAAGTCAATCTCGTCCTCAAAGTCAAGGATGTCATCCTCACCAGTCTTTTCAGCAACAGGCTCAGCTTCCTCGGCGAGCTCGATAACTTCTTCGGCTGTCTCGACTTGGGCTGTCTCTGGGGCCACATCTTCAAGCGCAGCCTCTTCAACATCACCCATGGGATCTGCCTCAGCAACCTCGTCAAGTCCAAAGTCAATCTCAGAGATCTCTCCAACTTCAGCCTCTTCCTCAATAGCAACTGGCTCAGGCTCCTCTCCAGCAGTATCCTTGATTTCCTCGGCCTGCTCGGGGACAGGAACGTCCTCAACTTCGGGTTCAGGCTCTGTGGCCTCAGGCTGCTGGGGTTCTTCAATGTCCAAGTTGTCCAGCTTCTCAGTCAAATGTTCAGTTGCGGGCTCTTCAGCAGGTTCTTCGATAGGCTCCTCGACAGGCTCTTCGATGTGTTCGTCAACAGGCTCTGCGGTGGGCTCTTCAATAGGCTCTTCAATAGGCTCTTCAATAGGCTCTTCAACAGTTTCTTCGATGGACTCTTCGACAAGCTCCTCAGCGGGCTCCTCAGCAGCGGGTTCCTCAATTACAGGTTCCTCAACGACAGGCTCCTCTGCGGGTTCCTCAATAGCTGGTTCTTCGACGGTAGGCTCTTCTGAAACAGGCTCCTCGACTGCGGGTTCTTCGATTGCAGGTTCTTCGGCAGCGGGCACTTCAACAGTAGGCTCCTCAGCGGTAGGCTCTTCAGCAGCAAGTTCCTCAACAGCAGACTCCTTAACGGTGGGTTCGTCAGCAACAGGTCCCTCTGCAGACTTGGGTTTCTTGACTTCATCAGCCGATAGAGACTTTGCCGCTACTGCGGCACCTGCAACGGCGGCTGTAACAGCAGCACCCGCACCAACAGTCTTTGCAACGGAAGCTTTGCTGGAAGGCTTGGCCGTTGAAGGAGTAGGAGTGGCGCGAGATCTGGTGCCCTGTGCGCGCCCCTCAGCAGGGCTCTTGGATGGGACTGATCGCGCAACGTTGCTCTCTCTGCGAGCAGCGGAGAAGACAGCAGATGGTCGAGATGGGGCTCTCTTATGCGTAGCAGCAGCAGGCTTCTCTGCCGAGTTGACGTTGGAGGTGCGAGATGCCTGGGTAGGTCGCGTCATGCGAGCAAGGAAGCCCTCATCTACATTGCTAGGCCGCTTAGTGGTTGTAGACGCCTGTGCTTGTGTCCTGCTAGGAGGGCGACCGAGACTAGGTCTCGCGCCCCTTGTGCTTGGTGCCAGAGAAGGACGCTTGGTAGGCGCTCTTGTCGCAGGTGGTTGGCTTGAAGTGCTAGCTCCGAGAGATGGTCTTGCCGAGGCGCCCTTGGAGACGGAAGAGGCTGTGGGTGCAAGCAATGACGAAGAGATGTTGGCCGGTCTGGTAAGCTTTGGTTTCGAGGTAGTGGTATCTGTGCTGCTGGTGGAAACGGAGGGCTGCTTCGCGGCTGAAGCTGTCGTGGGCTTTGTAAGTCTGGATGTGACCGCAGCGGAGCGAACTGGTGCTTTGGCAGCAGGCTTCTTGGGCTGCTCAGAAGCTTTGGGAGCAGCCTTTGCCGCTGAGGTTGCGCGTGTAGGAGCCGCAAAGGATCGCGCGGGAGCTTTGGTAGAGGCTGCGGAGACCTTGCGAGGCTCGGGGGCAGGAGTCGAGGTTTCGACAGCAGTATCGGAGCTAGCTGTTTGCTCCGTATGTAGCTCCGTGACGGGTGCCTGTTCGGGGACAGCCGGGGCGACCTCGGTGGTCTCGAGGATCGATTCGTCGCTCATTCTGGGTCGCGATGTGCTGGGTTCGCCGCTTGTATCTCGTTGTAGTCCGATTCGGCCGTCTTTCTCGACCGCGACGAAGCTAGTTCGAACTTTGGAGAGTGGTCTGGGGCCGTCTGATGTTGTGGATGAAGCTCCTGCAGCAAACAAAACGAAACAAACGGTTAGTTTGTGCTGTGTCAATTGCAAAGGTGGAAGATGACAAGTAGATGGGAGGGCAAAGACAATAAGAATGGCCAGAAGTGGGTTTGTGGGCAGTAAACAAAGAAAGGGGGGTGTGTCTTTGGAAACAGCCTTTTAGGGACCACGCGAGATTCCAGGCCGAGGAACAAGACGATAGGCGAGGTCTAACAAAGAAACAAAGCAAAAAGCAAGTAAAAGCAGCAACGTACCAGGAGAGCGTCCTCTGATATCGGAAGGGTTTGTGGGTGGTTCTGTGCCGTTCTCAAACATAGCACGCAGGTTCTTAACCTGGCTCATAGTGAACCGCGACGCTGGCGGGAGAAAGATGTGGAGGGGAAGCTTTGTCTCTGGTTGGAACGCGGGTGGATGACGGAGCCTCTGTGGCTCGGAGCGAATTTAAAAGGGAGGCCAGAGAGCAATAGTGCCTGGGGTGTAGCGTTGGATTTGGGCTGATGAGGGGGGGAAGGGTTTAATTTGATTTGCCGTATTGGTTTGCGAGGTATCTTGTGTGTAGAGCGAACCGTTCGTACGAACAAAGTCGAGTATTGTAGTAATAGATATAAAGGAGAATACGGAAAGAGAAAGAAGTGTGTTGATAAATGTAAAAAAGGCAGAAAAGACGATTAAAAGAGGACGGGGAGTCTACGGCTTGATATTTTACGAAACAAGAGAAATGGCCACCAAAACGCAGGTCCCAGCAACAAGGTGTCCAGGTGATGGCCTCTCAAACCAGCTTTCTCAGGCAGAGGAGAGGAGGGGGGGTGGCTTCAGTTTGGGGCAAGACGCGACACGTCGACGCTGCTTTTAGGTAGTCGTCTGGTGCAGCCCGCGCCCTGGGCAGGCTGCTGGCAGAGCGAATTTCCGGGGGATGTTATAGTGGCAAGAGCGCTAAACCTGCTTCGGGGCTTCAGGGGAGGGGACCTCCAAGCTGGGGGCGTGTGCGTCTGGTACCTGCAAAGCACTTGGAGACCGTGGTTTGACTGACGCAGCCCCCAAATAGCAACTGGTTCGCTGTCTGCAGGGTCGTCTGCGATGCAAGGCTTTTATATAGTCAGAGGTTGTTTCGTTTGACGAGACTCTGTACCTATACTAGCTAATACTTTGCATCTGCTTCTCTCCTCGGCCTGCCTCGACGCGTTGCCTTTCTTAAAACGCGCTGTGGAGCTCACTAATACTATTGGAGTTTGCCTATACTGTGGCCACTCACAGTTACCGTACCCGGCCGCTGATGGCCGCTGGAGGAGGGCCGATGACGACGGTAATTTTAATTTCTGGTGAGCGACCAAGAAAACCAATATGTGGAGGGTAGGAGAGGCACAAGGTTCCCGCTGCCTGGTCAAGTATTGGTTAGCGCTGTGCTTGCCTTGGTTTTCAACCCTGCGTGCAGCAAGTTGTACACTGTAAAAGATGATCAGTGTACAAAGTAGAAGACGAAGCTAGACCTGTTTTCTGCCGTGATTTTTGCCTTGCAATGTAGACTAATCTCCCATCTGAGGATGGAGTGTTGGTTCAAGCAGCAACCCCATGGATCTCGGCGCTCATAATATATAATGAACTATTTAGTAGAGGTACACCAAGGACTGTTACGGAATAAAACGAAACAAAACAAAATGCGGACTAATACAGCCTTATTCTACAAGATGTTGGGGTCGAGGTGTTTTGTGCAGGGTTCCGTGCGTAGACAAAGCGTCCAACATGCTGCACCGAATAACGGGGTTAGAGCACCAGCTTCCGTTTGAGTAAAAAGTGGTATAATCAGTAAACATTTATGAAATTCTTAGTAAAGGGCAGTACATAAACCATAGCCACGTTGATATGTCGATATATTCAGATGCAAGTCAGCCTTACAAGCTAGCACTGCTGCCTCATAGTGAACAAACAGCGATATACTAGTTGCAAAGATCCATATCCAAAAACCAAACGGCCTGGGTAATCGCAAAAAGACAATTTCATATTTTAAAAACTTTATAATTTCTTTCTGTCCCAATACCATCGCTATTCCAGCACCCATCTATGCCCGTTGCATCGCCATCGCCTGTCAGAGGCCCATCAGCCCCGCTAAGCAGCCTTTTGACAGCAAAACCTGCAGCACTCTTCCCATCGTTTTCGGCAACCACAAGGGGAAAAAAAGCCCACCACAAGCACGTCACCTCCGACCACCGGCCCCAAAAACCTCTTCGCCCAAGCCAAGTCGACTTTCTGCATCACCACCAGCAAATCTTCCTTCCCAGCCGTCCCAACAACTCACCGGCTACCCAGAATGTCTATCCGCACTCTCAGAATCGGTAAATACTCACACAATGCCCTCTAGCGCCTCAATTGGCTTTCGCTTCTGCCCTTCCCCATCCCGCTAATACGGTAGAAAAATAGGCCTCATCCCTGGTGATGGCATCGGCAAGGAAGTGATTCCCGCCGGTCGCCGCGTCCTCGAAGCACTCCCCTCCTTCCTCAACCTCAAGTTCGACTTTGTCGACCTCAAGGCCGGCTTCGAGACCTTTGAGCAGACCGGCACCGCTCTCCCCGACGCCACGGTCGAGACACTCAAGAACGAATGCCAGGGCGCGCTCTTTGGCGCCGTCAGCTCGCCTACCCACGCCGTCAAGGGCTACTCGTCCCCCATTGTCGCTCTCCGCAAGCGTCTCGATCTCTATGCCAACGTCCGCCCCGTCAAGACCGTCCTGACGGCTGCCAAGCCCATCGACATGGTCATTGTCCGCGAGAACACCGAGGATCTCTACGTCAAGCAGGAGACTACGATTGAGACCCCCGAGGGCAGAGTCGCTGAGGCCATCAAGCGCATCTCTGAGAAGGCTACCTTCCGCATTGCCGCTATGGCCGGTGACATTGCCGTCCGCCGCCAGAAGCTCCGCGAGGCAGGCAACGCCAGCATCCACGCCAAGCCCCTCGTCACCATCACCCACAAGTCCAACGTTCTCTCTCAGACCGACGGTCTCTTCCGCGAGGTCTCTAAGCGCGCTCTTGCTGACCCCAAGTATGTCTCTGTCGCTGTCGAGGAGCAGATTGTCGACTCCATGGTCTACAAGCTCTTCCGCCAGCCTGAGGACTACGATGTCATTGTTGCCCCCAACCTGTACGGCGATATTCTGTCTGATGGTGCTGCTGCTCTCGTTGGCAGTCTCGGTCTCGTCCCCTCTGCCAACGTTGGAGAGGGCTTCGCTATCGGTGAGCCCTGCCACGGCAGCGCTCCTGACATCCAGGGCAAGAACATTGCCAACCCCATCGCCACTATCCGCAGTGCTGCTCTCATGCTGGAATTCCTCAACGAACCTGCTGCCGCTGCCAAGATCTACGCTGCCGTCGATGCCAACCTTGAGGAGGGCAAGCTCCTCAGCCCTGACTTGGGCGGCAAGGCCACCACCGAGGAGGTTGTCCAGGACATACTGAACAAGTTGTAAAATCTGACTACTACTAAATCTTTCACAAATACCCCCTAGCACCATAGACCGATGTACAATTCATTCAGGCATATCGTATCTGTGGGTTTTGAAGAATCAAAAAAGCAAGATGAATAAAAAAACAGAAATTGTATTGATATACAGTCTCCAGCCCAGGCCATTCTTAAGTGACTCTAAATATTCTACATCCATTTGCATAGCATGCAGTCCTTGATAATGCACACCCTCTAATAAACCAAACTTTTTCTTTCTCTCTAGTAGAGTTGAGTGGGCGCGGCGAGTCTTGTCTCGTCCTCGGCGTTTACTAATACAAATGCGAAACCCAAGCATCGCCGAAAAAATATCAAATCCCAATGGTGGTTAGTTAACAAGTTACATGTCTTTACTTGCTGCGCTTGGCCTCAAGCTCAGCGTTGTGCTTGGCAATCAACTCCTTCTGCAGATGAGGAGGAGCAGGGGCATAGTGGCTGAATTCCATGCTGAACTCGCCCTTGCCCTGAGTGGCGGCGCGAAGCTGGGAGCTGAAGCCGAACATGGCGTTCAAGCTGCAGTCGGCAGTAAGAGTGAAGTCCTCGGTGCCGATTTCAGTGTCGTTGATGGTGGCATTGCGCTTGTTCATCAGCATGAGAATGCTGCCCTGGAACTCGTTGGGAGCGGTGATGACAGTCTTCATCAAGGGCTCGAGGACCTGGCCGCCGGCCGTCTCAAAGGCCTTCTTGAAAGCCATCTGGGTAGCAAGGTTGAAGGCGTGATCGGAAGAATCGGTAACGTGAGTAGCACCATCGTTGATAACCATCTTGGTGCCAATGACCTTGTGGCCCAAGAGAGGACCCTTTTCGCAAACAGCCTCGAAACCCTTGGAACAGGCAGTAAGGAACTTGTCGGGAATGCTGCCACCAATGACCTGGGACTCGTAGTGGTTGTCCTCGCCCTCCTCGTTCGGCTCGATCCAGCCAGCAACACGGGCAAAGTCACCAGGACCACCGCTCTGGCGCTTGAAGAGGTAGTCAAAGTCGGAGCGGTGGGCAATAGTCTCTCTGTAAGCGACACGAGGCTGGCCAGTGACACACTCGACCTTGTACTCACGGCGGAGACGCTCAACGTACACTTCCAAGTGCAATTCACCCATACCGGAGATAATGGTCTCTTCACTCTCAGCATCGACGTGGACACGGAAAGTGGGATCTTCACGCTGGAATCGGTTCATAGCCTTGGAAAAGTTGTCGGCATCGCCAGAGCGCTTGGGCTGGATGGAGAGCGACATGACAGCGTCGGGAACGAACATGGAAGACATGGTGTAGGGGAGGCCACCGTCGGTAAAGGTATCACCAGAGGCGCAGTCGACACCGAAAACGGCGCAAATCTCGCCAGCGCCAACCTCAGCAACATCCTCCATCTCATTGGAGTGCATGCGGACGATACGGGGAATGCGGACCTTCTTGTCGTTGCGCGAGTTGTACAGGTAAGTGCCCTTGGAGAGAGTACCCTGGTAGACACGCATGTAGGTAAGCTGGCCGTAGTTGTTCTCTTCGAGCTTGAAGGCAAGACCGACAAAGGGGAGCGAGTTGTAGGGGACGAGGCTGACGGGCTGTTCGCCCTTGGACTTGTCCAGAGCCATGTTTTCAATCTGTGAAGGGTTGGGGAGGTAGTCACAGACGGCATCGAGCATGGGCTGGACAGCCTTGTCGGCCAAGGCAGAGCCCATCAGGACGGGACTGAACTTGCGAGCAATGGTAGCGCGGCGGATAGCAGCCTTGATCTGCTCCTTGGTGGGCTCCTGCTCATCAAGGAAGATCTCGGCCATTTCGTCATCGACATCGGCAAGCTTCTCGATAAGGATCTGGCGTCTCTCAGCGGCCTCGGCCTGCAAGTTGCCGGGGATCTGGTCGGTCGTGCGGATCTTGAGACCACGGGCACCTTCAAAGTACATGGCCTTCATCTCAATCAGGTCAACAACACCGGCGAATTCGTCCTCGGTACCAATGGGGATCTGGATAGCGGCAGCGGGCATCTTGAGCTTCGTGTTAATCTGCTCAACGGCCTTCCAGGGGTTGGCGCCCATGCGGTCCATCTTGTTGACAAAGGAGATTCTGGGGACATCATAACGTTTCATCTGACGATCGACGGTGATGGTCTGGGACTGGACACCGCTGACGGCGCAAAGAATCATGACAGCACCATCGAGAACGCGAAGAGCACGCTCGACCTCAATGGTAAAGTCGATATGGCCAGGGGTATCAATCAAGTTGATGTGGTACGTCTCCTCCTTTCCATTCTCGGTCTTCTTCCAGTCCGCAAAGGTAGCAGCAGACTGGATGGTAATACCCTTTTCTCTCTCAAGATCCATGGAGTCCATCTTGGCTCCGACAGAGTCCTTTCCTCGCACTTCGTGGATCGCGCTGATTCGGCCAGTGTAGAAGAGGACGCGCTCGGTGACAGTCGTCTTGCCACTGTCAATATGGGCCTAATACCAATCATCACGTTAGTCCAATTATTATTATATATATAATTCGGACTCTGCTGGTTCACCTACAGCGATACCAATGTTGCGAACTCGAGACAGTCGGCTCGCCTCCTCGGGGGACATGTTGGCGGCGACGGCCTCGGGGGTCAGACCGGCAGCATCTTCCTGTGCCTTCTTCAAACTAATCGCAAACATAATGTTAGAATGTGGTTTTTAAAGCCAATTGGTTTTGGACAAGACATCGAACTTACGCCTCCTGAGCGGCGCTGGCGAATCTGGCAGGGGCATGGCTAAAGTTGCGCTTTGCGCTGATGCGCAGCGAAACAGCACCAATCTGAAAAGCCTGTGCACTGAGACCAGATCGAGAGTTTTCTGAGACGAGATGGCAATTGAGCCATCTCAATGACCCGACTGCCCTCATTTTTGCGAATGTTGCTACTCGTCAACCAAGTGCTGCGAGATGGGCAAAATTCGCTCCGCTGTCATTGGTCCGAAACTTTTTTTAGGGGATCGCGGCCTCACGTGCAGCGCGCCAACACTAAAGCACGTACAGTACTGTACGAAGAGACCAGGAGGAATTTACGACGCAGCAGGATTCTACGAAATGGAAGGCACTGTCTATTTTAAAAACGAAACAAAATGGGATTAAAAATCACTTAAATGGTATAGAGTGTAATTAAGGACAAATTGTGCGTATTTCTATAGGTAATTTATACAAAAACTGGTCTTGTCGCGTTTCCAAGATTTACCGGTTTTCAACTTCTTCACAGTGCCAGTCTAACCAATCCACACGAGTTGATTCATAAATTAAAAGGCCATGGCGTAGACCACAGATCCGAGAAGAACAAGCAGGCTGGCTCCAGAAAGAGCAGACGTTGTGACAGCGGCGTTCTTGCCGTCGCCCTTGCCGTTGCTGCTGTTGCTGCTATCGCTGCCGCTGCCGCTGTTGCTGCCGTTGCTGCCGATAGTGCTGGTGCTAGATCCGCCGCCAGAGGCAAAGCCGGACTGGGCCTTGAACTGGTTAGTAGGAGGGGTAGGCTCCTTCTTGGCGCCACCAGCGATGGTCTTGCCGTTGGGGATCTTGGCGCCGTTGCTATCGAAGGTGACAATGTTGGACTTGGCGGCATTGAACTTGGTGGGGGCAATACCAATCTGGTTGTTGACAAGATCGTAGACAACGTAGGCAGAGCGAAGCATGGTATCACCAAGAAGGTAGACAGGGAGGTCCTCGCTAGCGGTCTGGTTCTGAATACCAAAGGTGCAGATGGACTTGCCTTTGTAAGGACCGTTGGGGAAGGGGCGAGCCTTGCCCTTGTAAGCAGGGACAACCATATCTCTCATGGCGACCTCAATCTTGGGACCGTTGGGGCCGGCGAAGCCGAAAGTGAAAGAAGCCTTGTTGTTCTCGCCAAATTCGCAAGGAATAAGAGCAATGCCGAACTCAGGGGAGTTGTTGTAAATAGCACCAGCTTCCTTCCAGGCCTGCTTGGCCATGTCGTCAGGGAGGTAAGTGAGAGAGGTACCAGAATCAAGGACGGCAGTAATGGGCATGGTCTCTTGGGTGGTCAGGATATCGTTGCCAGAGGAGCTGTTGGCGGAAACGGAAGTCAAGGGGACGGAGAAATGTGTGTAGTTGTTGATACGCTCATCAGGAAGGATATCCATGATAGACAGGCTGCCCTGGAACTTCTCAGAATCAACAGCGCCAAACAAGATGTTGCCCTTGTCGGCAGTCTTGTCGTTGAGCCACAAGCTGTAGGCGATGGAGTTCGTCTTGCCCTGCATCTGGAGAGCAACAGGGAGGTTAGGGTAGATTTTTCGGAGAGGAGCCTGGGTAGAGGCTTCATTGCGCATGTAGCCAACGCCGACAAGGCCGTACTCGACTTCCTTAGTTCTAAGAGCGAGGCCCATGGTCATGTTCTTGACGAGGGTACCGGCAATGGTAAAGTCTTCCTGAATGTAGTCGCCAGCAGCACCACTCTCGTCGGCGTAAGAGATCTGGAAGGTGTTGGATCCGAGGTTCTTGTAGGTGCTGGAGGCCTTGGGGTCGTCTTAAAAAAAGAAGGTTAGCAATGGCTCTAGAATGGCAGAAGCAGATTCAAAGTCTTACAGGATCCTCCAGGGCAGCCACCCTTCGACTTGCAGGTATTAGAGCTGGCGGCAGGAACCCAGATATCACTGCTACCAGTGTCGAGCTGGAGATCGAACTTCTGGCCAGGGTTACCGATGGCAACGGAAGCAAAGTAAGCGTTGACACTGTTCTTGATGGGCTCCTCAACGGCGCCAGCGGCACGGCGGAAGACGGTATCGCGGCGGTTGATTTGCTCTTCACCACCGACAGCACGTCTCTCAATCTCCCATTGGACGTATGAGTTGGCTTCGGCGGTAGCCAGAAGGGCGGCGGTCAAGGCGGCGGCGGTAGTCTTCATGATGCTAAGCTTGAAGACGGCTCGAGGCGGCTTGTTAGGAAGGGGGCGATTAGGCGGATGAGGTGCTGCAATGGAATCAACGGATGTTGATTGATACAGTAACGGCAAAGCACTGGCAAGAGGAGACAAGATGGGAACAAGAAAGCCAAGCAAAGACTAGGAAAGCGAATGGGGTTTATGTCAGGGCAGAGTTGGAAGCCCAAGCGCAGCAACAGGAGAGAAGACTAGTTTTCGGGGGGCGCTGCCAGTGGATGGGCGAGCTACCGATCCCAGCAGGCGCCCAGCAGCAACTAAGCTGCAAGCGTTGGCACGCACGCCACTGGCCCGAGGACGGGAGCCCCGCAACTATACTGCGCCCCCAGTTCCGGCGAGCCCGCTAATTGGTAGAGCGGCGGGTTCCCTGCCTTATTTTTATTGGGGAGCCAAGACTGAGCTGAGCCAGCTGCGTGCGTGCGGGTTCCGCAGTGGTGCTCGCTCAGCATGTCACAGCAGGGTTGAGCGCTAACAAGGCCGCAAACGAAGCACCAGGCTAGCTCGGCCAGGGAACGCTGCGAGCTGAACACTGTTGCGAGGAGAGTGCTACGGTGGGTAATTTTAACTTGTTCGTATTGGGACTGGTTTAGCGCACCTCTTTTCCTATTTGTCTCCCCCAAATGGTACCTTTTGTACACTACCTACAGTAATTACTTCGTACCGTAGTAGCAAAATAATCACGCTCGACGCTTGCACAGTGCAGTTCATTCATCCGTATTTTTTTGTTCGCGACATGTGGCTTTCTCCTGCCAAAGCAAAAATCGTGTCGCAGGCCTCTTGTCATGTTATGCATAGCCGCCTTCGCCTCGCATTCAGGTGGCGGCCCCTTTTTTAGTAGAGCACACGCAAAAGCTGGCAGTGAGGCGGCTACAGCGGGATGATGTGAGCAAGCAAGGTACAGTCCGTCGTTTGGCTGCGTGGCGCAAGCATCCGAAGCGGGCACCGCTGTCAAATACAAGTAATTAGGTTACCAGCACTGCCTAAGGTACAGAACTAATTACAGTATGGGCGCTGCAGAGGCTGGAAGATCACTTGGGCTGCAGATCCGGCGGTACGCCGACAGCCTGTTTCAAAACAGGCTTTTGTTTTAGGCGCTCTCGGCATGCCAGGGTAAATGCAGTCGATTTTTATTTTATTTTATTTTTGGGCTGCCCTTGAATTGTTGACAAAGCTTATCCATTGTATAGTCCCCCATTGATCATTATGCTCTGGCCTGATAAATGCCCTGCATTGTGTAGTTCAACACGTCATATTACTTGAGCGAGGCGCAGCTCACTCCCAAAATGCCCTCGCCTCACTCCATTTGCGCCCGATCTTGACTCAAGCTAGTGTACGCTCCACATACTCAGCCAACTTCGGCAGAGCTTCTTCTAAAACAGCCGTCTCGCACACATACCCAATTCTCACGTAGCCAGCAAAGTCCTCGTCGTGGCCGAAGCAATGCGATCCCGGGGTAATAAAAACCTTGGTGGCCTCTAGCAGGCCTAAGCAGAATTCAACGTCATTTACTGGATTTCCCTTCTTATCCTTGAAGAGAACAAACGCCGTTGTACCGGCGTTGGGGCACACCCACTCACAGATGTTGCTGTGCTTCTCCACAAAGCTCTTAATGAGAGCCAAGTTGCGTGTCGCCAACTTGACGTTGCGCTCTAACAACGGCTTCCGAACTGCAGCAGAAAGCGCATAGGTTGCGATTTGGTCATCGACTTGCGATACACTGATGGTTGTATAGTCGCGCGTCATGGCGAGCTGAGACATGATGTCTGTGCTTGGCGACAACGCCCACCCGATGCGGATTCCTGCCATTGCCCACGCTTTAGACATGGACCCTGTAACAATCGTCCTCTCGTAGCCAAAGGCAGTTATCGCAGGAGGTAGTTCGGCGTTGGGTTCGAACGCGTCGTGAAATAGCGGTCGATAGACTTCATCACTCATCACTATGATGCCTCGCTCCTTGGCAAAGTCAACAATGTCTCTCAGCACCGCCGTAGGAATTCGTGCTCCTGTCGGGTTGTTGGGGTTGTTGATAATGATCATCTGTCATCGTACGTTTGTAAGTCTTTGTGAATTTGCCAAGTTATTAGAGGCAAGTAACTACATACCTTGGTGTTCTTGCACACAAGATCTGGCAGCTCGTTCACATCAGGAATGTACCCGTTCTCAGCCTTGAGTCTCCAAAACGACGTTTTAGCGCCAAGGCTCTCTGGCACTGAGTATAGCTGCTGGTATGTTGGATATACACAGATTACATGGTCCGTAGGGCCTAGCATGGAGTAGAGAACAAGAAAGTTGGCACTGATGCCGCCTTGGGTAATAATGACATTGTCCTCGTTCAATTGGTGTTGGCTATCCCTGTTGTGAATATCAGCAACGCTGTTTCGCAAGGCAGTCGAGCCCAAGATAGGTCCATATGTCAGTCTTGCGCGAGTCGATACGGGTAGGGCTGGATCGCCTTCTTTGGCAAGGGAGGTCAGTTCGTCAAGCGAGATGGACGAGGCACACGTCTCGGCAACATTGAGGACGCCCGGCGTAGTCTCATACTTGTCCATCCATTGCTCGACGGCAAATGCAATTGGTCGCACCATTTTGAAACGTTATTCGTATAGTATTGTAAATTTAAAATAATATCTTGTAGGATATCAGCTTTATAAGATGCCATGTTCTTCCATCCTCGTGAGTCAAGTGGGGTCGTGCGCGCCCTTCGCTGTCGATCGGCGTCGGCGCCGTATTCGGGCTCTACTAGTGGCAGGTCTGTAGAGCCGAAGCTGTAAGCGAGAGAGGCTGTATCCACAAGTCAACCGACATATTTGGATAGCTAAATGTAAATTACTCGTGGACAATTATTTTTGTGAATAGTGTTAGATGACTGCTGATGCTAGACTCCATACTGTAGCCTTCTAGCCGCAGCCGCCTTGCGGTCGTAGGGTAGAGACTGACTCTGGCGAGGCTGCATATTCGACCTTAGACAATCACGGGTTTATTTGATGCAATTGGTAAGTTCTCAACTGTCAGCTCTCCCTTTGTACTGTAACCGTGGGGTAATAAGCTATATAAATACAATTTCAACGGAGAATGTAAATAATTTCCTACCACGTAGAATTACCGGAAATACAGTTTGTCTCTAAAACGTCATGAAACATGCATGCGCTTCCTTCCCACGATAAGTGACTAGATGCTATTTCATAGGTTTTGGTATCCTTGCCAAATGTGGACGTGTTTCTCGAAGGGATTTTACAATCCATAACCTGCTGTAAAAATGCGTTCATTTTTGCAATGAGAGCAGCGGCATCAACGCCCACCGTTAAATGGCCAGCAGCAAGTTGCACTCTTTTGCCGCTTGATGCTGTGTGTCGTAAGAAAGCTTGATTAGTCCAACAAATTCTGTCTAGCTCAATCTGTATGCATGGACTGCACATACCGATGCACTCATTCCAATGTTCCACGAGCGTTGCAAGCTTAGCCAGCGTGTCGCTATACTCAAACACACTGCTACCAAGAAGGAAGTAAATTGGAGCCTCTTCATAAAGCGTATCGCCAACAAAGAGATAACTTTCCTCGGAATCCCATATAGTAAGACCATCTGGTGTGTGTCCAGGCGTGTGATAGATGGTCAAGCCGAGGTCCTGGCCGTCACGATCCGTGACTCGTTGCCCGTCTTTTGCCCAGTTCGTCACCGTGTACGCTGGTGTTGTCATACCGACATCAACGGACAAAGAGGTTCTGGGTAATAGTCGTGGGCTGAGGAAACACCGATTATACGCGCTCGCCCAAATTCTAGTTGATGGCAACTCAGCGAATGGCGCCATTCCACCTTGTCGATACAAGTAAAATTAGCAAAGTGATCAATGCCATTAGATGCCGAAGCGTGGGCAACTACTTACCAATGTGATCAAAGTGGCAGTGCGTACTGATAATTGTATATGGCTTTTTCTCGGGGTTTATAGGAGAATGGTTGTATTCTGCTACTGGAGCAGTCTCCAAGAACGTCTTGAGTGAGTCGCGTATATCATTAGTCTTTCCTCCACAGCCCGTGTCAATCACAACGATGGTACTGTCATATACCTTGGCGTATATGAATGGGGTTTGATCATACTTGTCAGCTTCTACAATTCGAAATGTCGAGTTATTTAACTTGAAGCACTGGAAATACTCATTGTTTGCCTCCTTTGATGGGGAAGCTATCAAGGATGCGGCAGCTTGTAGCGCTGCTGTACACAAAGTGAACGTTTGAAGTAGCATGAGAGAAACGGCGCGAATCAAGGCTTTGAAAAAGTAATACTTGAAAAAATAATATTTGAAAAATCAACCTGGGCGGATAGCAGTCCTCTTTATACCCCGACACTGGAGGCGGGGAATCAAAGGTTTAATTTATTTTATTGTAGGCTTATTCAATCCCGCTTGTCATTTAACGCCGATTTTGGCGCTCTGTACCTTACCCCATATTAAGGTGGCTCGCTAACCTGCAATGGGCAGGCCTCGTCACCTGGTCCCCACTAAAGTTGCGCGCTCAGTCGTCATTACGTCTTCCAGCCCCAACCTCCACTCAGCATGCTCGCCGTTTCGAAGAAGCCGACTGTCCCTTTGCTCACACCAACAGAATTCTCAGCAAGTGAACGGTGATTTATCATCCCCAAGATGATACCGTCTAAGTGCTGGAGCCTGGCGGCTACTGCGCTGGTGCTTTTGCCTGGCGTGGCCGCCTCTATGGACAACGCAACGTTCCCAGACATTGACAGCCTGCGAGCCCAGCTAGCTCTAATGGGCGATGATAGACCTGAAAAATGCCCTCCCTGGTATGATACTGACAAAAGACAAGTCTAACGGTTAACTCCATACTAACCCGACGACCAGCTTCAACTGCCTTCTCGACGCCCATACTTGTGCACAGTACGCCACCTGCAACTCGTTCAACGGCATTTGTGACTGCCCACCTGGTTTTGGTGGTGACGACTGTTTGACACCCCGTAAGGAAGCCTTTTAGCTGTCGACAAGACGCATAATCTAATCAAGAAACACAGTATGCGGCTCCATCGCCCGAGGACGAGACCGACCGATGCGCAAAGACGAAAACTGTAAATGTGACGATGGCTGGACAGGCATTAACTGTAATGTCTGCACCAAAAACTCTGCCTGTAATGCCCTTATGGAAACAGGTGAGGGAGGCGTCTGCTACACAAATGGCGAAGTTGTGAACTCAAACAACCAAATTTGCACTGTCAAGAACAAGCAGATTCAGAAGCTGCTTGGCGATCAAGTTGCCGAGGTCACCTTTACTTGCGATGCCGATAGAGAAGATTGTGACTTTCAATGTACGTGGAAAACGCTACTATGGACTGTAAGAAGCCCTTTTGCTAACCTATCTAGTCTGGGTCGATCAAACTGAATCATTCTACTGCCACCTCAGCGACTGCTCATCTACGGCCGAATTCGAAGATTCCAAAAACTCCACGTCTTACAAATGCGACAAGATCAACTGCAAATGCATCCCCGGCCAAATGATGTGCGGAAAAGATGGATCCTTGGATTTGACGGATTTTCTCGACGAAGCCATCAAGGGCCCTGCGGAGTTCGACTGCTCTCAATCTGGAGATCTTCTCCATGATTGCGCTTTCAAAGAGCCTGAGATGGACAATCTTATTTCAGCTCTGCTTGGTGACTCCAGTATTCTTTTGGACTGCCAAGCAGGCGAGTGCATGCACGAGACCCAGGTTCCGGGATATAAAAGACCTGTTAAGAAGATCAACACGCCCCTCATTGCTGCTATCATCGCCGGGTGTGGCCTGTTTGTCGCAGGCGTCATCGTGGTTACATGGTATCTCGCTCGCCGTCAGCTACGATATGGTGCTATCCACTTGGACGACTCGGACGATGAAAACACAAAGCTCATGGCAGACCACAAGCCTGCCGCTCTCCAGTTTCAAAATGTCACGTACTCGCTTAATGGCAAAGGTATTCTACATGGTATTCAAGGCATAGCGCACCCCGGTGAAGTTACAGCTATCATGGGAGCCTCTGGTGCTGGTAAAACGACTTTCCTTGACATCCTTGCACGCAAGAACAAGCGCGGCCAAGCTGGAGGAGACTTCTTTATTAATGGCGAAAAGGTATCTGATGCGGAGTACAAGAAGGTCGTTGGATTTGTTGACCAAGAGGATCACCTTCTCCCAACGCTCACTGTCCACGAAACTATCCTCAACAGCGCACTCTTGCGTCTTCCACGTACCATGACACGCGCAGCCAAAGAACAACGCGCGTTCGAGGTGGAAAAGGAACTCGGCATTTACCACATTCGTGATTCGTTGATTGGGTCCGAAGAAGGTAAAGGCCGTGGTGTGTCTGGTGGTGAGAAGCGTCGCGTGGGAATTGCTTGTGAGCTGGTCACCAGCCCATCTATTCTCTTCTTGGACGAGCCTACTAGCGGTCTTGATGCTTATAATGCCTACAATGTTGTCGAGTGTCTGGTGACCATGGCCAGGAACTATCGCCGTACTGTTATTTTCACCATCCACCAACCACGCTCTAACATTGTAGCTCTCTTCGACAGATTAATTCTTCTCGCGCAAGGCAAAACTGTTTACTCAGGCCCATTTTCCGACTGCCAACACTACTTTGACTCGATTGGTTATGAATGTCCTCCAGGCTTCAACATTGCAGACTACCTTGTGGACTTGACTATGCATGCTGGTACTACGGTTCCTATTGATGATGGTGCTGTTCTGGCAGATACCTCGAGCGTTGGCCCCAGCAGTACCAAGGCTGTCAAATCTATTGCGAGCATCTCTGGTAGCGTCGGTGACGACGGCTCAGAGCCATCGTCCTATCGACCTATCATCCCACGCCGTAATTCCATCCGACTTCGCCAAGAACGAGAATTGTTCACTCGCCGCCGACCTCACACCACAGACACGAGTGCGTCCTCTGATGCAGACCCGGAAGAACGCAGCGTCTACAAACTCCAAGCAAACCCTGTCTCGACTCTATCTGACCTTCCTGAAGACTCCCACGACTTGCCACTATCGGCAGTGACAGGTACTGACCTTGATATTATGACCACTGCTTTTGTCGACTCTGACATTGCAAACGCTATGAGGGAAGAGATTCAGCAATCCGTTAATGCGGCAGCGGAAGCAAACGGTGGTAACGCTGGTTATAGCGTTGAAGGCCCGAATATCAACGGCAGCGCTATTGGCAAGGGTTACGAAAGGATCAGCTACGGTCGTCAGTTCCTCATTCTGTCATCACGTACTTGGAAGAACTTGTACCGTAACCCGCAGCTGATGTTGACGCATTACGCCATTGCCATCGTCTTGGCTGTCTTCTCTGGCTACCTCTTCTACGGATTGACGGATGATATTCCCGGCTTCCAAAACCGACTGGGTCTCTTCTTCTTCCTGCTGGCTCTATTCGGCTTCAGCACACTAACGAGCTTGAACGTCTTCGCATCGGAACGCCTGCTCTTCCTACGTGAGCGTGCCAACGGGTACTATTCTCCAGCAACCTACTTTGCTGCCAAGGTTCTTTTCGACATTATCCCGCTCCGAATCATTCCGCCAATTCTGATGGGCTCCATCATCTATCCAATGACTGGCTTGGTCCCTGACGCCGAGCACTTTTTCAAGTTTATGCTCGTGCTTGTACTTTTCAATCTTGCTGCAGCGGCCATTTGTCTCTGCATCGGTATTCTCTGCAAGGATGGCGGCGTTGCCAATCTGATTGGTAGCTTGGTTATGTTGTTCAGCTTGCTCTTCTCCGGATTTTTGCTCAACCACGATGCGACTCCAAAGGGTGCTGTCTGGCTACAGTACATTTCAATCTTCCATTACGGATTTGAGTCTCTCATTGTCAATGAGGTCGTTGAACTAACCCTTATTGATGAGAAGTACGGCCTCGACATTACGGTTCCAGGCGCCGCCATTCTCAGCTCATTTGGCTTCAACAATGGAGCTCTTTGGGGTGATATTGTCAATCTGGGTATCTTTGCTACCGTTTTCATCATTCTTGCGTACACTGCCATGCATTTTGTTCTTGTTGAGAAGCGCTAGATTCTGTCGCTTTAGTCACATGTATAACGCAACCAGAGCATTTGTGTTATAGTATAGACCTGTTTTTGGCGTTTTGTTTTCACTGTATCTACGCTCATGTTTCTTATTTATGCTAGTAAATGTTTATATTTTGAAAACCTGCTCTTGTTTCTGTGTACCACCTTGCTTTCAATGGTGCTTTCTGGTCGGTTTAATGTGGATAATTTTACATTATTGCTATTATACAAGATACACACCCGTTTGGGTTCAAAGAAAACAGCCCTATGTGCTATGCTAATCATGTGTAGTTTTACTCCATTTTGCCACCAGTGAACTCCTCGGCGATTCTCTTTTGTCTCTTAACAGAGCGATCAAACTCGGTCTCGTCACGGTCCATAAGCTTTGTTGAGGTGCCGGCAGTGGACTCTAACATGTTGCCAACTGACGGAGGCTTGCCGTATACGCCCCAAACGTTCTCCATTCCTCCAAAGCGATCCGTGGCGCGCGCCATCTTTCGGAAGTGGTCTTCAGTAAACACTTTGTCAATCTCTGCCTTGAGATCGGTCTCGGAAACGATAAAGTTGGAGGCGGTGATGTAGAGTTCTGTGATTGCATCCATTCTCGTCTTGCTCTTGGCAATTTCCCGAGACTGCGATTTGGATTGGCTGACTTCTGAGCGGCGGGTCGCCTTGGGATCAGGGTAGACCTTGGTATCCAGGAGCGCATCCATGACAGTGCCGCGCGTAATGCGATCAAGCTTCGACTCGCCGGCTCTCGCCCTGTTCAAGTTATCGTTGTACTTCTTGGCAGTGCGAGCCTTCATGGCGGTGTTCTTTGTTTCGTATCGCTCCCAGAGGGCATGGATACCCTCTTCAAGGTTCTTGCGTCTGCTATCGGCGAGTTCCTTCTTCCATCGCTGCGTCTCGTTTTTGGGCTGGGCGTCGGAGGCGCGTGTGGGCGCAGACTTTTGGATATATTCGGGGCTAAGCTTGCGATTGCCATCTTTGCGAGAGAAGATCTCGCGAGGCACGGGGAGATGACCGCGTACTCGTTCGGGTTTCGTCTCGTCGGACTGGGGGGTGTTAGGGAGGCGGATGTATTTGGGAGACTCGGGGGGGATTGAGCCCGCCAATGCAGCCGGAGTTGTAGAAAAGGCTCTGACTGCCGATGGCAGCTGGAGGGTAGCCGGTCTTAAGCAAGACCACGTTGATTGCATCGACATTGTGTGTGCGCGTGTGTGTCGATATCGAATGCGTGGTGGGAGCAACTGAGCTGCCTCACAAAAATTACACACACGAGCGACCAGTCAGGGCCGGATTATCTTGCTCCGCCGCAGCCGTTCGCTGCCCCTGTAGGGGCCTCTGCAGAACCACTGTTCCAGCCACCTATAGAACTCACCGCCCGCCAAAAAAGGTGGGGCCCCGCCGACAGAAAAAAAAAGTTCTGATAAAAGTTGCTGCAACAAAATCTCTGCCGAACTTTTCCACCTCTTTTCTACTTCCCGTACTTTCTCCTTTCCCTTCACTTAGACAACACCCAAGGGAATATTCTCCCGTTTTTGAAACCATGGGTACCGGAAAGAAGGAGGCCACCCGCAAGGTTCGCCAGGGTAAAACTGGCGATGGCATGGCAAATGTCAAGGTCAAAGGCGAGAACTTCTATCGGTATGTCGACACCCAGCTGCATTATGCTCTATGACAAAGCAAAAAACTAACCATTTTGCAGCGATGCGAAGAAGCTCAAGCGTCTTAATATGTACAAGGAGGGCAAGGCGCAGCGTAATGCCGATGGTCAAATCACAAAGGCTGCGTCGTACCAGTCCCGAGATGTTCCTACTGCACGAATCGAGCCCAACCGCAAATGGTTCACCAACACCCGTGTGGTTTCCCAGGACACTCTGAATGCCTTCCGCGAGGCTATGGAGGAAAAGGCCAAGGATCCTTACCAGGTTCTCCTCAAGTCCAACAAGCTCCCCATGTCGCTTATCCGTGATGGCAAGGACACCACCAACGGCATTAAGCAGCACAAGGCCAAGATGACGATCGAGACGGCACCGTTCTCGGATGTTTTCGGTCCCAAGGCCCAGCGCAAGAGAGTTAAGCTTGACTTCAGCTCGCTTGACGACCTGGCTGACGACACTGAGAAGAGCATGGACACATACGAGGAGCGCCAGGAGCAGGCCAGACTTCTCAACGGCGGTGGTGACGAACCCGACGTCTCCATGTCTATTGAGCCAGTCTTCGACAAGGGTCAGAGTAAGAGAATCTGGAACGAACTCTACAAGGTCATCGACTCTTCTGATGTCGTTATCCACGTCCTTGATGCTCGTGATCCCATCGGCACTCGCTGCCTTAGTGTCGAGAAGTACCTTCGCGAGGAGGCTCCCCACAAGCATCTCATCTTTGTTCTCAACAAGTGTGATCTTGTCCCAACTGGTGTTTGCGTAAGTTATATTTCATTTATTCTCTGCTACCGTGATATCTACCCTGCCCCGACTTGTGCTTTACGCACCCCAATGAATCCTGTCAGGACCCCTTCTTTTTTTCTCAGTGGAGGATCGTCTGTTACAACATTGGGAGAGCAACTGCCATTCTCGCCTGCCGCGGCGTTTTGTCGTTGGCTGATTGGTGCCGTTCTGGTTACCGTCATGAGTAGGCTTTGTGTCAAATTGAGTTGAAGGTTCTTGCAGCCCGTCTGGGCACACATCACCTTAACCTTCTTAGTGACGACTTCATACATTTCTACACCATTTCGTGATCTTCATTATGTTTATTCGAATATTTCGAGGCGAGCACGTTGCTGACAAACATAATAGGCTGCTTGGGTTCGTGCACTTGGCAAGGAATACCCTACTCTGGCTTTCCACGCAAATATCAACAACTCTTTTGGCAAGGGATCTTTGATCCAGTTGCTCCGTCAGTTCTCTGCCCTCCACTCTGACCGAAAGCAAATTTCTGTTGGTCTTATTGGTGGCCCCAACACTGGCAAATCCTCCATCATCAACACATTGCTCAAGAAGAAGGTCTGCACTGTTGCTCCTATTCCTGGTGAAACCAAGGTCTGGCAGTACGTGACCTTGATGAGGCGCATCTACCTTATTGATTGTCCTGGTGTCGTTCCCCCTTCTACCTCCGATACGCCTACCGACCTTGTGTTGAGAGGTGTAGTCCGTGTCGAGAAGGTCGACAGCCCTGAGCAATACATTCCCGCACTCCTCCAGCGTGTCAAGAGACGCCACATGGAAAAGACTTACGAGCTTACCAACTGGACCAACGCTACCGAACTCTTGGAGCTGCTTGCCCGCCGTGGTGGCCGTCTCCTAAAGGGAGGTGAGCCTGATCTGGATGGTGTTGCCAAGATGATGCTCAACGATTTCATGCGAGGCAAGATTCCTTGGTTCACACCCCCTCCTAAGCTGGACGACAACAGTGGTGAGGTCAAGGCTGGACGTCAGGGCAAGCTCGGTGAGATGCCTCTCAAGCGCAAGGCTACCGAAGAAGCTACTGAGGACGCTCAAGATGAGTCCGTCGTTGTGGATGCCGCTAAGGATGAGGCTGAGGATGATGATGACGAAGAGGAGGAGTTTGAAGGCTTTGGCAGTGACACCGAGGGTGGCCTTTCACGCAAGGCCTCCTTTGGTGCTACCACCGCTGGAGAAAGCAATGACGACAGCGAAGCTGACGACATTCTCTCGATGGGCTCCGATGATGAGGAGGAAGCCAACGAGGAAGCCGAGCCCGTTGTGAAGGAGATTTCGAGCAAGAAGCCTGCCCCTACAAGAGCCAGCAAGCGCACCAGAAGGTGAAGCAAAGTCTGCTGACAACTGGCGTACAATTGCAACGACAGAATGATACCCCTCATTAGCCGCTTCCTTACCAATCCAACCTTAAGGGCGTCAGTGACGATATCGACCTCTACAGGCTTCACTTCCATGAACGACGAGAAGCCGATGATTATGGCAGCGAATGCCAAATCATGCTTGCAGACAAGTCATTCTGCCTTGAGGGTATAATGATAGCCTTGGCTGAGTGCTGACGTCGGTGTCCGGGCAATCCAGTGGCAATAAACGACTGATGTATGCCAAGACTCCAAAAGCCGCAAGCGAGTACGAGAGAGACAACCACTCCATCGCCGAGCTACTGGCCGCTCAGCCCGATCGAAGATGGGACGCACCAGTTAGCTGAAGGCTGCGCTAGCGAATCGACGTCATCAAGTAGGCGCCCAAAGGCGAAGTCTTGTAAAATATCGCCGGCGCAGAAAAGGGACATGAAACAGTACCTTTTTGGATTGAAGAGCTAGCGCATGTACATTGTAACGAAAGGAATGTATACTCTAATTTAAATATCACGACCATCATTATGATTCAAGCGTCCTATTAGTCCCTCCCATCCGTCTATTGTGAACCCTGCGGCTCGTAGTTCCCCCGGCTGTCTATCAACCCCCACGTCAACCATCGTTAGTCTTCCGAAGCAATACTACCCCAGCGTACCAGCGCAAATGCAGCGACAATCTTGCCCAACGAACCGGCTCGTCGCTCTGCCGGGCGTAGCAGCCAACGTCACAGTGTTGCCACCATTTGACCTCTTTTGGTCGTAGAACCTGTCTTTCCTAGTGAGCCGGACGAGACGGCGCCAAGCCACGGCGTTGGGCGTCCAGAGCCGACGGAAGGAAATACGAAGCCGCTGGTCGAGAGTACTACGATGGCGGCGGACTTTTAAGACATTCGAGGTGTTGGCCCAGCCTGGTGGGTTCGGTGACGCAGAGGCACAGCAATAACGTGAAGCACTCTCTAGCATCTCCGGTGGTTATTCTATTCTCAGACTACGGTTCGCGCAAGGAGCGGGATCCTAACAGAAACAATGCACTTGCAGAACTGACGGAAGGTTGGCGTGGACGACAGGGTTGCATTCTGGACGATTGGATCGACACCTAAGGAGGTTTCTTTTTTGCTGTTCGGAGAGAAGGACGAAAGGTTGGCCAGCGTGGGGTATTAGTGGTGGCGTTCTGTGGGTTGATGCATGTCGCAGACTTAATTCGGTTGGTGGTGTAAGTGGTTGGGCGACGGCGAGGGCGCGGACGATGATCTTCCGTTGTCAGCGCGGGGTTTGCCCTCCATGCTGTATATTGGATTGTCTCACTCTTCCCTTTTTAGTCTCTTGCCAAACTTGAGGATAATTTTCTTCGTCTGGTGCTTCTTTTTGCGGTTCATCTGCCGGCAGAGCGAAATTTGCAGACTCCAGAGCAGCTATGACGACACAATGACAGCCTCATGTTGCATTGTTACCCGCAGACTCAATCACACGCGTGAAAAGTTCGACGGGGTCGCTAAATCCCCCTCTTAAATCCATTGCGTTGTTTGCCACTATTCTATTAATACAAAAAAAATTTGGGATGCAAAGCAACGGTTACACTGCTAGTCGCGGCTGGCGGTAGGGATCCCCGCCTCCGCCAGAATGACGTTGTCTCGCATGGGTGTTTCTCGTATTGCTAGCAGCTTGTGTAGATCAGCTACAGTGGGTAAGCAACAGTTACAGGTAGTCTATATTTCAACCAACGCATTCTAAATATATATTTACACAAACTTTATATATAATATTCATCTAAAAACTCGGTAAATATAAGGTATTTAGGTAATACAGAATATTCTACCCAAAGATTGATTAAATACATAATGTTAAATTTTTTAAAAGATTATTTGAAAGATTGACTACAAACGAGTCTACCTGTAATTTTTGCCTACCCACTGTAGCCTCATCCTGGCCCTAGCCTCTCTGGGGCTAGGATGCGTCTGGTTTCTGTAGGCTTGGCGCCTCACGCGTATTGGCCCGATGGGGGAAGATACTGGCTTTCTCGCCTCGCTTGGCCTGCCTCATAGACTATGTGTGCTTGGTGTGCCAATGACGATGGGCTGCTGTTCGTGTAAGTACGTAGAGACGAGGCGGGTATTTCGGCTGGCAAGTTTGGCCTGGACCAAATATATAAAGGCGTGTAAGCCCCGAGCTGGAAGGCAGAATCTTAGATATATCCAACAAAGACATCAAAAAGAAATACCTTATATAACCGCAACCATGATGCAATCTTCTCTTCTCGCTCTCATTTCCGCCGCCACCGTTAATGGCCTGGCTGTTCGAAATGGCTGCCAATTCCACCTCTCTGCCAATGGCGATGTCATGGGCACTGTTGGTGAGATCAGCTCCGGCCAAGTTCGTGCCGGCAGCGGCGTCTCGGCCACTACCTTTACCATCAACGATGGCAAGATCACAGACGACCAGGGCCGCGGCTGCTGGTGGACTCCTCCCACACACGTTCTCCAGTGCGATGTGGGCCAGGTCCCTGATGATGGCTTTGGCTTTGGCTGTGACGGCACTGTCTCGTACAAGGGCCAGACCGAGTTCTACGAGTGTGCTACTGGTGAGACCAACCAGTTCAACGTCTACTTGACCCCCAACCAGGGTGCCAACTGCGGCAAGATCACCATGAAGTCTGACGGATGCCATGGCGACTGCCAGCCTCCCCCTCCTCCTGCTACATGCCCTACCAATCTCAACGGCCCATATGAGTTCCCTCACCTGATCATCCCCGTCGACAAGTCGCACCCTGATAACGCTGCTGGCACACAGTACTTCGGCACTGTTTCCAAGGATGTCTCGTCCATTTTCAACTTCGACATCCCCGCCGGTGATGCTGGTAAGAAGTGCAGCTTGGTCTTCCTGTTCCCCAAGAAGAGTGATCTCCAGACCTCCGACTACACTTTCAACGGCGATGGCAAGCTCGACTTCGCCAAGCTCAAGGATGCTGCTACCCAGGGCACCACCTTCAACAACCAGCCCGGCAAGGAGACCGACTACGGTGTCGTGACCGTCTCTCCTGGCAATGGCTATAACATTGCCACCTTTGACTGCCCTGCTGGCCAGCGTATTGCTTTCGAGATCTCGGCTGCTGGCGATACCTACCTCAACTTCTTCCAGGACTACAACCCCTCTCCTCTTGGTCTTTACATCACCAAGTGCTAAGTGAACTTGTGCTTCGGAAAGATTCTCAAGACTGAATTCGTTTGATGATTGAATGACGATACCATTATCTACTACCATTATTATTAATGTATTTCTTCGGGGGGGAATAGTTGGTGACATCTATTTCTTCTCCTGTTTGTACTTACAAGTTAGACAAAACACAGCCAATCAATGGCACAAAATAAATTAATTGTTGCTAACCCGAGTTTAAACAGCGGCGTGAATGAAACAAAGTGACTTGAAGGAAGAAAACTGCACAGGAGTAAATGCTCCGGCAAGTGGCAAGTCACTTCACTTCACTCCAAGGTGAAGTGACCCGCCCTAGTAACTAACGCCAATCACGCACAACCCTTACTTGCTCTTGTCCATTTCCCCAACCTCAACTAAACCAACATGGGCCATCGACTTACCTGCTTCTGAATGAGCTTTTGATTTTATATTTTTCATCCGTCACCGGAATGTTGGTTTTTGCTTCTATTCTTTAACTAGTTGGTGTTTTCTTTTCATTTTGAGGCCAAGTTCGCTGCCACTTTTGGGAGTTGTCACTGTTCGCTCAGAAGACCATCATGGACGAATACCAGGCCACCGGGAGCTCGCTTTAGAGTAAGCCTTCTTTTCAACACTCCTGAACACCCTTCGCTGATATTCAAAGACGGCAGCAATCCCAATGGCCCAGTGATTGTAGGGTCCCAATCTCCAGATCCGATCATCCGCGGAACACTCGACGTCGAGGACCCTTTTCAGATATTGAACCCCCCTTACTCGCCTGGTAGTGCTGAGTTATATTTGCACACAGCAAATATTCGACGGTGCTATCCTCGCACTCCATCCCCTCGACAACTGCCCATCAAGCCAGGGCGTAAGAGACAGGAAACTTACGGTGCTCGACAGATTCGGAAAGCACGTGTTCGCAAGACTGACACCCAAAAGTCGCCGCAAACACCACAAAAGTTTCCATGCAAGAGACTCTACAGTGCTCCTAGTCCTCCGCCTGCGGCGTCCTTGCTCACTAGAGATGGGCCTTGGTCTAGATGGCAGCAAGACATGGCCATCTACCTCGCTGGAGTAGGCTGCGCTGGGCCGTTTGAGATTGGCAATGTTCTCTGCGAAATCGATACCATAGCTGATGTCATCCATGTCGTTGCAAAACGCCGGTTGGATAAAGAGACTGGCCAGTTTACATGGAGTCCCTTGGGCTATGGCGTTGTCCCAAGGTCTCAGTCGAACCCGAATCTAACTTGCGGTGCTCCAGCGCCTGGCATATACGGCTCATTGGTTAGTTTTGTCGGGCACGCTGGGCAGAATGGGGTTCCAACATTTGTTCCGTCGGCAAATCCACTATCTGGACAACAGACTAAAACGCAGGAGTTTTTGCCGTTGAAGATGGGCTATGACCCGATGTGGTCCTAGGGCGTTACGTCCAAGGAGGGCATTGCAGGCGTTATGTAGCACGCGCCAATTTTTTATAAGCGCTGATGAATAGCAATGAAGAAATTAGCAGGATTTATTTTAGTCAGCGAAATTTACTAAAGTTTGTTGATCCGCTGTGTTCCGTCGCTACGTATGTCGTAGAACTTACAGTACTATTTGGGTGACACCTGAGGCGTCGCTGGGTTTGCCAAATCCACCAAATTTTGCCCACTACGACTCGCCTCCATCACCACAACTACACCTCACAGTCTGCCATTGATTGGTCGCCAACGAAAATCCGCATAATTAATCAGCTCTATATCCATCAATCAATCTACTTCACACGATAGTACCACGCCCCCGGCGACAACAACACGCTACAGGAGCTTAGCCCTTTCGCAACACACATCCGCACCATGGGCTCCGGAGCCTCAAAGGCGGCGCGTAGCGGTGCTGCGCGTCAATATCCAACTCGCGCGCCTGGCGCTGCTGCACAGACTGTAGGGCAGACTGCGAGAAGGGCCACAGCCCCTCCAACGGTAGGCGAGGTGCCACAGAATGAAGGTAGGTTCGCTATGATGCGGCACACAAGGCGCTGATTGCGGTAATGACCTGTTATACTAATATCTACTATGTAGCGCCCCAAGCCGACAGTATTGATCCCGATTACATGCCCGGAGGCTTTTCGAAACGCTTAAACGATATGGGTGTTGTTACGCCAAACCCTACATTCTCGCCGTCGTCGAGAGCTGGTGGTCCGCCATTAGAGCATGTCGATATGCCTGCAGGGCCGATGTTCCCTCCCTCGCGAAGAAACCCTACGCTATCCGTACTAGATTCACGCCGAGCGTTGCAAAAGTTGGCAGATGAGGATCTGGAGGAGATGAACAGGCTGGGAAACAAAGCTTCCAGGCGATTCATGGATACAAGAACGCTGGTAGATGCTCTCGAGTTGATGGGTAGAGGGCAAAACCCAAGAGACGTGGAGAAGAGGTTTGGCCTAAAGGAAGGCTTGTTGGATAAACTGGGTAAAAGCAATGTCGTCGAGCACATTGCTCGATAAGACAATGGACACTTCACCTAAAAGAAGCTGTAGATCTGTACACTAGTAATGGCTGATTATGATGTTTTGTATTTATTATATATTTCGGTGATTTGAGCCGACATTAGTTGTATAAAAGTAGAACATAAGATACAAATAAAGGAAACATTCAACTATGTGTGAAGCCCCAACTATGCCAGAAAAGATTGTCATTACGCGTGCGCCGCTTTTGAATGTTAAATGCTTGACCTGTCGTCGACTCCATTACCAGGCAGCGTGGCCACCATCAATGCGGAGATCAGCACCGGTCATGAAAGAAGAGGCGTCGGAGATGAGGAAGACAGCAGCACCGCGGAACTCGGGAGGGTCAGAGATGCGGCCAAGCATGTTTTCGCCAGCCCACTTGGCCTTGCGCTCGGGGTAGACGTCGAAGAGGTTCTGAAGCATCTCGGTCTGGATGTAACCGGGGGAGATGGTGTTAACACGGATGCCGTGCTCGCCCCATTCGGCGGCGAGAGAGCGACCAAGCTGCAGGACGGCGGACTTGGAAGCATTGTAAACGCTAGATGCGGATTAGCAGTGAACAATGCAGGCGACTAGGTGGAAAGGTACTTACGAGGCAGACATGCCACGGTTAGCAATTGTACCGGACATGGAAGCAATCATGCAGATGCTGCCAGGGGTCTTGAGGCGAACCATCTGACGAGCAGCGGCCTGGGCAGTCATGAAACAGCCAGTAACGTTAATGGACATCACACGCTCAGTCTCCTGCACGCTGTAGTCGAGCGCCGGAGACTCATAGTTGATACCGGCGGCGGCAATCAAACCATCAAGCTTGCCAGACTCGTCGGCAATTGCAGTGAATGTCTCATTAAGCTGGGGAACGTTGCGAACGTCGATCTGGTGGTACTTGAGAGTGGTGCCAAGCTCTTCTTGTGCGCGCTTCGCCACTGTGGAAAAGTGGCTTGTGGGATCTTCGAGAGGAGAAGGAAGGCGATCGACACAGTGGACTACAACCAGTCGTTAGTCTTCATGCAGCCTCGTTTGCCGTGCGTCTCCACGCTGAACATGGTGTGCTTTTGCTTACCTGTAGCTCCGGCCTCGAGCAGAGCTTCGGCTTGGACAAGACCGAGACCGCGGGCGCCACCAGAAACCACCACGACTTTGTCCTGGAGGCTGAATTCTGGGAGGAGATGGGGACGAGTGACGGGGTTGGGCTCGCGGCGAGTAGCTGAGTAGGTGAAAGTTCGGACGGCGGGGGCTGCGGCAGCGCAACGAGCAATACCGGTTCTAGTTGTAGAAGCAACAGGGCGGGCCAGTCGCGGCAAAGAGGAGACAGCAGGTCTGAACATTGTGACTGTGTGTGGGGAAAGTAGATTGATTAAGAGGAGGATGGAGGAGGCGAGGGGACTGCTGCAGCTGCCGCGGGCTTCACAGAGGTTGATCAGAACACACACACGGAGTATGGAAGAACAAAGGCTTTACGAAGAGAGCGAGGGGTCCAGACTGGCTATTTGTACGGTCACGATGTTTGCAGGCACGGGAAAAAAGGAGCTTACGACGAGAGCAAAAAGCCGAAGAGACGAGAAAAGAGACCGCTCTAGAACGCACGGCGCGAACAGCGCAACCACCACGAGACAAGCATTTGGCAAGAGGCGCAGCCAGGGCGCTTGTCATACGGGACTGGGGAAAAGGGTTCCAGAAAAGGTGGACAATTTATTCAGAAGAAAAAAAAAGAGAAATCAGCTGAGAGAATATATAGTTGAAAGCAGTTTAGCTTGGAATTGGGCGAGGGGAGAGAAGTTTAACCTGGAATGGAGACGAAACCGACAAAAAAAAGGAAAGACGGAAAGAAAAAGGGAAAAAAGGCATAGGCCGACATGAAAAATTCTTGCTAAAAAGGGTAATATCTGCTACAGAAAAGAAACCAATTAAAATTACCTGTAAAAGCAATAAAAATTAAATAATAAACAAATAAAAAGAACTGGCGACAATCGGACGTGCAGCGGTCCAGAGCCAAAGTTGGGGTATTACAGGATGGAGGTCCAGCTCGGGATACCGAGTTTGGTTTAGCGTCGGGGTGCCTCTTGACCCCGCGATGGGAGTTGTGGTCCACTAATGGGAGTGTCAGAAGATGGTAAAATATTTTTATGGAAAATCTTGGGGGTTAACAACTAAACTGTGACAAAAGAAGATTTCTATGGCGAGTGTGTTTATCCTTTCCTATACTATTAGTTGTGCGCTTTTTGCAGCATAAGTTAGCTGTTGTTTTCAAGGCAGTACCTGACGGAACGGCCTGAAGGGGGCGCTGGCTTTAATCGTTGCCGGACGCAGTATTCCCGGCTAAGCGAGCCTTCCAGCCAGAAGGCGATTGCACACATATTGTCTACCGCGTACCATATAATTCCACTGCCATTAAAAAACATTTTTCCTGCATATAAATTGCCCGATGAACTGTTTTCAAAACGAGAAGCAACAACAAAAAAAAGCCAAGACGCAAACGCCCACCCTCCATCGGCCATTCCCTTACCCACAGATGCACGCATGCCCAGCGCCTATCCCTTCCTAATCCTAGCCCAACAGCCTACCCAATACAATATCCATCCTGTCTAGAGCGTACTCGGCTCTATGGCCCGTGCTCCACAGCGCAACAAAGCCTAAAGCTTTTTTCGCATATGTGGGTGCGGATGTAACATGAAGGGACTTGGGCTATGCCCCCAACCGAGCTGGCGCAGGAGCTCCGCGAGCGTGGCCGTGTCCGTATTCCAATTCTCTGCGATTGTCCTCACCGTCTTCTATTAATCTTACAAAATTTTAAGGGATTGGCTCATACAAGTCCCCTGTTTGCCAGCCGGGACTCGACTCATCCGATATACTACCGTGCAAGTTGAAGACAGGGAGTTTTAACCACGAGACCAGCTCTGGGTATCAAAGAAACCTAGGAGATTACTCTATCCCTGTGAATTCCTGTCCATAGAAATAATAATAATAGAAATTAAAGATGCCAGGCTGCATGGCAGCTGGCGCCAAGCGTCTCGTGCCATCAAGACACTTACAGGCCGCTATGCCCAAAGAGGTAACCCGAGCCCTGAGTCGGCGCAGCTCGTCTCGCAGCTTTCTAGACTCTCGCCCACCCCGACTCCTGTTTGTTCGTATGGCGGCTTGGGTGGATGGCCTGTGTCTTTGTCACTTATGTTTCGCAGTAGCTTAATCCCACTGTTATATGAACCCATTTGTTCGCTCCTCGTGACCGTGGCTTACAGCCGGCATGGAACGAACACCGCGCTCCACGCCTCTACCCGCGCCGATTTCGCATACTTGAGACGAAGCACAGTTTTTTACAGAATGGCGACACTCAGACATTGCTCGTATATTAAATGACATGATTTCGGTAAATGCTAAACAAAAAAACAAGGTGGAGACTGGTGCTCTGATCATCAGTTAGGAGTTCCAACCCACTGGTACAGCGTCACCGCCGTGGTGTACACCATAGCCACCACGCCAAGAATCATCAATCCAATATCCAGGCCCTTTTGCGTTCTGGTCTCGGCAATATCGACATAGTGCAAATACGCAGGATAGATATAGACCAGCGGCACGCACGCAAAGCTGCCAATCAGTGCCACGAACTTGTCCAAATCACTGGCACCAACGATGCTAATAGCAATGCAGACACCCATGACCGCGGTTCGCAGCATGTTCTTCTGCCACTTGATTGCGAGACTCTTCTTGCCAGTCGCGCGCTCCCCAAACAAGGCGGTTTCAAGAATACGAACGGCCGGGAAAAGCTGGACAGGCTCGCCTCCGAGGACGGCAAGAGAGTATAGGAACTGTACGGCATTGACGACCGGCGAGTCTTGAGGATAGTTGGAGATGATTTGAATCTTTGTCTCTTCACCAAACGTGGCGTAGCAGAGCGCACCAACCGATGTGAAAATAACTGTGATGAGGAACATGACAAAGTACAGCAAGCCGCTGAAATGGTGTGGCTTCTTCATGCTTGACTGGATCGGTAGGATCAATCCGATGCCCTCAAACGTGAAAATGGCAGATCCAACAGTCAGTGTAAAGTCGGAGGGGTTGAACAGCTTCACAGTAGGGTGAATTCCGTGCCTAGCCAAGCTGAAGAAGTCGTAATACCATATATAGATAAGGCCGACGAGGATGAAGACGTCAGCAACGAGCGCAACAGGTCCCAGCTTAGACACATTGCGGATCAATGCCAGTGGTACAAGCGGAACCATTTGTAGAGCAATTAGCGCTGGTACGCCAATCTTGAGGTTATCGTGGCCCTTTGTTACTGCATCCAAAAAGGAGTACAGGTTTTCAGCTGTAAAGATGACGCCTGCGCAAACAAAGCCCAGCTGAGATAGGGCAATAGAAAAGAGAATTAAGTTGCGAAAGCGTGGGCCAACGATAAGGGCGCCGAGTTCACCATAACCGCCGCCGTGTTTCTGGCGACAGTCAAGCAGCAAACGAAAGCACCAGCAGTTGATGATGGAGACTACTACTAGCGTCACAGAAGAAAACAATAGACCACCATTGCGGAACGCCTTTGGCAGGAACATGATGCCGGTTCCAATGAAAGCCTTGATCAGCGTGAAGAAGGTCTTTGTGGTGCTGGCATCGCCTTCTCTAGCGAGGCGCCGCGAGCTCTTGCGGCGACCCAGGCGAGGCCGAGCAATAAGCGGGCGAGTCTCATCGGGCGGTTCGTCGTCGATGATGGCAGACTCGTCTTCGGAGTCGTCAGTGTCCTCCAGATCTTCGCCAGCAAAGCTACCGTAGAGTTCCAAGAAATCCACGAAATTTCTAGCCACCACTTGAGGTCCGCTGTCTTGCCTCTGGCGTGCTTGTTGAATGATGTGCGCTCTGCGGAAGCCGCCTGGCTCGCGCTGCTCTTCATAAGTCAGGTCTTCCTCTGGCTGAAGCGACGGGGAAGCCTGGTGGGAGAACGTGGCAGTTCGGCGCAGCGAGCCGGCGCGCGCCTTGATCATAAACATGTCCCGGTGTATATCTCCTCCTTGCAGTCTTAGCGAGGACTCCTGCACCTCTGTGGCGGTAGACATGTCGTCGCTCGGGGCGCCGGTCAACGACGGCGACGGCCCATCTCCGTCAAGCATGGAGAGTGTAGCATCGGGAGTGATCTGGCTCTCTACTTCCACCTCGATCGGTTCTGTTGCTAAGCTGACTTCGGGGTCGGCAGAAAACCCATCGGGAAGATGGCGATCAAGAATGGCTGCTTGTCTAACGTTGTTCACAGCCGCCAAACCAGGGCTGCCGGGGATGTCCTCCAAGTTTTGCATGGTGGCACACTAACTGAACGTTTCGGTCTATAGTTATTTATGTGTTATCGAGATCGACCGGTTGCTGCGGGCGTCGAACTACCGCTGATGATGGCCGTTGGTCAAGGGAGAGCGAAGTGAAGGAACTGGAGATGTCGGTTGGCGTTTCTGGTCCATTCCATACCCGAATTTTAGCTGGCACGTCTAAATTGAATTGTGCAAGTAGGTTTCTGCAAAGTTAGATTGAACAAGATAAATTTGCAGCACTGTCCCAGCACGGATTAGGCGACGCGGATGGCACGGCAAAGGACGGCTCACGATGTCGATGACAAAAAAGAGTCACGACTGTGGGGTTGAGAAGAGCTGTATGCAAGATACGTGGACGTTGATTCGGCGGATTTAGCACGGGAAGTTCAGCGGTGGCCCACGGCGGCTTAGCGTCTTGCTACAGTGACTTTTAGGCGACGGGGCTCGCCTGGGCGATGGCGTCACGTGGGTGCAGAACGTACACTGCTGTATACTGTCTGGTGGTGCTTACAGAGCCCGCCGAAAACAGGGAAAGGCAGATATGGTATGGAATTATTACGATGGTTGTAGCAAAAGGTAACTCCTTTTACTTTGTTGACGATGTCTAGATCCCAACAGAATTACAGCCTGGACGCTGCTTGGCAACTCACACGGCTACGATTGGTCACATCCACCTATATAAATTGCCCCCAATGCATGTTGGGATATAGGTAAGCAGCAAAGTAATACAAAAAGGCTGCGGAATTTTCTGCATCGGCAAAACGAATGCCCGAATGCTGCAATTCGTTTACGAGCAGGTTCAGAACGGTACTCGTTTGCGTGACAAACCAGACTACGTGCATATTTTACTTTGTAGCATAGCCCAAACTATGATGTAACGCTAAAGTGGTAGCGAACCAAACACACCGACCGCGGCGACGGCGGCAGTGAACAAGCAACCACCCACGCTGCTGGGAATTGTGGATTCTATTTCGACTCATACCAGACCAGATATGATTCATACGCGCCTAATAGTGTATTTGCGTTCAATTGTCTTTTTTATTTTTCATTGTTTTTCTGCCCTGCGAAACAGGGTGTCGTGGAATATTCGACGATCGTCCTTTGTTTCCATTGTCTGCCGCTAACTTAGTGGGGATCGGCCGCTGTCCCCAGACTCATCAGCCGTCTTGTCTGTCAGCCACCATTACCACCACCTCCACCACCTGCCAGCTGCTGTGCCGAAAGGTTATTCCTCCATTCACTACCACGTGGTTTACAACTATTTAAACTTTCTCCAACTCTTTAATCGTGACCAATTTCCGTAACCGTTGCATCCGGTGACCAGACTACCGCCGTTCGATTCATCAGCGCACGATTCCAGAATCGTTCGGGTCGGACGGCGTGGCACCATTTTCGTCTGGCAACCCTGTGGGGGGTTACATCGAACCACCTTCACGAGGCTAGCGAGGTCGCCGCCATAGGCCGAATCAGCATGCTTCTCCAAAAAGTTCGGGCCTTTTTCATGCGAACTCCTCACCCGGGATCGTCGGGGTGGCCTTGAATGTCCGTCATTTAAATTGTTTAACATGGGTCACTGTGCCGCAGGGCTGCGAGGGGGTGGTTCCTCAAATAGAGACCACTCTCCAGCCCCTTCTTGATGAGAAACTGCTGAGCCCTACAAACACCATTATTCTTACCAGTATCTGTTAACTGGTTCTTTTCTATTTTGCAGTGGCCATGCAGTTGCTGTATAACCTCTTGGCGTTGGCAGCCTGTGCCTCCGCTGCCGCCGTACCTCCCAAGACTCCAACTGTCGACTTGGGATACGCCAAATACCGCGGTGTACGACTTCCTTCGGGAGTCGATCAGTTTTTAGGCATGCGATTCGCCAAGCCACCTGTTGGCAATTTGCGATTCCGAGCTCCGCAAGATCCAGATGTCGTAGAGGGTATTCAAGACGCCTCTCAGGTTAGCCCACATCTTTGTTCCTCCAATTGGAGGAGGCAATACTAACATTGCGAAAATAGTTTGGAAGTATCTGCGTCGGTGGCGATGAGAATGTCGATGGCCTACGAGCGGAAGACTGCCTATATGTCAATGTATTCAGGCCATCCAACGCAACATCTTGCTCCAAGCTTCCTGTCTGGTTGTACATTCAGGGCGGTGGATACAAGGTCAATGCCGACTACAATCATAACGGCAGCACTGTCGTTCAGGAATCAGGCCAGAATATGATTTTTGTCAACTTCAACTATCGTGTTGGCGCTTTGGGCTTTCTCAACAGCGAGAAAGTCCGCGAAGATGGCAGCCTGAATGCTGGTTTGCTCGACCAGCGCAAGGTGCTCCATTGGGTCAAAAAGAATATTGCCAAGGTAAGAAAAATATGGTGAAGCCGGCTAGAAATCATATAGACCTTGTCCTAACAACCTTTTTAGTTTGGCGGTGACCCCAACCACGTCGTTATTCACGGCGACTCAGCTGGTGGTGGTTCAGTATCATTCCATCTTACAGCATACGGAGCAGAGAAGGACAACGACCTATTCGTTGGCGCTGCACCACAGAATCCGTTCTGGCCGACTCTTCGAGCCGTATCCGAGATGGAATTCCAGTACGAGCGTCTCCTCAACCAAACGAAATGCACCGACCTTGCCTGCCTTCGTCGACTCGATATCAATACTTTCCAGCAGTCCACGCGGACACAGGCTCTTCTCGGTGCAGCCAGCAATGATCCCCTTCCGCTGTGGTACTGGCTCCCCGTTGTAGATGACGACCTTGTAGTCGGCCAGTTTTACGACATGTTTGATCAGGGTCGCTTCATCCGCGTTCCTTTACTGGTTGGCGATGACACCAACGAGGGCTCATACTTCGCCGTCAATGCTAATACCGAGGATGAAGTCTCTGTGTTCCTCAAGAACAACTACCCGCACCTGACCAACGAACAGCTGCAGGAAATTCGCGACTTTTACCCCCAGATGGCCCCGGAACCGAAGCACAACGCCTGGTTCCCGACTGCCTCGGCCGCGTACGGCGACTGCACATTCACTTGCCCGGGTAATTACCTGGCGACATCCATGGCGCGCTATTTGGACCCCTCGCGCGTATGGAACTATCGATTCAACGTCCAAGACCCGGACAACTTGGCCAACGGTCTCGGCGTTCCCCATGCCTTTGAAATGACGGCAGTCCTGGGCGTGGGCAACGTTGGTTTTAGCGCGCCTTCGTACAGCGGCATTAACGCGAACATTGTTCCCGTTACAATGGACTACTACATTAGCTTTATCCGGACGTTGAACCCCAACACCTACCGCCACGCCGGCTCGCCCACCTGGGACGCCTTTGGCGACGGAACCGGCCAGAGACTGAAGCTGCAGACAAACGAGACGGCAATGGAAATTGTGCCGGAATCGCAGGTCCGACAATGCGCGTTGTGGAGAAGCCTGGCTCCCGAGCTCGAACAATAGACGCGTCACAACGCGGGCAGCGCGCGACCAAAATGCGAATAGGGGATCACTTGGTTGTGACTGGATATATTTGTAGTATTGCTGCGATGTTATTTTCTTCTTCGCTTGCACATGATTGAATTATATACAACAATAAATGATGATATTAAATGGCTTTTCTTGGCGTATCCTGCTCAATCGATATATTGTGGCGCGGAAGACTAGGTACGCTCAGCCAGTGCGGCAGCTTCATCAAACATTGAACCGTCATTGAGATCCAGTATATCATTGAGTTCGATATTTATAACTTCAAGGATATCACCTGTGGAATATCTGGGGAATTTTAGTTGTCTACGTGTGGCAATGGCTTCTGTGGGACAGGCAGCATCAGCATGAAAATATAAGAGTGCCCTATGTATAATGATGAAGGGCAGCATCAGTCAACGCTTTCACTGCAAACCTACGAACCGTAAGTTTATTATTGCCGATACAGCTAAATAAACATTCAATTCAAATTATGAGAAGAAAAACTACACATTTCATCCGTAGGTTGGTACTTTACCGTCTACAGCTCAACTTCAGGGTAGCGCAACAGATCAGACAGGGGTACACTAACAACTACACAGTCCCATCTTCTCACAAAGGCATTGTTCGTCAGCAGCCTCGCAAGACACGAGGTTGCGAACGACAAGCTTTCAGGATGCCGCAGACTTGTTTCATTGTTTCGTTTCAAAAGAGGAATAAGATTAACGGATGTTGCATTTTTAACGTCTCTTCTTTTTCTCTCTTGTTCTTAGGTAGCAGCGCAGCCAGGCCAACCCGCAAGTGACATTGGGATGTTTCACCTGAGACTATTGATCTTGGTCCCCACAACTCGACACTCGTGTCCACCAGCGTTTGCTCATTTCATTTGGTTATTCTTCTTCTTTGAAACCCTGCCATTATTGGTCCTTCTGCAAGAAAAACAGTCCGTACAGGATTTTGCCCTCACGATGGGACCGAATGTCTGGGGACGGAACGGGGGATACGCCACCTACCCTTCCCGGCAATGTGGCTGGCGACAACTGGCTTTTCTCCGAGCGAGTTCGCGCGCGCTCTACAATGCGGCGCCGTGTTAGCCCCGTTGCCCTGCATGGTGCGGCCGCAGGTTTCCGAAAACATCGCAAGAGAGAGCCGGACTTGCTGTTGAAAAAAGAAAGCCTCAAAACAAACAAAGCCTTTGGGGGGACGAAACAAAAAGAAACGGCCGACAGGGTGTACACTGTGTTTGTTTGCTACCCAGGCCTACATAACGGCATTGAAGACGACATTGATCAGAGACAGGCCCTGATTAGACCTGTCAGACCCTGGAGCGTAGCTTTTGGAGAGTCATGCAAACGGGCTATCGTTTGGGGCCAGATTACAGGCCATCCCAACGTGCTACCGTACCGCTGGTTAGCCGTTTCCCGGCCCTTGACAGACCATGGGCAGCCGCTGTAGTATCTACCACTACGTGGCCCTGTTCAGCGCAAACCTTGTCTGCTTAGCCAGTCGGCCAGGGGCTGCGATTCTACGGTTGATGTCCGGGGCCGGGGACTGACAGGACTGGTAACGTCCATATCCTGGTTGATTCGATAGTCTGCGTGGTGCTCTGCTAATACAGCTTGGCAAACACCAAGGGGACCAGATTAACAGAAGATGCGCCACGCATACAACACTGCTATTGCCGAGTTGCCAATTAGGCGTAGCATGGGCTATCAAGTACACGGAGAAGGCTATTAGTCAGTCCGAGAGCTGCAATCCTGGTGGCTTGGGATGGAACACGCCGCGATCTAGAGCTGTGCCTAGGCGGCGCCATGGAATCATTAGCAGAACGAGACCATTCGCGGGTTTTCGAACTCGTGGCGCTAAGACGGAATCGGTGCAAAACAAAAGGAAGCATCCCTCTAGCAGAGGGCGGTTCGGAAAGGACGGCTCTAAGACATGTATGTTTGCTTTTGCCCTAGTATCTTAGCCCTTGCCTAGCTACCGCTGGACAACAACAGACATTTGCTGATAAGTGACATCTCGGAAAACAAAATTTCTCGTTTTCCTTTTCTGGCTGAGAAGCAGTGTAACCAAAGACCGGAGTTTGGAACGGACGGTAGTGATACGCGAAATGAGCAGATAGATGTTTACACGCGGCGGCCGAGGTCTCGAGCACCCGTCTGGAGAGCTCTGCTCCGGAAAAGACGGCTGGCGACTGACGGACTCAGCGGTGGGGAGTACGGTCAGCTCACCGGTGAGCCTGTAGGACCAAGCGGGATGTCGCGGGACGGCTTGAAGGTTGGCTGCAGGATCAAGAAACTTTGGTAGGGTGGCCAGGCCAAGTGAGGCGGCGCTGCCTCAATGGGCTGGCCCTAGCTAGAAGCAGTACAGCGTCGCGCCAGCTGGCAGGCTAACCAGCTGGCCCACCTGCGTTGGCCGGCGCCCACGCTACTGACAGACCAAAATCCTTTCCTCTCGCCTCCCTCTTCTCCCGGGCTGCCCTGGCAAATACTACAATTCATCGTTCTATTGTAGTATTCCTGGTGGCCTGGTTTCTCTTTTAGGGCACCGTAGCTCCCCTCGTCTGGATCCACTGTCGTAGAAGGGGGTGGAGCGCTATTGGTCTCACGGCGACAAGGGTCTAACAGCAAACAAAAAAGGAACAAGAAGCGCATCAAAAGGAAATGACGCGAGTCCAAACAGGGCTGCTGCCTCAGAGCGCCCGCCGCTGCGAGGCTGCACGAATAGGGAAATGAGCTCTCCGATTCTGACAGCCCACAGGCCACCGGCACTTATCCCGAACCCAGGTACAGGAACAAGGGGGTTACAACTGGTAGCCATTGTGCGCTTGTTAAGCGATCCTAGTCACGGTCAAGTGCCGTGAGTAGTATCAGCGAAAGCAAACATTCTTCTAGCTCACAGACTATTGTCTCGACCTTAAGGCTCTAACGAACTAAGCGTGGATGAGAAAAGAAGCAAACTGTGCTCAAGAAAGAAGCAAACGCACACGATCAGTCGACTCAAGACCCTCCGTCTGAAAAAGAACAATGGCCCAACGCAAGACGGCTACTTGGACCAAAGGGGTAAGGCCTGGAGCTAGAGGAGCCCGACTTGATCCTTGGTTTCAGTTTCGATCCGCTTTCTGATCTCCGCTAAGCCAAAGGGGCATGGTCTGGGGGGCAGTATGCTCTTGATGCCTTGCCTCTTTGAGCAGAATTCGCGACCCGCCGCTGCGGGGACTGGACTATGGAGCAGCAGCAAGCCGGGAGATTACATGTACGATTTGTCGTAAGTATCTGAATGGAAAACATGCATTGCTTTAGCCAGGCCTGCTAGGACCACGCCCTTTGGAGCCACTTCTTCCAACGTCGAATCAGGCTCATAGTCTCTGGGGAGGGCGTGTAGTCTACGATCTAGGCTTTGGGATAGACACGAACCGGATGGGATTTGTCTCTGCAGAATGTGCAGCCCTCCGTGCATCCATCTGCCCTCTGGGCAGGGAGCTCATGACGCACCTTATTCCGCACTTATAAATACAGATGCCCATTCCCATCGAAGGGTTATACTCTGTTCTGAATCTTCAGCTTCGAGCCCATCTCCGATTTGTATCTTTCTTTTTACTTGGCAACTTTGCCTCAGTCATTCTTTTGAACTTTCGAATATCACTATTACACAACTAATACATAATTCACACACCCCATGAAGGTGCTCGCCGTCGCAGCCGCGCTCTTTGCCGGCACAACGCTCGCCGTTCCTTGCGGCAGCGCTTGCTCACCTTGTCAGCCGGGCAGCAACCCTCCCAATGGCGTCTCCAGCTCTGATGAGAACAACAAGCCTACCGGTTCCAACCCTGGTGGCAACAGCAACAGCAACACTGGTGCTTGGGGAGCCTCCAGCACTCCCTCCAACAGCTACGGATGGGGATCTTCCAGTGATGTGAACCCCAAGACTGATACCAACACTGGCGGTTGGGGCTACCCTTCAGGCCCTCCTTCTAACTCCGGCGGCTGGGGTTCGTCTTCTGCGCCTGCTTCCAACACTGGTGGTTGGGGCTCGTCCTCGACTCCTGCTGCTTCCAACAGCAACGGAGGTGGCTCTCCCAGCAACTCTGGCGGTAACGGTTCTCCTTCCTCGAGTGCTCCCGCCAACTCTGCTAGCACCTCTGGTGGTAACGGCTCTCCCACTTCGTCTGGTGGTAACGGCTCTCCTACTTCGTCTGGTGGTAACGGCTCTCCTACTTCGTCTGGTGGTAACGGCTCTCCTACTTCCTCCGGTGGAAACGGTTCTCCTACTTCCTCCGGTGGAAACGGCTCCCCCACTTCGTCTGGTGGTAACGGTTCTCCTACTTCCTCCGGTGGAAACGGCTCCCCTTCTTCCAGCTCTCCTGCCAACTCTGCCAGTAACTCTGGCGGCAACGGTTCTCCCACTTCCTCTGGTGGAAATGGATCGCCTACCTCTTCTGGTGGTAACGGTTCTCCTTCCAGCTCTCCCGCCAACTCTGCTAGCAACTCTGGCGGCAACGGTTCCCCATCTTCCAGCCCTGCCGGAAACCCCAGCAACACCCCCAGTGCCACTACCAGCGGCGGAAACACCACTCCTACTGGTACCAACTACAACCCATGCCCCGGTGCTCTCTACAGCCAAGCTCAGTGCTGCAGTGTCGATGTTCTCGGCGTTGCTGACCTTGACTGCAAGACCCCTTCCCACGGCTTTGACAGCAAGGCTGGATTTGAGGCTACCTGCGCTGAGACTGGTCAGCAAGCTCGCTGCTGTGTTATTCCCGTGCTTGGTCAAGATGTTCTTTGCACTGGTCCCGCTCCTGGCGGCAATCCTACCTCTTCTAGCGGCAATGGTTCTCCCACAAGCTCTGGTGATAACGGATCTCCTAGCTCGTCTGCTGGTAACGGATCTCCCTCGTCTTCTGGTGGCAACGGCTCCCCAACAAGCTCCGGCGGTAACGGTTCCCCTACTAGCTCTGGTGGCAACGGCTCCCCAACAAGCTCCGGCGGTAACGGTTCCCCTACTAGCTCTGGTGGCAATGGCTCTCCTTCTAGCTCTGGTGGTAACGGATCCCCCAGCAGCGCGCCTAACAGCGGCTCTCCTACCAGCTCCGGCAACACTACCCCTACCAACCCTCCATCTGGTGGCGAGTACGACCCCTGCCCTGGTGGTCTCTACAGCCAGGCTCAATGCTGCAGCGTCGATATTCTCGGTGTTGCCGACCTCGACTGCAAGACTCCCCCCCATGGCTTCGATAGCAAGGCTAGCTTTGAGGCGACCTGCGCCGAGAGCGGCCAGGAGGCTCGCTGCTGCGTTATTCCTATCCTAGGCCAGGATCTGCTTTGCACTGGCCCTGCCCCTGGTGGCAACCCTCCTACCAGTTCTGGCGGCAACGGATCTCCTAGCTCCTCTGCTGGCAACGGCTCGCCCACATCCTCTGGTGGTAACGGATCTCCTACTTCCTCTGGCAGCAATGGTTCTCCCACTTCTTCTGGCAACGGCTCGCCTAGCTCCTCTGGTAACGGCTCTCCCACTACATCTGGCAACACTGCTCCTACCAACCCTCCTTCTGGTGGTGACGACTACAACCCTTGCCCTGGTGCCTTGTATGCTCAGGCTCAGTGCTGCAGTGTTGATTTCTTTGGTTTCTTTTTTTTTTATTTTAATAACCCTCCTCATGGCTTTGATAGCAAGGCTGGATTCGATGCCACATGTGCTGAGAGCGGCCAGAAGGCTCGTTGCTGTGTTATCCCTGTTCTCGGCCAGGACGTCCTATGTACCGACCCTGCTCCTGGTGGCAACCCTCCTGGTAACCCTCCTACCAGTTCTGGCGGCAACGGATCTCCTAGCTCCTCTGCTGGCAACGGCTCGCCCACATCCTCTGGTGGTAACGGTGCTCCCACATCCTCTGGCGGTAACGGTGCTCCCACTTCTTCCGGCAGCAACGGTTCTCCCACTTCTTCCGGCGGCAACGGTTCTCCTACCAGCTCTGGTAGCACTACTCCCACCAACCCTCCCAGCGGCGGCGACGACTACAACCCTTGCCCAGGCGCACTCTACGCCCAAGCCCAGTGCTGCAGCGTTGATGTCCTTGGCGTAGCTGATGTTGATTGCAAGACGCCTCCCCACGGTTTCGATAGCAAGGCTGGATTCGATGCTACCTGCGCTGAGAGCGGCCAGAAGGCCCGCTGCTGTGTCATTCCTGTTCTTGGTCAAGATGTTCTCTGCACTGATCCTGCGCCTGGCGGCAACCCACCTAACGGCGGCAACCCTCCTTCTGGTGGTAACCCTCCTGCCAGCAGCAACCCTCCCTCCGGCGGAAACCCTCCTACCTCTTCTACTACTCCTGGCGGCTCTTCTCCCACCAACCCTCCCTCTGGCGGCAACCCTCCCAACGGTGGTGACAACTATAACCCTTGCCCTGGCGGGCTCTACTCGCAGGCTCAGTGCTGTGCCACTGATGTGCTCGGCGTTGCTGATCTCGATTGCAAGGTTCCCAGCCATGGCTTCTCCTCCAAGGACGGCTTTGACTCTACCTGTGCTGAGACTGGCCAGCAGGCTCGCTGCTGCGCCATCCCCGTTGCTGGACAGAGCCTTCTCTGCACTGCTCCCGCTCCTGGTGGTAGCAACCCTCCTTCTGGCGGTAATCCTCCCAGCGGCGGAAACCCTCCTCCTGGTGGAAACCCCCCATCTGGCGGCAACCCTCCCAACGGCGGCGATAACTACAACCCTTGCCCTGGCGGGCTCTACTCGCAGGCTCAGTGCTGTGCCACTGATGTGCTCGGCGTTGCTGATCTCGATTGCAAGGTTCCCATCCATGGCTTCTCCTCCAAGGACGGCTTTGACTCTACCTGTGCTGAGACTGGCCAGCAGGCTCGCTGCTGTGCTATCCCCGTTGCTGGACAGAGCGTTCTTTGCACTGCCCCTGCTCCTGGCGGCAGCAACCCTCCTAGCGGTGGAAATCCCCCTTCTGGAGGCAACCCACCCTCTGGAGGTAACCCCCCCAGCGGCGGCAACCCTCCTTCTGGTGGCGATGATGATGATGACTTCAACGCCTGCCCTGGTGGTCTGTACGCCCAAGCTCAGTGCTGCTCTACCGATGTTCTCGGTGTTGCCGACCTTGATTGCCAGACCCCTTCGTCTGGCTACAGCAGTGCCAAGGACTTTGGTGCCGTCTGTGCCTCTACTGGCCAGCAGGCTCGCTGCTGTGTCATTCCCGTCGCCGGCCAGGATCTCCTCTGTGCCACTCCCGTCGGCCTGTAAAATGGCATTGGTGATTTAATTGGATGTTAGCGGGTTGAGAAGCGATTTGGTTTATTTTTTTCTTCTTCTTTCATTCTTTCAAAATAGTTTTCTTTGGATATTTTCTTGATAGCATTCGGTCTGTGGAATTGGGGGCTTTTGTATTAAGCACAACAACTAGATATGATATGGACATTGAGCGTTGGCTTTACCACGCCTTTGGCCAAAACGTACAAAACTTTAATCAGAAGGTCAAATTTACTTTTTACAATTGCGCTGTTATGCATCTTTAAGGTTTACTTTCTTCTTTGCGTGTCTTTTTGCAAAGGATTAATCACGTTGCTTAACTGTTAGCAACGAACAACTGCTCTGTCGTCCCATGTCTAAGTAAGTGATGATTAAGTGTGGCGTCCAATGAAAGGAGTTGTGCAAGTCCCAAAGCGGGCATAAACCAAGGCACGGATGCGTGCCTCACACCACACACACCAGCTTTTGTGCAGCGTTCTAGACAGTGCACGCACTTACCCCTCTCCGACAGTGGCTACTCGAATCAGGCTGGCGTCGCCGCCGCTGCAGTAACTCGGAGGTGTTGTCGATTTCCCATCCCCCAAGTTTGCCAGCCTGGCGCATGCTAGCATTTTACGTTTTCTTTTATGTCTCTTCAATCAATTGATTTGTTTTCTTCCTCACCGCATTGATAAAAGGGGAGCGCGACCGGTGAGATACTCTCGATCCCATCTTTTGCAATCGCCCCTCTTGGGCCACTGCGCAGCAAACGACACAAAGCGGGGGCTTAGGGGGAGGGAGGCGGCTCGTGTGCTGGGCCCAATACTGGGTACTCGCCCACCAATAAACAGTGTGCGATGTTGTTGTGGCCCCCTGCTCTACCCACTGTAACGATGCTATAACGACGAGCCTGTAGCCAGTGACTTGCAGCTGATTACAGCGGTCGCTCCACTCGACTGTGGGTTCAGTTTGGCGTGTTCAGAGGGAAAATCTGGGGGCGGGGCCGTGTCAAATTGACCCTGCTGGGGCGGCGGCGTTGAGTGGGAACGGGGAGTGAGAGTGTCGCGCGACCAGAGGCCGATTTGAAGAAAACGCAGATTGCGGAGGGGAAAAAAGGAGCAGCAAAGGCGCGACGCAGAGAAGTGATATGGGAGGGCATCGCGAAGGTTTTATTTGGCCACGGGTGCCCGTTGGGGTTGTTTAGTGGCCGAGTGCGCTGATGGTGTGCTGGATTGGGGTTGTGTTTACAGCTGCTTGCGTGCCGCATTGCTTTCTGGTAGAGTCGAAGTAGACGGCACAGTGCGGGAGGTGATGCCGGCGCCCTCTTTTTATTGGATTTGCACTGACTAGGTGCTGCTGGTTGCTGCATGCGGCGCTACTTGTTTTTGGTGTGCCACACGGCCTGGCTCGCCTTGTGCTCGTATGCAAGCTTCCTCTACCCGCACTGTGAGGGATACATCCAGGGCACTTTGGAATGAGCATCCCTCCCTCCCTGTGCCGCATCCGCGAATCATGGCCAGGCTTCCCCGCGCGCCACCGTCCCAGAGTCACATCTGTATACAGTGCCGAGTCTGGGGAATCCATGCGTCGAGGCCTCTGCCGTGCCCACTTGTTGCAGTGCAGAAGGCCCCCCCTCTCGCTGCGCCTGTCTCGTGCCTTTGCCCATGATGCCTAGTGAACAGGAGTTGGTCCGCTGCTTGTACAGTGCGTCGTCGTCTCAGGTGTATATAACAGGTACTTGGCCAGCTTTCGCCTCCCACCCTCCTCCTTCTTCTTCTCCTCACTTGTTTCGTCATCTCTCAACTTAACTTCCTTCATCCTCTTTTCTTGATACCCTTTCTTCCATCACAAGCTACTTTTCCTTTCTGTTCAAGTCGATAACTGGTTTTCATCGTCTTGTCCGCTTCCATCTCTCACACTCACACTCACACACTCTGTACGTAACGGCTCACTCACTCAAGCCCCGACCGTTCGCCACCCTCTCGCTAACCGCTCTTCATTACACAGACAACTCACACACACACACACACACACAAAATGCCTATTCGCATCTCTCGTCTCCCCAAGGCCGGTACTACCGAGATCCTTTGCATGGGTGCCGCTGGTATCGGAGTTCTCACTCCCCTCTACTTCATGATGCCCGGCGCCGATGAGCACCTCGCTAAGCAGACCACCAAGTGGGCTCCTCGCTGGGAGCGCAACATTTCCTACTTTGCTCCTCCCGTCTCCAACGTCGTCCAGCGCATGGAGCCTCCCGTCGCCAAGGCCATCAAGTCCGTTGATGAGCGTCTGCCTCTTGAGAAGATGGCCAAGGGCATGGAGAAGACGATCCGCGGCGGTATTGACCGCTTCGGCCCCAAGCCCAAGTCGTCATAAGCCTCTGGCCAAATGTATCAAAGCAAGTGAAATATCCAATTCTTGATGGATGACGCTGTCTGTTTTGTACTGTCGACTCTTTGTTACTCTTCTTGGATCGCCCTTCATCGCCCACTGTATGGCACCGCGCAGCTCGATGTCATGGGCAGATGTGATGGAGCATCTTGTATAGTGCTTTAGCATGCTGGATTCCACTGCCGACCGGTTCTGCACTTTGTCCGACCGAGGGTTTTGTTATGCTGCCTTTTTTTGTCGATTTTTTTCTTTTGTCTTGTATTAGATCTCCCGCTGTGCGCGGCTTAGAGTAGACTACAACAAAGCTTCATCTTGATAAGAAAACTCTGTGTCCTGTTTGTCCTTCTTGTGTCTGTCGTTGTTAATTTATAAGCACGTCATTACAGGCACTGGATGTCGTTTCATGGATCGAGATTATCACCGTCTTATCGAACTCGCCTGACCCATCTCACTGTGGACCGTGGCCAGTCCCCACGTTTTTCTGGTAAGATAGTGCAGCCAGCCAGCCTACTTACAGTACCAACGCTCTCTCACTAACCAGTGAACGCTTTTCCCCACAGGTGGTTCGAGGCTGGGGTACAGCCGACTCAAAAACTCCGTTGCCGAAAACCCGGAGCGGTACGGCCCCAAAACTCCCCCGCCAATATTTCGTGCTCTTTCTTTCTTCCCCTCTTCCCCTTCTCCAGTTCTGGCTCTGGTTCTTGTGTATTTTTACATCTTCATCACTCGTCTTGCATTTCTCCGTTGCCGTCATGTCTGTCATTCAATCTCCCTGGCCAACAGTGGCGTTCCCCCAAAAAAACGTCCTGAGCTATCTCTTCTCCGACGCCGCCTACATCAACGACACACCTCTATGGAACGATGCCGCGGACCCTTCTCGAAACCTGTCCACAAGACAAGCTCTGCAGCTTATCAAGCAATTGGGTAGTGGTCTGCAGGAGCTTGGCCTCCAGCGCGGTGATGTCGTCCTCATCTGCACACCCAATCACATTTACGTCCCAGTTGCCTATCTCGGCACCGTCGGTTCAACCTTCATCTTTAGCGGTGCAAATCCCGCATACACGGCCAAAGGTACATCTTCTTAGTATATCTGTTACCAGCTAAGCTAACAACTGTAGAATTTGCACACCAGCTAGACAACACAGGCGCCAAGGTCGTCCTCGCCCACCCCGTCAAGCTCGACATTGTTCTCGAAGCTGCCGAAAGTCTCCGCTTCCCACGCAGCCGCATCTTCCAATTCTCCGATACCAAACAGGCCGACAGACACGGCGTAAAGGACTGGTCCGCTCTGCTCGCCTCTCCAGCCTCTGTTTCCTCATGGATATGGCCGGAGCTTACCGCCCATGAGGCCCGCACAACCGTTGCCACTGTCAACTACAGCTCCGGAACAACGGGCTTGCCCAAGGGCGTGCGTATCTCCCACGCCAATCTCATTGCCAACGTCGAACAAAGCACCATTATCCACTTTGGAGGTGTTGATACCAGCAAGCCAGATAACTGGGTTGGCTTTCTCCCACTGTACCATGCCTTTGGCCAGCTATGGACCATTCTGATGGCCTCCCGTCTCCGCGCACCCAACTACATCCTGTCCGCCTTTTCCTTTGAAGGCTTCTTTTCAGCAGTGCAGCGCTACCGCCCTCGCTTTCTGCAAGTCGTACCACCCATTATCGTCATGTTGGCCAAGCGCCCCGACGCCAAAAACTACGACATCTCGAGTGTAGAATGGATCTTGTGCGGTGCGGCACCGCTTAAGCAGGAGCTGCAGAACGAGGTCAGCCAACGCTTCAACCTGCAGATTAAGCAGGGCTGGGGTATGACCGAGGTGACGTGTGGCGGAATCAGCACGCCCAACCTAGTCGAAGACCGCACCGGATCAGTCGGAAAGCTCCTCCCCGGCACCGAGGCCAAGCTTCTCGATGAAAAGGGCAACTTTGCAGAAGTGGGTGAACCAGGCGAGCTCTATGTCCGCGGACCCCAGGTCTGTCTTGGATACTGGCGCAACGAGGAGGCTTCCAGAGAGACGCTGTCTAGCGACGGCTGGCTCAAGACGGGCGATGTTGCCGTCCACGATCCCAAGAGCGACCTCTTCTGGATCGTCGACCGCAAGAAGGAGCTTATCAAGGTGAACGGCCTGCAGGTGGCCCCCGCGGAACTCGAGGCCTTGCTTCTTGAAAACGGCGACGTAGCCGATGCCGCTGTCGTTGGTATTACAGTGTAAGTTCAAACAGAAGCAGGTCAACTCCAACATATATATATACTAACTAACCGTTTCAAGACACGACAACGAAACGCCCCGCGCCTACGTCACGCTCCAGGCCTCCGCCAAGGGCAAAGTAACACCCCGCGACATCCAAGACTGGGTCGCCGCCCGCGTCTCCAAGCACAAGCGCCTTACCGGTGGTGTCTCGTTTGTCGACGAGGTGCCCAAGCTTCCTAGCGGCAAGATTGTGCGCAAGCTGATGCGCGAATGGGCCAAGCGAGACGCCGAGATTCTGGAAAAGCAAGGCGAAAAGGCAAAGTTTTAGAATATTCGCATTTTCTTTGTTCATGATGCAATGATATAGATAGTATTCTTTTGTACTATTATTACATATTATACATATATATTCGTTCCTTACGAATCGTCCTCGTCATGATGTCGTAGAAGGTGTATTCTTTCGATCGCTCGCTCGGCCCTTGGGCAGGTCCTTTACTATAAACGCAAAGACAGTCAGCACTGTGGTATCTCGGAGCGAATTCAAAAGACTTACAGCGCTTGAATAAATGGTAACTAAGAAGAATCATCATGGGCACGCCAATGAAAATCGCCACAATCAGCTTCTTGCGCAACTCCACGCGCTCCTTGAACTGCTCGGCCGCTCGAGCTGCCGCGTCTGCCTCTGGGCCTGTTTTCGGCTTGAACCCTGCTTTATCTTTTGCCATGGCTTGAGAGACGGCGTCTGTTTGCTTTGGAGACGCTGAGGAGGGGGCTCCGGCTTTGCGCTGAGCTGCGGCTTGGGCTTTGGCCTTTGCGCTCTGCGACGCAGACGACGAGTTGGCGCGGGAGGTGATGAGCGAGAGGCGGCTTGGGCACTTGCTTAGTGCGAGGGAGCGGTGTATTCGGTGCGAGAGCATGTTGTCTGTGTATGTGAGGGCGGTGCGTGGTGCAATTGGTATAGACGGAGAAGAGAAGAGATGGGGTAGTTGGGAGGTCGCCGAGGAAATTTTAGTGGAGCGAGGGACAGGCGGCCGATATCACAGGAGATGGACATACAAACGATGATGTAGCTGATGATTTTTTTTAAATATAAAACAGATTGCATATTTTCTAGTGTAATAAGAATAGGATGGAACATCTCTCATCCACATAATTTGACCCTTCCCCTGATTAACAAACTCAACTTCAATTTTTCTTTTCCGCAGCGTTATGCTAGCTAGTATTACACAAAACAGCAAGGAAATGCCTGGGAAAACAAGACGTACAAACAACTCTGAGAAACTCGCAATGTAAAATAAAAAGGGACTGATAATGAAAACGCCAATGGTTACCAAACCGCAGAATCTCTATCACCATTCGATCGTACCGCTCGATACACCCGTCGTCCCCTAGTCGTCGTCGGTGTATCTCGGGCCGCTTGCACCAGGCGTCTCTGGAGGCGCCGCAGGAGTAGGCGCGCCATAGTATCCAGAACCGCCATAGCTGGCTCCAGGAGTCGGAGCTCCAGCAGCCGGCGTAGGAGCACTGTCGGCTCCCCATCCGCCTTGCCATCCGGCGCCAGGAGTGGGTGCGCTGACTGCAGGTGTAGGAGCAGAGAAGTCGCCGCCGGGGGTTGGTGCGTTGAAGGCTCCCGGAGTAGGGGCACCTAAAGCACCGCCAGGAGTGGGAGCATCGTAAGGGTGAGAGGCAGAAGCGCCGGGAGTGTAGCCCCAAGAGTCGTTTCCGCTGGCGCCGGGAGTAGGGGCCGACGAGGCACCCCAAGCAGGAGTCTTGGATCCAGAGCCCCAAGAATCGCCGCCAGCTCCCCAAGCAGGCGTGCGAGAGCCAGCGCCAAAGGCGTCGCCTTGAGCCGGAGTTCTTGCGCCAGATTGCCACGCGGGAGTTCGAGAGCCAGATCCGTACGCGGTACGGCTGCCATCATATGGGTTAACCGTTCGCGATCCATCAGCCCACGCTGGCGTGCGAGAACCAGATACATCTTGAGCCCTCCAGGCGGGCGTACGTCCACCGGCACCGCCAGCAGGTGTTCTAGATCCCCAAGCAGGAACGCGGTCGCCGCCGCCGGCACCCATAGGTGTGCGAGAGCCTCCTTGCCAGCTCGGCACTCTGTCGCCTCCACGGCCAGCACCAGGGGGACCTCCACGGCCGCGACCATTGATGTCAATAGTGGCTCCGGTAGTCTTGTCCTTGAAGCTCAGGCACTCTCTGGGCACAGTAATGGTTTTGCTCTTGGTGTGCAGCTCGACACGAGCGTGAGTATCTGTCGTATCCTTGACGATACCGAGCAAGCCTTTGTAAGCTCCCTTCTTAACAATGACTGTCTGGTTGATGGCCTTGTCGCGACCAAACAGCTTGACAGGCGTCGGGGCCTTGTTTTCGCTGCCGTTCTTGTGAATCTTAAGAGCAGGGTTCATCGAGTCCAGGTCGGGGCCAGAAGCCGCGGCATTGACACGGCCGCCCTTGGCAGCAATGGTGTTGACCATGCTGGCCTTGGTGACAAAGACACCAGCATTCTCATTCGTGTCGTGTGTATGCAAGTAAACGTAGGATCTGTGGATGTGGATAATTTTACCCTGGCGCTCGAGACCAGTGAACTCCTTGACAACGTCGTCGATGCGGATTTCGGAACCGTTACGGTCAGCAGCGACAGCTTGCTTTCTCTTGGGCAGCTTGTTGGCAATCTGGGATGGCATAACCTGGCGAGCATCGCCAAATTGGTCCAACACCACAAGCGATTCGCGATCAACCTTGACAACGCAACCAACAGTCGTTGGGTCAAGCTGGACAAGATCTTGCAACTCAAACTGTCCGAGGGAACCCTGTCCACCGATATCACTGGCTTCACGGAGATCCTTGCTGAACACTGTGACTTCGTTGTTGGTGTGGTCGGTAAGGATGGTGACGCGGTCTTCCGAAATCTTGACAACGGTACCGACTTCATCCTGGAAGCGGCTGCCGCCAACAACCTTGACGTGGTCACCAACCTTGAAGCGCTTTCGTAGACCCTTGGTGGGCACTTCGATGGTCTGGCCAGTAAGGTCGCCTTCCGTCACCGTCATGGTGACAATGTCGCCCTGAACATTGGTGGCTCGACCGATAACACCCTTCTGTTCGCCCTGGTACACTTCGATAATATCGCCGGGTAGATAGGCAACGTTGGTGTTGCTGTCCTTGAGACTGGCGGCAAGTGCCTTCAAATCCAGGTTCTCTGTACCATCTTCGGCTCCAGAAGCAAAACGAGTCACTTCTTCCAGCGTCGGGTTCACATCGGTGACAACCAGCTGCTGAATCTTGACATCTCTGACTTGGAAACCGTTCTCAAACTCATCACCCATGAATGACCAGGTGTTGGTAGTCGGGTTGCCCTGGATATATCGGGGGTTGTGCTTGCGGGCTTCAATTTCACTGAACAGTCGCTGGGGAGGACGGGGACCTGGACCAGCTGGGCGCTTGCGTTTTCCATCAGCCGAAACACCGAGACCGTCGTCGCGCATGCCGTAATCTATACGAGGAACAAAGCGCACACGAGCCTCTAGGCCGTTTTCCGTGACATCGAGAACCTGGGCAAGATCACCGCTGTGCTTCAAGGGGCGTCGGAGGCGGACCCAGGCTCCAGGTTCCAGCATAGGAGTCTTGGTGACACGAAGAAGCTCAGGCATATCCTTAATATCGACAAGTGTCATCTTGGTGCGTGGGTAGACATTCAGGATACCATCCAGGGATACAAGAATGTCTGTTTGTCTCTGTGCCTCAACGTAGATGAAGCCCTTCATGACTGAGTTTGTACCGCCTCGCTCGAATGCCGCAGTGATGGCCAGCTCATCCTTAGTGCCCATACGCTCATCAATGCGCTTCATAATGGACAGAACCACTTCGCGCTCCTTGCCTTCCTTACAGCGAACGGCCCAGATTCCGGGGTCGTCGACGCTAGGAAGCAGTAGTCGCTTAGGGATAACGGCGGATTCACCAAATCCCTTGCCGGAGCGGCGGTTACCATACTTGGCACGCAACAGCTCGGCCTGCTTCTCAGCGTCCAGGTTGGATTCCATTTCTCTGCGGCGATCGAGCTCGCGATGTCTGCGCTCGTCGCCACCACCAACAGCAATGTCATCGGCGTCATCGTTTTCGATGAAGTCTCCTATTTCTTCACCGTCCTTTTCTTCGTCACCGTCTTCGTCTTCGTCGTCGACTTCGGCTTCGATATCAAGGAAGGCGTTGCGTCGATCGCGGCGTCGCTTTCTTCGGTGGCCCTGAAACACAGTTAGCCTGGTTTGCTGCGAATGAGGGCAGCACAAAATCTATCAAGATGGACAAACCTGGTTCACATCGTCTTCCTCTTCCTCCTCCTCCTCCTCCTCATCATCATCGTCCTCGTTGCCTTTGCGACCGCCCTCCTCTTCGTCTTCATCCTCATCCTCATCGTCGTCGTTTCTTCGTCGACGCTTCTCGCTTGGCCCCTCGTCTTCATCCTCATCGTCGCTGCCATCATCCGCTACTCTTCGCGAGCGGACAGGCGATGAGTTGTCCTCATTGTCGTCATCACGCTGACGTCTGCTGGAAGGCTCATCGTCGGACATGTCTGCAGGCGCAGGGTTGAAATCGTCGTCCTCCTCGGAATCATCGAAGCGATTGGGATCGCTGGACGCCATGATGAAAATTAATCGTGGCTACTCCGGTCTGTGCCCACGATCAGCTCTGCGCTCCTTGATATACGCGCGAGTGAAGATGGAAAGGGGAGAGCAAAGTTTGATTGCTTGAAAGCAAGAGCAAGAGCCTTTGCGCAGGGTGATCCTGAAGTCTACGCTAAAAGTCACCCTCTGGCGCGCGCCACGTTAAAGCCACTGAGGCGACCGGATAATTGTCGGCTGAGGCCCACCACAGCAACTTGGGTGCAGTGGGGAGCCTACCTCGGCCGCTGGGTGTTAAAGCGTCGCGGCTATGGTGACCTTGATTATTTACATAAACTGAAAATAACAAAAAAGAAGTCTCTTTTTCTTTCGGAAGACGCGTGTTTCTGTTTTCAAAATGAAGGCCGTGGTGATTAAGGAGTTTTATGAGAGCTGTGACCAAGTGACCGTCTCGGAATTGCCGACACCAGAGTCTGGGAGCCAGGATATCCTTATTAAGGTTATTGCTACCGGCGTCAACTTTGTCGACACACTCTATGTAAGATTTTAATATGATTCAATTGATGTTGAAACTAAACTGACAAACTTTAATAGGCACGAGGAAAACACCAAAATAACCAAAGGCTAGTTCGCCCACCGTTTGTCCTCGGCCTTGAGTTCTCGGGTATCGTGGTATCTTCACCGGAAGACTCGCCATTCCAGCCTGGAGATGCAGTATTTGGTGACCATCCAGGGTCTTATACTGAATTTATTTCTGTCTCAGCACAATCACAATCACTGCGCAGAGTCCCTCTAGGTTGGAAGGCTGCCGATGCTGCAGGCCTAGCAGCAACATTGCCAGTCTCGTATGGCGCCCTTGTACATGCTGGGCAATTGAAGCCTGGGGAGACGGTTCTCGTTCACGCGGCTGCTGGCGGTCTCGGAATAATGGCTGTTCAAATTGCCGTGGCAATGGGCTGTCGAGTCATTGGAACAGCCGGATCAGCAGAAAAGTGCCAGTATGTAAGGCGCTATGGTGCCGCAGAGTGCTTCGACTATACACAGGACTTTTGGTGGGACCGCGTTTTGAAGTCGACAGATGGCAAGGGAGTCAATGTCGTCTTCGATCCCGTTGGCGAAGTCAAATCCAGTTTGAGATGCACAGCAGACAGAGGCAGAATCCTGGTCATTGGATTTGCAGGCACAGAGGGTCAGATTGAGCGTGTACCTACCAACAGGCTGCTTTTGAAGCAGGTCTCTTTGATTGGATACGTAAGTTGTTATTCCCGCGTAATCATGAACCCTTGTTCTAACAGACGCTAGCGCTTTGGCGAAACTCTCAGACGATACCCGGAGGAGCGAGAACAGATTTGGGACGGCCTCTCCAAGATGCTACAAGACGGCAAGATCAAGCCAACAGTCACGAGATACTACGACAGTCTACAATCTGTACCGCAAGCTTTAGCCGACATCTCAGCACGTAGGGTATTGGGAAAGGCTGTCGTCATGGTCGGAGGCTCAGAAGAGGATAGGCGGTCGTCCAAGTTGTAAATATTGTATTTGGTAAAACTGAAACTGTATATCATTTCTTTAACGCTATATAATGCCCAGGATAGCACCCACTTTCCACTGTTTCTCTGTTGTAGCACTCTGAGTGGCTTATAGAGCACAGAAGTCCAATTCTCAAGACCATGTCGCGGATTTTCAACGGAGTTAAATGCGACTAATGCAGTATAACATCTCCTCGTCTACCTCGTTCTGGTTTTGATGGAGTAGCTGTGACGCTCGAGATGCGCAGAACCGTGCCAATCCTACATGAATAGTTATATGAAAACAAAAGAAACATGAACGACACCGACTAAATTTTTCGTCAATCTATAGTCTACCCCCAATTCTTTATCATGCAAAATCTTCACATAACACGAGCACCCCAAATGCCTCGCCCGGCGCTGACACCAAGCCACTCGCCATAGTCTTGGCCCGCCATCAGATGAGGAGCCCATCCCAGGTTTCCGACTTCATACTCGCATTCCCAAGATGCAACTGGGTGTCGGTAGTTGTCCTGCTGAGAGCCACCGTTGACTGGGGGAGCAGGTGTGGAGTTGAGCAGATCCCAGATCAGAACCTGGCAATCATCGCCTCCAGATGCCAAGGTGCCTCGTCTCAATGGTGACCACTCAAGACAGTTAATAGCGCCTGTATGACCACGTAGTTCAATCAAGGCTTGACCAGGCTGGCGGACATCAAGAACGCGGATAATGTTGGAATCCTGAGCGAAAGTAGCGAGGAGATGTGTATCGTGCGGGGATGTCGCAAGTCGGAGCAATGGTGGTGCGCTAGACATGGTTTGTTGAGCTGTCGTTGGGCTAACGCGGCCTGGTCCGTCCACTATTAAATTCAGTTAGCCGTCTTGCTATGTAATCAGATTGAATGATCGTTGGCTACTAACCTCTGTCATCCTTGGAAGTCGGTTCGTAAATAATAGTAGAATGTTCCAGGCTACGCAGATCAAACATACGGACACTGCCATCTTGGCCACAGCTGACGAAGACATCTACGCTGTTTGCACAGAATCGAACATCATACACTTCTTTGTCGTGAGCAATGAGCTGAGTCTTCGCCGTCAAGGATGGAATATCCCAAATGGTGCAGGTAGTATCGATGCTTGATGTGATGATGAGACTGGGGGACACAGTGTTCCAGTCTAGCGAGGTCAGTGGTGCGGTGTGATCTGGGGTCTTGGAGTTTGACAGCAGAGCCAGCGGTGTCAGCTTTGTCGTTGTGGCTTCTCGCCCACTTCGAGTAATAGTGCTGCCCGGTGTAGGCGGTGCAGTTTCGGTAGGAAGTGACCACAGACGCAAATGGTCTCCCGACGTTGCCAGCAAATCTGTTGACTGTTTCTGCGATGAAGGTGGTTCCCAGAGCAGTCTGGTTACCGGATACGAGTGTGTAGCTTCGGCGATTTTTGTGAATTCGAGTGAGTACTTGGATGTACCTGGAGTGTAAACGTCCTGCGGTGTAGGAACAACGTTGGAATCGAGAATTTGAATCTAAAACAAATCAGTATGAGCGACAACATTGATCTTATGGCCGAATCAGCTTACAAAGTTGTGACCGTCCTCCAAGTAGCTGCCAACAGCTATCTTGCCTGCACCATTGTTCTGCGGGCGCCATTTGCACCAATCGAAGGCGTAGATAGCCCAGGGTGCCATGTAGTTGCTGGGTCCAGGCTGAGAATTGGACATGTCGATGCCCGATGCTCCAGGAGAGTCTGACATGCTTGAATCAGCTCTGGGGCGAATGTCGGCTAAGCCAAGAGGAGTATTGGAGATGTTTCGCTGCGAGCCTGGAGCACCGTACTTCAACATGTCTGAAGGCGAGCCAAATTGCGAACCGGAGCCGCCAGGTGTCGTTGGAGTATATGCATGATACGCCGTCTGCGGTGCGTCGTAGTTGGCCGCCGGACTGGAGCGGGAGTAGTTATGGGTCATGTTCATCGGAGACTTGCCTTGCGCCTGGTAGTCTTGCATGCCGTGGACGCCGGGGATGGGCCCCGCCGAGTTTGGAGGCATGTGAGGGCCGCGGGAAGAGGAACCACCAGGCGTGAGGACGTTGGGAACCGATGATGTCCCAGAGAGCGGTGCAGAGGGAACGGTGTCCAACTTGATCTGAGGGGGGTAGTCGCGCGGGGACATTTGGCTATGCGGGCTAACTCCCGACATGTGTAGCTCGTCCTGAGGTCCTCCGTACTGGCCGGCACCGCCTGAAGGTCTCGGCTGTTGTGATTGACTCATGATGGCGGCGAGGTCGAAGGACAAAAAGGTCGGCGCGTATTTCGAGCGGTCGTTGTGTTTTTGCTTGCAGCGTCTCGGGTCAGCAGAGCACTGCGCCAATGCTGGCGGCCGAAATCAAAGGCGCAGAGGACCCCTTCACAGCGATTGCTGATTGTGCAGAGCGTGGATGGCAACGGGGGAAGCCGAGTCGTGCTGGCGAGGTCGAGTGTTGACAAACGTGAAAGAGGTTGGCGGAGCTCTTCTTTTGGTGGAGGTGAGGAGAGGCGGCGTGGAGGGGGAGGTGACAGCCAGCCAATGCGGACACCGTCAATGGTACATGGGGCTTGGTGGTGCTTTTGGTGGCTGGGGAGGTACTCTTTTTTGAGGGTGGGTTTTCACAGATGGTAGCATTCACAGGCGCAACGTGGGTGATTAAAAGTGAAAATTGAGAAATAAAGTAGAGACAGACATTGAATTATTCCCATTTCTGCACCTAGTATTACTTTTTTCTCTTTATAAATCCCAACTGTTCGCTTCTCCAATTAGACAGCGCTCTACACAGCGAGAGGCTGCAGCGCTAAGTTAGCTCCAAACCTGGCGCCACCTCACAGAACAGTGGTGCTACTGTCTGTCACCCAAGCCGTTACTGTAGGCGGACCCAGTCATCGCAGGCAGCTGAGCTACCGACCACATGCCTCTCTTTGGCGCACAAGATCGCGTGGACAGCCGCTACATCACACTTCTGCCCACCGAGTAATTTATTTGGTGAAGATTCTTTTGGCTTCTTTAGTTATGGCATAGACGCTTTTCATTTTCCCTCTCCAGTTCCTTGCCCGACGACCCCTTCACGAAGGTCGGCCGCTTTCGGTAGCATCATCCCCAAGATGTCGTCAACACCATACCGAGATGCCTCTGTAGGCTCGCGCATAAGATCACCAACCCGAGAACCGAGCGAATACCAGCTAGACGAACTTGAACCGAATCCCGATAGAGAGCCTTCCAAACATGTATCCATCGCATATGCCAATCATGCTCCAAGAAACAACCAGCGTTACTTCCGTGACGAGCAGTGGGATTCGTGGAGTAATAAATCCCCCAGTGTGGCAGAATCTCCTTCTAGCGATCGAAGGCGTCCTATGTTTACTCGACCGCCGCCGCCAATAGCTCGATCCATTATGAAACCGAGTCCTTTCCGTCCAGAGAGCGCTACCAGCCGACAAGAGGCCAGCCATACGCCTCACCTTGCATCGCAACTGGGCAGCCTGATCTTTGATCGACAACCTTCTCGTAACCGTCAACAAAACTCCTCTGATACTGTTTGGCGCGGGCTATACCGCCGAGAACGACTAATAGAACAAGAAATACAACAGCTGCTGGATCTTCAGGCTACAGGCCTCATCGCTGGTAGCAGTGCTGCGGAAGACAACATCAGCGATACTGGCAGCAGCACCCCCACCGGCACTTTTTATTCAACAACTAGCACACAGTCACGCATGATGAACTCTCTCCATATTCCAACACGGTCTAACGCTGATGGTAACATTATACCCGTTCGGCAGCCAACCAAAGGAAAACCTTTGGGTCTTCGTTCAGCCCGTGCTGGCCTGCGCAAAGCTATGAGCTCGCTAGCTGAGCTAAAGCAAGAAGAAGACACCCATGTAGATGCTGCGCTTTTGGATCGAAAGAGAGCACTGATACAAATAAAGCGATTATGGAAGCAAAAGCACGGTGTGGAGGAAGAACTGCAGATATTTGAAGAGGACGACGAGGAACCGTTGGGCAAAGAAATGCGCGAACTCAGTCTGCAATTCAACGCAGTTGATGCTGAAGTTCGAGAACTAGAGGAGAAGCTTATGGCACTGCGTAATCATCGACGATCATTACGCGAGCGCCTGGACGATGCCAAGAACAGGCGCGAGGCTGGGTTGAGTGGTTACAAGGGTGCTTTGAAAGATGCAAACAGGCAACTGGCTGCGATAATGCTTCACCCACCAGTACAGCCGTTGGACAAGCAGCTTAGGAAGAAAGGCCTCATTGGAAGCTCTGGCGCAGACTCTCCTGGCGGGGACGATTTCATGCAGTTAATTCCGGAACGCCGAACCGCAGAAATGGCCCAAAGCTGGTGGGAGGGAGAGATTGCTATTTTGGAACAGCGACGACTACAAATTGGCAAAGAGAAGGACGCCCTAGAGCAAGGAACAGAGATATGGAAAGATGTCATTGCGCTTGTTGGCACTTTTGAAGCCAATTTGAGAAGCATCATGAAGCCTGGTGCAGCGCCGCATTCAGCAACGGAAAAGGGAAAGAACAAAATGCCTTCACAAGAAGATATTATATCTTCCCAGGTTGCTGAGATGGATGTGGTTGTTTCTAAGCTGCAACAATATCTCAACACGGCAGAAAGCAACGAGTGGAATTTGCTCATCTGTGCCATAGGTGCGGAGTTGGAAGCGTTCCGCGAGGCACAAGACTTGCTCAAGTCCATGGTCAATAGCGACGAAACTGCAGACACTGGATCAAATCGACGTGACGAGTTAAGCCAAGGCGTTCCGACGGATGAGAGCGATAACGAAGTACCACCAGACCTCCTCGTATCTCACAATGTCGATTCTCAATCAACGGGCATCTCGCAGCAGAGTGCAGAGAGACATCCTTTGACACGGCAGGATAGTGCAAACGATGTCCCACCAGAATTCCTTGCAGAACACATCGTTGATTGACATGGCGTTGAAAATACCATTCCCAATATACATCACAACTGAACATATCGTAGCAAGCAGCCTTTGTTAATAAAATCCTTTTATGATTCAAGTAAATAGTTGAGTGTTTTATCGATTACTGAATTGCATCGTTGCGCTCAGAGCATATCCCAAGTTAAACGCCAGAATAATGTCAAAAACATGAAGAGCAAGGGGTGAGTGTGCCGCAAACGCGACTCATCACGCGCCGTCCGGTGCGGCATCTTGTACATGTCGAGAAATATACAGCAGCAGTTGCCAACCCAGTGGTTGGCGACTGTGCATTACTGGAGGTGTTTCCAGCTCAGTCCTAGTTGTCGTTTGCCGGAGTGTCGTTGCCAACGAGGGGCGGTTATTTGCGCTCGAAGAAGCTGCTAGAGCCAGCGATGGCAACTGAGTAGTCCATCACCCATTCACCAACGTGCAGGTACTTGTCCACCCACTTCTTGACCTCCTTGTTATCACCACCGATGTTCTCGGTCTTGAACCTGGTACGTTTGTAAGTATCGTTGCGGCGTTTTGGCTCAGCGCTATTCCGATGAGCAACTTACTGCAAGCCAGATGATCGCTTCATGCCGGCCAGAACGGTCGAGACTACACGCAACGAGGTTAACAAAAACAGCTAGCCTAGTGTTTGTAATGTGATTATACTTACTGAGGACGGCGTCAAAAGCATAGTGTGTCAATCTTCCTAGCTTTGACCAGAGCCCGAAAGTCAGCAGGTTGAGGAACTAAAAAGTCGAGTCTTAGATGGAGCTAGGCCAAGCGATGACGCGAAGAGCGCAATAACGACAAGGGGTAAACGCCATTTCGACAGGGAGCGTTCTTCATTGCAAAGCCAAATTGGATATGCTTAGGAAAACGCCGCCGCGAGGTACAGACTTTCCAACGACGAAGAGAGAGGAACAAAACATACAACCATGATGGGCGATTGTGCGAGACTCGGTAACGAGGCTGGATTTCGATAGTGTTATGGGTAGAATAAAGCACTTGATAGTCTCGAGCGACAAAAGCGAGTTGAACGTAGGTTTATAAGGCGATGCCAATCTTGCGACGGGAGCTTGCGTGGGCAATTGCGCAGGTGGAGGTGCGGGTGACGATACACAGGGGACCTTGAAGCTGGCACGTGAGAGCTGCAGACGGCAAGCCAGCGAAACAGGTTTTGTGGCTGGTGCAAATTTGGCGTGGCTGGGTTTACAGTGGCGGGTGCGCTGCAGTCGCCAGGGCAAGTAAATGGGTTACTGTTAGCGGCTGACAGGGCGAAGTGCCCGCTAGCAGCAGCCCCTACCCAGCGCTACGCCAGGCCGACCAGCGCCGACGATCCAGCGGCGGGTAGGCGTCTGGGTATTATATGCAGGAGAGCTAAAGCCAACAGCAGTCCAGGGGAGGGACGCTGACATAATGTGGAAATGATCTGGAAGCTATAGGATTTAATGCAATATATTTATCGCTTCCATTCCCGACAAGGCAAGCAATCACCTTGTCCGAAAAGGCCAGATAGCGGCGCTCGGTTTTCTTCTCCTTGTCGGACCGCCGTCTGCAAAGTGTTGGGTGGGCGAATCGCCGCGAAGTGGATCTGCGGTGGTTCTGTGGGACGCCTGGAAGCTTGGTGAGGATCGGGCCTGTCAGTCCGAGATAGCTCCATAAGCGGTGTCTTGTCTTGTCTCGTCTGCCTGGAGCCCCGGTGCGGCGGCGATGGACCGTGTTGATTCTACTGCTACGTTGCGTTGCGTGCTATTGCTTTTGGAGTGAATTTGGGATGAAAGATGGTAAAATTTACTGAGTGGTAAAGACGGTGAGGCCGGCAATCTACATGCTCTAATCTACTGCTCCTGCAGGCCATGACGTCGCCAGCACTCTCCCTCCAACCGCCAAAGCCTGGTCCAACCAAGCCTGGCGTCGTAAACGGCCCTTTTCTTTCAACTCTCTCGCAAAATAGCCTGTCCGTAATTATCTCACCTTTCTACTTTCTTACCTTACCCCCCCTGACTGCCCGTCTGAGCAGCAATGCGCCAAATCTGTAGTAATATCATGCCCCATCCGCGCAGCCCGCCCTGATAAGAGATGGCTATTTTTTCCTCGCTTTCTTATCTCTGTCAGGCCCCATCGGCGTCCTCCTCTAGTGCCTGTTGCCCCTCCAAAACACCTCTTTTGGGTAGCGCCCGCCCAACATGGGGACCCTGCTACAGCGCGATGACGGAGCTTGCTGCAGCCCCGCCATTGGCTTTTTTTTTCTCGCCCGCTCCCTCTATGCGCCGCGTGCTATGCGGTGGCTAAAGAAATAGCAATAAAAATATGGCAATTTTATTATCCTCTGTATCTTATCGGTCGTGTAACCAATTGACTCGCCCCCGCTACTAAGCACGCAGTAAGCCTGGTCTCTGCCAAGCGTCCTCCCCAAAATCCCCTAACACGCTCAGGCCCACCAACGTGCTGCAGCAACTGGTCCCCCATCGCCCTGCTGGTGCTGCTGCAGTGTGTTACTGCTGCCAACCTTCTCCGCCAACACCCCAACTTTTTTTTCCTTGCTCGCCCTTCTCCTCTTCCTTTTCTTCCTCCTTTCCCCCATCCTCACTTTTTGTTTTCTCCTCCTCGAGTATACATTTCTCTCTGGTATTTTTCCAGCTTCTGCCTGTGTTCGACGTATCTTCTTCTACGTCAACCATCTTTTGCTCCCCTCCGTCTCTTACAACCCGATTTGTGAGAGCCTCCTCCGCTGCGTTATCCTACCTACCGTTTCTCAGCTTCCCAACATCTTTACAATGGAGAACATGGTTGTCGGCGTCAAGCGCCCTCGCTCCAACAGCATTATGGCTGCTACTGCCCAGGACCACCTTGATGTTGGTGGCGGCAAGCTCGCCTGGCTCTCTTCCCTCGACACTGCCTACACCCCCGCACACACATACCGCCGCTCATCCATCATCTGCACCATTGGCCCCAAGACCAACTCGGTCGAGGCCATTAACTCTCTGCGCGATGCCGGTCTCAACGTTGTCCGTATGAACTTCTCTCACGGCTCGTATGAGTACCACAAGTCCGTCATTGACAACACCCGCGCGGCCGTCGCCTCGCACCCCGGCCGCCCCGTTGCCATTGCCCTCGACACCAAGGGCCCCGAGATCCGTACCGGTAACACTAAGGATGATGCTGATCTTCCTATCCCCGCTGGCAAGGTCATGAACATCACCACCGACGAGGCTTACGCTACTGCCTGCGACACTGAAAACATGTAAGCATTTGTTCCCTCACCTTGGCAGTGGCCACCACCTCCACCAGAGTGCAGCGTAGCGGCAACAGTAAGCTTGTAGCAAGCTCAGTCTAGCGCACGCAAAGTCACTGCTACCGCAAATTTCAAATTGTCGAGTCAATGCTAACCACTTTGCCAGGTACGTCGACTACAAGAACATTACCAAGGTTATCCAGCCCGGCCGCATTATTTACGTCGACGATGGTGTCCTCGGCTTCGATGTCCTGAGCATCAAGGACGACAAGACCATTGAGGTCCGCGCCCGCAACAACGGCTTCATTTGCTCTCGCAAGGGTGTTAACTTGCCCAACACCGACGTCGATCTCCCCGCTCTCTCCGAGAAGGACAAGGCCGACTTGCGCTTTGGTGTTGAGCAGGGTGTTGACATGGTCTTCGCTTCCTTCATCCGCAGCGGTCAGGACATCCGCGACATCCGCACTGTCCTCGGCCCTGAGGGTAAGGGTATTCAGATCATTGCCAAGATTGAGAACCGTCAGGGTCTTAACAACTTCCGCGACATTCTTGAGGAGACTGACGGTGTCATGGTTGCCCGTGGTGATCTCGGTATTGAGATTCCCGCTGCTGAGGTTTTCGCTGCCCAGAAGAAGCTCATCGCTATGTGCAACCTGGCTGGCAAGCCTGTCATCTGCGCCACCCAGATGCTTGAGTCTATGATCAAGAACCCGCGCCCTACCCGTGCCGAAATCAGCGATGTCGGTAACGCCATCACCGACGGCGCCGACTGTGTCATGTTGTCTGGCGAGACCGCCAAGGGTGCTTACCCCGTTGAGGCCGTCCGTGAGATGCACGAGGCTTGTCTCAAGGCCGAGAACACCATTGCGTACGTCTCCCACTTTGAGGAGCTTACCAGCCTCGTCAAGCGCCCTGTCAGCACCGTCGAGTCTTGCGCCATGGCTGCTGTTCGTGCCTCTCTTGATCTTGGCGCTGGTGGTATCATTGTGCTCTCCACCTCTGGCGAGTCTGCTCGTCTCCTGTCCAAGTACCGCCCTGTTTGCCCCATCTTCATGGTCACTCGCAACCCCACCACCTCTCGCTTCGCCCATCTGTACCGTGGTGTCTACCCCTTCCTGTTTGACGAGGCCAAGCCCGACTTCAACCAGGTCAACTGGCAGGAGAACGTCGATCTGCGCATCAAGTGGGCTGTCATGCAGGCTCTTGAGATGAAGACTCTTACTCCCGGAGACACCGTTGTCGTTGTCCAGGGCTGGAAGGGCGGTATGGGCAACACCAACACCCTCCGCATTGTCCGCGCCGACCCCGAGCACCTCGGTCTCGGTCAGCTGTAATCGAAAAGAACGAAAATATAATACACCGCCGGAGGTACATAATGGGATGGATTAGGGCGTTTGCTATCACATGAATGATTTTATTTGTAGGATCGTGTTTGGAGAACCAGTCACACTAGTTTTTACTGGCAGAAGAGAAGAATGATGACGAAAATGACGATGGACTTTGCGTAGAAAATAAATCAGATTAGTAACGATGATTTCTTTTATGTTTGAGTTCACTGTAGAGCCAAGTGATGTATATACATGTGTTATTACTAGTAGAAGCAATACGTAGAATGCCTCGCCAATTTTTAGAGCAGTCTTGTTAGATTTTTAACCGCGAGCCGTCTAGTCGTGAAGTGACGCAAAATATGCCTTGAAAGAAAACCAAGAACGAAAAATCATCTAGAAACCCCATTTGTTTCGTCAGAATCATAGATTCTTAATTTCGAATCGCTTTCGGAGATACGCGCCATGCTTCATAAACAGCCATGGAATAGGGATAAGCGCAACCGCGATAAAGGCAAGTAGACTGTTGCCCCAGCCGAGACCGAGCTTGTCATACATGGGAAGGCCGGCAAGAGGAAGAACAGCGCCTGCGACAGATCGGACAACAGCGTTGGCTGCGAGTGCAGATGCTGCATAGGTAGTGAAGACGTCGACAAGGTACAGTTGAAGAGACTATTGAAAAGGTTAGCATAGTTGTTTGGCTGCTAAATGGTTTATACCGGGAAAAGAGCATACCATGAAGACAATGAGGTTACCAACACCAATAACAGCGGTGCCAATGATGGGCGCGATCCAGTGGGTGTGGTAGTACGCAGTCCATCCGTAGATGAAGAAACCGGCCGGGAGCAGGATGGCACCAATTCTCAGCGGTGCAAGGCGATACTCAGGCTTCATCGGCAATGGGGATAGATCCTGATCAGCTCCGACTTCGCCAGAAGCGACAAGTGCTGCCTTTTCTTCGGCTGCCTTCTTCTTCATATACTTGTCGCTAGAGGAAGAAAAGTACACAACGCCAGCCATGCTGCCTACACCGAGGCCGAGGAAAGTAAGGCCTGCATGGACTGTGTCAAAGTTGTATACTTCAATAAAGAGAGGCGTGAGACTGGTGAACATGAGGTACAAGTAGGCATACACAATGCCGACGTAGAGGTTGCAGATGGCGCAAATAGGTGAAAGCACAAGGAGCTTGATAGGGCGGAGGATGGCGCGGCTAAAGTGTTCCTTAGCAGAAAGGCCGGTGTCAAGTTTGCTTCGGAGATTCGGGTTGCCGGTTTCTTTGCGAAGGCGATTGACCTTGCGTTGCAGGAGTGTTGGTGCGTAGGTCTCACGGGCAAAAATGAGAAATAGGATGGAGATTACGCCACAAATGATGGCGATGATCCAGAAGACCCAGCGCCAGCCAACGGCATTAGTAACGACGCCGCCGATAACAGGGCCGATGATGGGACCAAGAAGAGGGCCGATGGCGAAACTGGCCATGGCGGCACCTCGATGTTCTTGGAGGATCATGTCGGCGATGGTGCCACCACCATTGGTGAGAGGCGCAGAACCAAAGACGCCCGAAAAGAATCGGAATACAATCAGTGAGTTCATGTCAGGCGCTAGTGCACAGGCAATGAGGAATACTGTAATACGGTTAGAATTAAGCAGGAGTGTAGATGGTATAGATCGGCGTACAGAAGAAGCACAAGTTGGCGCAGTTGTAGATCCATAAGCGACCATAGACTTCTGACATGGGAGCAAAAATCATAGGGCCGGCAGCGAAACCAAGAACATAAACGGAGACGCAAAAGGAACCCAGCAAGGGACTTGTGGTATGGAAGTCATGCATAAGAGTTGGCACACCGGGTGCAAACATTGCTACAGAAGAATGGTTAGTTTACGCTTTAGAGATACAAGAACTTGCGGATGTACATGATGCGAGGGGTGTGACAAAGGTGAGTGCACTGATGAGAACACAGTTAAACACCTTGACCCATGTTGGCCAGTTGTACGGGTTCTGAGGATCGTCATCGCCGTCCCAGAAGACAATATTGGGATCCTCCTCCGTCGGCGCTGCTCCCTTGGCCTTTTCAATGTCCTGGTCATGCTGGACTTCTGTTTCGCTGGCGCTGCATTGTGCTGTCGTCAGATCGGCTGACGGCGCAATCTCCGTGTTGGTAGCCTCGCTGGCAGCGGTGTTGGTTACTGCGGCTGCAGCCGCGACGGCGGCAGGCTCCTGTGTCTCAGCACGGGAAGCCATGGTGGTAACTGAGACTATGATCGTGCTTGTTAGCTAGATGAGGCCTTGTGAGGGTTTATGGGCTATCCTGTGTACCTATGGCGACTGCTCTATCCCCGGGGCGCACTTCGGTCGTTATGCTCACTCGTTATGCTCTTCTGTTTCTGTCGGTCTTGGCGCGGCGTCGATGTGGTTGTTGGCTTAGATGCCCTAAAAGAGCTAAACTCCCAAGCTCAGACGAAAATATCTGGTTATTTGAAGACGGACGGCGTAAAGCACCGCAGGACGCACGATCAACAGGCAAAAGTTCAAAAGAGACAGAAACAAAGGAACCAGGCTAACGCCAGAGTGGATGACGGCGGCGCATCACTATTTAGGTCCCCAGCCTGTTCATAACGCCGCGCCGGCTTCCTTGCCGCGCTATGGCGGTTTACATCCGCTCAGTAGGGGGCAACTAGCCAACCATTGCAAAGACAAGGGGGGTAGCTGTTGCATCGCCCACGCTAGCGTTATGGGTGTATTATCCGTCCAGCATGGAGTTATGCCCAAACGCCGTGGGAAACGAATGGGGGCCAGCTAAGCACAGACACAAGGGACGCCCACCCCGCGGACGGACCCAACGCCATCCGGCCGAGAAAGGCACCTGAATTACTAGCCCGGGGGGTGTTTGGGCGTCCTGGCCCAATTTCCGACCAATGGATAGCGCTCGTCCGGTGCTCGTTTACTAGGAGCGAACCACAATGACTTGCCCTGGCCTTCCTGTAATATTCATGATTCGTTGCTCTGTAGAGGGGTTAAGTAATAAATGCGACACCTAGGCACATTAATTCACGAGGCTCGCTAAGCATGCATCCAATGCACGGTAGCAATCACTGGGAGACTGACACTGCCCCCTATGCCACCATCAACACAACCCATGGCAAGTCGTGTGTAGGGCCGACTGTACGCGTAAACTCTGTTCTCCCCACTGGCCAGATCTCGCTTAAGGTTGGGACAAGTCAGAAAACCCCGGGACGACGAGCCGTGGGGCGGCTCAAGTGCTTAAGGACTAAGCCATGCGTGACTCGTCATCTCTTATATACGCCGTTCTTTTGAGTGAATTTAATCATTGGTCAATAATCTGGCGCCAAAATTGGACAGAAACAAAGGATTCTCAGTGGGCAAGGCCCCTTTGCAAATCACATCCCCAGCGAGGCTGTAAGCGGGCGAAAGCGCAGCGCAGTGGGTTTTGGCGCCCTCCATAAATTAGTTTTTCAGGCTGCCCGCTTGTCGAAGCGGAACGAGACCGAAGAGCCACCTGACGACTGAGAGTCGCCGCGGAGTTTCCACGAGGCGTCCGCCCCCAGAAACTAGGATCGGTCGGGTGACGGCTAAAGTATTTCGAGGCAAAGGTCGGAAAAAATGCTATTGTATGACATTGTCGAAGCTGTAGATAATGAGTGAGAGTTATGAGCGGAATGGACGCCGACCCTCTCGCTTCCTACACCGGTGGATTGTCTCAGCGCCAGAGAGTATGCAATGCACGTAGCAAACATGCAAATCATGTGCCTACGTGGCAGCAGGGCCCTTGGTGGTGTGCCGATGAAATTTCCGCGGCAATAGGAAATATGATGCCAAGGATAACCAAGGCGATAACGTTATTTAGAAGGTTCGTTCGTTGCAGGGTGGGTGATGTTTCAGGGTCCATTGCAGTAGTCGTTCTTCTGGACATGGTTAGAAAGTAAGTGTTCGCACGGTGTCTAGGGTGACTGATGGCGGTGTATAGAGCAGCCTCTCAGGCAAATTATCCTATGAAGATCATGAAAGAAAAGACATAGACAAGAATGATGAATACGCATCGAACCGGAGCAAAGCTTGGCGATAGGCGATAGGCGACTGGTCAGAACAGCGTTCGAGTCTGCCTCTGCCAGGTGCGAACCGCCAGCTGCCAGGAGCTGCCAGAAGCATGACGAGTGGGGAACCGCCTTTTGCAGCTAACAGCTTAGCGTCTGGGGTAGCATCTGCGTCATGCTACTTTCTCCATGTTTATTTTTTTAATTTCCAACGCTCGCATGCAACGGCACACTATGTCGAATTAAACTTTATCGCAAACATCAATTATTGCATGCCGCCTGTTGCTTGTTGCATCTTCGGTGCCCCCGCGTCTGCTCTGATGGGCATGACTTGACATCGCTGAACCCCGCGACGCCTCCGCAGCTCTTTGCAATGTCGCTGATTCCGTACCAGTCCCACGAGGGCCGGGAGATTGTTCTGTATGTCACTACGGGGGGACGCTTGCATTAAAATGCTCTAACTGTTATGCATAGCCGCCATAAAAACGCTATCGTCGTACGCGATCCCGACTCCCAACGACTTGATATTCGTGGCTCAACATGTCCGACATGTCACCAGCCGTTGCCCCAAAGCAGCAACAACTACGATCGAAATTATGAAGCAGGAAACGACTCCTACGTCGATCCTAATTACTTTCGAATGCTTCATCAGGGAAATCACGGATTTGGCTCGGATAGAGCGCCGTCTAGTCCTGTTCGCAGCTTACCTGTTGTCACCGCTGGCGATTCGCCACGACACATCAACCCGTATGTCGAGGACGAACCGGAGGGTGACTATGACTCCGGGCGACGCCCATCGAATTCCTCAGCAACTCGAATCGAACAAGAAGCAAGAATCCCAAATTACTTCAAGACTTTCTTCGTAGAGGAGAAGGTCTTGGGAAAGGGTGGCAAAGGAGTCGTTCTGCTGGTACGACATGAGATTGACGGCTGTCAGCTTGGGCACTTTGCATGCAAAAGAGTTCCTGTTGGTGATGATCATGACTGGTTGAAAAAGGTTCTAGTCGAAGTCGAACTATTGGCAAACTTGTCGCATCCCAACTTGGTATCTTACCGACATGTCTGGCTGGAAGATGTCAGACTTACAATGTTTGGCCCACGTGTTCCTTGCGCATTTATTCTACAAAAGTATTGTAACGGCGGTGACCTTCATCAGCATGTTATTGGCGCCCCTCCGCCAGAAGCAACAAAGGAGGAACTAAAGGCACGCATGCGCCGAAAATCTAAGGGCCAGGCTGAGCCGCCCAAAAACCTTGGCGGCGGGAAGGGCCAATTGGCATTTGAAGAGATCTATTCGTTATTTAAAGACATTACATCCGGTGTTGCATACCTTCATGGCGCGAATTACGTCCATCGCGACCTCAAGCCTAGCAACTGTCTGCTACACTGTGAGGGGAACAAGGTTACTTGTTTGATCAGCGATTTCGGAGAGGTTCAGCCGACCAATGCAATGCGTAATTCGTCTGGAGCCACTGGAACGATATCATATTGTGCACCAGAGGTTCTTAAGATCGACCAGTACGGGCGCTATGGCAACTTTACGACGAAATCGGATATGTTTTCGCTCGGCATGATATTATATTTCATGTGTTTTAACCGTTTGCCATATCTCGGGTCCAATGCTATCCAAGAAGAGCTAGAGGATATAGAATCGCTGCGAGCTGAAATTGTCGACTGGAAAGGTTTCCAAGATGAGCGCCGAGAGCGCCCTGATCTGCCTTCGAAACTGTACGCATTGCTCAAGAAGCTTCTCTCTATTGACCCAGATGAACGGCCAAGTGCCAATGAAGTCCTGCATGTTATGAAGGGTGAGACAATTGCAGAGGGTATCAAGCGGCCAGAGCGAAATATCGGCGCGTCGATGGGCCTTCGAGGCAGTCGTGTTGAAGTTCTCGACTCGCCAGCACAACCCGGAACACCAACCCCAGGTAGGCCATTGCAAGCGCAACTTGAAAATACTGTTGCATCTGCTAACACTTTTAAAGAATCCCAAAGAACCCGCCAACCGTCAAAACGGATACTTCGAAGTGGAAGTAGTGACTGGACGCATGTTGATGGGCAACAGTTAGGCACAGATTCAGGCTTTCTCAGCAGCCACTACGCCGATACTGAACCAAACGAGAGCCAAGACGATGACGGCTCAATGACCATGTCACTAGTGCTAAATGGTTTGCAGAACAGTGCCACCTCCGCAGGACCATCGCCTCTCATGCCGAGTCCGACAAGCCCGATGTCGCCAACTCGACTGCTTTTACCTGCGCCTAGAACCCGCCTGGGCAAAGTGGAAGACTTTGTGAGTGACCTAGTGGTCCGCGTTTCAGATGTGATGGGAATCCCGACTCGCACGTTTCGTTTCGGGTTCAAGCTAGCACTCTTCTTAGTCAAGCTGAACGCACTGAGCAAGCCATGCTGGCCATTTATGCCGAGTTTGGAAGTCGGCGCTCCACTCATCATTGTTGCTGCGCTGGATCTTGCATGGCCGGCAAACAACAGACCAAGCCAGGGTCGCTTTATGGTGAACGATTCAGGCGTTGGGTTGTCGATTGTGTTACTGGGTTTACATTTTGCGGCATTATGGTTGGCTCATGGTTGGGATTCGCTTTGCGTTGCGAGATGGGAACAATGAGAGCTGTATTAGCCTCTGTATAAACGAAATCGTGGGTGATACGGGAGTCATGTTTGTTACTAATTCATCAGAGGCGTGTCACCCTGTGAAAGCCCCTGGTTTAACATGTCTGTTACAATAAACAAAACCTGCCAAGCATTGTACCTATACGTTGTTAAATAAAAAGGATTGACTAAAAGAAAATAAATGTTTATACATGTCGTCTGGTTATCGTCGCTATATACATTGTAGATCATCCAGGTGTTGACTACTTCCTCGCCGCTCTGCGTCTTTGGTGTAGCCGTGTAGCGAATTGCGCAGGCTTGGCTTTCTTACCTTGAGTAATGCTTCCAAGACCGTAGTCTGGCCGGCCACCTAGGCTTCCAAAGATGTCGCCAATGTAGTTATCCGGGGCGACACCCTTGGCAAACGTACAGTTCCAGCCCTTGACGATGCCTCGCACAATCTCGATCCCCGCGTTGTAGGTGTTGCGCACTGAGATTTCGAACCCGTTCTGATCCTGCTCCGTGAGGTGCTGATAGTCCGTTCGTCCAGGAGGCGGGCGGTCGAAATTGGAACCTTAAGGGGAAAGGCTAGTTAGCGAGGAGCATGCATTGTGTTTCATCGCAGGCAAACTTACCAACGCGGTAGACGATAACGCGGCTGAAATCGACTAGACCCTCGACAGCACCTCGCACAAGACCTTCCAGAACGGCATTGTCTTCCTGGGCGCTCATGCAGTACTCGCCGGTGCCGTTGGTCCAGATGTCGATTGTTTGGTCAAACGCCTGGGCGAGACGGTGGCCAGTGTAGTAGACATCACTGGTGGCGATGTCGCACTTGACGATAGCCGGGGGCTGCGCGCCGGTCTTGAAGCTTGGGACATCTTCGTACTTGGCTCGGTAGGCTTGGGGCCCTGATTGGTCTTCGAGGGTAGCTTGAGAGGCGTGCTTGACGGCCAGATCGCGCAGGTTGGCGTTGAGCTCGAAGACCTCTGTGCCGTAGGTGATAGTGGGATAGCCGCGGGGGTCCTTCTGGCCGTAGGGAATGTAGCCGGTGACCCAGTCTTCGGGAACGTCGCGGCCGTCTATTTCGTACTGTAAGGCGACTTGGACAGCGTAGCGGGCAAAGCCAACACTGCCGAGGGTAGCTCTTTCGGGATTGACGCCGCCAATACCACCGAGGAGCCAGTATGTGCTGCGGAGGTCAAACTTGGATGAGAGGATGAGAGCAATGGTCGATGCGGCGGCGTTGATCTCGCCCTCACCGACAGTGACTTGACAGATTTCGTGAGATGCAGTGCAGTAGACGTGGGGGAAGAGCATGGACATGCCGACAACAGGAACGCTGGTGTTAGCAATATCACCGAGGCCAGATGTGTTGAATTGGTCGAACCAGATTTGACTTTCAGGCTCAAACTGCGTTTGTATTAGTCTCACGATCCTCGTGGCAGTATAACAGAAGGCCGTACCATAGAAACAATCATGACACGAGGGGCAATGGCCGTCGAATTAGTAGCTTGCAGCGCAGCTGCAGCAGTTACCAGTGAAGCAAGCAGAGTATACAGACGAGGCAACATGTTGTTCAAAGAGACTCTACAGCACTGGATCAAGGTTACTCGACAAACATGCAAACTATCAAGAATGGATTGTCCTCCCCGGGCGCATGAGCGGAGATGGGTCTTTAAAGGATCTCCCTCCCATTCACTAAAGCGAGGAATCACAAGATAGACACGGCAAAATTTTCGGGCCCTACGTCACTCACTAGTGGAGGATTTGGCAGATGCAACAGCGGGTACTAGGCTGTACGATTGGTCCTGATCGCGCGCCATTACCGGCGGGTACGGCAGTTTATTGCTGGTATTCCTGTGGATATCTTCTACCGTGGTGCATTGGTCTGCCCTCGTTGCGGGTGAACTTGCGAGCAAAAGTGGACTCGACCGCCAGCTTGCCATGGTTTGTGCATGGTACCGCTCATCTGCGATTGGCCAGAAAGATAGGATCTCATACAGAAAGACTTTTGCTTTGTATGTGGTCTCGGTACTATCGGAACAGAGTTCATATTTCGGATGCTTGGTGTAGCGATAGAGGTTGACGCCGAGATCTCAAGTTTGCTTGGGGGCGGAAATCGGAGGCGAGGGTGCAACGGGCTTGTTTTAGTGGGAGTCTTCCCTGTTTGCTTGTTTCTCTCGTTTGTTAGGCTAGCCTGGTTTAGCGAGCGCGACGCATGGACCTCATCCTCTCTCTTTGGCTGTTTGAAAAACTGCACCAGGATCGGCCGTCATTTTGTACAAAAACGGCTCCAATAGGGCATCCTATGAGACATATACCGAGCAGGTGGGAGCTTTTTATTAACGGTGTACGCCACCAGTGCACCGCTTTGGCCGGGCGTCGGCATCATCGGCGCGAAAGCCGTTGGAGCTTCCTTTTGTAGTAACGAGCAGCCAGCTCCAGGCAACTGAGTCGCGCTAGAGGCTCCGCTAGAGGCTGCGCCCCGTTGGGCAATATCGACTAGTTTCATTTCCTTTTGTCAACGAATCACTGATGATGGGCATTCATGGCATCTGTCCGGTATTTCTCGAAAAGAAACCGTTTCTGAGTAAGTGGCGAGAGCCGCAAGGAGTACAGTCTTCCGCCAAGACAATTGTGACGAGTGCTCTAGACCGGAAAGGCCGGCTTGGAAGATATGCACGTGGATGCAGGCCGATTGATTACACCACCGAAGCTTTGAGCTGTGACTGGTTGGGATTAAGGACAGTTCGCTCACAAGGCGCTCGATAACAGCAATGGAGAGCAAGATTCGCGAGTTGTGCTGGCATCGGGGCAATGAAAAGCTGAATGTTTGGCCGGCAAGGCGAATTGGCGCCGAGAGGCTGGCGTCGGTGGCCAAGACAACGGCCTGCAAACGTGGTCGTCGACCACAAGAATTCGCCAAGGCGGCGAAGTGGGATTGCGTGCGAGAGTTCATCTGGCTAAATGTAGGATGTTTACTGGGAAGACTAAATTGATAGATAGATAGAGTTGGTTAGCTGGTAAGTGTGTGTTCCTACCTGGCGGAGGATGCGAGATGTACGGTTCGTGATTGAATGATCTGGGTTGTACGCACAAATGAATAGCTCGAGGCCAAGATCTCGATGAAGGTGAGAATAGAGTGACGATGTAAACTCCCTGGACGGGTGTTTAACCAAAAGTGTCGAGGTGCATCATTTAGCGCAATGGTGATGCGTGCATGGAGAGCCTGGTCTTGGCTCGGTGCGGAGACGGACGGCAAAGGTTAAATTCATTGATGTTACTGTTCGAGTGGAATCGTCTTTGAATATAAAGGTAAGATGTGTTTGCGTTTGCTTTGGCTTCTGATTTGAGCAACATATGAAAAATACAGGTGTTGGTATTACAACGTAGCTTTTACAGGTACCCGACTGACAGGTGTGCCAGCTGGCGGTGACAAGCTGGGGCGAAGGTTTTTGAGTTTAGCGTTGAGTCAGCTATAGCGCATCACAGCGCCTCAGTGGAGTAGTTGTAGAGCCTGGATGGGGGGTTATTGTTCTTCCAGCCCACCTGACAGGGGTGGGGGGGGGCTCTGCGCTGGACGCCCCGTATTTTATCTACAGTTGGTGGTAAATGTGCTGGAAGTTGAGCGAGGAATAGGGGAATTTTGAGGGATGCCGGAGAAGGAAAAGAAATATTCCAAAATATTAAACAGCAAGAAATGCCTCTGTATAAGATAAAAGTGAATTTTAATTTATACTCACTCATATAATTCAGTGGACATTGACCTCTTCCAAATCCCTTCTTCGTTCTTCCCCATCCATCGCCTTCTCCCATTTTGCCCATCCACCCACCCGCCTTCGCTGCTACTGGCGCTGTACTGCAACTCTCCGCATAACCCGGCCGTCATCCACTTCTCACTCGGCTCAATCCCCATCCCGCGTTTCTTCTTTTTCCTTATCCTCACACCTCCTCCTCTTCCACCTCCTTCTCTTCACACGGCGATTCCTTTCCGCTTCTTATCCTCTCTTCCTTCGAGTGCACTACTTTCGACACTCTCAGCTACTTTAGCAACACCTTCATTCGAATAGGGGGGTTCATCCAATCTTGCGCTTTCGTCAAAAAGTCGGCTCTTGTCGCGCAATCTTCACCATTCCACCTTCATCCAATCTGTCGGCCTCACCTTCAACCAGCACCCGATGCACCAACCCCCTTGGTCCCGCCGCCATGGACGCAATATCCCCCGTTCCAGACCAGGCACCTCACAATGAACGCATTCCTGCCGCCGACTCCAACCCAGACCTCTCCAACGAAATTAGAGACGACATCCGCAACGAGGAGCCTATTCCTGGCAGCAACTTTGCGTTTACACCCTCCCAACTTCATAAACTCCTTACTTACCGCAACCTAATCGCCCTCGATGTCTTCGGTGGTATTCGTGGCCTCGCCGCTGGACTGCGAACCGATGTCGACAGTGGTCTCAGCATCGACGAGACAGGGCTCCAAGGCAAAGTCTCCTTCGACGAGGCTGTTGCTGCCGGCGAACATGGCCGTGCCGCCGCCTTGCGTGCCATGACTACCGAACCCGAGCCTCCATCACGGCACCTTACTCTTCGCATTGGAGAAGAGCAGCCCGAGCCCGCATACGTCAATCGTAAGCGCATCTTTGGCGCCAATCGCCTGCCGCGGCGAAAGCAAAAGTCCTTTCTCAGACTCATGTGGATAGCTTACAATGATAAGCTTCTCATTCTTCTGAGTATATCCGCCGTCATCTCCCTCGCCATCGGTATCTACCAATCGGTCGACGTCGGCGAAGGAGGCTCCAACATTGAATGGGTGGACGGTGTTACTGTCGTCGTTGCCATTGTCGTCATTGTCTTAGCCAGCGCTGCGACGGACTGGCAGAAGAACCACAAATTCGAAAAGTTAAACGAACGAAAATCACAACGAGACGTCCCCGTTGTGCGCTCCGGCCGAGTCCAGCATGTTTCCGTATACGAGGTCATGGTTGGTGACATCATGCACATTGAGGCTGGCGAAGTCATTCCCGCCGATGGTGTGTTGGTCAAGGGTTCGGGTCTGTACATTGACGAATCCTCTGTTTCTGGAGAAGCCGGAATGGTACAGAAGACTATCCCCAGCGACCATGACTCTGCCCATGCGACAAACGCAGACCCGTTCATTTTCAGCGGAACGACGGTAACAAGAGGCGTTGGTCGTTTCGTTGTCACTTCTGTTGGCGCCAATTCCATGTTCGGTAGAACGCTCATGTCTCTACGCGAAGATGTCGAAGAAACACCACTACAAGCGAAACTCGGCCGACTCGGTAAACAACTTATTATGTTTGGTGCTGCTGCCGGCTCCGTTTTCTTCTTTATCCTCTTCGTCCGATTCCTCGTTAACCTTAAATACTTGACAACAATAAACGACGATGGTCAAGAGGTGCCTGCTGGTCCTTCTCAAAAGGCCGAAGCTTTCTTCCGTATCTTCATGTTGGCCATTGCGGTCGTTGTCATTACCGTCCCAGAAGGCTTGGCCCTCAACGTCACAGTTGCGCTCGCCTTTGCAACGAAAAGAATGTTGCGAGATAACAACTTGGTCCGCCTTATTCGGTCCGTCGAAATCATGGGTAATGCAACCAGTATTTGCTCCGATAAAACCGGCACTCTGACGCAGAACAAAATGACTGTTGTTGCTGGTCGCGTAGGCATGGACGCCTCGTTTGACGACAGCGAAATGCTACAAGACATGGATGGCGGTGTGCGAACCACAACAGTAATGAAGGGAGATACGTCCAGCATGATGGTGACCAGTCTATCTTCCGAACTGAAAGAGTTGCTCAAAGATAGTATTGCCATTAACTCAACAGCTTTTGAAAGCGATGAGTCTAAGGCGGCAGAGTTCTTTGGTTCAAGCACGGAGACTGCTCTACTTAAATTTGGCCGCGACCATCTTGGCATGAACCCTCTTCGAGAGGAACGTGCAAACTGCCCTACTTTGACAATGCTTCCTTTTGACTCCTCCCGAAAGTGGATGGCTGTCCTTATCAAGCTAGCAGACGGCAAATACCGTTTGCTTGTCAAAGGAGCTGCTGAAGTTGTCTTTGAATATTGTGCTTATTATGTTGCTGATCCGACATATCGAATCATGACTGATCGCCTCTCTGAGGAAGACCGAGCAACTTTCCGCACCTCCATCCAAGAATACGCCAACGCCATGCTACGACCTGTGGCTATGGCCTTTCGAGATTTTGATGCGTCCGAAGTTTTTGAAAACCCCGATGATGATCCTGCTACCATCAATCTAGAATGGCTCGCATCTGGCTTGGTCTTTCTTGGCGTATTTGGTATTCGTGACCCTCTCCGACGAGAGGTACTTGACTCTGTGCGCATTTGCCAGAATGCAGGTGTGTTTGTGCGCATGGTTACGGGCGACAACTTCATCACTGCAAAGGCAATTGCAGGGGAATGTGGCATATACACTCCTGGTGGCATTGCCATGGACGGTCCTACATTTCGCCGGCTGTCTCCTGCCCAAATGGACATTGTCGTTCCTCGTCTCCAGGTCCTTGCCCGATCAAGCCCTGAAGATAAGCTGCTTCTTGTATCCCATCTGAGGGGTATGAACGAGACAGTGGCTGTGACAGGTGATGGTACCAACGATGCTCTTGCTCTCAAAGCTGCCGATGTGGGTTTTGCTATGGGTATTCAAGGAACTGAGGTTTCCAAAGAGGCCGCTTCCATTATTCTTCTCGATGACAACTTTACTTCCATTGTTAAAGGTCTCAGCTGGGGCCGAACCGTCAACGATGCAGTCAAGAAGTTTTGTCAGTTTCAGTTTACCATCAACATCACTGCCGGTATCGCGACTGTTATCACTGAGCTTGTTGGAGAGGAGGATAACATGTTTGACATTGTTCAGCTTTTGTGGATTAACCTCATCATGGATGTGTTTGCCTCGCTGGGTCTCGCCACTGACCATCCGTCGCCGGACTTCTTGAAGCGAAAACCCGAGCCTCGAGGCGCCCCTATTGTCACCATTACCATGTGGAAGATGATCCTCTGCCAAGCCATTTATCAACTGCTAGTCGTCTTCTTGGTGCACTACGTAGGCAAAGATCTATTCACCCCCGACAACACAGGCGAATACCCTCAGCTCCAGACTCTTGTGTTTAACATTTACGTCTGGATGCAGTTCTTCAACCAACACAACTGCAGACGCGTTGACAACAAGCTTGATATTTGGTACCAGGGAGTGCTTCGCAACCCCTGGTTCCTCGGCGTCCAGGCCCTGACCTGCGTTGGTCAGTTCGTTATCATTTTCAAGGGCGGTGAGGCATTTAACACCGTCCCATTGACTGGTGCCCAGTGGGGATGGAGCATACTCTTTGGTATCATAACAATTCCCCTCGGAGCTCTCATTCGCCAAATTCCAGACCGCTGGGTGCTTTCGCTCTTCCGAGCCATCAGAAGCGTCTGGCGAGTGCTCATTTCGCCGTTGCGCGCTTGCTGGGGCCGCGTATGGACTCAGCGCCGCAAGAAGAGCGATGCTGAGAACGAACCCGAGACTGCCGTTGACAACGTCGTTGCTCGCACGGAGCGTGTTTTCCGCCAGCATATTGGCGAAGAAATGCCTGAAATGACAGAGGAGCAGCGCGCTGCCCTTGCCATTGCCGCCCAGCGCCGCGCATCCATCCAGAACCCCGAGGCAGAGGTTGATCTTCAAGCTCTCGTTGATGCTGCCAAGCTCGGCCGAAGCATTCCACGAGAAGTCTTTGAGATCCATCCAGGAACTGCCAAGGAGGATCCCATTCTCACACCGCGAAAGAACCTGTCCGTGCCTCCCAGCCAGGATGAAAGCATTCTTCGATACTTACAGCGCGAGGACGAGCCTACTCAGAACCGCAGACGAAAGCGCGTGCCCGCCCGAAGCGTGTGGGTTGAGCAACCACGCAGAACAGGGACGCAGCAGCACCCCAAGGCCAGAAATGGATTCACCTGGGAAGCATTTCTGCGATCCAAGCGAAGATAAAACCCAAATAACCCCTCTGGACCCTCTTCGATATCATCTCTCTCATTTACGCCTACTATAACCTCTATCTTAATCCCTTTACGGTCTACATTTTGTCTCTTCAAAAGGCGTAATCCTCTTTTACTGTTCGTCTTTTACATGGATATATTTGGTAGTGTGGCAATCGTGCTGCTCTGGATTTGTTTGTATAAAATGAAGGGGATTGACCATGTGAATAGATATCATCTTTTATATTTAATGAAATGTACATGTTTTCCTGTTTGGAATCTATTTAAGAAACGGGCTGCACCTGGTGAACTAAACGTCTGAAAACACTCGAACTCCGTAGTAATTCATCAAAGCCACCACGAGCGACAATCTCGCCCGACGACAAAACAACAAGTGATCCCGCAGCTCGCATCATATCCGTAGAATGAGTGGCCACCACAATGGCCGTGTCTCTCCTTGTTCTCATTAAGGAATGTATAGTTCGTCGTATAACCTCTGCGCTCTCTCCGTCCAGCGCACTTGTCGGCTCATCAAGAAGAAGAAGCTCTGGCTGGCGAACAAGCGCACGTGCAATACAGATTCTTTGGGCTTGGCCGCCGGAGAGAGAACGGCCACCATCTCCCAAGATGGTATTGTATCCTTCAGGAAGCGACTCAATGAACTCGTGGATACCTGCTTCACGGGCCGCTCCCATGATGCTTGAGAGCGAGGCATCTGGCATGCCGTAGGAGATGTTGGCGGCGACAGATGCCGGAAATAAAAACGATGTTTGAGGAACATAGCCCATTGTAGATCGTAGGCGATGTAAATTGATTGCTTCATGGGGCACCCCTGCAAATGAAAGCGGATTGATGTGCGACGGAGACGCCATTGGCTTCTGCAGACCAAGCATAAGGGACAGCAGAGTCGACTTGCCGCTTCCAGATGGACCTACGAATGCAATGCACTGACCGGGCTGTATATCAAGACATATCTTGTGTAATACTAGCTCATCAGGCTGGCTTGGATATGAGAACTGTAAGTTTGTCATGCGCACAGGAAGCGGTCCAATTGTCCATATGGGCGCCATGGCAGGACCTGTCTTCGCGTCCAGTGAGAGATTGACATACTCGAGCATCTGAGCTGCAGTTACTTGTGCCATGGTAAGTTGGGGCACGTTGCTAAGCAAATCTGTGGCTGCGCCGATGCTGAACAACAAGAGGTTCATGACTTGGAGCATGGATGTTGGCGACATCGAAGTGTCATGTGTCAGTAGGCGAGTGCCATAGTAAAAGGCTAGTGCAATGAGTCCGAAACTAAATGACTGGTAGATACCAAAGGGCAGACATGAGTACATGCTCCGTTGGATACCGAGACGGAATGCGGCATCCACAGCTTTGGTGTGCTTATCACCAAAGTGTCGCTCGAGTGTATAGATGCGAACGGTCTTGACGCGTTCAAAGACCTCGCTCATAATGGAGCTGGCTATCTGTGCAGCTGTATTACACTTTTCTTCATACTTCTCATTGATATGTGCATACACCTTTACGGCACATACTATAATGGGCAGAGGAGCGAGGGTGACCAGTGACAAGCGCCAGTTTGTAGCGAGGGCCCAGAAGAGAGAGACAAGAACCATGACAGTAGCTGTGATCACAATGGGTAGGAAGCGACCGACAATGTTGCGCATTTCCTCGGAGTTTCTGTCGAGAGATTCGCAGATTCTGTTGACGTTGTTTTCGTCACGCTCGTGCCAGGCCATGTCTTGGTGCAGAATACAGTCCAGAGCGCGGAGACGGAGCGTATCTACCCAACTCTGGGCAACCATTTCAAAGAACAACCGGCCTGCAATACTTGACAGGCCATCGGCAAGAGCTATTCCAAGCAGAATCAATGCCCAGTGTTGGCTGTTGACAGATGGGGAGGACCACATTGCTGAGAGCAGTTGAGCGAAGCAGTATGCAAAAGCTGGTGTGGTGACCGCTGATATGATGCATGATGTTGTGCCGGCTATGAGGTAGATACGTTCTTTGATCCCCAAGTTTGGCCATACCGTAGATAGCGTTTTGTAGAGAGAGCTCTTGGGGAGAGTCTCTAGTGTTGTGCTGGTAAACAGTGGTGCAGCGGTAGATGTGGGTGATATGGCCTCGTCGACTTTCTCCAGTATGGGTTCTTCTTGAAAGGATGTTATGAGAGGTAAGTTGCGTGCTACCGAAGAGGGGCGATTCTGTTGGCCGTACGGGGAGGGTAGCTCTGGCGAAGGTGGCTCGTCTTGTGTGAAAGAAACGTTGTGGTTGACTTGTGGTAGAGGATCGTGTATTGGGATTCTTGATTCGCGAGATCGGCTTTGATTTCGAGGGGGATATGCTCTAGTTGTTGATATGATGGAGTTTCGGTGACGGGGTAGCAGCAACGAATTTCTTGGAGACAAGGGGCCATCCAGCTGTGGGAGACCAAATCGGCGAATGGAGGAGGTTCTCTTGGGAAAGTTGGAAACCGGAGCATCAAAATAGGTATTGGCTAGCGTAGTCGGAATAGCTGTAAGGAATTGTTGATACGGATATAGCGGTATAGGCTTCGTGAGAAGTCTAGAGGGCTTGTTCGCTGGCGGACTGATGTCACGTTTGAAGCCGCTTTGTTTGACGCTCCCACTATCCATGACATAGACATACTCTTCTTGTCGGATCTGCGACATGTCATGAGTGATGATGACGGTGGTTTTGTCCTTTCTCCAGCTTCGAATTGCCTCCATAACAATCTGTCGGTTCGCCACGTCTAGCGCAGACGTAGCTTCGTCAAGGATAAGTACCTGAGGATCGCGTATTCTTGCTCTAGCAAGAGCCACTCGTTGCTTTTGTCCACCGCTCAGTTGATTTTGGGTTCCATTGTTATCGTTGATTCGAGCTCCTACTTCACCAAGAATGTCGACAACATCTAACTGGCTTAGCAGTTTCGACATCTCTTCAGCTACGCCTTGCTGACCTTCGCGCATACCTAGCATGAGATTGGCCACAATCGTGTCATCAAAGATGTGACTTGATTGTTCAACAAGAATCACATTCTGGCGAATCCAATCCCTATCAATCAGCTCAGATGCGTGTCCGTCAAAGTATAGTGCTCCGCCCATAGGAGCGTAGATGCCCGCCACGAGCTGCCCGACGGTACTCTTGCCAGAACCACTTTGTCCAATGATGAAAGTAGTTTGACCGGCAGGGAAGAGAAGACTGGCCTCTTTCAAAGCGGGGGTTTCTGTATGTCCCTTATAGGAAAACTGGACATTACGAAGTTCGACATCGCCAGCAAAGTATTCTGGCTTGAAGAGCTTAAATGGCTGCTTGGATTTTTGAATATTCTTAGCGTCCCTTTGTATTTTGTACAGATTCGACGCAGCCGATATTCCCTTGGAAAATACAAGCCACTGTGGAAGAAGACTCTCTAGGCCTTGGAGTGCGGTGAGCACCGCATAGAACGTAGTTAGCACAACTCCTGGGGAGAGACCTTGCTGTACCAAGACGAGTCCATACCAGAATCCAAGTACAAACAGGCTGACAACCCAAAAGTTGGTCCATCCCATTTGCAGCGCGTTGCATGCCGCTTGGATAAAGAACTGCTTCCCTGCTCGTTGGATGGCAATTTTGTACTGTTTCAGCTCATGAGCATAGCCATTGTATACTTTGACTTGGTCCACTGCCGAAATGGAAGCTGCTGCAAGTTTAGAAGCGACTTGTAACTCCGATTTCTGTTGCGCAATAGCCGGCTCTAGCTTGCTCCCGAGGTAAGACAGTACAAGCAAACAAACTGGGATCGTCGAGAGGAGAACAAGAGTAAGTTTCCACGAAGAGTAAAAGGCTATAGCGAGCGACCCTAGCGAAGTCAGAATGTCTGTCACTAGCAGTCCCATGACTTGTGATGTAGCGAGCTGTAGCTCTCGAATTCGTCTGTGACAGTTAGCATATATCTATAACAAGTGCAATGGTTGCGGTGGGGGTGAACTTACGTCTGTATTCCAACTAGTAGGCTTGCTGTTCCGTGTGGAAGCACATCAAACCAAGAATTCTCAAAGCTTAAAAGCGTTGAAAAAGTCATTTTTCGCGAATTGGCCGCTTGTAGTTCTCCAAAAGCGAACCAGAGGCAGAGGAACGCCGTGTTAGCGAGACAGACGCCAACGCCGAGCAGCACAAGAATGATGCACCATCGTGAGACAGAGCTAAGGGTTTGATTGGGATCCATTTTTTGGGCAGCAAAATCGGCGATTATGTCAAAGACTCTGCCCAGGGCAATGGCGAGGCCAGTCTTGAAGGCTGCGACGAGGCATGATGTAAGGAGGGCTGCTAGTAGACAAGTGTAGTGTTCTTTTGTGGTGAATCGAAAGAGTTCTTTGCAAGAAGGGCTCTTTGTTTTAGTTATGTTTAGCTTTTTGAGTCGTTTTTGGAATATGGAAGACATGGTGATAAGCTGGTCGGCAGTCGTGCGTAGTGGTGATGTTGGAGTTGAAGCAGAGGTATAAGTTGGAAAGGAGAAATTGGCCAACTAACATCATCAGCAGTGGCAGCCAACCATGGCAGTGATAAAAGAAAATAGCCCTAGCCCATAACTTCTGATGCACACAGCGCGCGTCCAGCTTGTAATTCAAGCCACACGAGTCTTTGTCGACAATGGGGTTGACTGTGCTGCGGGCGCTGGCTGCGGGCTGACCGATGCTATTGTGCTACCGCTAGCATGTTTGCATTGTGAGGTAGGGTGGGTCCAAGAATACCCAGCCGCTGTTCTTTGTAACTGTATTGTACTATGGGCCAGGTGATGTCAATTGAATTCTAGGCCTCGTGGTCTGGGAGACAACCATTGTACTGACATTGTTGAAACTGAGCTGAGAGTGACCAGCTGGCAAACGCCCAGGTGCCATTTGGTTCCCCCAGTTACAGCTGATCAATAGGTCCTTTTGTTACACTGAGATTGACAATTAAATCATTTCATAATAGTATTACATAAATAAAAAATACACGTTGTGTGTAGAGTACATGGGTATTTATCATTAAAAGTCGTGCCGGATGGGATGACATACTTTTGGTGGCAGGACGACTTCAGAAATCTATTCCGTCTTTCTGCGTCGTGGATTTCGGCTCAGAAGCTTTGGTACCTCACATTTCATCGTCAATCGTATCAGGTTCGACAGGCGGCGGAATCGTATAAAATCGATTCTTCTTTGCCACTGGGGCGCAGCCGATGGAGCAGGCGAGAATCATCATAAAGAAATGCACGATCCTAGACAAAATTAGTATCATTATTATGTAATTCCGCATCAGCAGCAAATAATCATTGAAAAATTCACGCGATAGCGGCAGGGGAAAACAGCATTATGGAATACGCAGGCTCTGCAGCATACTAGGCCTCGTTGTCCGCATCCCTCTCCAGCGACTCACTCGTGTCGCCAAACCGAATCATAGAAATGAAGACAATCCAAGGGGCAACACCACATAAAATTGCTATGCAGACGTCAGCACACACCATAGCATTCGAGGACAGGCGGCTACAGCGGCGCGTCTTGTCCAGCAGGCCAACAACTTCAGCGGCATCAAACACCAACGCAAACAGCCCCTATACATCGTTTTAATGCATGTTTCAGTATAGGGGCCGTGCTAAACGAACAGAGAAGAATGAGCTCAAAACGTATTTATATAGGCGCGGCCATCTGCTCATGACATAGACACCGGAAAATAGAATGACCAGCTCTCAGCGACAAAGATGGAGCGGATGACCGCCAGCGTGGTTGGGTATCCCCAAGGCGCTCTGTATCGTGCCATTATGTAAATATCACGCGCAGACTGTGTGAAAATAAGGTTCTCGTAGTACAGTGCCATCCATGTAGATGCAAATATCAGGTTGGCAAATATTGTGATTTTGGTTTCTACGCCAAGAGACCGCAGCCTCGTTTTCTGAACCAAGGCTGCACTACTTGCAGGCTCACGCTAAACGATTAGTGGTTACAGCGTGCGTGCGCCTCCACTCTACACCTCGGAATGAAAGAGGAAGATCGTATACTCATCGATTGAAGTAGGTCCCTAGTCAACTTGTATACTTGGATTATTAGTAGAAAAAGTCGTCAGGCATGTGCCGTCACCTTTGCTACAGTTAAAGTTAAGTGTTGTAGATGGGCGACCACAGTGCCCGCTACAGTGCCCGCCCGAAACGCACACGCCCATCGATAAGAAAATCTGCCCCTCCAAACTTTTGCCCCACGGCAACTTCGAGAATTTGCTAGTGACGACATTTTTCTGTCCTCAAAAAACACCACCACCAAAGCCTACACATCACCAAAGCAAAATCGCTACTTGCGCAGAAATATCAGCAGCCATGGATCCTATGGAGAGCATGACCCAGAACGTGGGGCCCATCCCCGCGGGCTTCAACCCCGAAGAAGCTGGCAACATGGAAGATGTACGTTGGCAGAAGACAACAGTGGGATGTTTTTCGCAACGAATGAAGTGCTAACAGACATGGGATAGATGGAGAAGCAGTTTGCCGTCAAGGGTACTTAGAACCTTACCGCCGATTACCGCATAGTAATACTAACGTTGTTCGCAGTCGTCCAGCACATGCAGACCTACTGGTCTATCCTCGAGCGAGTCAAGGGCTCAACGCTGCGCCTGACCAAGATGGACGATGAGATTTACGCACACCTGATGACCGCCTTCCCCGAGTTCGACGCCGCCGCTGTTGTCGACGAGGACGTCATGAAGAGCAAGACTGGCAAGGAGCGCTGGAGAAACTTCATGATGACGTACGAGAAGTTGGTAGAGGACTTTAACTTTGGCACCATGGTGCGCAACAGCCACTTGGTCGACTACGAGGAGGACACTACTATTTTCGGTATGCTAAAAGACTATACAAGCTGAGAGAAGGAAGGACTTGAACTAACCGCCAAACAGTCCCCCGCATGCAGTTCTACGCCATTGAGATCGCCAGAAACAAGAAGGGCCTCAACGACTGGATTTACGAAAAGGCCCAGGCTGAGAAGGAGAAGAAGTAAAGTTAGTGGCTTTCACTGAATGTCGAAAAGGATAAATTCGAGAAGAAAAAAGTTATGATTACACGTTTCCACGTATATATATACAGGATCTAAAGACTATGCCCCCATGCTAAACGAATGCTCTGATGCTAGTATATGCTCTAAGATGGTTCATAAAAGAAACGAAAGTTTACTTCTGTAAAGACTGTGACAGGTTAGTGGACAGAACACAGCAGTAGAAGGGATAAAACGGCAACATACGACGGCGAGTTTGCTGTTGGCGCGAATTCGGCTGCCAAAGAAGACGAGCACCCAGGGTGTTACTGTCAGGAGAGTGGCTACGCTGCCAAGAATGTAGCCGGCATTGTAGAGGCCAAGATTTCCAAAGAGAGGAGCGGCAATGATGGGGAAGATGCCGCCCATGAGATTACGGGCGAGACTCTGCGCCGCCAGGGCGGAGGATGCGTAGATGTGGTAGGAGTCGGCAAGGTAGTTAAAGGTGGCGAGGTACACTGAGTAGATGCCCCAGTTGGCAATACCCAAGCCAATGGCCTGCGCGTATTGCTGCCAGCTCTCTGGTACCGTAAAGGCGAGAAAGAGGCCGGCGGGTAGGAACAATGTGAAGACGAGGGCAAAGTAGAGGCGAGCCTCGGGCGCGTCAGCCGGGAAGCGGCGGCGCATATAGGCCCAGAACTTCGAATCATTATACGAGCCAGCAGGTTTCCATTGAGGATGGCTAAGGGCTCTTTCTGAAAAGACACCTGCGGCAGTGGCTAACAACGAAGACGCCATGAGCGCAAGATAGACGCGGCTGGACATGTTGTAGTCGTCGGCATAGAGAAAGGGGACAAAGCCAAAGGCAAGGTAGAGAATACCCCAGGCAAAGGAAGCCCATAGAGAGAAGCAGAAGACAATAGGCTCCATAAAGAGCATGCTAAATGGTCTCTTGACTGAGGTGCTGACGAGGGTGGCTAGAGGCGGCCGCAGCTCATCAGCCTTGACAACCCAGCGAATACGCTCGAGCTTGTGTGCTGTCGTTGACGTTCGCAGCGTGTCGCTACTTGAGCCTCCACTGCCGCCTCCAGTAGCAGTCTGTTCAACCGCTGGGCTTGAGATGGCCGGTGTTTTGGCGTTGTGGTCCAAGTCGCTCTGACGGACCCAGACGCCGTAGACACCCGCCTGCTCCATGGCCTCGTACCACTGGTTCAGGATACGAGCCTTTTTGGAGAGAAGCACCGACGCACGGGTCTCGGCAAAAAAGAGAATAAGGGCAATAAGAAGGGCGCCATCCAGGATAACCTGGTGCCAAAAGGTCCACTTCCAGAAGAGTGTTCTATCTGGGATCAACTCGCAAATGGACGAGGCGATGAGCGGCCCAAGGCCAGACCCAAAGAGGACGGCGCCGCTAAAGAGCGCCATTGGGGTATTTCTGTCTTCCTTGTCCCAAAGGTCGGCAATAACACCGCCAAGAAGAACACTAAAGACAGATGAACTGGCGCCCACAATGAAGCGACATACAATCATGGCGGCGACATTGTTGAGGACGGAGCAGACGGCCTGGAAGACAACAAAGACCAGGCCTGCGGGAATAATGATGGGGTATCTCCCCCACGCCTCGGACAGAGGGGCCAGGGCCATGGGCATAATGCCGAAGCCAACAGTGAAGGAGGTGAGACCGGAGACAACAACGAGACGCGAAGTGTGGAAGTCGTGTGCCATGGACTTCATAGGCGGCGAGTACGCTCCCGACGTATACGCAGTCAACAAGGTCGCCAGACATGAGAGAAAGAGCAGCACATTTTTTCGTGACTTGCTCCATCGATTGGGGTTTGTGTACGCCCGTAGATTCGGGCACTTGGGCAGCGAGGCATCGCTCGGCGTAGCCTGCTGCCACGAGGCGGGATGGGGAAGATCAGTATCAAAAGAGAGATATACTTCTGTGATGGGACTATTCGAGTCCAAACGCTGCGATGTCTGCGCATGTGTGTGTTTGTGCTGGTGGTTCTGGGCCTTTTCCGTCTCGCCGTGCCCCAGGTCGCCCCCCGAGTCGCGGTCTCCTTCAGCCGCAGCACCCATGTCTGTCAAAGAAAAAAGAAAGAGACAGAAATGGAAAGAAAAACAAGTTAGAGTAACGCGCCCGAACTGCACATGATGGCAAACAGACGATGATGGCCTGGGACAGAGAAGAGGGGGGCCTCAATAAATAACAGGCGGACCGGTCGAGTCCACGGGCGAGTTACGAGGGCCAATGTCCGGGCTATAGCCGTGACGGGCGAGGATGCATGTGTGAGTTTTCTTAATGAGCTGAAGGTCAGCCGTGGAGCGGCGGGGCGGCGCAAGTATGAGAGAGAATGGGAAAGAAAAATAAAAAAGGGCGGAAGGATTGCGTGCGGAGGACGACGAGCTGGCTGGGGATTTACCACGGGAATAGCAGGGTCGTGACGCAGGTGCGGCGGTGCAGCGGCCAATCAGCGGGCGCAGGTGGCGGTCGAGACCCGACGAAAAGTGATTCTTTGGGGGGCTTGGCTCGGTAGAGGGGAGCGGCAGTAGAGCGGGCGCAGCTCGTTAGCGAATACCGAGGAAAGATGGTGGGAAAATAGCCGGTGGCGGTGGACAAGGGCTCGCTTAAGGGGAATGAAAGGTTGTTTGTGCAAGAGTGTAACCCTTTTTTTGAGTCTTGTGAATGACGGTGCTGAGTAAAAGGGAGCGCTGACGGTACAGGTGGGTTTATTCTCGTGCTATATCCGGAGAGAAGAGGAAAGTATGGAGGGAGGCTTGCATGGTGGGCGGCAGTTGATGCAAATGGGTAGAACGGGTAGAGCGGGAATGATGGAGGTTAGAAGATGAGGATGGGCATGGAATTGGTAAGCAGGTTGATTTTGTAGATGAGTTGGCAGGTGGCAGATGGCAGAGATGACGAAATAGACGGACAGATGGTCGGAAGTTGCAGAGGTAGAGAAGAGATGGGACGAGATGGCAGTTGTAGATGATGGCACGGACAAGTATACAGACAGACTATAGACGTGGAATAGAGAAAAGAAACACACACAATGACTGTAACTATAGCACTTGGTCACCGCCATCCACAGCCCTCGTCATCTCATTTCCATCATCCCCATTCAGACGCAGCCCTACGCGGCCAAAGTCCGTATTCATACATATCGGTCGACCAAACTATACCACCACCAATCTATCAAAGCGCCTGTTTCTAATTTTGTTTATTCTACCGTTGTCCCGTCGCTTTGACTATTTCGTACAGCATAATAGCATTGTTCTTTTTATTTCCTACGCCAGGGCCACTCTTCACAGCCGTTAACTGCTGCCCCCAAACTCACACAACCAACCCCAGGCTACGCTACGCCCCTCCAGGGTCCCTTGGCTCCGCTCCACCATGCTAACATTATTTTACAGCGGTTGCTCCCGCTAAATTCAATACCACGTCGGTGCTACAGCAGCCGCAAACCACAGCCTGACATCATCATTGTACCGGACATGACTGACGCCTGTCTCACTCTGCAACCACCCAAGCAAAAATAAAACGAAAAATAATTCGTGTTCCAAGACCAACCCAACACCCAGCTTCACGACTCGTCCTGTGTCTTTTCTTTTCAGCCTCGTGGGGCTGCGCATGACTGGAGCGACCCAGAAGCACCACTGCTTACAACAGGGCCCGCTCACGTCGATATAGGCACTAAAAACGGTAAATGAGCAGCCTACACGTCTCCGCAGCGGCACAACCGCCCGAGTAAGCCGACCGCCAACAAGCTTAAAAAAACTGAACAAGATGCAGCGCGGAAGGTTACAGTAGCAGCAACGTCGTCATTCTGTTTGCACGATAGCGAGCGGGTGGCTGGGCCATAAAAGCCAGCAAAACAAAAAAAATCTACACGTAAACGTGGTCAATTAAAAGATATACATGCATTACCGAAACAAATCACAGCCCGCCCGCCCGGATCACCCCAACCCCTGCTACAAGCCCTAGCTCCCAGCAATAGCTCCAGAGGGGATCCAAATCAGGCTGCATTCAGCCAGCCTGCTCGCGTACACAGAGTCATGCGGCAGCCATTTCCTTTTGCAGCCAGTCTCGTATTTTCTTTTTTCTTCCCAGCTTCCCTTTTTTTTGTTGCAACTGTATATTTTTATCTTTCCTAATCTTTTCATAAATACCGCTCTTCCGACATCAGCTTACTCTTCATTCTCACCCAATGTCTGTTCAATCGTCATGATCTCACGTGAATCCAGCTCTACGCTGGGCCAGCTTCTGCTGCTACTTCTCGCCAGCACAGCATCAGCCATTGTGCCCGAACACGACGCCGTCCTTCGCAACGCAAACGACATCTTCAACGCCGTCAACGCAGCAGGCAGACAATGGGGCTCGTCCATCAACTACATTGGCTTCGGCATATACCCGGCCTACATCCCCGCGGGCACTATGCTCTATCACGGAGGCCCTGAAACCACTGCTCCCACCACACCAGAGTGGCTTGCCTTTGACATTCACCACGCTCAACACTTTGCTCTCCGTGATGTCTACCGCTCCAACAAGAAGACGGATACAGACAGCAAGCGGACAGATTCTAAAGATGAAGAAAACCCTGACGACACACTCACACTCGAAACCGGCAGCGTGGACAAACACGCCGCGCAAAAGGTTCTCACTAACAACAGCAATAACCCTTCCCAACCTAAGTCTGAGAACCGCTCCTATCTCCAGACCTACCAGACCGCCAAAGATCTCAAAGTCCTCTATCTAGACGGCATGAGCGCCGCCAACCCCGACGGTCCTCACGACACATGGAACATGCTCCGAGACAACGAAACCACCACTAGTCCTCCCCAAGACGACCCCATGAGAGCCGACCCCCCGCATGCCATGTGCAAAATCGTCAACGCCATGGGCTACCAGGCCATTGTTCGCATGGAAATGGGATTTGAAGTCGTCTACTGCGACTTTAACGACGGCGGCCTAGACTTGGTTTCCCAGGTCCGCGAGAAGCCGCTCAAAAAGCGACTATCCAGCAGGTTCGAGGCTACGAGGATCCCGTGGGTCCGTGGCGCTGTCTCACATTACGACGGCCTCGGCGGCAAGCTCTTCATTGCCTTTTCGTCCATGTTCTCTGCCCTCTTCTACCCCGTCAGCATGACGGACGCCAGCGGGCAGCGCAGAATCAGCGCCATGCCGCTCCAGGAGCGACGTGAGCTGCGTGCGGATGCCCTACAGGCGCTACAGTATCCCACCAAGTATCAGCGTGTAAACTGGCACTGGCAGGAGGCTACCACAGCTATTGTCGCCCGTTTTGCGGGCACCATCGCCGCCCTGGCTTCAGGGAAGCTCACTGCAGAGTTTATCGCTGCAGAGATAGAGGGCGTGGCGGCTGCATACTATGGCTACGAGGACGACGTCACGGTGGCGGATGAGACGGAGTCCGCTAATAAGACGTTTAATTCTGTCGACATGTGTAGCAGAGAGCTGTTACGGCCGGTAACCATGTACCGCAACTGGTGGACAGAGCAGGATAAGCTCTTGCACACGGCCATTTCGGCGGTGACTGAGGATATCTGCAGTACTTATATCTCTAGCTACGGAGAGTTGCTGGCGGCCGCAAAGCAGGAGGGCCTGCGTGCCGACGACCGTACTAGCCGCACGATGCCCGAGGCGACACGCTGGGTGGTGAAGAAGATGCGACGGCTCAAAGAGCGCTTGGCGTGGCCGGAGTGGAAGAAACTGCAGCCGTGTGCAGACCAAGAGGTTGCCTTTACGCCCATGTTTCCGCTAGGGAACAAGAACGAAGGGTGGAAGCCGGCATGTCGGTCCTCGGAGGACCTGCGGGACATGGGTATGGACCTGTGGGATGAGATATAGAGAGAGATGATGACGATGTATACCTTTAATGTATGAAACGACTAGTCGAGTAGATACCTTTAGCGATGTATTTCAGGCATCTTGCTTGCCTTTTTGGATAACTCTTTTTCTATTTGCACAAAGTATATGGCTCTTGTATTCTTACTTGTTCGATTTACTCACTCTTGTTTGGACCTGTTTGCTATGCCCGCGCCGTCACGGCAATGACTAAATCAAAGTGTGGATTCACCGATGACTACACAACTCCAAGATATGTCCGACATTATCAGGATTAACTATTTTCCTCTGTTTTGCTAAGTTGCCTCTTACCACTGCTCGCAGTCTTAAAAAACCTGCTCTGCCAGCTGGCATCCAAAGATGGCAGCTGGCACCCTTGGCAAAGATTGTCTCGACCGCTTACCCTCTTCTTGGTTGAGGTGAAATATAACTGGCACTATCGCCACGCATTTCTCAACCTAAATAGACTGACTATCTTGATGATCTATTCTTTTTCGAAAATATGGATTCCATACGAGACAACCACCATCGGCTCCTTCATGCCGAACCCGCCAAGACTAGCAGCGCAGCATCTGTGACACTACACCATAGAAAAAAGTTGCATCGGGTTTACAAACCCGAAACAGGCAGCTTTTAATATATGAAGAAATTTTGCGTAAAAGTTATAAACGCATATTTAGATGCGGTCTTCATCCGAACCGTCTTATAGATGTACAAAAGGTCAACGAAGGCCGCACCAAGCTGCTAAGCCCTCATCACTATTCACTTCTCAACTCTTGGTTCTCTGCACTAAAGTAGTAAAACAACCCTAGAACACACCATGAAGGCTTTTGCCTACATTGCCGCCTCCGTGGGTGTGGCTGCGGCAACCTTTCAAGGTCCGCAGGAGCCAGACACGGTCCAGGGGGCATTCATTTATGAATTTGAAGATGGTTACGTATGTACAGGCCTATACTTCGGCTTTAATGTTTTCAACTACTAACCTATTTAGACCATGTCCGAGTTCCAATCTTCCTTTGGCGAAGACATCACCGTTCGCAAGTCTTTCGACTCGGACATCTTTCGCGGTGCCTCTATCCAATTCAAGAACGATACCAACGTTGAGCAAGCCATGTTGCAAATCTCACAGTCTACCAAGGTCAAGAACTCATGGCCTGTTCACAAATTCTACGTTCCCGAAACCCAAGCAGACAACGCCGATGGACCATTCAAGTTGAAGGGCAAGCTTGGTACTCGCAGCGCGCAAGGCAGCCCTGACTCCCACGTGGACATGATTACTGGTTCGGATGACACTTCTGCAGATCCTCCACATAGAATGATGCAGGTTGACCAGCTTCATAAGAAAGGTCTGACTGGTAAGGGAATCAAGGTTGCTGTCATCGACACTGGTGTCGACTATAAGCATCCTGCTCTTGGTGGCTGCTTTGGCCCCAACTGCTTGGTTTCCTTTGGCTATGATCTTGTTGGTGATGACTACTGGGGTGGTAACGAGGCTGTTCCTGATAGTGATCCTATGGATTGTGACGGCCACGGAACTCATGTCTCCGGCATTATTGCAGCCCAAAAGAACCCAGCGGGCTTTATCGGTGTTGCTCCCGGAGCTACGCTCGGTCACTACAAGGTGTTTGGTTGCCAAGGATACACTACCACTGAGGTACTTATGGAGGCTTCTATTTTGGCCTCCCGAGAGAAGCCCGATATCATCTCAACTTCGATTGGCAGCTTTGGCAACTGGCCCGATGCTTGGGCTGTTCTGATGAACCGTCTTGCCGACCAGGGCATCATGTCCACTGTCGCAAATGGCAATGCCGGGTTTGTCGGTGCTCTTGGGACTAACCCGATGGCTCTTGGGGACAAGCTCCTGGGAGTTGCATCGTTCAACAACATAGAAACACCCGCTGTGTACCATGTTGGCAAAGTCGGCGCTGAGGGTTCCGAAATGGCAAACTTTTCTCACGCCGTCTCGTGGCCTGTGGGTGGATGGGACGGCAAACCCGGGCCTCTGGTTGCTCTCTATCACGACGTCTCTACTCCTAAGCAGGCCTGCGACCCTTTGCCGAATGACACTCCCGGCCTGAAAGGGAAGATTGTTCTCGTTGGTTTGGGTGGCTGCCACCCTTACTACAAGGCTGTAAACATCGCCGCAAAAGGCGGCTCGCACATTATCTTCTACAGCGCCACGGATTCCTTCCGTCCTGTATGGGCTGCGGCTGATGGTATTAAAGGCGCTACGGTCATCTCGGCCAAAGATGGCATGATGTGGACTGAGGCTCTGAAGAATGGTGCCAAGGTCATGGCCACTGTCATGCACCCAAAGGACGCTTCTCTCATCTTCCAGACGTCGCCCAACAAGATCAGCGGCGGAGCTCCTAGCACCTTTACGTCCTGGGGTCCTACTTTGGATATGCAGTTTTCACCTGACATTGCCGGTCCTGGTGGCAACATTCTGTCTACAATTCCCACGGTTGATGGTAGTTATGAAGTCTTTTCGGGCACCTCCATGGCTACTCCCATGATTGCTGGCGTTTTAGCGCTTATGAAAGAGGGTCGCCAGGGAAAGCTTGATGTTAAGCTAGCCAGGCAGCTTTTGGCCATTACTGGCAAGCCACACATGTTCAACAATGGAAAGACGCAGATGGACCGACTGGCTCCTGTAGCTCAGCAAGGACCAGGTATGGCTCAAGCTTTCGATGCTACTTTTACCAAGTCTCTGGTCTACCCATACTCTCTATCCTTCAACGACACCACGCACAAGCCCTCCAACTTTACGTTGAAGATTTCCAACACTGGTTCCACAAAGGTCGAGTACAACATTGGCCAAGTTGCCGCTTCCTCCATCTACCTCCTAGCCAAGGATGCCCGCTCGACCGATGTCTTTCCTCATGAACACTTCAAGTCTACCACTGAACTTCAGCTGAGCCAGAAGAAAATTACGGTTGAGCCAGGCAAGGTTGGTGAGGTGCAGGTCAGTATTACCAGCTCCATGGCCGACGAGCTCCGACGTGTGCCCTACCACTCGGGCTACGTGACCATCAACGGAACTGATGGCTCTGCTCTTTCAGTGCCGTACCAACACGTTGGAACCGAGTTCCAGTCTATTCCAGCCATGCCAGCTGGTTCCACTGAAATTTGGAACTCGACGGACTGGGAAGCAGGCCCAATTAAGACGCCCACCCACTTTATACTCCCCAAACAGGGTACGGCCCAGTGGGGAGACGAGGTGCCCTTCCTTAGGTCGGGGTTGATCCTTGGCACCCGTTATTTGGACATGCGTGTCATTGACGTCAAAACCAACGCAAATATAGGATCAGTTGCCATGCTTCCTGAGAAGAATATTCCTCGCTTCTTTGCTTGGTACATGTGGGATGGTGCTCTAGCGGATGGAAGCTACGTACCCGAGGGTCGCTACAAGATCACCGCTCGAGGACTTCGCGTTTTCGGCGATCCCAAGAACCCCAAGCATTGGGACTCGGACACTAGCTTGGAGCTTTCCATCTCGTACAAGAAGTAGCATCTAAATCATTGATGCGTTGGTAAGCCATCTGGACGGACCCCTAGCTTTTAGAGACGGCAAATTTAGACAATGAATAGAGTGGCTTATTTAAAATCCTCTTTTTTTCTTCTACATTGCAAAAGGGTGAATACTCTTTCAGTCGACCCTTATATTGTTTTTTATTTTTATACTCTTTCACCTGTTCTTTTCCTTGTTATGTGCTGTTCTGTTAGCCCGCCAAATTTATTTATAGCCTCGCTTGCGCCAAATCAGGCTGTCACCCCTTCCGCAATAGGAAAGCCTCTCCACACCACCACCAACATCAAAAACGCTCAGACAGCGACTTACACGCACGGCCCGCGCCTCCTCCCCCGCCCGTCTTTTCTCTTCTTTTCTGTTTGCTGGGTCATGATCGTCCTCCTAAAACAAAAGGCTTCCCATCATCTTTCCTCCTCCATGTAAAACAATTCCCCCTTTCTTTCCACCATTGTCAGACTCGGTGGCTTACAACAACCGCAACTCATACAAGACAATGCTTGACTCGCCTCTAGCTCTTCTCTCGCACTGACCCTTTGGGCGTCATCACCACACCACCCTTTCGACAAGCATACCCCTGCAGCCCAGCCCGCCACTAGGTACCTGGACTGTTCTGCAATCTAAACATAGAGTCCATGCGGCACGACGGCAAAGGCGCACACTCCCGTCCACGTCAATGTATAAGATCACAAAGCCCATCCTTTGCCCGCTTTCCACAAAAGCAACAACAGCTCTCTTCAGTCCTTGTTACAACACACAATGCAATTGCCCGTCGCCCAGGTTCTCGTCCTGGCCGCAGCCACGGCCCAGGCAAAGCCCATCCTCAACACCGTCGACCTGACACACTACAGAACCATCCTCCCGCGCTGGTTCTCCTCATGGTCATGGCAAGCCTCGTCGCCCTCGACGCTCGCCCAGGCCATCAAGGACTTTGAGCACGACATCTTTGGCGGCCCCCGCACCCTCAACATCCTCAAGACCACCACGCACAACGGCCAAGTCGTCGACTGGATCGAGACCTCGTCGCAGGGCAAGGTCGCCTCTCCTCCTCCCCATTTCCCATCCCGCTCCAGTTCTAAGCGCGGCAGCGCCAACGGGCCCATCACAAAGGCTCCCATCCCCATCCACCCTGACCCAGGCCCTCCCGGCACCGTCCCGTTTGCTCGGCACAACAGCACGCGCCCCGAAAAGGCCGACAGTCTGCCTGGCACCACTAAGTCCCAATCTCAATCCTCCTCCTCCAAAGCCAGAACATCTTCAGACGGCACCCCTCAGCCCGCTGAAGACCCTACCGCCCAAAACCTCGTCGAAACCCACTGGTACGCCGCCTCCGTCAACCCAACCCCCAACCACGGCGGCGGCGGCAGCTTCAACATCTGGGACGCCTACGTCCAGAACCCCAGCGACTTCAACATCATGCAAGTCGCCGTGGCCCTCGACCACAACCAGACCGTCGAGGCCGGCTGGCAGCACTACGACGGCGTGCAAACCGGCGGCCCCGCGCTCTTCACATACTGGACCAACAACGGATATACCAAGTACGGCGACTACCTCGGCGGCTACGACGCCCAAGTCGGCGGCTGGGTGCAAGTCGACAAGGACATCTATCCAGGTGTGCACCTTTCGCCGCTCTCCACGACGGGCGGCACACAGGTCGAGATCGACATCCACTACTATCTGTTCCAAGGCAACTGGTGGCTGCGCGTGCTGGACCGCTGGATCGGATACTACCCCGGCGCCCTGTTTGCCGACAACGACAAGGGCCAGTCGCTGGCCAAGGGCGCCAACACGATTTCCGTGTACGGCGAGGTGCTAAACGGCGGCAAGGAAATGACGACCACGGATATGGGCAGTGGCGAGTTCCCGTCTGCAGGCTTTGGCAAGGCGGCGTTTATCCGCAACGTGGAGGTGTATACGCCAGAGGGTAAAACAGTCGACTATAACACGGCTGCCGGTAATGTCGTGATTAGCGACCCCAAGAGATATGATCTCGAAGTGCATTGGGCCTCGGGGACCGCTTGGGGAAGCTACTTGTATGTTGGCGGGCCAGGCGCTGGCGGCAAGATCGGCGCTTAAGACTACGACAGAAAAAGAGGGATGATATAGTTGATGAACCATTTGTTGTATAGTTTTTTGGCATACATGTACATATAGTATAGAGAATATACCATCGAAGCGAGTTGACATACACATTACACATACGAATATACAGGCATGCATTCAGACATTCACATAGGCGCATCTACATGCACATCCCAGCATGGACATTTTATATAGAGAGACTGTAAGAACAAGTCGGTAAAATAGAATCAAGTATATTTCCTTCATGCACGCGTAATCTCTTTAAAGAATAACTGCACCCGTCGTCTTCCAGCACAAACAAGGTTCTACGTGAATCCCCCTTTGCCGCTTCTCTCATTATTGCCTCTACCGCAAGCGCAAGCCCCCATCAGCCCATCCTCCCGCTGTAATTACCAAGATAAATAAAGAGCAAAGCTATAACCAAAAAAAGAAGTAAACGCAACCCAACGGCAAGGAACGCCCAGAGTGGTGCATGAGAGAAACACTTCTTCCCTGTGAGTGCCTCCCCCATGCCCAACCAACGTATGAATCCTCGCGACGCGCCGCCATCATTCATTTATAAACAAGTCATGGGCAGTCCAGTCTAGCTTGTCCAAGTGCCGCTACGCAGATGGAAAACAAAATAGACTAAAACTGCCGTATCCAAAAACAAAAATCGCAATCCCAAGCCGTGGTATCAAAAGCAATCATTCAACCCGTTTGTAGACGCCAAACAACTCCGCGTCGCTCGTCTCCCGGACAAGACGAGCATAGACGATGCCAGTGTATTGGAGTAGCAGCGAAATAGTAGTAGGCGACAGGGCGAGCGAGAATAGGAAGCCGAGTAGTAATAGTAAGCCGCAAGGACACCAAGCAAACCCAAGAATAACAACATCAACAGCAAAGCGCTTATAACACGTTTCAGTTCAGCCGGCATTTCTGCAACGCTTGGCCGACACCTTGTCTGTGTGTCTTTTTGAAGCAATGGTATTTAAACGCCAAACAGATAATCAAGGAGCATCCAATCAGCAAAAAGAAATTTGAAAAAAGTCAAAAGAGGCCTGGGCAAGCTGGACTTGTGCGGTCGCAGCTCATACAGACAGTGGTGGCACCGCTTCTGCAAGAGCAGTAACAAGCGGTGCACTTATTTCATACTGATGGAGGAGCCAAATTATCTGCGGAGAGCAGCGTCGTAGAGGGACACAAGGCCGGTGATGGCAGTGCCGACCAAGATACCCTCCCAGCCGCCGTAGACAGCGTTGTTGAGGCGAGCAATGGAGAACTTGGAGAGCAGGCCACAGAAGGTGACGCCCTGGCCGTAAACAACAAAGGCCAAAAGGGCCTTGACGATGCTGAAGGTCAAGGGGTCAACAGTGGTCTCGTTGGTGGCGCGAGCACGGGTACGGGGACCAGCCTGGCTAGCGGCGCTCAAGTTGAAGAAGTAACCAGCAAGGGTGGGAGCGACAATGCTGGTAAAGGCCCAGGTAAGAGCGGGAGACCAGAAGCTGCTGGTGAGGAGGAGCCACATGTCGGGCAGAGAGATGGCGATCTTGTCAGTGTTGAGGCCGCTGACAGCGGGGATGGTGAAGGCATGGACGTTGGGAAGGAGCTCTGGGCGGATGTAGTAGAGCTCAAAGGCGGCCACAACGAAAAGAATGCTGCTGACAGTGCTCAAGGTCTCACGAGTAGCGTTGGAGGCCTCGGTAATGCCACTCTCCTGGTACATGGAGCTGACGCGCTTGCGCATGGCAATAGTAGAGCGGTCGACGGCATGGGCAACGTCGGCGGGAGTAGCGGGAAGAGGGATGCGGGCTGCGACCTGGGAAAGGCTGCGAGCAGGAGTGCGGAGAACAGAGGTGGAAGCAGCCCTGTAAACGAGTGATGTTTGTTAGCAAATTCCGGAGGTCTACACAGATAGCGGTTCAAGGTGTTCGGGGCAAAACTTACTCAACCTCCTCGGCGGCCTTGGTGACACGGCGCTTAGCAACCTTGAGAGTCTTCTCAACCTCCTCCTTGACGGTCTCCTTCTCCTTCTTAACGGGAGAGCCGAGAGCCTTGGCGCGGCTGGCAAAGTAGCCCGAGAGATCGGAGCGGGAAGAAAGGCGGCTGGAGTGCTGGGCAATGAACTCGTCGAGAGCGGTCTCGAGGTCGCTCTTCTTGAGGCTCTCGTAGCTGTAGAAAGACGGGCATGTTAGCAAACAAGCAGAACAAGAAGCAGTGTCCATCATGGAGAGTGACGATCAACAACAACAACATGGTGTAGGTGGCTGCGCACCGTATGTAAACAATGGCGTAGCGACATATCCCACCATCCTCCGACCAGACGACTTCAAATATCCATCACAACCAAACTCCTCCCCTGCTGCGGCACTATAGCACCTTTCAACATGGCGATGTCCGTTCCTGCATCAGGCTGCGTCGGGAGTTGGTGATGATCTCTCCCCTCCACACCGCATCCGTCGCGTCCACGGCGCGCTGCATATCGCGATGCGTCTTTTGGTTGCGCCGTGATAGATATCGCAGTAGACAGCAGTCCGAAAATACCAACAAAATAAGAAGCTCGTGCCGCAGCTACACCACAATCCCACCAAGACAAGAAAAAATGGAAAACAAGCTTGCTTACTTCTTGAGGCCGATGTTCTCAGCAATCTCGACAAGGTCACCCTTGCGCTGGGCCTTGAGCCAGGCGTTTGTGTTGGTAGCAGACATTGGGAATTTTTTACTTCTTGTTCAGAAAAGAAAGAAGATGTAAAGATATTGGGAAGCAAAATAAGCAACTTGTAGTCGACCAAAAAAAAAAAGACGAAGGGTTTATTTTGTGTAAAAAGGCAGGGAAGGGGGGGGGAGGGAGACAATACAGGTGTTAAGAGGGAAAGCGGGCGAGAAAAGGCAGCGGTGGGGAGGGGTGGGCAGAAGAGAGAATCAACACAAACGGGCTCTTTCGCTTTTGGCGGGAGATGATTTTCCAAAGGATTTTCTGACGAAATAAAAAAAAAAGAAGAGGCAGAAAAAGGCTGACTGGGGGCAGCTGTTAACAGACAAGAGCAGAAAGCAAAGGCTGATGCGGTTGGGTGCCGAATGGGGGAGTGGGCGTATTGGGCGGTTTGTTGTTTACATTGTCCGAATGCGGTTTAGCGTGACATGTCGGCCAATGGGGATTGGGCAGGCTGCGAACGGGAAAGGAGGGGCGTGGCAGCTGTTGCTGGGGAAATTGAGGTGGCTGGGGTCTGTTGCACGCCCCGGGACATGCTGTAAGTACTGTAAGTACAGGCCTGGAAAGACGCCGTAGGAAAAAAGGATTACGCTCGCTGTGCTGTAAGCCAGTCAAGTGTTCTGGGTAGCTGTCCTGTTAGTGCTGGCATAGCCTAACTAGTGGTCGATTCGCGTCCATCACGCCAGCTACAGTAGCAGACAGACAGCCTACCATCAAGAACACACTGAATAACAAACACTAAACCACAATGCTTTTTCTTTTTTCCTTTCTCTCTTCATCTTGTCTCTGCCAGTAAACTTCACTCGCTACCAAAGTGTACCAACAAAGTGGATATAATCTCCTCCTCCTCGTCTTCTACTTCTTCCTCTTCATTGCCCACAGGTACATCTCGCTGTACCTCGACGCTAATTCTCCGCTACTTCATATCAGCCCTCAAACACACCCAACCCCCAAGTACTCCTCCCCGTACACCTCTTTGTCCTTTTTCTTCAGCGCGATCGTCTTCTGCAGGAAAAAATGACAGTCGCGCCTTTTTTTTTCCTTTGTGGCCTTCTTCTTCCTCTTCTTTCGCGTCACTCCTCCGCTTACACGCTCTGCGTCCCCACCCGCTGTAATTGCCTGTAATTTCAACTACCAATCTGCCTTTCACCCAACGTTGGCCGTGCCCGTCATGAGCGTAGCATCCCATTTAAATGACCTCTTTAAACTTATCGTATTAGATTTCTCTGATTCCCCTAATTTACCTCTCACCTCAACTTTTACCGCCCCCATCATTTGCCCTCTCTGCTCTTCCGTTCCTTACCGTCCACCTCGCGCTAATCATGCCATCCAAACCACCGCCAACCAGCAGGAATGCATCGCTAGAATGTTCCGCTTCCGATCCAATCATACCAAATTCCTCACTTGTTCGTCTTCTTCTTTAGCCCCCCTCGGGACTCCTCTAATCCCTGGCAACAACGTGCCGTCCGCCGTTGTTGAAACCATCCGTAGGCATGAGGCCGATCTTTTCGGTTGGGCCGCTTACTGCTTGCTCCCATCTCTCGACAAGCAATTAGACTTTGTTGCTAGATCTGGGCGTGGCTTGGCTCCCGTAAACCCATTGTAATGTATCTCACGTTTTGTATAACCACAAGCACATGTTAGAACCCCTCATCCTTTGTTACAAATGGTAAAAAGAGGAAAAAAGAGATATATTCCCATTGGTGCAAAAGCATACTATATTTTCTACTACCCATCATTGGGTCTCCCAGTATTGCGCCTAGTGTTGAAATCAGATGCATGATATCCTTCCCGTTATTGCTTTCTTTGAATTTACTAAATGTCGTTGAGTATAAAAATGTTAAATTATGCCAGGTTGTCTACGCGAACCTAGTTGTCGTCATGTTGAAGCCCTGCAGCCAATGTTTAGAAGAGGCCGTCAATCTCGCCAGTCTCGGTGTCAACGTCGACGTTGAGGTAGCCGGGAGCAGTGGGTAGACCGGGGATGGTCTGGATATCGGCCGCAAGAGCGTACAAGTATCCGGCACCGGCAGCCATGCGAACATCACGGATGGGAACCGTGAAGCCAGAGGGAGCACCCTTCAGATCGGGGTCGTGGGACAAAGAGTACTGAGTCTTAGCAACGCAGATAGGCAGGTTTCCGTAGCCCTGGCGAGTGTACGTCTCAACCTTCTTCTGGGCCAGCTCGCTGAACTCGACAGCGCCAGCGCCGTACATCTTCTTGCAAATAGCCTCCATGCGCTCCTGGATGGTACCCTCCAGGCTGTAAGTGAGGGTAAGCTCCTTGGGCTTTTCACTGGCAGCAATGACGCCCTTGGCAAGGTCGACAGCACCAGCACCACCCTGAGCCCAGTGGTCGGACAGGATAGCATCCTCAGCGCCAGCAGCAATGGCTTCCTCGCGCAGAGTCTCAATCTCAGCATCGGTATCGGTCGCAAACTTGTTAATAGCAACAATGACGGGAACGCCAAAGGACTTGGCGTTTTCAATGTGCTTCTTCAGGTTGACGCAACCAGCACGAAGAATGTCGACATTCTCCTCTTTGTAAACGGGGTTGAGAGGAGCACCGGGGGCGATGGGAGGACCACCACCGTGAACCTTCAGAGCGCGGACAGTGGCAACAACGACAACAACGTCGGGGACGAGGCCAGAAGTGCGGCACTTGATGTTGAAGAAACGCTCACCACCCATGGTGAAGTCAAAGCCAGCCTCGGTAACAACGAAACCGGTCTTCTCGGTGTGGTTCTCATCAGGCTCAGTACCAGCAAGCTTAAGAGCAAGCTTGTCAGCAATGATGGAGCTCTGGCCAATGGAGATGTTGGCAAAGGGACCAGCGTGGACGAAGACGGGGGTACCCTCAAGAGTTTGCATCAGGTTAGGCTTAATGGCATCCTTCATGAGAGCAGTAAGAGCGCCGCCAGCACCGATATCGTCGCAAGTGACGGGGTCGCCAGCACGGGAGGTGGCAACAACCATGCGGCCGAGACGCTCACGCATGTCATCCAAGCTATTGCTGAGGGCCAGAATGGCCATACATTCACTGGCAACGGAAATGTCAAAGCCAGTCTCGCGGGTCTGGCCACGCTCAGTAGGAGCCGTGCCAATGGTAGTGCCACGGAGGTGGCGATCGTTGACGTCAAGCACACGGCGCCATGTGATGGTCTCGGGGTCGATGTCGAGACGAGCGAAGCGGGTGATCTCCTCAGGAGTCAAGTCATCAGGGTTGGTCTTGTCAATGCCGAGCTTCTTAAGACGACGGAACATGACGGGGGCAAACTTGCGGACGCCGTTCTTGACAGGGACGAGGCGTTTGTACAGAGCACCATCCTTCTGTGTGTTCTCGTGGAAGATACGAGTGTCAATGGCAGCAGCCAACAAGTTGTTAGCAGCAGTGATGGCGTGGATATCACCAGTCAAGTGCAGGTTGAACTCATCCATGGGAATGACCTGGCTGTAACCGCCACCGGCAGCGCCACCCTTGATACCAAAGGTGGGACCCTGGGAAGGCTGACGGACGTTGGCAAAGGTAATACGGTCAACATGGGCACCAAGAGCCTGGGCCAGACCCATAGTAGTGGTAGACTTGCCCTCACCAAGGGGAGTAGGGGTAATACCAGTAACAACGACGTACTTGCCGTTGCGGCGATGCTCAAGGCGCTTCAACAAGCTAAGGTCGACCTTGGCCTTGTAAGCACCATAAGGCTCAAGCTCGTAGGAAGAAATACCAACTTCCTGAGCAATGCGGGTAATCTGCTTGGGAGTCTGACGGCGAGAGATGGCAATGTCAGAGGGAACGGGCGACTCAAGCTTAAGAGGCAGAGGCACTGTCTTGCGGATCTTTTCGTTCTCGAAGAACAGGTTCGTAGCCTCAACAACGTTCTCAAGAAGCATGGCAACAGTCATAGGGCCAACACCACCGGGAACGGGAGTGATAACAGAGGCAACCTGAGAGGCGGATTCAAAGTCGACATCACCAACAAGGCGTTGGCCAGACTTCTTGGAGGCGTCGGGAATGTAGTTGGTTCCAACGTCAATCACAATAGCGCCCTCCTTGAGCCATTCACCCTTGACAAATCTGGGGACACCAATGGCGGCAATAACAATATCAGCCTGCTTCAAGAAGGATTCGAGGTTGGCAGTCTTGGAGTGGCAGACAGTGACGGTAGCATCAGCGTTGCGGAGAAGGTAGCTGACGGGGCTGCCAACAATGTTGCTGCGGCCCAACACAACGGCTGACTTGCCAGCAATGGGGATGCCAGCCTCGTTCAAGAGGTGCATAACACCCTTGGGAGTGCAAGGAGTGAAGATGGGCTTGCCTCCACGCTTAGCGAGCTCACCAATGTTGTTTGTGCCAAAACCATCGACATCCTTCTCGTCAGCAACGGCAGAGGTGACGTTGTACTCTGAGAGGTGAGAAGGGAGAGGAAGCTGAACCAAGATACCGTTGACAGAAGGGTCGTTGTTGAGGCGTCGGATGTGCTCGAGCAGCTCGGGTTCGCTAATCGACTCGGGGTAGTGAAGAAGCTCGCAGCTAAGGCCAGCCTGTGAGTCATGTTAGCGTTTCTCGGCTAAGTCAAGTCGGAATGATATTAAAATACCTCAGCGGCAGCCTTGAGCTTCATGCGAACATATGTGCCTGCAATTATAGCGTTAGAAGATGAACCAATCAAAGATTCGGCATGTCGGGTTATCGGAAGCATGTGAGCCGAATTGAGGGGCAAAACGAACTGGAATCAGAGCGGTCACCAACTAGAAGAGAGAGAATACGTCGTTAGCAGAGATGCGATTAATTCAATAGACCAGTTTTCGTCATCGGCTTAGAATTGCCTCAGCAGAAAGGCTAGGTCAGGCGGGCAAACATACTCTGAATAATCTTGAGGCATGGCTGGTAGCGGGGGTTGGCCTTTTGTCGCTCAGCGATCTCAGCGCCGATTCTCTCGCGGATGGCCTTGGCAATGGCAGTGCCGTCAAGCTGTCTAGCGACCATGGCTGCGGTAGTAGTAGAGAAAAGTCTGTTGTTACGGGAAGAAACCAGACTTGACGAGGTGGTCGGGAGGGGAGAAAGTCTTGAAGCAGCTAGAAAGCGTCGTCTTGTAAAAACGCTTTGGGGATTAGTGGCGGTGGGTGCAATGGTGGGGTGAAATGCGGCACTAAGTTGAGTCGCGCTGGTGCTATCGGGGGTGGTAGCCGAAGGCACCCGGCTGGTCACTGATGCAGAATGCGGCGACTGCTGCAGCGAGGCTGGCAGAGGCGATGATGCAAACGAGGAAGAATATAAAATAGACGATGAAGAGGCGGCGGCTGCAGCCGTTGAAGGCGCGAGCGTATGCTGCAATCGAATTGACAACTGACGCGACATGTTTGGCAGCTGTGACAGCTGACAGCTTTGGTGCTTTGGTTGGCAGCTGTGGTTGGAGACGTCTGACGCGGTAGAACAAAAAAATGATTGAAAATCAGAAAGAAAAAGGAAAAGCTCCGTGTGAACGCTGATAAACGCGAAGATAAGGGCTGGAATCGGTGGACTCTCCCTCGGGACCAATTCCTCTTCGTCTTTGGTCGAGACCTTGTCTGGACACACTCGTCCCGCCTTGCTTAATCGAACAATGCAGCTGTTTCCTTGCAATCTGATTCTTTCTTGCCCACGGTCTGAATCGCGCGTGGTGACTCTAACCACTGTTTTAGGCCGGCAGTCGGAGCCACAGTGGATGAACAGTGGGCGCCTGGGGCAGCTAATCAACCAGGACTGCAGACAGCAACAAGCACGCAATCGTCCACTCTGACAACCTTCAAGGTAGCTTGATATTGGCTCTTTTTCAAGATCCTCGCTGTTGAAGCAAGTATCCAGAAGTGACGATGATGGGAGAACTGGAGGGGGCTACTACAACTAAGACGAGAAAAGGGGGTAGGCAATTGGTTTTGAGGGGGGAGGAGAGCGGCTAGTCGGAATAGGCGGGATGGGAACAACGACCAAAAGGTTCAGTCAATCAGCGCGATAGTCTGACGGGCTTCTATTTCTATTCTTCCGCTTACCCCCACCCTTAGCCCTTCAGTATTGTATACTTTCCCTCCTTTGTTTGCTCGTTCTTCCTTGTTTTGACTAATGGCAAACGCGCGCCACCACACCTCGCGAGAGCCTCGACTCGGTTCGTCGCTCTGTGTAGGTTGCAATCGGCTCATGGGTTCAGGTAGGTTGTCGACGATGTTCAACGGAACCAAGCCGTTACCCCACGCATGCGGCAGGTTGTAACGGGCTCTGTCCAATCGTGATGCTGCCCGCACTAGCCAGCAATCGACATATCATGTACCGTCTCATGACTTGTTCGTTTAACCGATGTGGTTACCAACGCTTGCCGTTTCGTTGGGTCACATCTGCACTATTTGTACATGGCTTACATCGGGCGGCGTGGGTTAGGCAAGTTTCCGTTACGTGAACAAGCTGCAGGGAAGACGTCGGCCGGCACGGCAATCCGCCAACGGCTACCAATAAAGTCTCTGTGGCTTTCAAGCTCGTATATCTGTACTTTTGTCGGGAGTGTAAACGGAGTTTGTTCGGTCTTGTGGTAGCTCTTTCAGTGGCCGCCCTGCTTAGCTTACCGATGGTCAACCTACCCGGTACGCTAGTGGTCATTAACCTTAGCAGTATAACGCCTTCTTTGGCTTGAAATTTACCTGTTAGTGTAACTATTGTTGATTTGGTTGGTTTATAGTCGGTTTATATTGCCTTTTTATACCGATAAGATGTAATTTACCAGCTATGAACCGAAACTACGCGTTGATGTCATCCTCGTTGATGTCATCCTAAACTGAAGTTTCCCGAGCAAGAGTAGTCATCTCCCAACTGAATTACAAACTGAGAGGTATCACACTATTCAAACTTATTTAAATATATACAAAAATTAAATTAGATATTTTCAACTGTAGTGCGACAAATGTTTGGAGAGTATAGGTGCTCTTTCATCTGCCTGCTCCGGGTTGTCAGTATCGGCCTAATACGGAAATCACAACGTGTGAATTTCACAAAAGTTCCAAATAACTCTTCTGACACATTTTTATACTGATTATAAATGGTGTACAGTAATTTTATACTGAATATATGGAATTTAGAGCTAGGGCATACCCATCATGTTGAACAACTCGCGCTTCTCTTTATCGCCAAACCCTGTGTTAGTTTAGCCCAGCCGAACCCAGGGCGCAAAAAATTGACAGGGCTACGTGGATGACTCACGAATGCCTGTCCCTTTCAGGCAACCAGGCGGTACGAATTTCTCGAGACACGACCTCCCCGCCATGCGGCATGGCTTTTGCCCCACCAAAACGCACAATCGCCAAAATTTCACATCTACGAAAGGAACTCCCCGCTCTACACTCCGGCCTTATAACAGCGCTTTTCTCCCTCCCCTCCCTCATTTCATCCGGTTCCTCTGAGCGCAAGTCGTCTCTAGGAACTTCTTCTTTCTTCTCCTTCGAAAATGAGACCCATTCTCCTTTCTGGGCACGAGCGTGCGCTCACCCAGATCAAGTGCGTCGCCCTCCCGCGCCCAACCCTCGTGCTTGCCACGCAAAATTCGCTAACCGGCTAACCCGCGCCTCTACAGATATAACCTCGATGGCGACTTGATCTTCTCCGTCTCCAAGGATCAGCAGATTTGCGTCTGGTACGCCCACAACGGCGAGCGTCTCGGAACATACCACGGCCACGTCGGTGCCATCTGGACTGTCGATGTCGACCCCACCTCCACCATGATTGCTTCAGGCTCTGCCGACAACACGATTCGCCTCTGGGATGTCAAGTCTGGTCGCTGCCTTAAGGTCTGGGAGTTCCCCACCGCTGTCAAGCGCGTCGAATTCAACGAAGACGGAACGAAGCTGTTGGGTGTCACCGAGAAGCGCATGGGATACCTGAGCAACATTATTGTCCTCGATATCAACCCCGACGTCGACGCCGAGCAGAGCGATGAGCGAGTTTTGACCATTGTTTGCGACGAGAGCAAGGCCACCGTTGCCGGATGGAGCGCCCTCACCAAGTACATCATTGCCGGACACGAGGATGGCAGCGTCAGCCAGTACGACGCCAAGACCGGCGAACTCTACGACAACTTCCCCATCCACGAGCTCAACCAGCCTATTGTCGATCTCCAGTGGTCCACTGACCGCACCTACTTCATCACTGCCAGCAAGGACAAGACCTCCAAGCTGATTACTGCCCGTGATCTGACCGTCATGAAGACGTATCCCAGCGACACCCCTCTCAACAGCGCCACCATCACACCCAAGAAGGACTTTGTCATCCTCGGTGGTGGTCAGGCCGCCATGGAAGTCACCACCACTGCTGCCCGCCAGGGTAAGTTCGAGGCCCGTTTCTACCACAAGATCTTCGAGGACGAGATTGGCCGTGTCCGTGGTCACTTTGGTCCCCTCAACACCGTCGCTGCCGACCCTACCGGCAAGAGCTACGCCAGTGGTGGTGAGGACGGCTACGTCCGTGTCCACCACTTCGACAAGGGTTACTTTGACTTCTCCTACGAGGTCGAGCGTCAGCGTCTGAACAGAATGCAGGAGTAAGTGAAAGCTTTTATGTTTTGGGAAATCTGAAAAAAAGGAAAAAGGCCTGGGAAAAGACTTGATTCTTTTTAATGGTGTTTGATTTTTGCCTGCCATAACCAGAACAAAAGGACGACCCTCCTATCTCTCTGCCAAAACACATCTCATCGTTAGGCCGCGACGAGGTGGGCCAAGGGCGGGAATTCTTTTTTGTGTTATGGGCTTGCATATATGTATGGCGTTCGTTTTCATAGTGTTTGGTTATTGCAATTCTGCCAAAAAAGGAACGGAAGGGTGGGTGAGAATACCGACCCCTCTTGACGAAGAACGATGACGAATGGACCGAATGGTGGGAAAGACGGCGGTAGATGCCGAAGGATTTGACATCACGATCATGTATTTCAAATACCACATTCTTCATATAGTAGCAGTAGTGGAGAGTACACAAACAAATTCATCAATAATGTTCTATGCATCTCTGGCAGCTTCACCCATTGATACAGTGCGATGAAAATTCAAATAAGGGTTTAAAAAATAAGTAAATTTCAATTTTGAGCAAAAACGCCGTCTGTCTAACCAAGGCCAGAACATTAACAAAAATAAACCCGTCCATTGGTCTTCCAAAGACTCTTTGAAAATCAAACCAGATCCTCCATCATAGACCCAAATAACCACACAACAAGTCGCTTGATCAAAAGAGTCAAGACAGAAGCTACCGTACACCATTCATAAATTTAAAAATAAGCCCCTCTATTTCTTTTTCTTGTTGACATTGTTCTTCTTTCCCTTGGCAGAGCCGGTAGAGGCAACGCTCGAGGCGCGCGATGGAGCAGCAGAGCTAGCCTTGCTCGACTTCACATTATCAATAGCCTTGTTCTACAAAAGATATTAGCGGATGTTACGTTTAGTTGGGATGATGGATGGATTGGCTTACCTTAACGCCGTTCTTAGACTTCTTCTTAGCAGGAGCCATGCCGAGGACGCTATCGTCATCATCATCATCATCAGGCTCACGCTTGCCCTTGCCGTTAGACTTGGGGGTATCCTCGAACTCCTTCACAATAGTAGTGATGAGAGTGGTGCATCGACGCGATAACTCGACGGGTGTACGGCTGAGGAAGAACCAGTCAAAGCGGAAGAGTGGCGAGTCGCGGATGTCATCGCGCATCTTCTCATACAGGCCCTCAGAGTCGATGCCGTAACGATCGAGCAGGACAAGCAAGAAACGATCTTCTTCTTCCGTGTACACCTTCTTGTTTGTGGTGGACACCGAGTAGTTGATCTTGAGCTGCTGCAGGGGGACGCGATATTGTTGCATCTTCTTGCGGAGAAGCTTTCGCTGTTGCTCAATACGGCGGGTGCGCTCTTCACCGTCCTCAATGACCTTGAGATGCTTTGTGTAATCCGTGATTTCCGTGTAGCGCTGCCAAAAGACAGCAGCGTATGTTTTGACCTCGTCCGCCTCCTTGCTGCCCATTTCTGTAGCAATACCGGCGTAATCCTTGCGTCCAAACTTGCCAGAGCCATTGATAAACTGCTGGAAGTCACGACGGCTCCAATGACCAAAGCCTTGGGTAGAGAGTTCTTCCTTCTCCTCACGCTCTTCTTCTGTCAGTGCAGTGGCATTATCGATTTCTTGTTGGTCAAGAGCTCGCTCTGCCTCTCGCTCAGACAACGTATCATCTTCGCCATCGGTGATGGGGACCTTGTAGCCGATTTCCTTGCGGTAGAAGGCAGTCTCGCGCTCTTGCAACTCGCGGAGACGGTCAGGGTAAAACTGATGATCCTGGATATGTACCTGCTTAGGTGCACGAGGAGCCTTCGGCTTGTCTGACTTGGGGTTGGGGTACATGGCCTGTCGGAAGTACTTGTCCATGGAATAAGACTGCTCCTTGCGTTCACGCTTGGCCGGGTTGATCCAGTTCATACCAATGTCTTTCTTGGTGTTGGCAAAGTTCTCGCCGTTCCACTCGTAAGCGGATTCAGAGCTGAATTTTTGCAAATCGTCAATGCCCAGCTTTTCGTACTTGGCATTAAGTTCCTTTGTTCTTGATTCACCCTTGCTCAAAATGGCTTCAATGTCATCGTCATCCAAATCTCCTCCATTAGCGGCGGATCCGGTGGAAGCCTTGGTTTGGAAAACGGTCTCAGCACCATGTTGAATCATGGACAACAGCTCATCCTTGTTTGCAGCAGCTTTTGCGCCTTGTTGGGCTCGACCTTGTTGAATAACCAGCTGATCCAAGCGCAGCTTTTGCGCCGCACGCTCGAGGACCTTTTCTTCAATTGCATTATCTGTCACGAAGCGGTAGACAACCACCTGCTTCGTCTGACCAATACGATGGGCACGATCCATAGCTTGCAAATCGGCCTGTGGGTTCCAATCGCTATCATAGAGGACAACAATATCGGCAGTTGTCAGGTTGATACCCAAACCACCAGCTCGCGTCGTGAGAAGGAAGACGAACTTCTCTGAACCAGGCTTGTTATATTCGTCAATTGCGGCAATACGGTCTTCGTGGGCGGTACTACCATCGATTCTGCAGTATTGGTAGTTGCGGAAAACACAGTAATCTTCCAAGATGTCAAGAAGACGGCTCATTTGCGAAAAGATGAGGACTCGGCTGCCTTGCTTTTGCATGCGGGCAAGTAGCTTATCTAGAACAGCCATCTTTCCTGCATTGTAAATGATGTGCTCGTCTGTGGTGTAAGGCGGGCCGGGTTCGGCACCCTCGAAAAGGTAAGGGTGGTTGCAACACTTTCGTAGCTGCATGACAATGTTGAGAAGTCTCGTCTTCGACTCGCGCTTACCACCAGCGCCGTTGACGGCGTCAATATCCTTCTCCAGGATCTTTTGGTACCACTTGATTTGCATGTCAGACATGCCCAAGTAGAGGTTGACCTCCTTCTTGGGAAGCAAACTCTTCTCAACATCACTCTTGACTCGTCGGAGCAAGAAGGGACGCAAAACTCTATGGAGCTGTTGAACAACAGTGTCCTGGTCACGGTCCTGTCCAGAGAACCACTGATCGAAGGCTTCCGAATCACCAAAGACATCCGGGAGTAAGAAGTTGAGTAGCGCCCAGAGTTCGTGCAGGTTGTTCTGGAGGGGTGTACCGGTAATCAACAGACGGTTGCGGGAGTTGAATAGTCGAATGACTTGTGATAGGGAGGATTCTTCGTTTTTGATACGGTGAGCCTATAATTATAGTTAGTAACGAAAAGTCAGGATCACACGCTAGAAGCAGTCTTACCTCATCAATGATAATGTACTCCCACGCAAATTTCTTGAGGTGGGACTTCTCACGGAGAACCATTTCGTAACTCGTGATGCAGACGTCAAACTTCTCATCAACCAGTCGCTCGTTGATAAGCTCATGACGTTCTTCCTTGGCTCCCTGCAGAACCAAAACGTTAACTTCGGGCGTCCACTTGGCAAATTCTCGCTTCCAGTTATCAAGAGTAGATTTAGGAACAATAACCAAGTGAGGGCCAGTGATGCCGATGATGTGTCGCAAGTAGCCCATAAATGAGATAGTCTGTAGGGTTTTTCCGAGACCCATCTCATCAGCGAGAATACCAGAGATACCATTCTCGTGGAGTGAGATTAGCCAGTTAAGACCAGCGACCTGGTAGTCTCTCATGGTGCCCTGGATGAAGGAGGGTGATTCTCTGAACACGGTGTCTGCTGAGCCACCATGCTTCTCGTCTTTGAGGAGTTCAGCATCTTCTTCAGCCTCGGTACGTCGACGTCGGTCACTAGTGGCGCCGCCTTGTCTCTTGGAGGACTTCTTGCTGCCAGCAGCTTCGGCATTCTGGCGATCAATCTCTTCCATGATTTCGCGGATCTTGGGGTTGGGGTTGGTTTCGATGAAATGACGGAACAAATCGGTTAGTCCGAGCAAGTAGCGGAATCTTCGGATGCTATCATCTTCCTGTAATGAACCTGTTAGTTGGCGCAACATGGGTTTCAGAGTGGGTGGTATTGCGCACCTTGGATTCACCAAGGCGATCATGCTTTCGGCCGAAGATGCTGCGACGAAGCTGATTAGCTTCTGAGCGTCGTTTTCTTCCATCGGCAGTGAGATGATCGCCCGCAATGCTGCTGGCAGTCGTGTTGGGATTCGTATCGGAATCGGTATAGTCGGGTGTATCAATGTCCTAAATCAGGTCAGTATCAGCGACGACCCTGGCAGAAGAGTCAAACTGGCGCGCATTGCTTACCATTTCGTCTATGCGGCTGTGATCAGGAGCTTCGGACATTGACGCGTCCGGATCAGCGCCGTTGTGTGGGAGAATAGGCGCCATGGCGAAGAGTTTGTTCCCTTGAACCTATTAACGCGACCAGCGCCAGCAAGACGCGTCCAACGACTCAATCTATCGATATCGATCGGGGCAATGGCTCAGCTTGGAAGAAGCTGTCAGAGCCAATTTCGATGCTGGATTAACGCGCCGCGATGTTTGCGTTGATACAACTGCGGAATAGATTGATGGACGGAAGGTTTTGCAAAGGGGAGAGGGAGCACGTTCAGGTGGTGGAATCTCTTTGACGTGCTTCAACGAGACCCGTAGCAATTTGGGCTTAGCGTGGAAACGCCACGACGTGGGTTCAGGCCTTGCCTGCAGCAGCACTCCGCGCGCGCTGGGCTGCTTGAGGGGCCCCTCCCTGCCTAGTAAGGGAAAAAAAGGCACAGCAGCTCAGACTGCTGGAAGAAAAAAAGTCCGGTAGCCGCAGAGGGCGAGTCAAGGTATAGGGTGGCAACATTAGATAGAGGTCTAAATTGGCGAAAATATTAGGTTTTTTTTTCTGGCGGAATTTTGAGTTTATTATATCTATTATATTTATCCTGTATTCGTTTTTATCCGTATTTTATCATCCATTGCCTCTTAATAACGCACTTTCGTACAAAACACTCATCACTCTGTTCTCTACGTAATGCTCTCCTAAAGCCGGCGCCCAACAACTAGTCAGATGGCCTCTGTGATCCACTTGAGACCTCCTATCACGTGGAAAACCAAGCAAAGCCTTACAGTCATCTCCCCCCACGGCGCTTGTTGTGTACCCTATTGGACCGTTCAGTGAACAACTTCGACACGGTTGAGGCTATTTGCTACAAAGTCAGGTTGTACAAGTCACCATCTTGTCAACTAGACTGCTGCTTGACCATAAATATCAAACCATAGCCTCAACAAAAGGACCCCTTGCTCGCGTCGACCGACTCCCGACCGTGTCAACTGAGACCTGATGCCGCATTCCTTCACGACCCCCGACGTAACAACTTCCTATCATCGCGCACCAGCTACGCCACTTTAAATTACCTCCTAGGAGACACGCATTATTACTATTAATATTTGCCATCCCCATACTTGTCCACGCCATGGACTCGACCAGAGGCTCCGGATCCAACCCCGCCTCCAGCAGTAAACAAATGGCACATCACGACTCACCAGAGCAACTCCTCGATGTTTTCAAGGCAGCAGCCTTGTCCGTCACCAAACTATACAAGACCTCGGCACTGGCGGAATCCAGGGCACGGTCAGAGGGATACCAAGACTGCATCGAGGACCTCTTGTCGTTCCTCGATAAGGAAGATATCGGTCTTTGCGATGGCGAAGGCTGGAGAATACGACGATGGGCAACTGAACGACTAAACGGGCGAAATGCAACATACCAACACACGGAAAGCGAAGACGACGCGGAAAAGACAGACCGACACGCTTCTCCCGAAATGGCACGATCGCAGCTTGAACCCCAAACTCCTGCCCTCACCCGCGCAGAATCCCCCAATAGCTCCTCGCCGGCTGACGTGGAAGAGCCATACTCTTACACGGTTCCATCACAAGAAAATTTTACTTTCGAATCCTCACATCCTTACCCTAACATTGCTACTCTCGACCTCTCCGACCCGTTAACTCACGACCCGGCACAACTTGCATCAAGAGCAAAGGCTCTCTTCAGCGGCAACTCTTCAAAGCGACCTGCGGGCGCTCTAGGCCGCGGTGCAGGTGCTAAGCGACGCATGGATTTCGACGACTTTTTTGGCGGATGCCTCGGAAAGGATGTCTTCCCTGGCAACGGCAAGCGAGGCAGACATGCGTAATGGCGTTTCATATCCTAAGCCGGCTCTATCTTATGAAGCAGCCGCTTACCTCTTATTTTCAAGAACATGACGAATAGAATGGATGGATCTGGACGGAGCATGATGGGCAATCATGAGCATTTAGCATTTTGCGGAGTTATCAGGAGGTCTCATCCTGCGGTTTGAACTTTTTTTGTCGTTTTTCTCCTATAGTAGAAAGCGACTACCCAGTCGCGAATATCCATATTGGCATCTAGTTATTAGGGTATATAGACATATTCAATGTGTATATTTAATTGATACCAATATTTCTGGTTCACACAGCTTTTCTGGCAACTTCTCATTCTTGGGCATCTGCGGTGCCATCTTGTGCTCTAAGTCCCAGCTGAAGACGTAGTTCTTTATTTTCAGCTTCCACGTCGTACACATGCTGCTCTAGCATCTCCATCCTCTCTGTTGCACCTAGCATGATTTCTTCTGAGATTTTTGCTAGGCGCCAGAGACGAAGGATTACCACGAGCGATCCAATAGATTCCGCTAGTCCATGGGCCGTAACATCGATTATAAAACTCAAGACAATAACGATGGAATCAAATAAATGGAATCCGGATCTCAGATATCTGAAGGGTGTTAATGATTTGCCTGAAAGAACAATGATGCAACTTACCCAAATCCGAAACAAGCCAAACAAGCAATCAGTTCAACCATGAAAAGGGAACTGAATAGTAAACCCACATCTTCGATATAACGTACAAGACGTTTAACCCAAGGCTCATCTGCCTGATGCATTTCACAGGCGATGAGCTGGATGAAGATGTTGGCTAACAGGGTCATGACGTCCAGCGCCACGGCTCCCATTACAATGTAATGCTTCCCTCTTGAGCATAAGAACTCTTGTAAAACCCTGTGGTATTGAGCAAAGCCACTGTTTGGTGGAGAGTGGCCAGGATGGTCTGTCTCATGCTGCCCATCATCTGGAGCGTTACGGTGTGTTGGTTCAGAGCCAAGTAACGGCTGGGACGCGTCGCTATCTGCCATAGTTTCACGTCAACCGGCTCCGTATCGAATTTTGATAGAAAGGAATACAGACAATATGAATGATAAATCTTGATCAAACGGTTAAAGAAGTGATTCAGGAGAATGAACAGCCCATATGCAGGGCTCAGACACCTGCAGATCCTCCCTACCTCCCCGCGTACAGACATCACAACACGTGATCAACTTCCACAAACCAGTCTTTAGAATGGGTTAAAGAGGTCGTGGATAGACCAGACTCATAGTTATATATTTATTAGTATCCTAGTTGATTATTATATATTGATTGGTCATGATAAGTTTGTAGTGAGTGATGGTGACCGCGCTGTGACGTCCACTTATAGGCTGGGTAGGCCCAAGCTCGTGGCATTGAGCTGGTCATACCACGACCAGCGCTGACTGCACGGCCCTTAAAGGACATAAACATGCCTGATACCGATAAATTGTGATTTATTATTTCGATAATCCATAATCTTTATTTTATATATTATCCAGCATCACACAGGCCAGAGCGCTGCTCTTGCTTCTGCCCGCCTTGCCGACACCGGAACAACTTCGGCGCGGGTGGCGTTGGGTACTGCGCCCGCAAAGTGCCAAATGCGCCCTGGAATTCTCGTGGAGCCGCAAAGTGGATGGACTTGTAAGCTTCGTGAACAGTCAAAGAAAGCGCCAAATTTGCCGGTACGTGTACAGAACTTGACCGGAATTGTCATTATATGCTAGCAGCTGGTTTATTCTTTCTAATTATACTACTTGCGCATCATTTACAGGCTGAAGCGCAGTGCGAAGTTGGCTAACCATTTGTTTGATAGGCACTTTGATTTGCGACCTGATTTCACGATGTCGGATTCGGAGAAGCCCACGGAGCCGGTCGTCACGGAGAATGAGGAGGGAAATGATGTCGATGGAGCTGATGAGGTGAGACTTTGTTTGCGACGAAACACTCTCTATAGACGAGCTACGGAAAGCTAACCTGGGTTCGCTCACTAGGAGGAGATTTCGGCCATGAAGCGCCGCGTTGCAGAGATGGAAGAGGAGGCCAAGAAGCTTCGCGAGATGCAGGCCAGTCTGGACCAGCAGACTGCCAGCTTAGCTGATGACAAGGAGTCTATCGACTCACGCAGCATCTTTGTTGGCAATGTCGACTATTCTGCGTCGCCCGAAGAGATTCAAGCGCACTTCCAAAGCTGCGGCTCTATCAACCGAGTCACGATTCTTCTTGACAAGTTCAGCGGCCAGCCTAAAGGGTATGCTTGATATCTCTTAACTTGCAAACGCCGTGCTTTTACTAACAGGATCTCGCAGCTATGCCTACGTCGAATTCACCGAACCCAGCCTCGTCGCCCAGGCTCTTGTCCTGAACGAAAGCGTCTTCAAGGGCCGCAACATCAAAGTGACACCAAAGAGAACCAACGTCCCCGGCATGAGCCGCGGTCGTGGCCGTGGTGGCTTCCGAGGTGGTCGTGGATTTGGCGGCCGAGGCGGCGGCGGCTTTCGTGGAGGATACAGGGGCGGCGGCCGTGGCCGTGGCCGAGGTTTCACCCCTTACTAGGAGCAGGGAAATGCCTATTCTGGCAGTCCTGCCACTGCTAGTGCTATGTCGGTGATGCTTGACTTTAAGTAAGACGAGAGTGTGGACGGGGTCTGTCTCCTGAACGCTACATGCAAGTATTTGAAACTTGGGCTGTTTGGCAGTTATGTTTGAACACATATGCTTAAAGAGGAAGATTGTGGTAGCCTGATACAGACGGGACAGGCTGATGTACTTTGTGCTTTTTGTGCTTTTTTGTTTGTTTGTGTCTAACCTCGACGAGGGGCACTGCGATGGAATTATACGGAATATGGAGTTACGGAAGACAAACCGTTTTGGTAGCCAACTTTAAAAAATACACCTAAAATTCGAATGTATCTTGTCTGCCACTGATAAAGTATTTGGTTGAGTGGTAAGTACGGGATAAATCTGTCCGATCTGGGATTCCCACAGATGGTCAGATAACTTTTTGTATTGGGGGCGTTTGCCGGCAGTTTGGATGGCGTCATAGAGCGGCCAATACTGCCAAGCACTGGGTCAGCCTCTCAGTAAGAGGCTATATTACAAAGTACATTTGGGTAAATGGGAAATTAGATCCGTCGGGACTTTTGGAAGAAAAAAGGGAAATTCGTTGTCGACGTAGCATACACCGGTTCAGAGGCAGCCCGCGGCGCGTCGCTGCGCCATGGAAGCTAATTCCGGCGCCGGACTTGATAACAAGCAACGTACGGGATTGGAGGCTGGCTTAGCAGCGCAGCAATAGATACAGTATCAATACGACGCCGCGACCGCCGCAGCACACTATTTGTACTTGGGAAAAACAATTGGGACCTTCTGGTGGCAGTGGCTTGCCGAGTGTCCGGGGGGCTTCAGCAGTAAAGCTCAACACGCCATGGCGCAAAGGGCTGCGCCTGGTGGTGCCCTGCTTGTGTGTGGGTGCGCATTGGAGCTAGCGCTGTAAGATTGGGTGGTGACAGGCGGGTTTGCATACGTAGTGCATTGCGTGTGTGTGTTATTTTTGGTGGTTGGTGGTGGTGGTGTAAACGACGACGGAGCTGCGCGTTGGTTTCAAGTGCCGTCAGCGTGAGGCCGCAGCCATCAAAGGACTATGCATTTTGAGGTGGCTATTAAGTGTGAAAGTAGACAATGGTTCTTCTCTTTTTTTCTTTTTCTTTTTTTTTTCAATAAAAAAGAGCAACACAAATAAACGAATTCCTGGCGGTGCTCAGTCATCGAACCAATTTTCCAAGCCTGGCTTTCGCTCAGGCCGTTGACCTTCTGCAGCGCCGTCACGTGTCCTCCCCAGTTAATCCCCTCTTTAGCGCAAAGCCTCTCGCGCCAGCCCAGCTTTTTGGCCCAAGCAGCTGCTGAAGCGGGGAGGCGAACCTGTTCCGTCCAAGCATCCCGCTCTCTGCAAAGGGCGTGCACAGCCTCACATCATCTGGCTCTTTCTTCCTTTGAACCTGCACACATCGCTAGCACCTCGACTGGCAAAGGACGTTTGATATATTTTTTCTTTTGGTATCCAAGGGCTCAGCAGCGTCTTTAGTCATCGGTTCGCTCTGCTGGCCTATTCATACGTGCTTTCCGCCTTTTGCATCAGTGTCCCTCGCATCGCGCCTTTTGCCACCATCAGCGCCCGGATACTCTTTTTTTTGGAACCTCCAAGGCTTTGGGCTTGTCTGTTCAGACACTGCCGTCGATAAAGCATCACCTCGGCCGCTTCTCCCTTTCATTGCTAGAGCCCGCTCGGCGCCGGCAACGATACAGACATCATTATGAGTAACGGAACAGCCTCAGGGCTTCCTGGGTGAGTCCCGCCTTCACAATCTAGCCAAAGCACCTTGGTGTCTCGCGGTGGCCAAAGCTAACCATGTCCCCGTACAGCAAGCCGAATCTGCGTGTCACGAGTTCGTTTTTTCTTTAATATATCCTGTCGAAAATCCCATGTACTAACTAACGCAGTCATCGCCGCCGACGGTCTATACAAGCGAGATGTTTTCCGTACGTTGGAGCCAGATATCGTCACTGGACCCCGCTAACGCAATTGTCAATAGGATTCCCCGACCCCTTTGCCGTCGCAACCATCAATGGCGAACAGACGAAAACTACGACCGTTAGCAAGAGAAACTTGAACCCTTACTGGAATGAGAGCTTCGATTTGTAAGTGAATTTTTGCGCACGTGGGAGGGGCGGCTTCATGCATCATCCGATAATGACGAAGGCTAACAATTTTTCTTTCTTTAGCCGTGCCAACGAAGCAAGCATCCTTGCCGTCCAGGTTTTCGATCAAAAGAAATTCAAGAAGAAGGACCAGGGTTTCCTTGGCGTTATTAATATTCGCATCGGAGATGTCTTGCCTGATCTAGGCCCTGACGCTGACGGTAAGTGATCGACGGCACCGTTGAATCTGATAGGCAGAGTTGCTGACAAACATATCCTTAGACCAAATGATCACGCGAGATCTCAAGAAATCGACCGACAACCTCATCGTTCATGGTAAACTAATTATCAACCTCTCATGTAACCTTTCTACGCCTGCCCGTGGCGGCCAAACATCCTCGAGTCGACCTGCTGCCGGCCCGTCTGGCTCAACACTCTCTGCCCCCAATGGTGAGAACCGCCCCTCATCTGCCATGTCTGGCTCGAACGGATCCGCACTGTCCGCCATTCCAAGCACCGGCCCTCCCAATGGCGCTCCTCCAAACCAACCCGTCAGCCCCAACGCAACAGGCTCCTCAAGACCAACCAGTCAGCTTAGTCCTTTCGAGGATGCACAAGGCCGTCTGCCAGCAGGCTGGGAGCGCCGTGAGGACAATCTCGGACGAACATACTACGTTGACCACAACACTCGATCTACCAGCTGGAACAGACCGACAGCAAGCGGTCTGTCGGAGTCTAGAAACGAGCGAGAGGCTACCACCCAAGTTGAACGTCACAGACATCAAAACAGAACCCTACCAGAGGACCGCACAGGCTCCAGTTCACCCACTCAGCAAGCACCCCAGGCTCCTGCACCACCAATTGGGGCTGCAGGTACCTCTGCTGCCGCTGGCAATGTGGGAGCTGTTATGCACACTGGTGCCACCAGCCCTGGTACTGGCGAGCTTCCTCCTGGTTGGGAACAGCGCTGGACTCCGGAAGGTCGCCCATACTTTGTGGACCACAACACACGCACGACTACATGGGTAGATCCCAGACGTCAGCAGTACATTCGCATGTACGGTCAAAACAACGCCAATGGCCAGATCCAACAGCAGCCCGTTTCACAGCTCGGTCCTCTTCCTAGTGGTTGGGAGATGCGTCTTACCAACACTGCCCGCGTCTACTTCGTTGACCATAACACTAAGACCACTACATGGGATGATCCTCGTCTGCCATCGTCTCTTGACCAGAACGTTCCCCAGTACAAGCGTGATTTCCGCAGAAAGCTCATTTACTTCCGATCCCAACCTGCGATGCGCCCGCTCAATGGTCAGTGCCATATCAAGGTCAGAAGATCGCATTTGTTTGAGGACTCCTTTGCCGAAATCACTCGCCAGTCGCCAATGGACCTGAAGAAGCGTCTTATGATCAAGTTTGATGGCGAAGATGGTCTGGATTACGGTGGTGTTTCAAGAGAATTCTTCTTCCTTCTTTCTCATGAAATGTTCAACCCCTTCTACTGTCTTTTCGAATACTCAGCCCACGACAACTATACCCTACAAATCAACCCCCACTCTGGTATCAACCCCGAGCATCTCAACTACTTCAAGTTTATTGGCCGAGTCGTTGGTCTTGCCATCTTCCACCGTCGTTTCCTCGATGCCTTCTTCATTGGAGCTCTGTACAAGATGGTATTGGGCAAGGCTGTTGCGCTGGCTGACATGGAGGGTGTCGACGCTGATTTCCACCGTTCTCTCCAGTGGATGCTTGACAACGACATCTCTGGTGGTATTCTTGAGCAGACCTTCTCTACCGAAGACGAACGCTTCGGCGTCATGACCACAGAAGACCTTATTCCTGGTGGTCGCGATATCGAAGTCACCAACGAGAACAAGAAGGAGTATGTTGATTTGATGGTTAAGTGGCGTATCGAGAAGCGCATTGCGGAGCAGTTCCAAGCATTTAAGGAGGGCTTCCAAGAGCTCATTCCTCAGGACCTTATCAATGTGTTTGACGAGCGTGAGCTTGAGTTGCTCATTGGTGGTATTGCTGAGATTGATGTTGACGACTGGAAGAAGCACACCGACTACCGTGGATACACAGAATCCGATGAAGTTGTCCAGAACTTCTGGAAGACTGTCCGATCATGGGACGGTGAGCAGAAGTCTCGTCTGCTACAGTTCACCACCGGTACTTCACGTATTCCTGTCAACGGTTTCAAGGATCTCCAGGGCAGTGACGGTCCTCGACGATTCACCATTGAAAAGGCCGGCGAGCTCAACAACTTGCCCAAGGCTCATACATGGTACGTATTTTCTTTTTAAATGTGCACTTTCATGTATATCAATTTGCTAACCCCTTCTAGTTTCAACCGTATCGACCTGCCTCCTTACAAGGATCTTGAAACGCTTCAACAGAAGCTTACCATTGCTGTTGAAGAGACTATGGGTTTCGGTCAAGAGTAAGCATTGGATGCTTTGTATGTAGGAACTCGGAAGTTATGCATTGGATTTCATTGGATCGTGCAAGGCATACACCAATGAACTTTCCTCCCAGCCACACCTTCTACTCTCTGCATTGGGTACACACGGACTTTGTGTTTTGATATACTGCAGCCATTGATTTGTCACATGGGCCACATCTACAGTCGTGCGCCTGCCTGTTTTTGATTTTTTTCTTGTTTCGTCTATCATTCGGCGCCAGCGGAACTATATTGTTATCGAAGTGGTTGATGCGGGCATTCTAAAACATCATCGAAGACCATCCCCGCCCAATTCTGTTGCAATGGGCACAAGTTTATAGAACTCGGCACGCCTACGCGCCAATGGGCATGCTATACTGTCCTAGTCGGTATATGAATGTGGCTTTGATACAGTAAGAGGAGGATAATTACAAAATTGAACGGTGTTTTTAGCGGTATTAGTAGTCTTTATGATATATGCATTCTACACTCTACACACGTAAACCTGTTTATCCAAGGTGACTTCTACCAACATGTATACTGCGCGCTGCACATGTACAACCTGTTTCACTGACATGGACACAGCAATTAAAGATACAATAGAGGAGTCTTGTTATACAATTGTATTTGTTTTCTGACCAATTGCGGGAATATCTATCCGGCAGGCCAGCAAGAAAGCAATGGCTGCGAGTGATGACAAAGGAAAAATAAAAAGTGTAAAAAACAGGGGAAAATCTACTCCGACCTCCGCCATTCCTAGCCAAGCCAGGCTCCTCCCCGACGGGCTCTCCACGATGTATAAAATACTATCCACATGCTTTTTTTCGCAGAGGTGTGCCCTCAGGGCTGCGGGTTTCTTCTTTTGCAGCTCAACCAATTATCTCCCAAACACAAACAACATCAACGTTTATCTTCTGTACCACATGCGGGAGATCTTGGTGTTGCGCATCTTGCGCTGGAGCTGGAAGATGCCGTACATGAGGGCCTCGGAGGTAGGAGGGCAGCCGGGGACGTAGATGTCGACGGGGACGATACGGTCACAGCCACGGACAACGCTGTAGCTGTAGTGGTAGTAGCCGCCACCGTTGGCGCAGCTGCCCATGGAGACGACCCATCGGGGCTCGGGCATCTGATCGTAGACCTGGCGAAGAGCCGGGGCCATCTTGTTGGTCAGGGTACCGGCGACAATCATCACGTCGGACTGGCGAGGGGAGGCACGGAAAATAATACCGAGGCGATCTTGATCGTAACGGGGGGTGGAAAGGTGCATCATTTCGACGGCGCAGCAGGCGAGACCGAATGTCATGGGCCACAGAGAGGACTGACGGGCCCAGTTGGCGATGATGTCGAGCGTGGTACTATTCGCACGTTAGCAAGGGGTTGGTTAGTTAGAAGAAAGCAAAGTCGTGTGCGTACAGCGCATATTGGACAACGCCCTTGTTGCCTTCCTCGCTGAGAAGAGGAACCTCCTTGCGAGGCTTGGTCAGGCCGGAAACGCTGCCGTGCTGGGCGACAGAGGTGGCGTCTCGGCGGGTGCTGTTGGAGAAGGCGGCGACGGAGCGGAAGGGGATGATGGCGGTAGCGGGCTTAGCTATATCATAAAGGCTGCGTTAGCAAGATCAATTGGCCTCAGTGAAGGGATTGACGACGGGGACGGACCTCGCAGGGCCATGGCGGCGGCCGAACGCGTGGAGGAGAGCATGGTAATTTTTATTGCTCGTCGGGCGGGCGGGAGGCAAGGGATTGGCGGTTGGCGGTGGGAGAAAAGGGGCCTCGCTTCTTCAGTCGGATGAAGAGGAGGATTGGCGTGCGGAGGGGAGATGCGAGGGGGGTTGTCCGACTCGGGCCGCGGGGATTGGAGAGGTGGTGAGAGGTGGTGGTAGAGCTTTGGTGAGCGAAGAGGTTCTTTGGGGATTTGGTTGTGATTGGTGTCCAGAATTGTGGATGCTGTGATTGGCCGGAGGGCCTGACGGGGCGAGGTTTAGCCGGGCGGAAGGGAGATGGGGAGGTAGAGTGTAGGAGGGCACTAGAAAAATAGCAATATTTTATTTAATATGCGATTGATGTTGTGTTTTAGTAGATGAAAATTTTTATTATATTTTATTACAGGTTTTGGAGTACGTAGGTGCGGGAAACCGTTTCCAACCACAGCTAAGTGAAGATGAATGCGTGGACGAGACGCTCAGAAACGGGAGCTTTTATTTCCAAAAAAATACCACCAAAACTTTTTAATCTGTTTTTTCAGTAGCAGCCAATGGCCGTCTCACTGGATGCGCTTCCGTGTTAAAGACATATTCATCCAAGCTAATCACGTCGGGCGGCGAGAAGATCAGATAAAAGTACTTTAGTGTCTCGGCCGTCCAGAAGCTCTGTAAGGAAGATTAGCAAATTGGTATACTAAAATGAAACGGAAAGAGTAGTCTTACCTCCATAGAGTCGAGCTTCCTACCGCCATACTGCTCTCCTACGTCGGAGATGGCCGAGTATGCAATCTCTGTGTATGTAGCGTTTGTAATGGATTCAAACATTTCCCAGGCCACATTGCGCAGCTCCGATTTACCCGTGATGCGATACAGGATAAATATGCTCTCAATAGCTTCGGGACGCAAGAGATATCGCGCATCACGGATGTTGGTGAAGCCCTTGGGCGATGTCGACGACGCTGCAGTCTCCCATGCTTTTTCGTCCCACTCGCACGAATCTGGATTCTTGCAGGCCAACATGTTAAAGATTTCAGGCATAATGCCGGTCTCGAAGCTTTTGTATGCCCAGCCGCAGCCCCGAGCAAGCTTCTCTCCAATCTTCACGTGCTTTTCTATGTCAAACAGGCGGCCGCCGAGGCCAAACATGCCGCCCACAAAGCACGTCAAGTGCTGACTCTCAGGGTCGAGCTCAGTCGGGCGATACGAGTTGTATTCTCCCGAAAATAGAATATCCTGGTTATCAGGTGTCATGGGACGGAATAAAAGCTTCTCGATTACAGCATCCATTGCCGAGCGGTACATTTGCTCGTAAGATGCGTCTGCGCCACCCAGCAGGGCGTACATCTTGGGCAAATACTCGTATAGAGAGTCGGCTGATGCACCGAGCGTAAATGAGCTGCCTGTCGCAGCCTCATTGCGGAAATCTAGCATCTTGGGCCACATGCCCGGTAACTTTGTGGTGTTTTGCGCCCGTTCCAAGAAACGTGTGACTCTATCCGCTGCGTCGTAGAACTTGGGATCGCCCGTCAATTGCGAGAGTCGCGTGAGCTCGATGCAGAGCGATGCTGGCGACGCAGAGGCATCGTTTGTTCCAGCTACCATCTGGCCGGTTCTCACTTCCTCAAAGTTCAGCCAGAATGGCGGCAGTCGGTTTGGCGTGTCGAAGCCGTGGTACAGAATATCACCGAGCTCGTGGGCTTTGCGCAGCAGCAAAATGTCATTGCTAAGGTCGTATGCGCTCAGCAAGCCACCCAGATATCTAATTGTCGTCTCAAATATGTTAATGGCTGTTTCCTCCGTGTTGGACCAGTCCAACTTGACCACTGCCGCGGTGGCCTCTCTGAATTCCTCGTGGTATCCCATGATCCAGAGCGTGTCCAGACTGTCGACGAGAGTGGCACCCCATCCTCCAAATGTGTTTTTGGCACTATATGTGACAGGTGTGACCTCGTCCTTCAGCCATGCGTACTTTTTATATGCGTCGTAACTGCGCTTGAACGCCTTGCGAACCTCATTGCGCCTGCGCTCCGTGTCCGCGGTGTGCTTGAAGCTGCTGGCAGATGCCTGGACTTTACGTAGCGGTTTGCCCGTGCTTTTCGGAACAGCCTTGATAGGTCCTGGTGGATGGAAGGGCCGTGATGGCTCCCAGTCGAGTCTTGATCGGAATCCCAGGGCGACGGACGAATTGCTGAAGCCACCGTAGTGGATTAGAAGGAAAACAAAGACGGCAATGCCTGTGAGGACAACAATTCTCGATATTCTGCGGGGCACAGCCATGTTTATGAACGCCGTTGATGGCTTCACATTGAAGCAGCGTGTGCGCTAGAAAATAGAAAAAGCAGTTGGATGAAGAAGCAGAAATGCACTGGGCAGCTTGACGCAGGTCGAATAAACTCAGCGCCCTTGACGCAAGGCTCCAGCGTGTCTTGCCGCTGTGGAGCCCCTGGTTCCAGGGGTACAGTACAGTGGCGGCAGCCGGTGCGTCCGCTGTCCGATTTTGGCTGCCGATCAAACACCATTTATAGTTTGTTAGCGGCAAAGACACAAAAAGCAGGGAAAGTCAATTACTTGAAACAGAAACGTCGTTTTAATTCGTATCAAATCCATATAATCCATCCTGTTAATGCAGGATACAAACAAACACCAAAACCTCTAACTAGTTTAACC